CGATATGCATCGTTGAGAATCTAGCAGCAGCGATAAAGTGGCCAGAGGTGGAAGATATTGAAGGTTATAGAGTGGCAGTTGTACGGACAGAATGCGTCTCGTCCGTAACTCGATATTGCGACAGAGCAAGAGCGCGGGCGTAAGATAGCGATTGTCTCTTTCTAAATGTGGGCAGGTGCATCACCATGCAGGGCTGCGCGTGTGCATACTCGCACAATGGGTTTACAAACCAAGTCCGAAGACGAGTAGACGAAGAAGCTCCCTCGGACGCGCTTCTCAAGAGTCAGAGGCTTCTGCTTACGCACGGGAGCCGCCGGAGGGTCAAGTCGCTGCAGCGCACCGAGTAAGGACGAGCAGGTCGAGGGTCGAAGTGGTCGTCTTTTGCAACCTGTCACATTCTGGATCCGTCTGCGATCCTGCTATCTGTCGTTCGTCCCTTGGTCGTGTCGTCGGTCTTCCAGTGTTCCGGCACCACGCACCCCTCTCTTTCGTGCTGCTTTTCTTGGCCTCGTGCCGCGACACCTTGCACGTCTGATGCCGACACACGAGCCACCGTCCGTTTTTCGCAAGAGATCATCATCAAATAGAGTTTGACGCCGTCTCACGCACGATCTGAGGCAGCTGGCCCACCCTAGTCGTTAGGCTCACTCTATCGTAACGTTAATTCATCGACGTGGACAGCCCTTGTTGCCCCCTGGTCTTGTCGCCGTCCGGGCTTGCCGTACTGATCTGTCAAAAACGCGCACCGTCTCCCGCCGTTTTTTATCGCCCAGCGTCAGGCCAGTCCGTCTTCGGGAATCTTTTGTGCACTACACCGCTCCACTCGGCCGCCAGATCATCCTTTTGGTGGAGCTTGTCGGCTTATGCACATCACATTTCCTTGGGCAAAAACACAACCTTTCTTCGGCCGCTCGCTAACTACCTGCCTGTCCGCAACGCGCCGCCGCCAGCGTTTTCGTCTACCCTCCAAGTCCCCTCACTAGCAGTAGTGCTTAACCCTCGACCGCGACTCTGCTTTTGGCGTAGCATGTCCCCGACTTACACCACTTCACCAGCTCAGCCCGCTACCGACACGTCTCTAAGCGCGCTACTCGCGTCGCAACAGATGAACGGCCATCCGCAGTCAATGGACGCTCGCCAGCAGGAATACCAACACCAAGCTCCGCTCAAGCAAGAGTACTCGCAGCAGCCAGGTTTGAATTCGCCCTACGCTTCCTCGTCCTATACCGGCAACCTTTCTGAGACCCTGTCCTCCCCAGACCAGAACCAAGCTGCCCAGTACCACCCAGACGTAAGACCCTTCCTTTGCTTCTCTCCTGCCAATTCCGAGTACTCACGCGCTTCTCAGTCTGCGCGTCCTGCCTCATTCCCCGAGTACCAGCAGCAGCCCCAGGGCCAGCCGCAACAAGCCCAGCGACCATACCCCGAGCAGGGCGCTCCTCGTTACCAGCAGCCTGGTGGCCACCCACACGCCGCAATGGCTCAATCAAGTCGGTCCATGCCTCTTGCCAGCGCGTTGCGCGACACGCGTTCTGACTCGGCCATTGCCATAGATCCCACGATAGCCGCACAGAACCCGCAATACCCTCAGCAACACGCATACTCTCCATACCCTCCCCAGCATGAGATGCACCAATACCCTGGGCAGCCCGGCCAGCCCATGTACGCGCCGCGCCCCGAATGGGGAGCCTACCACGCTCAACCTATGCACTACCCCGTGTCAGCCGCCGGTGGACCGCCAGGAATGGCAGCCGCCGTCCCCAGACCTCCAGGTGTAAGTCATGGCTTTGTAAGACTCCATTGACGCGTCGGAACGCGTTTTCTAACCATGCGCAGGGCGGACACCCAATGTCTACTGTTTACTCGTTTGTCCCAATTCCCGGTGCGCAGCAACACAAGCGTCCGCGTCGAAGATATGAAGAGATCGAGCGCATGTACAAGTGCGGATGGAACGGCTGTGAAAAGGCATATGGCACGCTTAACCATCTGAATGCGCACGTTACTATGCAGTCGCACGGCGCAAAGCGCACTCCCGAAGGTATGCAAGCACAGCAAAAAAACATTGTTCAAATGGCACGCGTTTTTGCGTCGCAGTGTCGCATTATTTCCTTAGTGCTTACCCCGACCGCTGGGTTGGTTAAACCACCCTCCTTGTCGCGGAAGCTAGCACGCCAGCCATGCTTAAATTCCCCTAGCGCATGCACCCCGTAACACAAGCTGCACGTGGATGGACCGCGCTAACTCGTCACGTCTAGAATTTAAAGAAATCCGCAAGGAGTGGAAGGCCAAAAAGAAGGAGGAGGAAAATGCTCGCAAGCAGGAAGAGGAACGGCAGCGTCAGGAGGCCGGCCGTGCTGCTCAGGAAGCCGGCACCCCGACCCAGCCCGCCCCGGCACAGTACCCCCAACAACACATGATGCCTCCTCAGCCCATGAGCAGTGCTCAACTACCGCCCATCGGCTACGCTCCTGCCGCTCCGCCCACGCCTCAGCAATACACTCCGTCACAGCAGCAAGTGGACGGAGCACAGCCCTACCCGGCCGGCCAGATGTACACCAACGGAGGCTATCCTCAAAGCCCATATGCCCAGCAGGGCGGCCAGATCTACCAGCAACGTTAGACACATACGCACCAACATCACTTCGCTGAGACTAACAGGACAACAGATCCTGAACAACCCCAGAACCAGGCATATCGACACAACCAGTAATTTTTCTTTCCCCGTCTACGACATGTCGGTGCCCACGTAGTTCGACGCGGACCGGGCGCTGGCATGATAATTCTTTCTTTCCAAGTCCGCTCAAATTCTCAAACGAACGCGGCTGCTGCTATCGCCCTCGCGATCGAGCCCGCAAAGAGTCTTTGAAGAAGCGTTTTTCCCGCATCATCGCAATTGCAACATGCATCTCGTTCGGTGGTCGGAAGCACTGCTTTTTCATGATACCATCACATGAGCGATGTTTTCTAATCAACGTCTCTCCAATTCCTTGGTTTCGGCTGGTGTCAATTCAGGCGTATCGTGTTCGATCTCGGCTCTCGGTGCTCGATCACACATCATCTCTGGAGAGGTCGAAGAAGCTGTCCCAAGTGTAGTTGTATTTTTTTTTTAGCATGCCCGATGGGCTTTTTCATTATTGCCTTTGTTTTTCCTGCGAAGCATGAGGTATCTGGGTTGACTTGTTTTGGTATCATGTTTCCTGTGGCTGGTGGACCATTGAGATGCGGAAGTGTGACGAGCTCAGATTTTTCACATCGCAAAATGAACAAAAACAATCAGAATCAGATCAAGTCGTTTCGAGGTGTCAGCATGCTTTTAAGTAGTCGTGGAACGGTTGGGTGGCCTAAGAAATGGTCAGAAGCACCAGGAGGAGCCGTCGTCCGTTTTGAAACCCACCATGGTTAGCAAACTATCACGACCTTAATCACTAGACTCCCACGTGTTTGTGGCACACTACCTTTGAATAATTGATCAGCCGTTTCATACAGACCGACTAACTAAACACGCACGCCGATGCGTAAGCCAACAGCGGACCATTCAGTGTTTGATCTAGTCAAAAGGAATTCAACGCGTCGACAGGCGACAGATCGAGGGGACCCTGGCGGCAGTCGAAACATGCTGGCGCTGCTGGGATAGTTTTGCTGGCGCCGGTTGACCAGCAGTAGGTACTGTACCTAGTGAAACCGGGAATCGTCTTTCGCGCGATCAGAAGTCAAAAGATAGATGGGCTAAACAATTAAGCATTGAATATAAGCAGCAGGCAATCGACAGTCGACGGATGTGCCGTGCAGCGGCGGTCCGGCGCGCAAGTGTCTGGCAAGGAACGAGCTGAGGAGCACGACACTAGGCAAAGCAAACTCCAATCTACTTTCTTTTAGCACTCCCTCTAGTCTCCGCGACCACGGCACCGTCTTACCTGTTCTACTGAGGACTCTCTGAACCCTTGTCTGCGCCGCTGCTGTCAAACGCTTGCCTAGGATCTACCCGCGCAAACATCTGAACTACCCCGTTGGTGTCTTCTAGCTGACCAAGAAATCTCTTGTCTACAACAACCCCTCGGCGTCTCTGCGAATCGTGGTCGATCTTAGGTGACTGCTGCGCCACACACACACCAAACAGAGCCGCTGGCCCAAACCCTTCAATGGCCGTCACCAACAGCGAATGATGCTACAGTTGTGCCTCGAGCTCGCGTTAACCAGCGGCCGTCGTGGTCACTCCTGCCCGCGCTTCATCCAGTTTTTGCACCAGAAAACAATCATGTATACCTGCCTGCCATCTCCTGACCTTCCAGCTCCATAGCAAAGGGCAAAACATGTAAGATACCAGCGTGACATTCAAGCAAGCAACATTTACACCCAGGCGCCCCATTTTATGGCATACTGCCGAGCCTTGCGTCCAACAATGATCACAGTAAGAATGCAGGTTTCACGGCAAAGGATCACACCGAGCAATTGTCTCGCCCCGGTTTTCCGGCGCCTACAGAAAACACCACTCAGCATCAACTCCCATGTGCTAGGGCTAGGTTCCAAGGTGCGACATCTACGGCGTGTATCGATCGACCCGGAAATCTGGCTTGCCTTGCGGGACACGACTGCCGGGCTCCGATCCGGATGCCAAACGGAATGTGCTCCGATGATTCTCTGGATTTAACACTTGCTGCACTCGAAAGGTATGAGGATAATCAAGTCTCGAGCGCTTAAGCGTACTTCACCATGTTGATCGAACAGAGATTACACGGACTACTTATTTGTCGAAAGGAAAGAGGTTTCGAGCAAGATGCTCCTACTTGTAAAGCGGTTGTCTTCCGTACAAGTGATATTCAGAACCAAGACGAAGAGAGCGTTATGAGAACTGGCAGAGCGCGATGCTCCTTACTGGTTCATACATATGGTTATCCCTTGCTTCCACAAGATCAAAGTTTATGCGCCATCCTTTCATACGTTGTCTGACAATGTTATGTTATGAGTCAAGACGAAACGATTATACTGTGATTATATGTAAGTCATATGGGCTGAACACTCCTCTGAAACCTTGGAGGCTGTCTAAAGAACTTCTCAGGCTCATCTCTAGCCCCGTCCTTCCAGTACTCGTACTCCATCCATGCATTCTCAGGCATCTGTGCTTCTGTAGCCTCCAGAAATTTTCCCAATTCCGGTGCCAGAGGGACGACGCCAGTTTCAAGAACGTATTGATCCCACATCTTGATCATGCGAGCCAGACGCTCAGGATCTTGCTCGGCAAGGTCATAAACTTCGCCAGGATCTTTTGAGAGGTGGTACAATTGCCACTTTTCGGGACCTTTGGGCTTGGGAATGAAGACGATTTTCCAGTCGCCACAACGGATGGCTGCGCGACCGCAAGTCTCCCAGCCTGTGATGTAATCCTCAGGGTGAGTCGAGTGGGTTCGGCCTTTAATAAAAGACAGCATGCTCTGGCCACGCATGGATACAATCTCGCGACCTTTGTAGGTAGGTGCTGGATGTGTGACACCTGCCATCTCCAGAATTGTGGGACAAAGATCTATCACCGTGGCAAAGTCATGAGTGATGCTGCCTTTTTCGACACTGGCATGAGAACCGGAACTGGCAACCTCTACGGGAGCGTCGATGAAGCCATCAGAACGAGTCTCGACGTTTGCCGGAAAGCGTACGACGAAGGGTACACGAACACCACCTTCTGTAGTGAAGGCCTTGTAGAGACGACTAGGTGCCGTTGCTGCCTGAGCCCACCGAGGTCCGTACCAGACATAACTGTCACCACGACCAATGTTCTCTATACTGTTATTGTAGTATGTTTTCAGGTGCTGCATCATTTCACCCTGTACAATGGGGTACGCTTCGTAGGCTGCACCTTCGGCTCCATTGTCAGACATGAAACAGACCATCGTATCGTCAAGCTCTCCGGTCTCTTCGAGATAATTGACGACCTTGCCAACATTAGCATCGATGCATTCGACCATAGCAGCAAAAACCTCCATGGCCTTGGATGATTTCGCTTTCTCTTCAGGTGTCAGAGCGTCCCAAACTTTGACTTCGTCTGCAATCACTTCATGTGCTTCGACATCACGAGCAATGAGGCCAATCTCCTGCATTCTCTGCAAGCGCGTCTGCCTCAAGACTTCTGGTCCATCATCGTAGACACCTTTGTAGTGAGCGATGTACTCGTCAGGAGCTTGAAGAGGCCAGTGGGGTGCCGTAAAAGGTAGATATCCGAAATACCATTACTCGCTATCTTGTCGATGTTTGGAGTTCTGATCTCTCCACCAAAGCAAGAGAGGTCGCTGAAACCCAGATCATCTGCAACGATGACAAGGAAGTTGGGACGCTTCTGAGCGCCATCGATTGCGTTTGAAGCCTGAGATGCGGCCATGCTTGCGAGGTGTTTCGTGGTAGAGGAGCATGTAACGTAGACTCCGTTGCTGTTTCTGGAGGAAGAAGAAACAGAAAAGCAGGGACAACACAAATAAAGGCAACGCAACTAACTGTTTCGAACTCGGCAAGAGATGGATAAACCCCTCAGATATCATTGTAGGATCTGCAGCGCGGGGACGATGGCTGGTTGAAGCTAAACTGAGTCTGTGGTAGCCGGGCAGTGAACATCTCGATGCGGTAAGGTCTCACGAGACCATTATCTGTTGTTTTGCATCCTTGTGTCCAATGGCGTGCTTTCAATAGCAGATTGCTTCATGTCTGGTTCATGTAGACGTGTTATGGAGCGACAATCAGTTTGACGCGAAGCCGAGACGTGGCAGCCATATCAGAGTGAAGCACACGGGCAAGTAAAGTCGGACAAACTGAGTGGTTACATATATCTGATAGATGCAATCACTAGAAAGCAAGAAATCGATGTCAAGATGGCAGAGAAATTGTCGTCCTTGGTGCCTGAGGCCGAAGTTGGCGTCTCGAAGAACAAAGACCCCACAGAGGAAGGCGCGTCCCAGCCGCAATTCAACCGGATGTGACACCACCAAAACCACACGACTTCGAGCCCCGGGGAGTTGCGACTCCTTCACAAAAAGTCCATGTTGTCGTTTGCTAGATGATGTTGAGCTTGAAATGCTCCTTCGAGGCTGCGACACGGCCGGTTGCCTGAGCACATCCTCTCGGCTCCCCTTCTTCAAATCCGGCTTGCTACAAATATGCTGTGACTACAGATGCAGCGAGACGATGCTCACTCCACTCTGGTCGGAAGATGCTCCTCAACGATTACCCCTGTCTACCAATAACCTATAGTTGTACAGCTCACACTTCTTGTGTTCTGGTTCTCCGGCCACGTTTCCGGACATGCGAGATCGGAAGGTTGAGGTGAATATGACTGCTCAGATCGGTCTTATTCTCTTCTCGCGTACTTCGAGCTTGCACTGGAACTTGGCCGAAGATAGTGAATAGGCCTCCATCTCGAAGCTGTTGATGTAGTCTGTCTGAATATCAGTAGCAGTGGCTTGATCCAGGTCTTAGAGCTTTCTATGTTCCTACAGCCAGGTGAAACATATGGAACATTGGCTTACCATGTCACTGCAAAGTTTATGGCTTATTATGCTTACCAAATACTCAGAATAGAAGCTTACCCCCGCCGTCGTACAATTTCTCCACGAGAACTGCAGGTCGCCTTGGCATCAATATCAGGAGGTCAAATCCCTGTCAAGTATACAACAGAGATAAGATCGTTCGAGGACCAGAAGACAAATGTGGTGGATGTCAGACTCAGGACGTGATCGGAGCTATGAGATCCTCAAGGTTTGGAGAGCAACGAGAATCGCTGCATGTCCACGCTGCCGCTACGGACATCATGGCTTCGGAATACCTAGCCTACCGGACCGTCGAGCATGACGAGGCGCAACTGACAGTCAGCTCTAGTATCTTTCGCGTATAAGATCCTCACACCTCGAAGTCTCTGTTTGCTAATGTGTACCACTCTGACCTTCAAGGCTGCGTTTCAGTATGAAAGCTTGTATGCCCAAGTCTGGTCTCTACTCTCGGGCCATCGCATCAACCCCTTACGAAGTTGGATTATAGCACTGCAGACTCCCGAGTGGACGCGCGTCTGGGGTATGTATGGACACACTGCTGTACCGCAGTCCATGTCCAATGAATCTCAGCATTCTGTTGGTATGACAAGGTTCGACTGGCAGAGATTCCAGAGCATCCTTGGACCTGCGTTCTCTCCCTGACCCGGATGCTGAGCGAATCTTGATGCATCTATTTCGCGTCGTGTAGGACCACGCTCACAGATGCTGGGATCCATCTCGTAACCAGAAGTATGGACTAGTGGAAGAGTCGTGATTGGATCAGGAAGCGGATTCAACATCTTTGAGATCATACACAAGGCATCTCGTACGCCCTGGACGAGGAGTAAAGCATCATGACGTCGAGAACACGGGTTTTCGAGGACGCTCGACGAGAACGAGAACAGAACAAGCTTGCTGGCAAGAAGGAGGGAAATGCGATTGCTGTGAAAGAAAGAACATAAATACTGACCACTTGTCTCTCTCCGATTCCATCTTCAACAACAGCAACAAACCAAAACATCAGGAGCTCAAACCACCTGATCATACTTGAACTGTCTACGTTTCATCGAGCGAGCAACACACGAACAACAAGCCAAAATGGTCCCCTCCAAACTACTTTTTATTGCTTTCGCCAGCATACTCAGCTCTGCTATTGCTGCCCCTGCTGAGAAGAGAGGTGGCTCGAATGGATATAGTGAGCGGTGTCTTCACGCTCGTTTACAGGTTTAGCTAATCACGCTTCACAGATGGTGATCTGGCAGACAATTTCAAATCCTTTTTCCAAAACTTCGGTGGTTGGTCCTCGGATAACAACTATAAAGGTGATCTCGCTAAGGATCTCTCCAACTTCGCAAACGGATTTGGCGGAAAGCTTTCCGATAAGGATGCGCAGTATTGGGCCGATACTCTGAGCAACAAGAAGAATAGCGGTGATTTCAACGGATGGTGGGGAGCGAATGGCGGCCAGGGTCAAGGAGGCCAAGGAGGCTATGGATGCGGCTTCGGAGGCTCCAACTGGGCTTCTGGTAATGGAGGCCACGGCGATGGATGGAACAACAATGGCAACGGATGGAGCAACAATGGCAAATCCCCCAGAAGCCTTATTGCCAGAGGTTCTGGTGGTTCGACCAACGGTCAAGGTTGGGGAAGCGGACAAGGCTCTTCCAAGGGCTCCGACAAAGGACAGGGATTGGGCTGGAGCTCTGAGCAAGATTCTTCCAAGGGCTCCGGCCAAAGCAGTGGCTGGGGTGGCAGCAAGAGCGGCGAGTCCGGCAAAGGTGGCTCTGGAAGCTCTGGTAGTAATTGGGGATCTGGAGACGACAGCAACAAGGGCTCTAGCGGTTCCGACAAGGGAAGCTCCAGCAGCTCCGGCGACGATTGGGGCTCTTCAGAGGGTGGCTGGGAAGGCGACAAGGGTAAGGACAATGGCAACGGAAACCAGGGATCCTACGGCGGCAGCTCTGAAAAAGGATCTGACAGCAACAAGGGCTCGTCCAGCGGCTGGAGTAGTGACAACCAGGGCAATGGTGGAGATCACCTGGGCTCTTCTAGTGAGAAAGGATCTGGCAACAACAAGGGTTCCTCCAGTGGTAGTTGGGGAGGCGACAACAAGGGCTCAGAGAACAAGGGCTCGAGCAACAAGGGTTCTTCTGGTGAGAAGGGATCTTACAGCAACAAAGGTTCTTCGGGCGATAGCTGGATCGAGAACGGAAAGTCCGGCGAGTCAAAGGGTGGTAACAGCAAGGGAAGTGGATGGTAATCCTGTCCTCATAGGGCATCGGCCAGGAACGCCGACTCGATGATTGAACGAAACCTGCTTTGGTGCTGGACTCACACACTCTTTTGAGAAGATAGCAATAGTATGATTAAGACTGGATAATGGAATGACTCTCTTGTCTCTTGTCTCAGCTTTCTGTGCTCTTTTCACGGATGCTCGAAGATTCGTGGTGGATCGTTTCGAGTCTTGCTTGTTTGGTCTGGGGCTTAATCTGTGAGCTGGTTGCAATATATCGTTCCCTGATGTACTCGGACAACATGGATTTTACAACAGGCGAGGAGAACGCCGTGGGTCAACAGTCGATGGGTAATATTGACGTGGATGTGGATTATTAATGGCAAGCGTTTGGACCGGAAGGCAACAATGAGGCAACAGGAATCTTGTTGCCTTCGCAAATCCAACCCATTCCGGACCCAAACGAGATGGACATCTATATCCATGCGTCGACGTAGTCAATGGTAACAATCATGTCAACAGAGTGTCATCACCTAACGTCAATTCATGCTCGACGTACGTACACATGTGCAACAGTCGCTAAAGAGTATACTTGGCTTGTCGTCTTAGAGTCAGGGTCATCCACTCAGCATAGACAGACTCGAAAGTCACATCTCAAGCACGAAGCAATTCCTGGTCGGACAATTCTTGTTCATGACTATGAGGGCAAGACAACAAGACACCAATTCAGTATGTGCTTGCTATACCGTGAACATCGGGTTCGGTGCAGCGCCTTACCTCGGCAAGTCGGTAAGTTTGTGCAACACTGCAAGGCGGGGTTGACCGGCGACGTAGCTACTTGTATGGCAGCCGTCGAGCTATCAGATCATCGGCAAGACTAAAACTTCATCTAGCTGTGCCTGTGGTCACCTTCTTGCATCTGTCCCTCTCTTCCTCCCTCCTTTACTCGGTCAAGATATACACAATCATATCGGTGGACTTCGGGCAGTAATGTCTTCCCCACTGAGCCGTACCTTTCTCCGCACTTGCTCTAGAAACATTGTTGGCCAGCGCTCCCTCCTTCGCAACACTGCCAGAATCACCAGCAGAGCTTCAATCGCACGAACAACCCTCTCCATCCGCTCAGCAGCCGCTTTCTCTACCACCATGAAGCCCAACTCGGACGCCTTTGCCAGCCCGGCTCCCGCTGCCGAGTTTGACCGTGAGATTACCGACATGGCATCTTACATTCACAACTACAAGGTCAACTCGGAGCTTGCTGTATGTTTGCTTCTTCGAACAAATCTCGAGAGCACTAGCTGACATTGTATACAGATCGATACCGCCAGATATGTCTTCCTAGACACCTTGGGCTGCGGCCTCAAGGCTCTCGAGTTCCCCCACTGCACCAAGCTCCTCGGTCCTGTCGTGCCTGGAACCACCGTTCCCAATGGTACAAGAGTCCCCGGCACTCCTTACCAGCTCGATCCTGTACTCGGTGCATTCAACATTGGTGCCATGATCAGATGGCTCGACTTCAACGACTGCTGGCTTGCTGCCGAGTGGGGTCACCCCAGTGACAACTTGGGTGCAATTCTCTCTGTTGCAGACTGGATTAGCAGAACCAACCGCAACGGCGGAAACTTGGGCAATGGAAAGATCTTTACCGTGCGAGACGTCCTTGAGGCCATGGTCAAGGCACACGAGATTCAAGGTTGCATGGCTCTCGAAAACTCCTTCAACAAGGTCGGTCTTGACCACGTTGTTCTGGTCAAGGTCGCATCGACTGCTGTCGTCAGTCAAATGCTTGGCCTGACCGAGGCTCAAACTCGTGATGCAATTTCGCAGGCATGGGTCGATGGTCAGAGCATGCGTACATACAGACACAGCCCCAACACCATGAGCAGAAAGAGTTGGGCTGCCGGCGATGCTTGCGAAAAAGCCGTCAACCTCTGCCTCAAGGTCATGAAGGGCGAGGGTGGTATGGCAACCGTCCTTACCGCTCCTACTTGGGGCTTCTACGATGTCAACTTCCACGGTGCCAAATTCAACTTCCAGAGAGAATATGGCAGCTATGTTATGGAAAACGTTCTCTTCAAGGTCTCATACNCCTGGTAAGCAACAATCTGCTAATGCGGCCTTCTCATGCTAACTGCATCAATAGCCGAATTCCACTCGCAAACCGCCGTCGAAGCGGCCAGCCGTATCAACAAGAAGCTCAAGGCCATGGGCAAAAGCGCCAAAGACATCAAGGATGTTACCAACCGAACACACGAGGCATGCATCCGTATCATCGACAAGCAGTTGAAGCCCATGGACAACTTTGCCGATCGTGATCACTGTGTTCAGTACATGGTTGCGACCATGTTCGTCTTTAACCGTCTCGAGGCGTCAGACTACACCGATGGGTCCGAGGCGGCAGAGAGCCCTCTTGTCGAGTCCCTTCGCAAGAAGATCAAGTGTGTTGAGGATCCTCAGTACACCAAGGACTACCACGACCCCGAGAAGAGAACCATCTCCAACGCTCTTACCGTCACCTTGGAAGATGGCACAACACTGGAAGAGGAGATTGTCGAGGCGCCCCTCGGTCACAGATTGCGTCGTGAGGAGGCCAAGCCAGAAATCATGGCCAAGTACAAGAGGCATCTGGGACCTCACTTTGACGAGGCCCGGGTAAAGGAGTTGGTTGATCTTGGCAACTCGCCCGACAAGCTGTACGCCATGGAGATTGACCAGTACGTGGATCTCTATGTCAAGGACAGCATGTAAGCAACAAAAATATAGAAATATTAGACGGCTCTTGTAAGAATGAAATTTCTAAGTATTTGCTGAAAAAACTCGACCCGTCAAACGCAGATGACGATCTAGCGCGAGTCAATAGGCAAGAAGGATGCAGACACGTGAAGTCGGGGTATCCGTACTGAACGTAGGTGGGCTGCGTATGCCAAGAGTCTGCTTCATGTGAATCTGGGCCGTGAGAATGCTGGACATGAAAGATCAGGAGCGGTGTTTTCGTGTTTGCGACAGAGTATGCTCGACTAATAGACTGAGGGGGTGACTCGTGCACTAAACATCAAGGCCGAGTGTCTGCTGTTAGATTGAATGAGGGACATTATGGCGCAGAGACAGGGTGTGCTCAACAAGACGAGGACTGCGTTCGCTAGCAACTCCGCGTTGGGCCCGGCAAAGTCGCTGACCGAGGGGCAGACTAGAAATTTTTGTATCAGCCCAACCAAGTCTTCTCTCTATTCAACCATCCTGAAGGAGTGCTTGATTGCAAACACCTTCTCTCCCCCTCTCCACTCTTGTTAGTTGTTTTTGTCTCGATTTTCTGCTATCGAGATCCTTGTTCCGGTTGCTTTTTTCCCGGTTGCAAAAAGCGCAACCCCTGCGCCGCCTACGCCCCTAACTGCGCCTTTACCCTATAGAAAATTCTCTTGGATATGCCCCATTTTGAAGAGCCCAGCATGAGCAACACTGCCGTCACCTCAAAGTCGGCGCCGCCCGCTGCCGAGGACGTTTCGGCCATCACAAAGAGCATTTACGAGTCAAAGACATCGCAAGAGTCGCTTGACGCCGCTTACTCTCTCTGCGATGTTCTCCTCAACTCGGTCGGTTTCCGCGGTCTCAACGACTACAATGTCCTGCAAGAAGTCAAGAAGGCTGCCACAGACAAGAAGAACATTGGCCGCCGTGAAGGCGCCATGTTTGCACTCGGTGCCATCTTCGAAAGATTCCCCAGCAAGCAGCGCCTGAGCGAGGTCGTCTTCCTTCTCCAACACGATTACCTCTTGCCCATGGCTCTCGATGCCATCGCCGACAAGACTCCCAGTGTTCGCGACGGAGCCAAGTACGCTATCGACGCTCTCTACAAGGAGCTCAGCGCCGAGGCCAAGGTCTATGGTCTCTTGCCCGTTCTCATCAAATACCTCCGCAAGGGCACCGCCAAGTGGCAGAGCGCCGTTGTCGCATACGAGCTGGTCGGTCGCATGGCCGACGACGCAAAGATGGGCATGGAGAGCCTCGAGGCCGAACAAGCCAAGGACGTTCTCCGTGAAGCCATGGGCCGCAAGCTCGAGGATCTGATTCCCATCGTCGAGGGTGGTATGCACGACCTCAAGTCCGAAGTCGCAAAGGCAGCCAACAAGTCCATGAACTCCCTCACCACTCTCCTGCAAAACGACGATGTCCAGCCTCGTCTTCCTCTCTTGATCAAGTCGATGGAGGACCCCTCCACTCAAAGTCTGCAAAAGGCCATCCACGCCCTCTCACAAACCACTTTCGTGGCCATCGTCACCTCTCCCGTCCTCGCCGTCCTTACTCCCCTCCTCGAGCGCTCTCTCAACAGCCCCAGCACTTCCCAAGAAGTCACCCGTCAAACAGTCGTTGTCGTCGAGAACTTGACCAAGCTTGTCCACGACCCTGTCGAGGCCAGATCTTTCCTTCCCAAGCTTTTGCCCGGTACCAAGGCTGTTCGCGACAGAGCCTCTCTTCCCGAGGTTCGCGAGATTGCTCAGAGAGCTCTCGACGTTATCGAGAAGGCCATGGGTCAACAGGCCAGCGGCGATCACTCCGAGTCCGACCGCACCGTCCCCGAAGAGGTTGTCAAGGTCTTGGAGAAGGAGACACAAGCAAACGGCGGTCTTCTTCAAATGTCTGGCGATGCCGAAATCTGGACTTTGGCCAAGTCTTACCTTTCGACCATGGTTGCCGAGGACGCCACTGACCGCAAGCTCAACCGCATTACTGGCAACATTGCTCCTTACATGGCTCCCCTCATGGAGGCCGGCAAGGCCGATGCTGTCGCCGAGGCTGTCCACAAGTTCTACATCTCCGAGGATGAGCGCAAGTTCGGTGCTCCCCCACCTCTCGAGGATGGCGAGGTTGAGATCGTCAACGCCACCTTCTCTCTTGGTTACGGTGGTATGCTTTTGCTCTCGCACACCAATCTCCGTCTGCTCAAGGGTCACCGTTACGGTCTCTGTGGTAGAAATGGTGCCGGAAAGTCCACCTTGATGCGTGCCATCGCCAACGGCAAGCTCGAGGGTTTCCCCCCTCAGGATGAGGTTCGCACCTGCTTCGTCGAGCACAACCAGGGCGAGGATGCTGATCTTACCATTCTAAACTACTGCTTGAAGGATCCCGAGCTCCAGGCCGAAGGCCAGGACAGAATCGTGGCCGTCCTCGAGGAGGTTGGTTTCGCTTCTGGACCCGAGGGACGTCAATCTGAAAAGGTTGGCTCCTTGTCTGGTGGTTGGAAGATGAAGCTCGCCTTGGCCAGAGCCATGTTGATGCGTGCCGATGTCTTCCTTCTCGACGAACCTACCAACCATCTCGATGTTGCCAACGTCAAGTGGCTCCAGGAGTACCTCAAGACCCACACCGACATTACTTCCCTGATTGTTTCTCACGACTCTGGATTCCTCGACGAGGTTTGCACCGACATCATCCATTACGAGACAAAGAAGCTTGTCAACTACAAGGGTAACCTCGCTGCTTTCGTCAAGCAAAAGCCCGAAGCTGGTGCATACTACACTCTTTCCGCTTCTCAGGTTCAGTTCAAGTTCCCTCCTCCTGGTATCTTGACTGGTGTCAAGTCCAACACCAGAAGCATTCTCCGCATGACTGACTGCAACTTCACCTACCCCGGAGGTACCAAGCCTTCGCTTCAAGGTGTCAGCTGTCAATTGTCTCTCTCTTCCAGAGTCGCCATTATCGGAGCCAACGGTGCTGGTAAATCTACTCTCATCAAGTTGCTCACTGGTGAGACCATTCCCCAGACCGGCAAGGTCGAGAAGCACCCCAACTTGCGTATCGGTTACATCAAGCAGCACGCTCTGGAGCACGTTGAGATGCACTTGGAGAAGACCCCCAACCAGTACCTACAATGGCGTTACGCTAACGGCGACGACCGTGAGGTTCTGATGAAGGGAACTCGTCAACTTACCGAAGAGGACAAGGCACAGATGGAGAAGTTCGTCGACCTTGGCCCTGGCATGGGTCAGCGCAAGATCGAGTCCATCATCGGTAGACAAAAGTGGAAGAAGTCGTTCCAGTACGAGATCAAGTGGGTTGGTATGCTGCCCAAGAACAACACCATGATTTCTCGCGAGACTCTCATGGAGCTTGGCTTCCAGAAGCTTGTCCAAGAGTTCGATGACCACGAGGCTAGCAGAGAAGGTCTTGGTTTCCGTTCGCTGGAGCCCAAGGTCATCTCCAAGCACTTCGAGGATGTCGGTCTTGACCCCGAAATTGCCAACCACAACGAGATCAGCGGTCTGTCCGGTGGTCAAAAGGTCAAGGTTGTCCTTGCCGGCGCCATGTGGAACAACCCCCATTTGCTCGTTCTCGACGAGCCCACCAACTTCTTGGACAGAGACTCCCTAGGTGGTCTTGCCGTCGCCATCCGTGACTACAAGGGTGGTGTCGTTATGATTTCTCACAACGAGGAGTTCGTCGGCGCTCTCTGCCCCGAGCAGTGGCACGTCGCTGATGGTCGCCTGACCCAGAAGGGCACTGTTGCCGTTGCGCTCGACCGTTTCGAGGACTCGTCCAAGCCTGGCTCGTCTGTCGCCAGCTCGGTCGTTAGCTCCGCCGTGCCTTCCACTGTCGGCACCCCTACCCAGAGTGATGCCGAAGGTGGTGGTGATATGGCTTTCAGAGCCAGAAAGAAGAAGAAGATGACCAAGAAGGAGCAGAAGGAGAGAGAGGTTCGCAGAAGACTGCGCCACATTGAGTGGCTCAACAGCCCCAAGGTTCGTTGCTTCACTTTCATCTCATCTTTCATGACATTTTGCTAACAATTTCTCAGGNGAACTCCTCACCCTCCTGACAGTGACGACGAGTAAAGAGGTGTCGACGTATTGTGATTGCTGGTAATGAATACCAATACCCCAAATGTCTCCAGCTACGACTTGCAAAAAGTAGGGTGAATGGCGTTACAATTTTGATTTGCTTCCTTTTTCTGCGACACAATAGATTGGGTGGGCGTCTTTTTTCTTGATGTTGTTTTGGGTCACTATATCCACATTTTTCCCTGTTAGAGCAGTAGAATGTCAACTTTTCATCCCATTTTTCTTCATTATCGCATGCAGGGTCGAACACGCTTGTTGACGATAATCAACCGAGTAGCTCCGAGAAACTTCCTGCAGTTGGGTAGTTTTGCCCCGCGAGAAGATGACCGATGCAAGGAATGAGGAAGCCGTGTGATATCTTCAAGAAGAAAATTGCCAGCACTATGGTCACTTCTTGCGCTAACGCGGCATCATGCAAATTCTCAGAGGATCAGAGGTGTTGTGGCGAACGATAACGATGATATCTTGCCTCCTGGAATGTGGAAGAGAGAGAGAGAGAGAGATCATCTCTTTGATACTCAAGTACAGTATGGTGTGTAGCCTCATGTGCGATGTGGAGGTGGATCCTTCACGGATGTCTGTTCGTGAGGCTCCTAACTTACAAGGTTTGAGGGTCCGAGGGAGAGGCTCCCGGAAGAGCCTCCTTGTTTGACTGAAATTCAAACGATCGCATTCTTTTCGGCGTTGAAGAGCTCCACATTCGAGTCAGGTCGCAGCGAAGACTGGCATGTTGGGGATCCGTATTCGAATGCAGTTGCCCTTTTGAACATATTCCACCGTTCATCATGTAGTCACAGTGTATATTGTTATGGCAATTTGACGTGGCCAAGCGATGTTTGTGACAGAGATAGAGAATGTTGAAGCAATCGAAGATCTGACGTAGTGGGTTGTCCCTGCTTTGGCGAAGATTCGCTGTTATGTTCCCCAAAAAGGCAAGGGCATATGATGAGGCTCAAAAATGACCCGCTTTATCGTCACCTTGTCTTGAGAAGTTTCTCGGTCCCACTGTCGAATTCGCCATTTTGCCAATGATTTTTGTAGGGGCCTGCCCAGCGGCGAGCATCACACACTGGTCATTGCTTGATAGTAGGACTTCGCTCCCAAGGGTCGTCAGCACGAAGATTCTGATATATTAAAGGCAAACACCTGCCGACACTTTCCCACTTCTGAATTCTTGCTTCAATTGTTTCTATTTCTTCAGGATCTTCGAGTCCTTTTGACTCTTTTGGACCACATACAACACATACACTGGAGTTTTCATCAGAAATGAATCGCAATGTTTCTTTTCAACAAAATCAATCTGGAGATGAGCAGCAGCCGGAGCGACCGAATATGCAAAACCAGCGTACGGCAAGTACGATGAGATCCAGGACGAACAAGCAGAAGCGACCAGATATGCGAAATCAACACACCATGAGCACGCTAAGACCCAGGATGAGCCGCATGGCTACACAAATGAGCAAAATGGCCACCAATGCTACCGGAGGAACTGCGGAACAAGGTGGTTACTCACTGGCTGGTTCACAAACGGGAGGAAACCGTGGTGGACCCAACAGAGACACCTATGTTGCAGAAGGATACCGCAATCTCAACCCACAGTATGAANAAAAGCAGAACGAACCGACGTTCAGCCTGAGTTCCAATCTACCGCGTACAGTACGTGGTTGGCAAGGAAAGAAGAAGAATGAGGGCCCAAACTCTTCTGGAACAGCGCCCGGTATAAAACCTGCCGAGAAGGGTGAAGGAGAAGCCGCTCCTCAGCTTCAAGACGCCGATGAACGTAAAAAACATCGTGGTGGCGAGAAGCAGAATCCCGAACCTTCTGATGAGCAAAAACACCAAAATCATGGATCTACCCAGAGCAATCAGTCTGGAGGCATGATGATGCACGAAGCTGGTGCTCAAGCTGGTGATGGTGAAAACACAGGTGTCATTGAAGACGAAGCGGTTTACTCTCCTGGCAACGACAGCGACGACACAACACTTGCACCCGAGGACGAGGAAGTACTTGACGAGCCTGCGCCTTTCAATTCATGGGCGATTGTTCGCGCCAAGTTTCAAGATGCTCTTGGTGAATGGTTGNGGAGTGAGTCTTTTAGTTCTTGAAGCCTCTATTCTTCATACTGACCTCAATTGCAGACTACCGTTTTCGTCGCCATCGGCGTCAGCAGCAATCTTGCGGTAGCAACTGGAGAATCACAACACCCTGGAATCTATCAGAACATGTATTGGGGTTGGGGTTTGGCTGTCATGTTGGGCATCTACATCTCGGGTGGAAGCTCAGGTGCACATCTCAACCCAGCCGTTTCCATTCCCCTTTGGATCTACGTAAGTGATATTTCGCCTACATTCCAGCAACTCGTCTAACAGAAACAGCGCGGATTCCCTGCTCGTAAGCTTCCAGTCTTTATCATCTTCCAAATCCTGGGCGCCTTTACTGGCGGCCTCATCGCCATAGCCATCTACCGTGACGCAATTCTTTACAATGATGGTGGTCTCATCGCCTCATCGACTGGCATCCAGATATATACACAACCTAAAGATTGGGTGCAGCCTGCGACAGCCTTCTTCACCGAATTCCTTGGTACCGCAATCCTCACTTGCTCCATTCTAGCGCTTGGTGACGACTCAAACTCGCCCCCCGGTGCCGGTATGCACGCCTTTATCATCGGTCTCCTCGTCATCACCCTCATCATGTCCCTCGGCTCGAACACAGGCGGCTGCTTCAATCCCGTACGAGACTTTGGCCCTCGCCTCGCGGCAATGGCCATGGGTTACGGCACCGAAGTCTTTACCGCCTACCACAATTGGTGGATCTGGGGTGCGTGGGGCGCTACACTATCTGGCGGTATCGCTGGTGGTGTTCTCTACGACACCTGTATCTTCAAGGGCGGCGAGAGTCCCGTCAACTACACACCCAAGAAATGGCAGGGCAAAGCCAACGAAGGCAAACTGGACCTTTTGCAAATGTTCCGTCAGCACACTCAAGCTCGTGACCTTGAGACAGCCATGGAGAAGGGAGAAGTGGAAAATGGAGGTTCCTAAAACAGAGACTTTGAAATAACAGTCTCAAAGAAGCTGAAGTTCGAGATCGGGTTGAAACATACCTTGATCTTTCTTGATGCTTCAGACCTTCCACTTCTCGGTTCGGAGGATATGTTTTGATGATGTTTGATTTTTCTTTCTTTCTACTGAAACGAGAAACATGACCTGCTGCCAACATTTTTGCGAGGAGTTTATTTCTTCTTCTTTTTTCTTTTTCTTTCTGTATAGATTTTTTTGTACATGGAGTTTGCTTCGAGGGCTAGAGAAGACCTAGACATGGGATCATAGACTTTAGGTTATAGACATTCTTTTCTTCCTTTCTTCCTTGCCGTTTGATCTCGAGATTCTCGGCCTTTGTGAACAACTGATTTCTCATCTTTGCAACCAAGAACCCATACATTCATAGACTCACACTTGGAGAGATGTATTCCTTTTGCTACTTTCCTATCAAGCGCGTACATCTTTGGCACATGTTGTGAAGAATCGATATGTATCATCTTGATAGACCGATGTCACTGTAATGTCTAAAGAACTCCTTTGAATGAGAGGACAGAATGTACTTTTTGATTGTCATTTGCATAGATGGAGGGAGAGGGGGAGAGGGTAGGCAAGGAAAGCTGCCACTCTATGGTAGTGTGGCCAACTCGGCATCGATGACCTCCTTGATCTTCTCTGGTAGAGGTTCCTTGAGCTCAGACACTGTTGCGGTCACGTTAGTTGGGGATACAGAAAGGGAAGGTGGGGAAACAGGATAATAACTCACGAGTTTTNNGCGCAGACGGGCAGTCTGCTTCTTTACTGTGGCGTCATTGGCATCAATATTGGAAGCAGCGACCAAGCACTTCAATGCAGGAAGGTACTTTTCCCTGCGAACAAAGACCTCGAAGCCGGCTTGTTGGGACTTGATGTTCAGGGGGCTTTGCTCGAGCAGAGGGGACAGGTACTTCATGGCTTCGGCGAGCGGGTCCTTGGTCTTGAGCAATTCCTCGCCGTGCGGGTCTGTGTCCTCCTTCTTGACCACCTCTTCCGAGGTGGCGGTTGCTTTGCGGCGGCGGCGGCCTTCTTGTCTGCTTCGGCCTTTTCCTTTTCCTTGCGTGCCTTCTTTTCTGCCTTTTTCTTGTCTNGCGTCGCTGAGGTCGCCGTTCGTGGAGCCGTAGTTGGGGTCGTCGAAGAGCTTGACGTAGAGGTCGATGGCCGAGTATGCAGCTCTCGAGTAAAAGGGGTGTTGACGCAAGTGATCTTCCCAGCGAATCATATCTACGTATGCACGGATCATGCCCTTGCGGAGAGAGAAACTGTGGAAGTCAAATTGGTCCTCGTACCACACGTCAAAGATGTCGTGGATGGACTTGAAGCGCTTGAGCGCCAGACCCAACTTGTTCTGGCGCTTGTAGGCCTCACCGTCTTCAAAGAGGTACCACATGCATTGCATGTCGAGCAAATCACCGAGCGGGCCGCCGTTGGCTTCCTTGCGGGTGAAGAGGCCCATGGTCTCGATGGCAGTCTCGTTTTGGTTGTTTCGTAATTGGTATTTTGCGCATTTTGTGTTGATGTAGCGGTCGGCGCGGTCCATCTCGCGGGCCTCGTTCATCTGCTTGGCTGCGGCTTCGAGATCACCAGAGTGTTTTGTGATTCTGGCTTTTGTGAGGTGGAAGGTGTAGTCTTGAGGGTTGGTGTTGAGGGAGATGGTCTTTTCAATGTATTCGGAGGCCTTTTCGAGGTTGCGGCAGAGGTGATAGTCGTAGTGTTGTGCGAGGAAGTAGTTGACGGCGAGATTCCAGTTCTTGCCGTTCTCCTCGTTGTCTTGAGAAGCGTAGCCGAGGACGAGTTGTTCAATGGTCTGTTTCTTGGCCTCGTCGTTGTAGAGAGCCTTGACATTGGCAAAGGTCGAGGGGACACCCTTGCGGAAGACTCTTGTAAGGTAGACGTCGGCGGCCTCGCGGAAAGCATCACCTTGGAGGAAGTCGAGCGGCACACGTCTGGGCGCATCGATTCTCTCACTCTTCTCGGCAAATGACTTGTAAAGGTCCAGCAATTGGGTGTGTGCGGCCGAGTCGTTTCTGTCCAGACCAAGGCACTTCTCCAAGCCATCATAGTAGGCGCGTCTCTCGGCGTTTCTCTCGAGCAGGTTGCGGTATGCCTTCTCAGCCTCCTCTTTACGATCCAGCTTCAACAAGTACTCGGCTCTGAGTTCCATAACGGCGGTTCTATCGGGGTTGGACTTGTAGATGACCTTGAGGCCTTGGAGAGCGCGTTCGTGGTCGCCCGACTCGGCAATGATGGTGTTCTTGTACAAGACGGCTTCGTGGTGCTCGAGATCGGTGGCAGGTGGGGGCACCTTGAGTGTTTCTTCGTACAAGGTCAAGACCTTTTCGGCGGCCTGGTAGTCGCCGGCCATGTGGTGGGCAATGGCCATGGCAGTCCAGTTGGCGCGGACACCCGAGGAGGCTGTCAACATGGTCCTGCGACTGTCGACAAGACCCTTCCAGTCGCGGGTCTGGGCCTGGAGGAGGGAGAGGTCGCGCTGGATCTGGCGCGAGTCGGGATCGAGGCGCAGGGCGAACTTGTAGGCCTTGATTGCCTCGTCGTAGTTCTTGACGGAGCGGTACAACAATCCGTAGACGTGCCAGCAGACGTTGGACTTCATGGCATTCTTGAGAGCGAGCTTGGCCAGGTCAAAGGCCTCGTCCGTCTTGCCTTGGGAGTTGAGGATCAGGGCCTTCATGGCCTGCGTGTCGCCATGGTTGGGCACCTTCTTCAAGACTTGGTCGGCAGTCTTGATTCCTNNGTGCACCGTGTTAGCCAGCGTCTGTCTCGTTGCAGCAGCATGCGCACCCCTCTTGTACTGCTTGGACTCGTAGAGCTGAACAACCTGCTTGAACAGGGACTGCTCCTTGGAAGACAGCGGTACGGACATGGTCTCTTGTCTGCTCGTGTGAGGTCGGAAGAGCTCGCTGTGCTCGAAACAGCCCACTGACACTGTCCCACCAAGCGCACCTCGTCACTCGCAACAAGTTTACCCGATGAAGTTGCCGATAACGGCTGCCGGACTGTGACTCCGACGAAACTCTGCCATCGCTTGTCAACTTCTGACTCTCAACGTCCTTGCTGACTTTCGTGAACTTTTTCATCTCGACGTCGACATGTTGTCCTTCTTGAGTTTCCATCGTGTAGACGCCATCGATGCAATAGAACCGATGTCTTTTGTATGCTATCCCAAGTGAGTAGAAGAACCATGTGCGAGCGACGATGATGTGTAGAGCAATCAGTGTGTTTCAGCAGTAGGTGCAGAGAGCAAGTGCTACCCTCCACCAGGAGCAAAAGAAACACCGGATTGCGGCGGAAGAAACTTGCATTTCGAAGGCAGTTTACTTTGGTTATTTTTCTGTCTTTCTTTTGGGACGGCTGCGCCTTTTCTTTTTTTTTTTCTTTTTTCTCTTCTTTTTCTGTCTTTTTTTCTTTTGCCTGCCCCTTCAATCTTTTCTTTCTGTCTTTCTGGTCGTGGTGGGAATTGAACCCAGGACCTTTCATTGCGCATATGACTTTGCCGGATTGGCACCAACCAAGTCAGCTATCGCGTCCGATTCACTGCTTGGTTGGTGAGAGGGCACCGAACAACATGGTTTATATAGTCTGCAGTTGTTGGTGTGATCATGGACGAGGCGAGGTGAACATTCGGGAGCAGGTACTCTTCTTTTGATAGCGTTTCGTCAATATCACACATGTTTCAGCGCGCCAGATGTTTCCTGCCCTTATTTGCATTCTTTCCCTGAGCAGTGTCCGTGTATCTGTTCCGTGGGTTCACAGTAGCTAGGCAGACACCACAGCAAGACTGCGTGTAAAGGTGCTGTACACATCACGACACAGCGATTGACGAATGGGAGAAACACGCTCATGATCCCGCAGTGAACATCACACCAACACCCTTGACCTCACCACCACATCCTCCACTATGGTCTGATCCGCTCCCTCACGAATGACGACTAGATTCCCGGTTTCTCTCAACTTGAACTCTTCGCAAGATTCTCTGATGAACTCGCTATCATAACTTCAAACATTCGGCTTCCACAAAATAACGTCATGCTCGGGATCTAACCCTTCATCATCCACCTGGTTGTCGTGTACGCCCCTTCTCGACTCTCCGTGATCAAATACCGTCGCCGTCTATCACATGCACCGATGATCGTTTGCCCGGCATACCTTTACTGATGACTCTCCAGGGTAACGCACTACGCCGCAGCAACAACGCCCTGATCCATCCAAGTCTTGCCTTCTATATCGAGCTCTGAACAGAAAGAATGTTGAAGCGCTGGAATGGCTCGTATCAGTGACCCCTGCCGCATCGGATGCTCCTGATCTTGTACACCATCGTCCATCGCTCTCGACTGCCGCCATTCTCGACGTGCCCTCCAGTGCCGCGACCATACTTTGCCAGCTTCTCCTTTGTATCGACCCCTGTCCTACGATCATGTACATCTTCCTCCTCTCACCACCGTAGATCTGGCTCTGCATCAACCGGAAACGAGGGCTCAGCTATGGTCAGGACGCAACGTCGAGCTGAGGATTCGACAAACGTGTTTTCTTCGGCGAATCATGAGCAAATAGCAATGAAAGCAGTATCAGAGTGAGTTGTTTCTCCGGGACATGCCCATTCGAAGAGAGTATATGAATGATCGAAGACTCTCTCCTATGATCGGCTTGCATTGAAGTCTAATCAGCGTTCAACTCGAAATGGTCACTGGAAATGGAGTAGAGAGAAAGGAACGTGCTATTCATGACTTCTTGTTGATATGTGTAGGTGAGTGGATCACTTTTCGTCTCCATAAAGCAGCTACTCATGTTTGCTTTCAAGCTAAGCGAGCACAGCACCTTTGAGCTTCAGCTAACACACCTCCGACCTATTTTCCTTCCGCAGCCAGTCCTCAGTGTCATCAGTTATCACTGTCCTCTTCTCGTAGTATTCGGCGACTAACAGTGTAGGTTTCTGCCATGCGAGAGAATCTTGGTAGATCTGCAAAGTGTTCTTCACAAGCACCGCCGTCGGTGACCTGTTGAGTGGTAGAAGTGTTGATAGGTTTGCTGCACGGGGGTTCCCTAGGCAAGCTGTGGAGGTGACACGGACGCAGAGCGAGGCACAACCAGCTCGATGTAGCAACATGTATCGTGCCGAACGATCACTTTGGCATTAGAGACGCGGCCATTCCCACCGAACTCGTCCTCAATCTAACGAGATCAACCAATGTCTTCAGCGTCTTGTTTCTGGGATAGCCCCTGGCTGCCGTAGTCGCTGGATGTAGCCCTTTATCTTGTACCGGTCTATAAAATGTTGGTAGACTTCGTTGAAAATGCGACTCAGACGCCTTCAACAAGACGAGTCGAATCCGACCTAGGGGTTTCTTGAGGCCGAGCCATTGACAACTTCTTCGCCATCTCGTGCCAGACAACGCGCGAGGGAGGCGATGGAAGGTCGTAGTGTGGCGTTCTGCCATTTGAAGTATATGTGACATCGCTAGCTGCTGGTGATGCGCCGGCTTCACTTGCAGAGTAGGGAAAGAGCGACTGTAACTGTTCCAATTTGTTCTGCAAAATGTCTCTCTGAACCAAGTCGAAGGTCGGCAAAGAGAACAGGAAGCTGATCAGGAAGGTAAAATCGTCGACTCGGCCGGCTGTTTCCTGGACTGTAGTCGCGGGGACGGTGATGATAACATTAGCGATCGTGTCTGTCAGCTCGAAGAGTTTCTGTTGAATGCCCGAGCCATGGATCTCGATAGCTTGACGGGAAAATCGCGTCATTAGTGCTCGCAACTGTATTGACAATCGCACTGGGAAAGATAATGACAAAGATTCTTTCGACGAAACCGAGCTTAGCAAGCATTTGGACATGGCCATTTGCCATACCAACATTCTCAACCAGTGTTTCGTGACAATCAAATCCGCCTGTTGCATATCTGTGAGGGGTGTCACACCGACGTGAGCTTCGTTTGCGACTGGCTCCTCGTCGATCTCTTTGTGTTTGCTGTCAATCCATTCTCGTGTCACGGTTGTGGTGCCGAACCAGTTGGCAAGAAATCCTTCATCGATGAGACGGAAGAGTCGGATGATCTGCGAGAAGCCTTCGTGTACGCCAGGGGGTATCGATGGATCGAACTCCGGAAGATCGGGCAAAGGCGGTAGGACTACAGGTCGATAATTGGATATGGCCAGATATCTTTCATGAATGAAGACTTCCCAGTATAACCTCTGTCTGCGCGCTCGCTCACTCGAGTTGAGTTTCTCCATGACTTCCGGGTGGCCGATTTGTAGCATCTGAATCATGGTGATGGATTCGCGGACGTAGTAGAACGACATGTCCATGTTGGCGAGACACATTAGAGAGATGTGAGCAAACTGGCTGATCATGACCCTTCGAACTGACATTTTCTCGTCGAATGCAATAGCTGCTCTGGCCTTGATGAGTTCCTCGAGCCAATATCTCACTTGCGACTGAGAGTCAATCGAGGTGTCCGGGCTTTTGTTGGTCAAGGCAATTGTGATGGCTGTGTAGGCATATACAAAAGTTTTTGCTTCTGCGCTTTGGTCCATCTCTCTGATTGAGGCCAGCACATCGTCGACGGTCATGATAGGGTTGACAGGATAGACGGAGACGTCATAATCATCCAAGAAACTAGTAAAGAATGAGGCATCATGATTGATCACAGAGGGTGACGGCTGAGCAGGACTCGAGTCTGAATTTTCGGCGCGTCCGTTGGTGGTTTCTTTGTATTGCGCAATGAGTTTTCCACGTTTGAGAGTCTTTGTTCTTGGTTTGGGCGCGGAATAGACGCAGCGGAGGTTGAGATGACTGCATTGTTGGCATTTTGCTTGACCGTTGCATTTGACCTTTCTCAGTTTACAAGCATCACAGGCTTGATTGGTCCGACGAGTAGGCGGTAATGAAAAGGACGTATTATCCATTCCGGTATGCATAGCAGTGTGGAGTGAAAGAGGAGCGACAGGAAGGTCATCATCGCATTTGCGGAGACCGGAAACCGGAGGGACGCGCACCAGCCAGCTCGCGCATTGACCTCGGCCCGCTAATTTCAACGCTCTGTCAGAACGACTCTCAGCGACCAGTCACCATCTTCAACGTCCAGAACTACATAATTGTCATGCTATAGGTGCTTGGCTGATTAGTTACCTCCCCATCCTTGGCCTGCAAGACAAATCAGAAGGTCTTGTCTTGGATGCAGACGCGTACTTACCGTTGGCCCACCCCCATACTGTCGGCGGCTCAGGCAGCCAGGTACCTCTAGTATGCAATGGGATCCTTGCAATCCAATCATCTTTCAGCTTCGTCACCGAGATAGTTTGTTCTCTTCGGACGAAATGAGTTGATCATGCAGGATCTGGAGAGGTCTTCAGTCCCCACGTTGATGTGGTACAAATTGCGAAACTGACTCGCTGGACTTGAGGCTGAATTAGTTACCCCTCAGCCAGCCTGGACAGGCACCACAAGAGCTGCCGTCTGGTCAGTATATACATCTTCTTCTCAAATCAGGAGCTTCGGCGTTTACAAGTCTCTAGACACCATACCAATTGCATGACAATCGGTGAACCTTGAGTTGTGGCCACTCCGGACATTCATTTCGCTTGCTGACCATCAGAGTCAAAACCAACTTCTCAGCATTCTACGCTACCAAACCTCGGCGACTTCATTAATTTGCGAATACCATCTTATGTATCAGATTTACGGGAAGCTGTTTGATTCTGCCCTGCATCGTCACCTTCGCTTGCATGGGTTGACACTTGACACGGGCGTACAATACGGCAAGAACCCGTTAGTCGAGCTGGCAGCGCGTTTGTTGCCCACCCTCAACCACGATCGAAGGGTATCACAGAAACTTCTAAGATGGAAAATGCAACTGCTGATGCGATGACATTAAACCGCACCACAGCGAAAGTCTCGCGCCAGCTTGCAACAGCCGTGATACATTCGGCTATATGCTAACTTACAGTCTTTGGCAACCTGCATCTTGTCCTATAAAAGCAGTGCGATTAGGCAAGCTCATGCCGGTGTCTTCCCATAAGATGAAAGCCTGCCAAAAAGGGTCATGCATCAGCTGGGGACGCACAACTGTAGAAGCATTGTATCCATGGTAGGATGTGTTGTAGCAAGCGTCTCATCCTGTAGGTCCCCGATGGATCGGCGAGCAGAGGAAACTAGTCCTTTCCGGGCAGTGTTGTCACTGTATCGTACTGACAACCCGGCGCTCGAAAAGCTGGCTCTTGAAAAGAGTTGTTGTTTGCTTCCCCTTCCACCTCCTCTTCCGCCTTTGTATCTTGTCATCTTCTTGATTCATGCTCAACAAAATGTCTGTCAATGTGTCGTCGGACACAGAGAGACAGTCCGGCCATGAGCTCTACATGTTCAATGATGTTGTCAACTCTCTATCATGGTCGAACATCACACTGACCGTTGAAGACCGCTTGACTAAGAAACCCAAAGACTTGGTCAGCAATGTCGGTGGCTACGTCAAGGCTGGTAAGTCCTAGCTTATCCTTCTTCGGAAGATGCTTTACTGATATGATTTGAAGNGAGAGGTTTTGGCACTCATGGGCCCTTCTGGCAGTGGAAAGACGACCCTCTTGAACATACTTGCCGGTCGTGCCTCTGGTACGAGCGGCACTGTGGCTGTCAATGACGCTCGCGTATCCACCCCGGTCTACAAGAAGCTCACGTCTTTCGTCGAACAAGAGGATGCGCTTGTAGGCTCACTGACTGTCCGAGAGACTATGAACTTCGCAGCTCGTCTTGCCCTTCCTAGGTATGCTTAGCATCTATTTGTGGTAGACACGTTTAATTGACACAGAANNAGATCTGTTTTGAAAAACGAAAAGGGAAGCAGAGTCCAGAGCTTGATCGACAGCTTTGGTCTCAAGAAGCAAGCTGATACTCTGATCGGCACACCCATCCGCAAGGGCATCTCAGGAGGCCAGAAGAGACGTGTCAGCGTCGCAAGTCAACTGATTACCGCACCCAAAATCCTCTTTCTCGACGAACCCACCAGCGGACTTGACTCTGTGGCCAGCTTCGAGGTCATCTCCCTGCTGAAGAAGTATGCTCAGCAGCACCAGCTCATCGTTGTAGCCAGCATTCACCAACCATCAGCCGCCACCTTCAAGCTCTTCGGCAAGCTGCTACTACTATCTCAGGGCCAAACCTGTTACTTTGGTCCCGTTCCGGATGTCGCACCCTACTTTGCCAGCCTCGCTATGCCGGTTCCAGATCTGATGAACCCTTCGGAGCACATCCTCGACCTAACGAATACCGACTTCGACTCAGAAGATGACGAGGGAAACATTACCGCTCAACGTCTTCTCACTATCCAGTCTGCATGGAAGGCGCATGGCAATACTCAGAACAGAGTGTCTTCTAGACTCGAGAAGAGCGAGACTTTAGCAGGCTCTCAAGGACCTGGTCTGGCTCATGATCTAGGCATACCCATCACCCTGCTGCATCGTCTCTTCCTCAAATCCTATCGCGACATTGTCACCTACTGGATCCGTGTCGCCATGTACATGGGTCTTGCAGTCATGATGGGCACTGTTTGGCTCCGGCTCAGTACCATTCAAAAAGACATTCAGTCTTTCGTCAATGCACTATTCTTCGGTAGTGCCTTCCTGAGCTTCATGGCTGTCGCTTACGTGCCTGCCTTCCTCGAGGACAGAGCCATCTTCGTCAAAGAGCGTGCCAACGGTCTGTACGGACCTTTGTCATTCGTCGTGTCCAACTTCCTCATCGGCTTGCCTTTTCTCTTCCTCATATCCATCCTCTTCGCTGCCGTCACCTACTGGCTCATCAACTTCCGCCCTGATGCCACCGCCTTTCTCATACACGTCATGTGGCTCTTCCTAGATTTGGTCGCTGCCGAGAGCCTGGTCGTCCTCGTCTCGTCTCTCTTCCCCAACTTCATCATTGCACTCGCCCTCGTGGCTTTCGCCAATGGTCTCTGGATGTCTGTCGGCGGGTTCCTCGTGCCTACTGGAAGCCTCAACGTCTTTTGGCGCTATGTCTTCCACTACATCGACTACCAGGCCTATGTGTTCCGCGGCATGATGGTCAACGAGTTTGACGGCCGCACCTATTCTTGTGCTGGCAACGTTGTTACTGGATGTTCTTGTGCCTACGAGAGCGAACTTTCGGGTCAATGCAAGATCGATGGCAAGGCTGTGCTGCAATACTACGATTATCCCACTGGCCAGTTGGCCAAGACTGTCGGCATCATGATTGGCATCATTGCTGTCTACCGTGTGCTTGGGTACCTGGCCTTGCGCTTCAGAAAGTAGTATTGGCTTAGACAGTATTGTGAGACAGCATGATAATGTCTCGTTCTTGATTGGCGAGTAGGAGTGTTCAAAGATAGGCTCACGTTTTGGAAGAGAGGTTTTCTCAGTAGGATTTCATAGGCTGCAATAACAAAGTGACATTGTTTCCGAATGACTTCAAAAGTGCATGTATCGAGATAGGAGTACTATTGAGCGCTGTAAGAAGCTCTAGGGTTCACATGATTCTCAATCTTTCAATTACGCTTTGGTCTTTGAACACGTTGAATAGAGCTAGCTTGTGTTCTAGTAAAGGGGATAGTATTTGATCATCGTCTGAACACCCTCGGGTGTCTTTTTATCTCCCATGTTAGGCTAAGCCAAGTAGCTCGTAGCGACACTCCTTGGTTGCCTCTCGCTCTGCTTTTGTAGCTCAAGTCTCCACTCTCAAAGTCTGCTCAGCAACCGCGATGAGCAGCGCCCGTCCGCGGCCATCCCTCAAAGCCTCATAGATAGCACTGATCCTGCTGCCAATGGTTTTGCGCGGCTCATTCACTTTGACACCGGGAGGAAGCGGCTGAGTAGGGTGCTCGATCAACCCGTGATGCAGTCCTATGCCCAGATCGACACGAACAAAGTTGTACATATGCTTCGCTGCGCTTCCCAGATAGCTCGGAGTGATTGCGAGATGAGTTTCGAACAAACGCTGCCTGTCATATTCATATTGGGCTTGCATCTGAGTTTGCAATTCGGTCGTAAGATCTATCAGCTCGGCGGAGGTAATTAGTGCAGCAGGTGAATCGTTACCGAAAGCGTCGATGATATCCAGAATAACGGCATCGGCAGTGGTCTTGCATCTTTGGTCGAGGTCAGTGGTGTTGGTAGTAGACCACACGGTTTCTATTCGTCTGTTGATTGCGGTTCTGAGTGAGTCTCGCAACCCTTCGGGCACGTAGAACTTGCTGCGATGCCGAATCATATTCTCGATGTTTGTCTCCATGGATGTGAGAAACTCAACCTGCAGAACACGTAGGTCCAGAGCCTGGCAGAGCACAAATAAATGAGCAGCCACCATCATGTAAAGCGTATCAAGTGCTTGCAATGTGTATCTTGAAGATATGAGAGCCAAACTGTTGATGGCCTGGTTGTGCATTTCGGCGGATTGGACGTGGTTTCCAACAGGATTGGCAAGGAAACCTAGCTCCGATTGATAGGAAGCCATATTGATGTCAATTCCCTTGCACGTGAACGACAATGAGGGATCGTCTGCACACAAGTTTGCTGGCAATCCACCATTGAGCATGGGGTTGATGATTTCAGTCGCCTGAGAGAAGAGCATCTTACCTAATCGCTCTAAGCAGAGACGCGTCTTGTCCATGGCAGAAGTCACTACAGCTGCTTGGAAATTGCCCCCATGTAGGACATGGTCTGACACAACGTCTATCAAAGGGTTGTCTGTAGTGGAGTTGAGCTCTTGATTGATTTGGGAGATGGCGAGCCTAAGGTCCCCGATCTGAGGTCCAATCCACTGGGATGCAGTCCTCAAGGGATAACGATCCTGGTAGAGGCCAGTCATTTTGGTGTCCTTAGGTGATCCAACACACTTTGCTAATTTGGAACATTGGAGAAAGGCGAGAATGTTGGCAGCTGATTCGATCTGACCCTGATGGGGACGCATGTTGGCAATTTGAGGCCAGAAGGGTTCTGCGGAACCTTGCATTGCCTCTACACTCATTGCAGTCAGAATCTGAGACAGGACTGCAACATCTCGGGATTGCTGTAAGGCAAGAGATGCTGTCGCGGCAGAGAAGGCTGTTCCATTCAGAAGACCCAGTCCTTCCTTAGGCTGAAAGACGACAGGCTCAATGCCAGCGTCTTTCATGGCCTCTGCCGCTGATGAAACATTGCCATTGGCGAGCCTGACATAGATGTCGGGAGAGCCCTCGATGGCTCCAGCAATGTATGACAGAGGGCTCAGGTCTCCACTGGCTGAGATGCTGCCTCTGAGCGGTACCACTGGGATGATGTTCTTGTTGAGGAGGCACAGAATGGCTTTCGCTACTGACATACGCACACCTGAGTGTCCTCTGATGATCGAATTACATCTGATGAGCATGCTCGCTCTCACCCAGCTTGGTGGCATGGAATTTGTGCTGAGGTCTACGTCAACGTCTCGGGAGCCGAAAGGATTACTCGCTGTTGATGCATCTTGGGGACGGCCAATATCATGGCTTGTGAGTACACCAGAGTTCTGATGCTGGATCAGTGCTCTTTGAAGGTCTTCCAGGTTGTTGGTTCTTGTTGTCGCACTTCCTCCAAATCCAGTGGAGACACCTNNGTCAGCAATGGTTAGAATCTGCTGGGCAGGATGCAGGCAAATGTATATCTCACCGTAAACAAGATGGCCTGACTCCAGGTGGGCTCTCAGCATACGAACGCTGTCATCTATACGTTCGCGAGTGTCTTCGTCGGTCGACAGTTGTGCAGATATGCCATATNNCTGGAAGACACAATCAGATGGATGTGGTCTAGGAAGAGAGTGATAGGTTGAGACTGACTTGGCAACAGCAACGACGCTGGCTATATCCAGGGTATGTCCATTGACGCTGCACTTTCCATTCTCAAGCAATTTCTGGATTGTGCGCCAGGCGTACAGACTTGACTTGATTAGAGGATGTGGCTTCATAGAGGCGCCTGGTGCTGATTCTCTCGTATGCTATGAGTAGGGCGACGACTTCAAGGAACGAGAAGAATCTTTATGGTTGCCTGCAAGAGGGTACTTTATGTGAATACTTGGCAAGCGCAAGTTGTTGTTTGCTGCACGTGTCGTTGACCGCATTCTGATGTTTGAGACCCTTCCTGTTCTATGCGTACGACCTGATCTCCCCTGAACTCGATGAAGAAAACAAGAGGCAAGAGGACCACACAATCAATCTCTCGGACATGCATGAACCAGATCTACGAAGTTCGTTGATGCTCGAGAGCTTTTTGGTTCGAAGAAGGAGCAACTGGACTGTTGCTACAAAAATGACGTTCGCAGGTAGCACGTGGCAATTGTCTTTAAGCGTTACAATCGACCTCAAGATATGCTACGATTGACGTTGGAGACATGCAGAGTTGTCTGGTCTTGTGTTTGACATCAGATTGTCGACAATAACATCCAGCAAGAGATCCTACCAGACACGACACTTGGAGGTCGGATTTACCTCCAGAATATCGAAACACTCTGTGCAAAACCCAGATCTCAAAGTTTCTTTTTGTCGTGAGAGTTTTTGCGTAGACAATGGTCGTATGTGTCGAGTGGCGGTGCATCTTGTGTTGGTATATGCAACCACCCGTAGCTTAATTGGGGTTGTGATACAGAGCGACCTAAGCCAGAGTATATGCATCTACACTCATGATGAGCTTGCTTGCCTGTCACATGTATAAATCTGGTTAGTCAATATATACAAGAAGAGTGCCCGTCTGCTCATCCAAAGGAGGCTGCAACGCACGGACTCGTCGCGGACTTGGGAGCGCAACGAACAACCTCAAGAACACCACCACCCGTGACGGAACTCACGTCAACACCTGGATCTCGTGTCACTCATTCGGAACCTTTTCAGACAAAGCACTCAGAGCAACCAGAACGATAGGAGTAAGTAATATCTCATAGCTCAACTTCCTGCAACTTGCATACCACCATCAACAGACTTTTCTGGGGAAGAAAAAAAGCGAAAAAGCAACAGGAAAATATTAGAGAGGGCAGATTTCATTTCAGGCCGAGCATTGAAGAGGTTTCTCCGAGATGATGGAGTTTCTTGTACAAATTCTCGATCTGCTTGGATTTCGTGCAATCTTCATCATAGAGAAGATTGCAAGGTCAACCAATCTTGTGAATTCACCATACTGACTTTTGAAATCTAGAAGATCAGAAAGAATCGGAGCTGAGCACAAAACCTCTGGAAGTAAAGCACGAGAGGCCTTCACCATGCCTCCGCAACCCGTACAGCGAAACTACTTCGTCACACCCTGGCGCAGCCATGCCGACCTTCTGAATGTCCGCCATGGCCTCTACAGCCCTTCAACACCAGCAGAGCAAGGCCATGCCATCGCCACAGTAGCAGCATGGAAGCAAAGAGGCAACGTTCCTCACGCAGTCGAGAGCACAGCTCTTCTAATGGACGCCATGCTCCTCCACGCTCAATTCTCAACCTCCAGCGCACGTCAAGCCTCTACTGCCACCGACCCTTCAGAATGGCCACTTCAAGGCGTTACTGCTGGCACCGCTTCGTCTTTTGCCCTGCGAGCTGCCTACACAACCGCACTCTCAAGATTTGTGACTGGATTTGCGGATCTGGGACGCCATAGGAACGGACCTGGTCAGAGTATGTTTGATGTGGCTAGATCTATCGGCTTGCCTCCGCATTTTGTCGAACTCCGCCATGAAGTTGCACACGAAGATTTGCCTGGTCTCGCCAGACTGGTCCGCAGTGCTCGTGAAGCAGTCAACTGGCTGTGGGGTGTGTATTGGGCGAAACTTCCTCAAGACGCTTGGGAGGCCGAAGCTGGCGAAGAGGCTGAAGCTCAAGTCGATCTGGAGTCTCTGGCGGCAGTGAGATTGGAGGCTACCGAGTACCTCAAGAAGTTTAGATCACGCAGAGTCACGGCACTAAAGAGCAAGGCAAAAGCCAAGGATGCGGCCAGCTCGTTACTTGAAACACAACAGCATTGTCAAAACCTATGCTGCGGTGAAGATGAAGCAGCAAAGTGGACTCAAATAGCATCAGTCTTGATTGACGATGGCTTGATTGTGCCATCATTGAAACAGTATGTGTGGTCTGAGTGAAACTTTTGATTGTGCTTTGCTAATCTATCGTCACAGGNNACAAAGGGCCCTCTTGCTGACTCGGCGCTACAAGGCGCTTACTTGATCTGGGATGAGTTCCTGATCATGCTTGCGTCTGGATCTTCGCTCTTCGTCGAAGCCTTCTTCGAACGAGCCATCGCGCACAACGCACAACTAACGACCACGGACGAGGACCGGGACAGAGCAGACCCAACCAAATGGGCCATCTACCGCTGGATCATGCACGTACTAGACTCTGACGCCTGGCTAGAAATGCGTGGCGAAAGTCCTGTACTGTTCGAGATCCTGGCACTGAGAGAGTGTATCTTGCATCCCAACACACAATGGAGTCATGAACTGGCAGAAGAGATCCTCGAGGATGCCGAGATGGATGTTCGAACTACTTGGAAGAGTTTGGTGAATGCTAGCGCCTTGCTAAGCGACCACGATGCGGGTTCCGAGGAGGACACAGGGAAGGAGACGAAGAGGACAGACGACGTGAAGATGGAAGATGTCCCTTCAGAGCAAGGCGGTTGGCGACGAGAGACGGGAGCGTGGGAATGTGTGCCGATCGGTACCGTGGCAGAGTAAGATATGTCCAGAGAAGACGATCTCCGTTAGCAGATCTGAAGACGAAGTGTGTATGATTGTCCGTCCCAAGCCGTAGTTCTTGAGCCACGCCATTGGCCAACATTGACAATTCATCTCGATAGCTGTCATGAAGAAAGACTTCATTCAATAATCATCCACCTCCAGCCTTAAGTGCTTCTTCCCTTTCTACTACTTCGGGCTTGAATTTGATAAGGAAGATGGTCTTGGAAGGCCAAAGCTCGTCGTTTTCTGCCCAATGTGCCGTCACTCCATCGGTCGAGAAACCAGCAGCATCGCAGACGCCCTCAATGATGCCACCGACAAAGGCGGCGCAGTTGAGCTGGCTCATCTCCTTGGGTATGCTGATATATGTGTTGACAAGGGGGTCATTGTCCACAATCATGTAGTCGTTGTTGTTGCCAGTGCTGGCCTCGAGAGCATCGGCAGGACGACCAAACAAGGAGCGCCATAGAGTTGTATGTATAAATTGGAGGAGGTCAAGCAAGCGGGTTGGGCGAGAGGCTGTACGGGGTGGCATGCGGAAGAGGAGAAGATCGAGCTGCTTGACACCAATGGGGTATGCCGATTGAGCCAGCCTGGCCTCAAGATCGGAGACCGAAGGCGCACGAGCTTGGTGGTATGCGATCAAGGTGTTGAAGAGGTGGGCAAAGGATGCCAGACTCAGCTCGGAGGTGCGAGCACGGTTGAGGTTGCGGTCGTAGATGGTCTTGCGATTACTGGCATAGCGCAGCGGTGTGTAGGCTGCTGGTGGAGGCAGCGCTGTGTAAGAGCTCGCTCTGGCAGCACCGGACACTGCATTGGACTGCGTTTGCGTCTGCGTCTGTGTCTGCTGCGGTAGCGAATGTTGCTGTTGCGCGTGCTGCTGAGTAGCCATGCCGGCCAATATTGTGTACGAGGACGGTACGAGTAGAAGCAACGATGTTATTAGCAGTCAGACGACCTTCTAGACGCACGTCGCTGGTCTCGACTTGTCCACGCCGTGCCACGCGTGCCCTAAACAAAAGCAATCGTTCCAATAAGATTGGAGCTGTATTTATCGATAAATCGGGTGCTGCTCCAAATCAAACTATGAGCTGCTTGTAACGCTCTCTCACCAGCCAGCAGCGCTTCGTATTCCCAGATCGGTTAAATCCGTAGGACTGCTTATACAGCACACTCTTGACATGATAGCGAACATTTGTACTATATACCGACGCTGATGTGCGAAACTCAATCCAAACACTGGATACAAGCACATTTTCTGATACATGCGATTTAGCAGAGACCAGCGAGGAGCTGAGACATGTTTTTCCGTCAGAGATGAACAAGAATCGAGAGCACAAACGGTCTTTGACATTACGCACATGACTCTGATGTTGCGTCCTGCGTTCGCTAGAGCCGACAGCCGCGTCTCGTAGCCCGCTTCCGGCGTCTTCACATGCCAAACTTGGCGTCCATCGTAGGCGTTTCCACGGTCAGAGTCAATCCATCGAAGATGCCGCATGCAGTTGTAATGCAGTCACTTGTCTCTCCTCCCATGTCCATCCCTTCGTGCTTCTCCGTTTTCCTTCGGCTCTCCATCCAACCGCCTCGCAGTATATCCAATTCTCCAGCCCTCTCCCTCTGCATACACCGGCCTGCACATGCTCCCGTCTGTCGGCAGTGGAGCTGGAACGTCATTCTGGCTAATATAGTACACTTTCACATGTCAGGCCTGCCAACGTCAGCCAACACGCCTAGTACTCGCTGAATCGCCCATCATTGTCTTATTTTCCTGTTTGTCGCTCCTCGTTCTTCCCTGTTCCCTTCTTTTATCTGGCTGCTGGACTCGTTGTGTCCTTCGTTCCATCCACTTCGTGATTACGACCAGCCACCAGTCAACATCTTGCCAAGGATCCTTCCCGAGCGAAAAGCAATCATGGGACGGCTGCAACCAACAGTCGTTGTCACTCCTCAGGCAAACAGACGTTCGGATCGAGCGAAAAGGGCAAAGGATACTGTCAACAAAGTAATTCCGGACATTCTCAAGTCGAGTCCGAGGGCCAGACATGGCATCCACAATGCTGTCTTGACGACCGATCCTAAACCGGAAAGCGGCACCGAAAACTCATCGACATCAAACTTGTCAATCAGACTCTGTAACACGGATTCCCTCACTGCAGCCCGTCGCCTAACTCACTCGTCTCGCCGGCAATCTGCAGCGGCTGCGTTGGCAGCTTCGAAGCAATCAACCAGATCGACGAATGTATGCATCCTAAACATGGCCTCCCCTCTACGCCCTGGTGGTGGATTTCTGGACGGTGCAACCAGTTCCGAAGAATTTCTCTGCATGCGTACTACCTTGTACGCTTCGCTCTGGGATGACTTTTATCGACTACCTGAAATTGGTGGGATCGTGACTCCAGACGTTCTAGTGCATAGAGACAGTACTCCAGAAGCAGAAGACCTGCCGAAGAGGGAGCGTTTCTTTGTTGATATCATCAGCGCGGCCATGATTCGGTTCCCTGAAACTAACAGCGCACGCATTGCTGAGAAGGAGGACGCCGAAGGCGGCTGTTCATGTGGTGTGAGCTACTGCGACCGTGACCGCGAGCTTGTGACACACAAGATGCGTGGCGTGCTTCGCATGGCGCAAGCTCGTGGAGCTGAAAAGCTTATCCTAGGAGCGTGGGGTTGCGGTGCTTACGGAAACCCCGTTCGAGAAGTCGCAAAGATCTGGAAGCGCGTCATCCTTGGTACCACCAGAAAGGCGGAGTCCTGGCCAGGCATCAAAGAGATCGTTTTTGCCATCACTGACCGCGGTCAACTGAAAGAGTTTGAGAAGTGCTTTGGAGATGTCTTGGTCAAAGAGTCCAATTCACCACCAGCAGAAGTGACACCCGAACCACAGGCTACTGGCACCCAAAGTCCCACTTCGGAGCTCATCTCGGAGCTGGTGTCCAAAATCCAGGAGACTGAGCTGCAGCTCGACCAAATTTCGAATCCTCGCAGCAAGGCTCGCCTCCGAGAAGTATTGGCAAGTCTCAACAAACAACTCTCACAGGCAGGCTCCGGACCGGAAGAAGACGAAATGCCACTGGAGCCAATTGACGAGGAAATGGAAGACGCTTCTTACCCCGATGCTGCAGGCGGCTTCGAGGGTGAAGAGGGCGGCTACTACAACTTTGACAGTAGCGATATTGCTTCATCAGGTTCAGTATCTCCATCGACATCAGACATCTATGAGTTCCGAGTTCCAGGGACCAGTGTGCCGAACAAGAGCGTCGAGTCACACGTGACCGATGATTTCGAGCATGTTGGTTTCGACACCGAGAGTGGATGGTTTTCCGGATCCATCAATGGCCTCTCATCACTTCTGGCAAAACAAAGGCGAGGAGGTTCTGGCACCAGCCCTATGCTCAGAGGTGAAGCTGGTTTGGACGATGTCGAGCCGCTTAACTTTGGCAATGGCCTGAGCGAGTACCTGCGACGCTATTCTGAGCAAGAAAGTTATTGATTTATGAATGGAGGGAGATGGATTTCATTGGACGGCGTTAGTTGTGGCATTTCAAGGAGCGACAGGATACGTTGTTGGCAGGACCAGGGATAGGAGTTTGCATACGAGATTTTGAGAGCAAGTTTGGCCTCTTTCGTATTTTCGGCATTAGCGATATTCAAGTTTTCTTCTCATTGACTCAATTGGTGCCTCGCTTCGTGACGTTTGAGCTGTGGATGTTGCAGACGATAAGAGTGGATAGGCTGGAAGCAGCACGGGTGAGATTCAGAATGGGTTATTGTTGATTTGTAGTCTTTTCTTCTCGTGTCCTGTGAGCTTCTGAGTCGAGAGATGCTCTGAGCAATGTAAGATATGCAAGAAACCGTACCACCAACGCCTCGCTAAATGTACAGATGGGATGTGAATGCCGGTATCAAGCCAGTTCAGGGTCGGGCAGCCAAAGGACGACGTCTTGACCAGCGCTGGCAAGGTTGTTGTATCTAGGGTTCACGCCAACGACTGTGGACGTTCTTGGACCGGGCAGATCGGTCATGGGATTCATGGTACCGTCAGAGCGCTTGTCAGCAAGCAGGTCCCATACTAACATGCCGCCCTTGGAAGAGGCTGAGACAACATAGCGGCCATCAGAGGTAAAGCAGGCGTCTCCTTGGAGCGAGGATTGAGTGTGGCGCAAGGGGCTGTCGCTCTGACCAAGCTGAGATGGGAAAGGTGGAGGACCTTGTGCGCGATACAGATAGGCTTTCAGGACACCTTCGAAGGCGTCAAGAACATAATGACCCGAACCGTTGGTTCCCACCAGGATGTATTGGCCATTGTTGCTGAACTCCAGAGTCGTCCAGCCCTGAGCTTGGGCTTGGCCATATTGGCTGAAGCGGCGCTCGATATCCTGCATGTCAAAGGTTGCAAAAGGAGGCTTGTCGTAATTGCGAACGTCGTAGAGGACAATGGTCTGGGTGGCAGGAGAGGCAATAGCAATGACGGTGGCCGAAGGATCATAAGCGGTCAAGACAGCGCCATGCAGATTGAGACTGCCCTGAGGAGAGGAAGAGCGCAGGTCCCATATCTTGACAGTGTTGTCGAGAGAGGCAGAGAGGAAGGTGTCGTCGCTCGGGCAGAGCTGGATGGATGTGACCTTGTCGGTATGGCCCTTGAAGTAGCGGATGTAGGAGTTGTCGTGAGCAGAGAGGTATCTGATGTCGTGATTGAGCTTAGTTGAGGCGTAGATGACGGATTGCGAGTGGTGGGTGAAGCGCGCAAGGGCACAGCCGTGCTTTTGCGACTTGAGCTCTTTGGCGTGGGCTCCAGCCTTTGTGTTGTATATGTGGAGAGTATCGTCAGTGCGAGCGAGAAGGAGCAGTTCGCCGGTTGAGTCGAAGTCGAGCGAGGTGTAGTGCAGGTTGGGAGCTTTGAAGAGNCTGTTGGTTGCGTCAGTGTTGAGGTTGGGGAGAGGTGCATACGCGCTGAGGGGGGGACTCACCCTCGTCGGTCGGTACGTCGCGATAACCTCGCTGACCTTGGCCAGGGGACCTGGCTGTCCGTTCTCTGCTGCGCCCATGTCGCCGATCGGTGCAGTCCTGGAGGGCAGATGATAAAGTGAAGTAAGTCCTGGCAAGGGTGGAAGCGCTCCAGCCTCCAGGCAGCGTCAAGCTCAAAATGTTCGGCTTCCCCAGATCTACGGAAGGAAGCCGCGACTCAGGACAGCCGACGTCAGCGTTCCTTCCCTTTTGTCGCGCTGACCAGCTGCAGCCTTCTCCGACACCGGCTCAATTGCTTCGAGTCCATCTTGCTGCTCAAACTGTCCATATTTCTTCTAATACTAGATACTATCACATTGCCTCTCGTTCTCACTCCTCTTCCGTTCCTCTCCACTAATCTGACAGGCAGCCATGTCCACCGGCATAGGGTAATCCCTCCACACCTTCGCTCAAGGATCTACGACTAATTACCCGTGGAACAGTTCCTTTGTCGCCGGCGGTATTGCAGCATGCGGCGCCGTCACGGTAACTCACAGCTTCGAGACAGTCAAGGTGCGCTTGCAGCTCCAGGGTGAGCTGCAGGCCAAGAAGGATGCTCCCAAAATGTACCGAGGTGTGCTTCACGGCATGTCCGTCATTTTCAAGAACGAAGGCATCAGGGGCCTGTTGCGTGGCCTCAACTGTGCCTACGTTTACCAGATGATGCTCAATGGCTGCCGTCTCGGCTTCTACGAACCCATCCGTACACACACAAACTCGCTGCTGTTGAACCGCGACTTCTCGCACGCTCACGACCCGAAAGCCACCGCCATGCAAAACCTCCCAGTCAACATCTTCTCTGGCGCTTCATCTGGTATCATCGGTGCAGCTCTCGGCTCCCCTCTCTTCCTTGTCAAGACTCGTCTCCAGAGCTACAGTCCCGCGTTACCCGTTGGCGCACAACATCAGTACAAGAGCGCCGCCGATGGCTTCTCCCAAATCTACCGCACCGAGGGTATCAAGGGTCTCTATCGTGGTGTTGTGCCGGCCATGGTCCGAACCGGTTTCGGCTCCAGTGTTCAACTTCCAACATATTTCTTCGCTAAGCGCAACCTCGTAAAACACTTTGATATGCAAGAGAGCCCTGCTTTGCATCTCATGTCTTCTGCCTGTTCTGGTTTCGTCGTCTGCTGCGTCATGCACCCCCCGGATACTGTCATGGGTCGCATGTACAACCAGACGGGCAATCTCTACTCCAGCGCCTTTGACTGCTTATTCCGCACCATCAAGACAGAAGGCCCGCTCGCTGTCTACAAGGGCTTCTTTGCCCATTTGGCTAGAATCTTGCCGCATACTGTACGTATAGCGCCTATCTACAGTCTGGCCTCTACTGATATGCTTTCTAGANTCTTGACCTTGAGTTTGGCCGAACAAACCAACAAGCTCATGCGCAGGTTCGAAGACCGTGTCCTTCCCAGCAGACAAAAAGCATAAGCGCATGCTCTAGCGCCACGCAAACTTTGAGCTCCCGAGCTCACCTTCAATTGTACATATTTCGCCTCCAGGGCTTTAGAAGAGCGTCTGTATGAGCACAACCTGCTCCATACCCGGCCAAGAAGGCCACCAAAAGCATCGTTTTCTGCAAGATACGGATAAGGGGGTTAGATGCACTACAAAGCTCTAGCCAATAGAGGACCTCGATGAGGGCAGATCCAGCTTCGAGCTGTCGAGATCATGGCGCACTCGTGCGAGATCAGGGCTTCTGCGAGAGTTGGAGGCCATAAAGACCGAATGCACAGGCAGGCAGAGCACCCTCGTCGATCATCTTTTGCACGATTGCAGGTATAACAAGTCTATGTAAGGAGGAGACTATGGTGGCAGATCTTTAGTTGATCTCGATAATGATTAAAAGCATTTATGAACCTTCTCAATAAGAGCCTAACATGATCAATGATTATCTTACTATATACAGTTTATGGAAAAAGATGGCGCATCAATCAGGCTTGGCCTTGTTATCTGCCCAACTGGGTTCGATGTTCCTGCACACCGACACGTACTCCTCCCAGCGCTGCTGATCGGCCACTAGATCCGGGTTGGTCCAGAACATGGTCCACTGTGTATCCTGCAGATGCCACGTTCCCCTCGACCGCTCAAAGTACCACTTGTTTACAGGATTGTTGGAGCGCGATCGCCAGCAAACGCCATCGGGGAAGCAACTGCGCACCATGGCCTGAAACACGATATCCGCCACTCCAGAGCTACCCTGAGAGCGTTGAAGCACGGCAAACTTGTCGAGATAGGGTACCAAGCGGTTGGTGTCCGCGTCTGCTCCTGACTCCTTGAAGCCAAGTGTTCGTGGCTCTTCCCAGGTGAGAATGGCACCGCCTTCGTATTCTCCGGCGATGATGACGCCGGCTACGCGGTTCTTGATGCGGTTGAGGTAGTGTTGTGCATCGAGGGGTCGGCGGAAGGAGTCTTCGATCAAGGCGACTAGACGCGGGAAATTGATGTCTGGGTGGTCGTCTAGGGCGATGGTGGGTTCGCCTGATTTGGGTGGTGTCCAAGGTGTGTTTCGGAGATCTGGGACGATCATCAGAGGCATGCCGCGCTTGACGAGTGTAGAGCGAGTAGGGTTCTCAGAGGACATTGAAGGTATTGTACCATTGGTCGAGAGACGAGCGGCAGGTAGAGAGGAAGAGATGAGGGGTTTGTTGGTGAGCAGATTGTGGATTAGAGGATTCTTTTGTCGTCGCGTCGTGATACCAATAGCTTGGTCCTTGCGAGAGTGGTGTGAAGAGATGGCTGCTTCTTCGGGGGAGATGAGCAAGGCTGATGAAGCAGGAGGAAGCAGAGCCAAGCAGTCTCTAACCAGACTGAGAGTGTCGAGGTGATGAGGACTCATGCCGCAGGACTGGATCTCGTCGCGAATCATACCGTATTCCTGCTCGAGGTTGACAAAAACATGAGCCTGGTCCTGTCGAGTTTCTGTAGGGAGGCCACCTAGAGGATCGAGCATAATGATTCTATCTACCGAGGTGTCCTCGAGCAGTTCGTCTTGTGTACCAGTAACAGTGGCCAGACCAGACAAGGCGCGTGTTAGGGCCAGCATAACACCGCTGACAGACACATTCTGAACCTTGCAAGTCGTGTCATAGGCCATTGCGGGTATGACGGGGATAGCGCTTCGCTTTAATGGCTCTGTCACAAGTTTGGGCACGCCGAGTTCTACGGCACCCATGACTTTAGGGCGTGAAGCGGGCATTAGCTCCTGGCTAGTAACATTGAGGGCAGACTCGACGTAGCGAGCACCCTCGTTGTTGTGACGCTCCAATGCAGCGACTACTCTGCTTCCCTGGCGTCGGTATGTTTCCCTGTATGACTCGTTCTTTTGCACAATCTCATCTTCGCAATTGAGCACGAGGACAATTTGCATGTCGAGACGGACCAGTTGAGCCATGGTCAGAGCGATGCCATCTAGCGTCTCGTCGTCTATCAAATGAGGAGCCCTCAAACAGACCAGTGCAACGTGTATTTCTCCGGCACCTCGTTGTACTTGCGTCTCTTGCTCTACGTACTGGGAGAAGGTCGGTGTGGCAGCAGCCGCTTGGGTAGGAAGATACAGCTGGCCGAGATTCACGCCGGACCTCTGGAGTTGCCATTGTTGCTTTCTTTCTTTCACATCATGTATGACGAGAGGCTTCTTGGGTTTGTTGTCGAGGGTTGGTTTGAAGCGGGCCAGGTATTGTTTGGCGTCTCTGCGGGTCGAACTCGCATTGAGAAGGTCGAAGAAGAAGTCCTATTATGGTCAGGGAAGGCATGATTGGCATTTGAGACCGGGATAGAATACTCTCTGGGCTAGCTTGTCCCTCTTTTCTCCGTTGGCTGTGTTGTTGGCATGGTTGGAACGATTAGCGGCAAGCGAGTTGAAGTCGCGGTGCAAGCACTTGATAACGTCAGGGCGCACTCTGCTTCGAAGTGTCGGGAGGCATGCTGCCATGGCTCATGGCCTGTCAACCAATCTTCAGAGTTGGTCGACAAGTATGGGTGTAGACGAGTCATCACAGTCCAAGGTCCAGCGGGAATAAAAAGACTCATCTCCATGTTTGAGCTCTTATCTTATCGTCACTTCTCCACAGTGCACCGCCGACAGCGGCTTGCTTTCGTCCTCACCGACAAGTTGATGCAGAATCTCTCGATCTTTGTTGTTGTTGTTGTTGTTGTTCCTCACGCAGTCTCGAGTGGACATGAGGCCTCACGACAACCGATATTCTATCCTCTTTCTATCATCATTAAATCTTCAGCTGCTATGAGTAACTCATCACTGACTTGGATGCAGAGCAACACGAATCAACTCGTTATCCCCGTGCCCCGCGACCTATCTCCGTGATACACGCCAAGACGTCATGGAAGCTTCATCCATCGAGTGCTTCTCCCCGGTTCGGTATTGTTGGCGGGACAGACCGGCAGTCATGTCGTCTAGAACTCGACATGAACACCTCGGTTCCTCTACAAACCACCCATACTTCCAACTCAACACCTGGATACACAACAACATACAATGGCCCCTCAAATCGCATGGATTGGCCTCGGCAACATGGGCCGTGTAAGTGACCAGGCTTGAGATAGCACTATTAAAGCATTGTTGACGGGCTTTTCCAGGNGCATGGTGAAGAACATGGTCGAAAAGGGCAACCTTTCAAACCCCATCATCCTCTTTAACCGCACGCAATCTCGTGCCGATCAGCTCGCTTCGAGTCTCGGATCTGGCAAGGCCAAGGTTGTGTCGAGCATTGAAGAGGCTGTCAATGCTTCAGATATCATCTTTACATGTGTGGGAGATGACAAGGCAATCGAAGATACCATCAACTCCGCTCTGAAGGGAGATGCAAAGGGCAAGTTGTTCGTCGACTGCTCCACTGTTCACCCCGACACCACAGACAAGCTCGCAAAGACCATCAACGACCAAGGTGCCGAGTTTGTGGCCTGCCCTGTCTTTGGTGCTCCTGCAATGGCAGATGCAGGTCAACTTGTGTGCGTGCTGGCTGGTCCCGCCGATGCCGTCGAGAAGGTCAAGCCTTACACGACTGGCGTCATGGGCCGTGCCATTATCGACTACTCTGGCGAACCTCATGGCTCTGCCACAAGACTGAAGATTATCGGAAACACTTTCATCCTCAACATGGTCGAGACTCTTTCAGAAGGTCACGCTCTTGCCGAGAAGTCGGGTCTTGGGTCAGACAGACTCCATCAATTTGTCGAGACCATGTTCCCTGGCCCATACACTGCATACAGCAACCGCTTGCGTCAGGGCGACTACTACAAGCGTGAAGAGCCATTGTTCGCTGTTGACCTTGCAAGAAAGGATGCTGGACATGCTTTGGCTCTGGCCAAGACTCACGGTGTCAGAATGAGAGATGTCGAGGTTGCCGACCAGCATCTGGCCCAAGTCCAGAAGCACATGGGTAGCAAAGGCGACATTGCTGGCATCTACGGTGCCGTCAGACAAGAGGCAGACCTTAAGTTTGAGAACTAGAAAGCATGATGTATTCACGACAACAATGTTCGGCTGCTCGCACTATCTCAGCACAACCAGACTTGATGGTTTGATTTTGTGATGTTTGTGAGATCACAAATGATGGTGCAAGCTTCTTGGGTGATCAAGCTGTTTCTCAGTTATATTCTATAGAATCGGTCGAGACATCATTCTATGCTCTTTTTTCTTTATCATGCTCGGGTCGTTTGTCGCTTAAGCTCTCTTGTTGCCGATGGCCTTGAGCTCGACGTCGAAGATAAGAGTGGCATTCTGGGGGATGGCACCGGGGAAACCACGAGCACCGTAACCGAAGTCGCTGNNTGTGTTGGTTAGCGAGAGCAGAGTCAATGGACAAGATTGGAGGGCGTACGGGGTGATGGTAAGAGTGGCCTTCTCGCCGAGGGACATGCCACCGTCCTGCTCGACGATACCGTGGTCCCAGCCCTTGATGACTCTGCCGGTACCGATAGGGACGTCGAAGTCACCGCGGCCGACCGAGGAGTCGAANCCTAGATGGGTCAGACTGTGGAGCTGCAGCAGAACTCGCGGTGTAACTTACTGCTTGCCCTTGGCGCCGTTCTCAGAGAGCCAGCCAGTGTATTCCATAGAGACGTTGTCGCCGTTCTTGGGGAAGTTCACGCCGTCGCCCTGCTTGATGATCTGCTTGGTAACACCCATGTTGATTGCTGTGGAGTGGAATGAGCTTCTGAGGAATTGGGGAGTCTGTCTGGGTCTGATGGTGGAGAGGAGAGAAGTGGGAAGACGAGGCATCGTAATGTGAGTGATGGATTCCGAGGGGCAGACTCGAGCTTCGGCGGGGCCCATACGCAGCTTCCCTTGCTCTTGGCCAAATTGCCCGTTTTGGAAGCTGCTCCTGCCTATCTGGATCTCACCGCCTGTCAATCCTCGCTAAAGGATTCGTTGCACTTTCCTTGCGTGCTTGCTCTCCTCATCACCATAGGTCTGACTGCCTGGACAAGACACACGTGCATCTCAACCAGTACCCTTTAGTCTTGGTTTCTGTGTCACCTGGCATCTTCGCGTCAATAGCTGCCGAAGTCACCAACGCTTTACCACCAACCATTCGTGAACACAAAGCCGCTACATTGGTAACTGCTTCGCATAACTTGTTCAAAGCGCTTGCTGTCTTTAAACACGCTCAAGACGCAGCGAGACATCCACGCGACACATCACTAATTCAAGCAGTCTCTCGTCCATTCATACCACTCCATCCATCTCCTCAACACCACAATCATGGCAAATGCGACCACACCCACTATCTACTTCGGATATGGCAGTAACCTTTGGCAACACCAGATGCACATGAGATGTCCGACCTCAGAATACCTCGGCATCGCACGCCTTGACAACTATCGCTGGATGATCAATGATCGCGGTTACGCAAACGTCGTCCAAGTCAAATCACCTTCCTCTTCCGAGCCAAACTACGCCAACGTCGTCTATGGTCTCGTCTACTCGCTGCAGCCGGCCGATGAAGAAAACCTTGACATCAATGAGGGTGTCCCCATTGCCTACACCAAGGAGGATCTACCCATATCTTTCTGGCCCAAGGAGAAAAAGGATGAACCCATTGACACACACAAGCCTGCAAAGAAGCAGGACATGCTCGTCTACATCAGTCGTAAACACGTGACAGACTCTGAGCCCAAGCACGAGTATATCTATCGCATGAACATGGGCATAGACGACGCTCTCAAGGAAGGTGTGCCCAAAGAATACGTGCAAGAGGTCATGCGCAAGTTCATTCCACCCGAGCATGATGATGCACTCCACGATCAGGCTATGCAGCAGGCCTTGGCTTTTGAGGACGAGAGGTGATATGTTGCTACTCCCTGTCCAAACATCGATACCATCCTCATGCATACCAATCGCTGCGAAACTACAATCATGACAAGACACCAAGCTCAAGAGGCTCGCATGGGATACAAGAAACACTTTCATTCGGCTCTTATCGCTTGCCACGAGTGGCATAGTGGAACCCATCACTTAGTAAAGACTTCATGTCATTTCCCATGTCATCAGTTACTGTTCGATTGCTTTCTCAAGAGCAGGGATCAGCCATGTCTAGATCTCCTTCTCTGAAACTAGCCCATCTACAGATGAGATTGGATCGCCATCATGGATGTCATGGCAGTTGCAATGCTAGAATCGCCATACTTACCGAGCCGGCACGCTGACCCAGATCATCTTACACGCAAGCAAGCTCGCGATCGACCCTTGAACCTCTCCCAGGAATCCATAGCAAGAAACGTTTCGTGCATCCGGGCCGTTGGCCCATTCACACAAGTCTAACCAACAACTTTAATACCACGAGTCAAGAGGAGCCTCATTCACTCCACAAAAATTTCTCTGCTGCCAATCTCGTTTAGATCGTGAACTTTCAGCTGTGGCACGCCTTGAAACCCAGACATGTGTCTTTGTTCGTCTTGCCGACTCCAAGTGTACCAAACAAAATTGCTTGTCAGTGTGTTGAGTGAGGCTGCTTGTTTTCCCTTTGTTTGCCTGCGGTCAAAAAGTGTTTTGGTTGTTCTTTGGTACAGCCAGAGGCACGGATATAAAGGTTTTTTGAGATATCGGTTGCGGTTCCGAAAAGGGTAGGTTTTGCGTGAGTGGACATGCATGTGAAAGGTGGCTCTTTTGATCGAGACTATGGGAGTGAGAGTCGTATGAATCTAGACAATATTGATATCATGGCTAGAGGATTGGTAAAGGCACTTATCTGGTTACCGGGACAGAAAGCAGATGTGGTCTGGTGAGTGTGATGTTCACATCGGAGCTTGGTGTCCACAGAAGCGGAGAAGACAGAACCCATATCGACGACAACATCAATGCTTCGAGTACCAAAGAACATACCTCGAGGACGAAAGACATCATATTTTGTCTTTGACAACAAAATAGATGTAGCATAGGGCAAGCAAGGAGTGATTGAATATGATGGAGAAAGGGAACAGGGTTACTACCATAGCATGATTGCCTGGTCACAATCGTCAACCACGATCTTGAAGTATCTGCCAACACGTTCAGAAAGTCGACAGCCCTGTCTGTCAACACTGTTGCACGGGTCCATGTAGCACTGCCATTTGTAAGGATATAGAAGCAAGATACATAGTATTAACAGCGTTGGTCACAAAACACCCAAACTCTCCACAATGGAGCGTACATACAGAGAGTGAACGTCATGTCTGGGCGTCATCATAGTCATACCTTTGAAGAACATTTACACGGTTTTACAGCATATAGTGATGACTGTACGTAATGGTGGTAAGGCGCCCTCTTGCACGCAGGAAGGCACCACACTCTTGTAAGAGCTGATCGTTAGAAAGAAGAGTTCTCATGATTTGGATACCCCTATAGAGGTTGTGCAACTTATGTCGATAGTGAAGTCCGACTCCCTCAAGATAATCTACAGAATTCAGGTCCTCTCGAGAATCATCGGGTACCCTTCGACATGTGTGAGCGGCATGTACTAAAGCCATGGAATAGAGACTAGACTTACACCCGGCATGGCCTTCTCAGTCACCAAGGTCCTCCGCTCCAGATCTTCTAGCTTCTTTAGAGTGACTTGTTGATGCAAGTGTAGTTGTTCTCTGTGTTCTTGCTTGAGAATCTTGAACTCCTTGTCCAGCTCTTCGTGCCAGGGGTACAAGACAGCAGTCTGGAAACCCAATGCCGAGACAGCGACGGTAAAGTTCAGATAGGGAAGCCACAGACGAGCAGTGGGACCGAGGACCATATTGTGGATGCAGAGCAGGATGAGTGTGTATTGTTGAAGGACGCAAAGAAAGTCGATTGATAGTGAAAGACACGAAGGTGATGAATGAAAGGTGGATGGCTTCTTGTGAAAAGACCGAGTGAAGAAGGTAACAGAAAGGAAGGCAACCGAAGAAAACAGACCGAGGTGAGTCAAGGAAGGAGTCGGAAAGAAATATAGGGATTGGGATCACGCGATACGATCAGAGGATTGATTGATGTTTCTGCGCGGTCCAAGCCAGCGGTAACAGTCGATACCTATCGATCGCAAGGTGTTTGGGTCAAAAACATCGCAAGATATACAGACCTACACTTGCATTCACGAACAGATGTGGATTGATAGAGCCGAGCGCAAGTGATCAAAAAGTGATTGAGCAAGAGGAAGGAAGCACCTAGATGGGTTTGATTTGGCCGAGGATCGGAAGGCGCCGTGCGTCACAAACGACGAGGGGCCGAGACCCTACCCAAACACGCCTGACCTGACCACATGGACTTGCGACCAGGCAGTACGAGTAGAGGCGGCAGACTATTGCTATCCTCCTGTTGACACTACAATCGAAATGTGCTCGACCGATGAGTTACTTGAACAGCCAACATGATCTTGTCCATCTCCATGCCAAAAGGCGGCCGCTTCTTCAAGTCCCGCCAATCCGATGATTCCTCCTCGACAGACGTCAAGACACCTCTGGACCTGGATGAAGTGCTAGAAGATGTCGCAGAAGAGCAGGAGCCGGATCTCAGGGGCTTGAATACTGCACTTGGTGCACTGGTCGACATCTTTCCCGACGTGCAGCCCGACGTCTTTCGCGAGATGCTTCTAAGTCTTTCCAAAGAGAGCAGGCTCGAGGTCGTGACTGAACATCTCCTGAGGAATGGAGCACAATACATCCAAGGACGCTACAGGCAGAAGCCATCCGACGACAAGACTAGCCAGCCACGCCACCGCGAGCCACTTCCCAAAGACGAGACGTTTAGGTCCGACAAATACAAGCGTGCTGTCAAGGATACTCTGTATCTCGAGTTCAGGAATCTGAGTCACTCCTCCATAAGAGCCGTTCTGGCCGAACATAATTATTCATACACACTCGCCCGTCCGACTCTGCAGCATCTGTCTTCGAGATCATGGAGAGCCACCATCTCGGGCTTCTTCACCAGGAAACGTCCGGCTACCTCTGATCCTGACTCTCACCCTTACGTCGAATGGCTTCCCAACTCTACCGATCCACTCAATCTGTTTCCATACCTCAAGCGGACTGGCTGCACAGAGCTGGATCAAGAGCTGTATCGCATGTACATTGCTCCTGTCTTGGCTCGCCAGAACCAGGAACGTCTGGATCAAGACCAAGCTTTAGCATACGAACTCAACGAGACGGAAGCTGAAGAAGCCGATGCTCTTTTTGATTGCGAGTGCTGCTTCACTTCCTACCCCTTCGAGTACATATCAACATGCGACTCTGGTGTCGGTCACTTCATCTGTTTCCGATGTATCAAGCTTGCTGCGAACGAAGCTCTATATGGCCAAGGATGGGCAAGGAATATCGACTTGACAAAATCCTCCTTGCGATGTCTGGCTCCATCTGTTCCCGAATGTCAAGGATGCATCAATCCGGAACTCATCCAAAGGGCTCTGTGTACAGAAAAGGACGGTGCCACGAACTGGCAAAAACTCCAGGAGCGTGTCATATCCGAGAACTTGATCAAGAGCCAGTTGCCTCTCTTGAGATGTCTATCTTGTCCTTATGCTGAGCTCGACGAGCCGACTGCCATGAGATTCAGAGATCCAATGGCTCTGACCGCCCACCTCGTCCACATGCCAATGGACCCGCTAAAGTCCTTGATCGCGTTGATGTTCATCTTTGTTTATCCACTGGTGTGGATTGTATTACACCCTCTTCTAATCCTCGTTGCTGTGGTCGACAAGCCAACATATACTCGCATTCAAGCATCTCGAACACGTACAATCCGCCGGAGACGAGGACTGAAGTTTACTTGCCAATCTCTGACCTGTGGCAAGAGCTCATGCACCAATTGCGGTAGTCCATGGTCGGATCCTCACGCCTGCAACGAAGCTTCTTTGCAATCTCTCAGACAGGCGATCGAGGCTGCCACAACAAGCAGTATCAAGCGCACCTGTCCAAAGTGCAATCTCAGCTTCGTCAAGTCGAGTGGTTGCAACAAGCTCGTGTGTAATTGCGGATACACCATGTGTTATGTCTGTCGCCAAGAGATCGGAAGAGAAGGCTATGGTCATTTCTGCCAGCACTTCAGAGAGGCGGGAGGTCGTTGTTCAGAGTGCGACCGTTGCGATCTATACATTGTCGAAGACGAAGAAGGTACCATCCGCAGGGCTGCAATCCAGGCCGAAAAGGATTGGCTGCAGCGGGAAGGAAAGAGCAAAGACACTGATGACAAGCTTGGAGCTGTTGTCAACGACGTCCTTGCCAATGCTACTGGTGGGAAGCGGTGTGATTATGATGCATGGCTTGATTTTTTCATGATGGTTCTTTTGGAGTAGATTATGGACGGCGCCTGGGCAACGAAGATACCCCTCTTTTTATTTTTATTACAAACATTATCCTGGCTTTCGGAAATGGCGTTGGGTTTAGTATTCTTTGTAATCAAGGTTATGCAGCGAAGAATTTGTGCTTCTTCAGCTGATCCAGAGAGACGGATTTGACAGATGATGTATCGAAAGAGTTGTCGGTTTTGGAAGCGAAGTAGTAGACTTGGTTGATGCCAGTGCTTTCGAGAAAAGACAGTACCTTTGAGAAGTTGAGGCCTACCTGACTGGTGGCATGGCTGTCGTCAGAAAGAGCAAATCGTCCTCCCTTGTTGATGAACTCCTGGTGAATATCAGTATGGGTACAACAAGGAAGAGGTGGTGCAGGTCGAACCTTGCAGATTTCAGCCTTTGGATATGGCTCAGACATGCCCTTGCGGATTGCACTGGAGTTGATTTCGAGGATTCCTCCATAGCTTGCGACGAAGTCGAGGTTTCTGATGATCTTCTCCCAGACTGCTGGCATGGTGGTCCAATCACGCTCAGGGTTGTCGCTCTTGAGTCTGATGAGATCAAAGTGACCAACGAGAGGGGGATTCAGGGTCTTGAGCATATCATATTGCTGGTCAAAGTATGCAGCAAAGACGTCTTCATCAGAACCACCAGAGATGGCTCTGGCCTCATAGTACATGTCGTGGTCATAGTCAATGGGCTTAGTGTGGACATGATGGATACTGCCGACAAAGAAGTCGAACTTGTAGCGAGCGAGCAAGTCTTTGATGATGGAGTTTGTTTCAGGACGAATCCACTCGGACTCGAAGCCGATCAGAATGTTGATCTGTGAGGCATACTTCTCACGCAGACGCAAGGCTTCAGGATAGTAGGCATCAAAGAGGTCGAGGAGAGTTTGGGCGTCGGACTCCTCGGGATAAAGATCAGCGGCATGGCGGGGCATGTGTTCAGTCAAGGCAAAAGTGTCCATGTGCAGCGAGATGGCCTGTTGGACCATTTCTTCAAGGGTACATGCTGCATGGGCGCAGAACTGGCCCGAATGAGAATGGTGAGAGTGTGGCATGTCGATGATGTTGGAAAGGGCAATGCACAAGGATGGATGGCAGATGGGAGATAAATTGGGAAGGAATGCTCGTCGTCTTCATGTGAGAGGCTTGGCAGTCGAAAGGGTCCAGGAGCTTCACATGCACGAAACAGGGAACAGTTGGACGACAAAGACCACTCCCTTGCGCACACACACACAACTTCACCAACACAATCAACCGCCATCATGGACAAGTTTGCAGCATTTGGAAAAAACCTTGGCAACATCGGGTAATGCGCACACCAGACCACGCCTGTTGTAACCCACGGACACGAAGCTTACTTGGACAGTTCATCCTTCACGCCCTTCGCAGCTCGCACCCAGCAATATGTCAAGGAGCAGTTCGGCCAGATCGAAGACAAGACTGAGCTGCCGCCAGACTACATCGAGCTGGAGAAGCGCGTCGATGCTCTGAAGCTTGTTCACCAGAAGCTGCTGTCCGTCACATCCCAGTACACCAACGAAGCATACGACTACCCTCCCAACATCCGCGAGTCCTTCACCGACCTGTCCAAGAACGTCACCGAGAAGGTCCAACTCCTGTCGCGTGCCACCAGCACTGCTGAGGCCCAGGCTGCCTTCACTGCTACTCCCCAAGCAAAGCCCCAGCCCAAGACCTTCAACCACGCCATCGCCCGTGCCTCATTGGCTGGTAGTCAGCTGTTGCACCAGAGCGACGTCCGTGGTGCTGGCGCCGATGACTCGCTTGCTCAGGCTCTGGAGAAGTACGCCGTCGCCGAGGAGAGAGTTGGCGAGGCCCGTCTGACCCAAGACGAGCGCATCCAGCAGCGCTTCCTCGCCGGCTGGAGTGCTACTCTCAACACCAACCTGCAGTTTGCTCAACGCGCCCGCAAGAATGTCGAGAACGCCCGCCTCAACCTCGATGCCACCAAGGCCCGTGTCAAGGGTATCAACAACCCCTTCAACAACAAGACTCAGTCTCACGGCGAGGAGAACTACACAGAAGCTCAGCGTGCCGAGATCGAGAAGGCAGAGGACGAGTTCGTCAACCAGACCGAGGAAGCCGTGGGCGTCATGAAAAACGTCCTCGACACGCCCGAGCCGCTCAAGAACCTGGCCGAGTTGATTGCTGCCCAGCTAGAGTTCCACAAGAGGGCCTACGAGATTCTGTCAGAGCTGGCCCCTGAGGTCGACCAGCTGCAGCTCGATCAGGAGGTATCATCAAACCGCTCCGTCCCTCCTTCCATCCAAGTCACCCAATTCTGATTCCTTTCTTCAGGCCAGTTACCGTAGAGCCCGCGACTCTGCTTAGTAGATCCTGACAAGCCTTGTCCTCCTTTTTCTGATCCTCCTCAATCTCTATGACACTCGAGCCTCGCTACCCGCCGACTTATTTTTTTTCCGTTTTCTTCTCTCTGATTCTACGTCTGTTCTTCTCGCAAGCTTCGCTTCTGGATACCACTTCAATCAATTCAATACATCTATATGGCTCTGCTTTGTTTCTCGGACCGAATGTGCTTCATGATCCGACCTTTGAAGAAGTGTCAGGCCCTCTCCACGGACCTTTCTTGATGCCAAGCTTTCCCCTCGGTCACGGTCCTGATTGCTTCTATATTGCCTATTGTCAAACCACGTTTCTCAAAAACGAGGATCAAGTATAGTAGAAGAAGACGGCTCACGCCAACCTGACTTGTACACAAATGTCGTCACCGCTTACTAAAACGCCTTGCGCCTTGTTGTATATTACCTCCCCACAGAAGGAGAGAAGGTCCTTAATCTGTAACGAGCTCAGATACTTGGATACCCGGTCCTTCGGGATGCGAGCCGTAGAGAAGCAAGGGAGTCGCAGTGCAAGATGTAGATTGTGCAATGTGTGCATTGACTTTGTATCATGCGGTCCGAGCCATTTAACCATGCTGATCCTTGTGCGTGTGCCTGAATGCCCTTCTTTTTTCTGCCTCGAGCATGGACGTGCTGGGTGATCTGAGACTTGGGCTCAGCCTTGCAGGCTTTCATGTGGCTATGCCATGCGCAGCCTGTATGTTTGTCATGCTACTTTGCGGTATTTGCTCCGAGTCTTTGTTTTCACATCTTGCATCTACACATGGTTGAGTCTTTTGGTTAAGTCGGCTGGTAGAGAATTGCTTGAGTAATCGCGGTTTGGCAGTTGTGAATTTCCACAATCATGATATACACATGGACATCTTCAAAAACAGCTTTTAGATCATTAATAACTATAACTTTCGAGTGTGTCGACATGCATGCCATCTGACCTTTGATTCACCTTGCCTCAGGGCCAGCTCATCTCCGGACTGCTCTCCCACGGCATATTTTCAGCAGCTTCAAAGTCGAATGGATCCGATGAATCCGTGCCCCCTGCACTGCCCGCACTCTGCTTGGAGTCGGTGTCATCTAGCTGCAGTGCTTTGAAGAGACCCTTCATGTCGCGCAGATCCGACTGCACATTGTCCTGCGGCACCCGCGCGCGGTAGTCGATAAACTCGCGCACGGCTTGGAGGATGGGGTAGTAGCCTTCGTCGTTGGGAAGCCACCAACGCATCACATCGACGCCCCAGACGCCAGTCATACGTTGTCTCAGCGCGGCAGGATAGATGTANACTGTTGCATGTTTGTGTCAGATGTTTGTGTGCCACCCAACTGGTTCAAAAGGGTGAGAGGGTCTTAGAACTTACCCGCATTGCTCGATTTGAGCGTACTTGTTGCGGCACCACATGGTGTGTCGTTGATCCTTGGGCATGCATGCGGCAGCCATACCCAGACTTGCCTGTGCGCCAAGGACCATGGCCGTCGAGTCCTCGCCGCAATACTGTAGCGCCTCGAACATCTTGCACGCCTTGAAAGCCGTGGCTACCACCTCTTCTCCGCCCACCGTGGGGTCGAATTGCGCAACCTGCGACTTGAAGAGCAAATGGATGGCCCAGAAGTCGATCAGGATGAAATTCCATGTGAACAGGTCTCCTGCCCATAGGAATTCCGGGTCTGTCGAGCCGACCACATCATCCCACTCTCCCTTTGGCGCATTGGGGAACTCCTTGACATATGTCCGTGTATCTTTGAAAGCGGCTTCAAGCTCGTGAGCATAGCTGTCCAGTTGAGCGGTGAGTTCACCCATATCCATAATGAGCTCTTGACTTGGCCCTTCTGTCTTGGCTCGTGCGAAAAGCAGAGAAATGTCGGTAGCAAGCAGCCTCGACCGCGCAAACTTCTCCTCAAACACAGATCCCAGGTCGCGAGGCTTGTCTCTCGCCTGTCGAACATAAAACTCCATGCACGCCACATGCCAGTCACGGGACAGAACCATTCCGTAGCCATGCATGAAGCCGGCAAAGAGGTCGAATCGAATGTACCACGAGATGATTTTGCGGTGTGTTTCGCTCTGCATGATGGTTTGTGGTGTGAAGAGCTCGGTGAGGATCTCGTAAGCAGCCCTTTGATGACCCATCAGGTTAACCCAATCGCCCAGGAATTCTTCAAAAGTGGCCAGCTGCAGGATGGTGAGTAGGGTGGCCACGGTATGCCGCGGACTCCTCTCCAGAGATTGACGTAGTAAAGAAACCGACTTGTTGTAGTAACCTAGGAAGCTCGAGAGTTTGCCGTTTGGCTTCATAAGTGTGTGGTGATAGGCAGAGAATGCGGTGATTGCATAGAGAAGTGGCTCGTAACCAAGTGCTATTTCCAAGAACGTTGTCTTCAAGAAATCTCCACTGTCGTACTTCATGGCATAGTGTTGGTGCGTCAGTTTTTCTCGGTGGTAAGTCATGTAGAATTTGACATCTTTCGGCAAATGTGTCCACTTGCTATTTGGTGGTTGCTTGGACTTGAGCGATTTTCTTGAGCTTTGGCGGACAACTTGCGGGCGTGTAGTGGGTCGAGTTGATGCGATGGAGCTGTCGGTGGTCGCGGGGCTCTTGATCAGAGGACTTTGGTCCCTCGAGTTGGAAGACGCATCGGACAGTTTGCGATCCTCCTTCGAACACAAACTTGAGGTACCCTCTTCAATCTCTTCGTCGTCCGGGATGGAAGGTAGTCTGTCGGCTTCGTTGTTGTCGTAGTCTTCACCCGAGGAGTTTGAGGCTTCGCCAGCGGAGCCTTTACTTTTGTTGCCTTTTGAGGACTTTGTTGATGAGCCTGTGGTAGGTTCGGGATAGTGGCATTCACGTTTGCCTTTGCGACATCCTGCAATATGATGAGTACAGATGTCATGTAGTAGGTTGCAAAATACTCACTCNTCGCAGATGGGATGAGCCTCGTCACANCTATTCGAAAGGTTAACGACTCGTCGATAATGTCATGACTCGTACAATCTCACCTTGACTCTCCGCTGTCTGCAAGTAAAGCAACCACTCCGCGTTCTACGGTGTTTGACGTGATCCGCCCCTGTGACGGATCGCCTTTTACCACCACGCGACCCTCCTTGTTGTGATACTGACGCGCGGCTAGGATCCTCGATATCGGAGTAGCTATTTAGGTTCTCCTGAGAGATGCTCGGTATTTGATAGAGTCTTGGAACGTAGCCATCCGGCATCATGACTCCGTCTGGTGGCATGCCTTCCGAGGGGATCATGGGTTGTCCATTGGGGTAATATCCGGCACCCATAGGATTCATGGTATAGTAGTGGTTGTCCATGGTTGGTAGTAATGTGGACTGGCAGGTGACGGATGATTAAGGTCTCTGGAATGTTCTTCCTTGAAGAATACCAAAGTATTGGGACGGGAAGCGTGTATATAGTCCACTGCAAGGGAGACACGGGATGAACCAGAAAGACGGGATTTGATAGGAAGCGTATGCAGCAAGGACCCTCAGAAAGTCCTGTTTGATAATCTGATGGTTAGATTGTTGAATGGGTATCCTGAATGAGAGGATGGCACAGTGGATCCAGAGAGCTTCAGATCTGGGATAAGAGGTCCGGTCTGGTTTACCCCGTGGTGGCCAAGGCGGAGGTATACTCTCAAAGCAAGGTAGGCCAGACTATACTTGTTGCAAAAGATCAAATCGACCAAGGAAAGAGCTGCTGACACTCCCGGCTGAACCGATATTAATTTGGTGCGGGGATGGGAATTCCAGCACCTTGGCCAAGGAACGGTCTCAGCGCGTATAAAGCCAGAGATCAGAGCTAACGAATGAGTGGTAAAAGCTGAATGGTATCAAGAGCCGAGAAGTAGTGTCTTCATTTGAGTGATTGTGAGAAGGAGGAGTCTTCGAGGAAAGCCAAGGCCGTGACTTGTTGTGTGTTTGGAGCCAATAGTGCGTGGGATGACTGGGTCCAGCTTTTTTCGAGTAGAAAAATATTGGAGCTGATGTTATGTCAGGCCTTGACGCACTGCACGGCAAGGATGGATGCTTTGATGATCGTAGTCTGTACTTAGTGACGGACACTGACCACAAAACCCGGGTGATGATCTGCAGGATAGATGATTAGAAGTGCTGGAGTCGGCGTCACACAGTGGTTGGGGCTGTCGCGCACGATGAGAAGGAAGAGAAAGGATGTTCGGCGTGCAAAGTGAGACCGGCAAGGGAACGCTTGATGCAAGCCTCCCTCCTCTTTCTTGTGCGAGGGGAAAAGAGGCACGATTTAGCGCACACTGTATGCAGGAAAGCCCCGTTTCAGATGTCAACTGTTTTCGAGCTCCTAGCCCACGAGAGAACGGCAAAGAATGTGCTTCTAGAGCATCATGGACAAACGGCTTGATCGACTTGATGGCGCACCTCTTGGAGCTTGGACGTGGAGCCGGGGAGATTTCTATGAACGACTACCGCCTGTCCCAAGGCAACTTCCGATGTCCATGGGTGCTGGTGGAGAAGACCTTGTCGTGCCGATTTGGCTTTCAGCGACAGGACACGGCGGCCCCAGTCGGTGTGTCGCTCTGCAGCTGCTGTTTTGCAGTAGATGCGCGACGCTCCACCCAGATCGTAAGTCATCTATCTAGCTACCCCTTCAACTACGTGTGGATCTAGCGCGGCAGCAATTCCCATTGCTTGCAGCTACAGTACAAAACACGCCCTCCTCTGAGCAATGAGCACGTCTTGGGCCCGATAAACCGATCGAGTCCTAGTACGAATACCGCATCCCGATTCACCGTCTTGTTCACCACCGTTCATCATCCGTGGCTGATTGAGGTTCGCCTGAATCGTGAAGACGGCCGTCACGATCGCAAACCAATCTCGCTGGAGAGAACGACAGCCAGCTGCCTCCAGAGCTCTGGCCTCGGCCGGACATGTGGACATGTGAAAGCAATCTAACATAAGACCGACAGCCGAACGGAGCTACAACGTAGACATGTATCCCATACGGTGCCGTACTCGACAATTACGTGAAAACGTATCGGTTCCTGGACACTAAAATGCTCCGTGCCAGACAACGGCTTTGGACGTAAGAGTTAAAGCTTGCACATGTCTCATATCTATCTACCGTCGCCGTTCGCCGATGCCATCATCATCAGAGGCATATGTATGCGAATGCGAACCCTGCTTACTTATCTGGTTGTGGTAAGGTGGTCTCCGAAATCCATTGTCGGCATTATTTCCACAGCTTTCCAATAATGTGAGGTGACGTGATGGTCAAGACCAGCATTTCAAGGATTGAGCCGTCAAAGTCCGGGAGCAACGCCGCTATTCTTCGATAACGCGCATCAGATCGCAGGATCAAACCCTCATGGATGGAGATCCTCAGCCACTGTGACATGTTGCTTTCTCTTCATCCATGGGTTGTAGTATATCAGCTTGTATAGCTTGATGATATGGCAAGTCATTTCCCTGAAGTGGCAGGTGGCTTTGGTTAAAGTGCACACGCTCCCGCAAAGCTAGCGGGTCCCACGTGCAGTGAGCGACAAGGGATCAACCCTCGTGTTCCAAAACATTGCCGCACCAAAGATCTTGGAAGTCGCTTTGCTAGTTCGAGAAAAGTGCCTGTTGTTCGGGATCAGCCATGTCATGTCACCTTTTACTCTCCGCGACTAGCCGTCCCCCTGCCTGTTGCAGTCGTGGTGCTGATTGTTCAGTTGTTGATGGAGTAGCTCGGCGAGCGGCCAGCTCTCACACCGTCGTTGACGGGACGGCTTTCGCAGTGTTGGTTATGAATAGTGTGCATGCGCATGCTGTCACAACACCCACAACGAATAGCGCCGCATCTAGAGATCCTAGGGGGACGAATTGCATGGAGGGTTCCCTTTCCCTTGCAGGATTCGACATTTCTCAGTAATTTGATTGGTCTGGGTGCATGAATTTTTTCGTTGGGAGAGAGACCACTCCTTCGAAGCGCCTGAAGTTCTGTCGCACCAGCTAAAGTAAAAAGAACGACTGCGGACAAACCGAGAGGCTTGGGCGATCACTCGCAAGCCTTCATGGACGGGAACATTCATGCGATTGCGCAAAGATGCCCAATGTGCTGAAGATCCTGCGTGAACCACCAGGCAGAGCCACGTTTCCAACTGGTCCATGTTCTGTTTAGCCGCTGCTGAAAAAAAAAACGCCTCTTTACAAAGTGTCGATCGCGAAGGATCAACCAGCATGATGATATGGGAAGTGCCATGAGCCTTAGTCTCAGGGCCTTAGCCTAAGATATGCACCAACGTCACATCATGATTTGCTTTCAACTACTCAGCCGCAGAGACCCTTCCAAAGAGATATGCCTTGCGCGTCGGCATGCGCGGTTTGAGGAAATGCATTCAAGACGTCCCGATCGACCATGTGCGCCGACGTCAAAAAACATCCGTGACATAACCACCGCATCGTGTTGAACAAGCATACCCCTCCCAGTCTGCGTTTCATGGTCACGGTGTAGTGGTACAAGATGTTAGTACACCCATGCCAAACAATGATGTACGCAACACTCGGAGATGAGGTGGTCTCTCGAAGGCTCAGCCACCGTCTACAAAAGCAGTAGGGTTCCAAAAGGTAGGATGGCGCATTGTAAGGATTAATGGTCTAGAGCTAGTTGGATGGTCTTCAGACTGCATATAATAAGCGCATGATTCATGCAGGAGCAACGAAGACATGGTCGAACAAGGACAAAGCTGCAGAGGCTATTGGGCGGTGTGACCAGTTGAGCTCATGTCATGGCTGTAGTGATCTACGCAAACAATGCAGCAGATGACAGTCATGTTACTGACCGTGAACTCGACTGGCTAACGACCTTTGGTGACATGTTATAGACGACAGGCGGTGCACCAGAAGGGGTTTCGATTATGGACAATTGCAATACAAGAGGCATCAAGTCTTCCAAGTCTGAATTGTGTGTTTGGAACAGCTAGTAATGGTTGCCCCCTCAATCCTCCTTATGTTTGAGACTGGTCCAGCGCTGGAAAGTTATAAAATCCGAAAAGAGACAGAATGAAGCAATATCGACTGCGTTGGCTGTGATAGAAAAGATGTGAGAAAGCGCCCACTGAAAAAATGCAACGCTCAGACGCCGATGAATATGCATGATGGACATTAGAGAGGAAAAGGAAATTCGTGATCGGTTCATAAGTGATGGCGAGAATGGCGGAAGAACGATATGTGACCGCCGGGAAACATGAACATGAAAGCGCTCTGGTCGTTACAGGCGACGATTGCCAGAAGAGACGCATGAGTAACGACTCATCAGAAAAACGACAGGAGCGTCTAGAGTGGAAGCCTCCGCGGTTTGGGGGCTTGATGATATGTCCTCAGTAGAGGACTTCTCTTTTTCATCAACACCTTGCCCTCTACACAGTGGACAAGAATTTCGACCTTTTGTAAGCCANCTATTAAACACAAGTCAGTAAGAGGCGTGAACGAAATACGAGAACGAACGTACCTGATCTATACACTCCTTGTGGAATAGATGATTGCATTTGACAAGGCGTCTTGCCGCTTCGTCGTGCTCAAAGTCACAGAGACAGACGAGACAACGTTGCTCAGAGGTCAAAAAGATCTTATCCTCGCCTTCAAGGGCGACAGCGACAAGAGAGTCCCCGGTACTTTGGATTTTGAAAATCCCTGGAGCATCAGCAACATCCTGCTCGCTGGCTACAGGGGGCTTGGCAGGGCCCAACAGGGCCGACAACAGCATCATATCTTCGTAAGTGGGCGAGTCGGTATAGAGACTCGGAGTAGTAATGATGGGATGGTTCTCGGGATAACTGCCACCGAGGACATAGATGATCCAACTACGGGTATTCTCGCCTGGTGCGTTGTCAGGTTCGACAAAGCCGTTACGCCGGGAAGAATAACCCCGATGGCCATAATCTGACTCGCTAAGTCGGCGTGGTCGGTGTGGACGAGGTCTCAGTGGGGCGTTCTCTGCTGTGGTTTCGAGAGTTGTGGTTGTTGTAGTGGTCCGGATAATGCTCTCACGACGCTCGGAGTAGTTTGAGTTGGAGCGGCTAGACGGAGGACGCTGGGGCGGTAAAGCAGAGTTGGCCGAACTGACTCGTGAAAGAGCAGGGCTCAGGGGTGGTCGAGATGTGTTTATGGAGCGGGATCGTGCACGATCAGGGGTCGACGAGTGACGCTGAGAATCATATGCAGCTGGGAAGTTGGCGTGGCCGCCCATAGATGCTCGCCGGCGGTGACTGAAACGATGTGTCGGCGTCGGGTCTAGGATGTGGTCGATACTGTCACTCTCGCCGTTGAACGGTGATCTTGGTAGAGCAGACAAGGCATCCAGAAAAGGCGGCATCGCAGCATCTTGAGCACCATTCGCATTCATCTGATTTACAGAGCGAATGCCCACGATGATGACTGGAACCATACGTCCGTCGGGTCCAGCGGACTGAGCAGATGACGAGTCGTTGGCATCCCTAGAAGCATCCCTCGCCGAGCCAAAGCGGAACATTCGAAAGAAGTTGAGCGGCGCATTGGCCGAAGTCTGACCCCCTTGTCTGAGAGCCGAGGCCAAACGGCCGCTTTCCAAGGACTGGAGAAAGTTGCTGAAAGTACCGTCACCGCTCACGCTATGAGCTTCTGCGATTGCCTCCTGGTCACCGTCCAGCAGAGTGGCGGCCGTGGTTGCAGCCGCAACTGACAAAATCCGAGATATCAAGGCCGTGTTGTCTTCTCTTATCTGTGCCTCTCCTTCTGTTCTTGACCTCGTAGGTGTGGCACCCAGCACAGAAGGCTCTTGTGATGCAGCACCAGCAGCAGATGTCCAGACCGAGGATGGCTCGGACCCCAAGGTCGATTGAGACTCGGGTAAGTTAGCCGGCGTGAGCCTTGGAGGAGTCAAAAGAGGGTTTCGTGGTGATCTATCAGAGCGAAGAGTAGGTAGGCGTTCAGAGAGAGAGGTTGGAAGACGGAAACTGGAACGAGACGATGGGGTGCGTGGTTCGGGATCTGAAGTCGCAAGGTCAAGGTTGAGCTCAAAGTTGTCAAAGTTGAGTTCAACATGCGGATAGGCATAGCCAAAGTCGTCTGTCCGTGAGCGAGACATTTGCGTCGGACGTGCAAAGGGNGAATGGCGAGAGCCAAAGTTGTGGAGCGAGGTGCGAGCGCGCTGTAAGCGCGAAGGTCGGTGAAGGCCAGTGTCTATGTCTTCTGCATGGTCGGAACGGGGGTTGGACGAGCGGAGCATCTGGGAGAGCCTATGGATGGAAGAGGAGCGAGCGGCACGTGGGCGTGGACGTGAGGCGGGCGACGGTCGGGGAGACGAAGAATGTGGGCGGATGTCATGGTCGTCGGCGTGGTCGTTGTCGGGGGCGAGGCCCGAGGAAGCGGGCAGCGAGCGGCGCCAGAAGGACTCGCGGCGAGACGATGGGCCATCGGTAGGCGGCGAAGGCGTCGCTGTGGACGCGGCCTGACCCATGGCGGGATGCGGACACGGAGAAGGATAGATCAGCAGCGGAGAGAGCTTAGCCGATGGTGCGAGGATGGTAGTGATGATACGGCGGCCAGGATCAACAAGAGCGAGGTTGAAAAGGGGGCCAAGGAAGAAGAAGCAGAAACAAAAGAGGCGTCAGGCAGGACGAAGGAGTCGAGCAGTCGACAGGCTGACGACTTGTACACTCCCGCTGCCGCTCCGCTGAGCGCACCTCCGCTGGAGCAGTCGACGATGGGAGAGCGCCAAGCCAGAGAGGATGACTCGCGCTGCTGAATCAATCTATTCGAGGACCGTTTCAATCCTGCTGCACCAGCGCTATAACAACTTATCGATAATCACTTGATAACTCGCGTCCGACGCTCGTTCGTTCTGCTTGGATTGTAACGCACACATTGCCTCCTCGACCATCTGCAGACCAGCGTGCAGCACACGCACTCCCCCTACCAAACAAGAAGCAGCTTCCCGCCCACTTGCAGATCCAAAAACTGCCGCTAAGCTTCAGCCCTGCTTGATCTTGCCGCTTGCTGTCCTAATACTCAAGCAAAAAAACACGACACATCGTATATACGCACTCGTCTCATCCTGAGACACGCTACACTGTGCAAACAGTGATACCCCTCCGCTGTCTGTCCACTTTCCTTTTGCACAACCTCCACACTCACAATGCCGCCAACTGCACACCACTTTACTCCGGTCTATCCTCTGCATGAGCCTCAGCAGTCTTTTCGTAGCAAGCAATATGCTCCTCCTAGGAAGCGGAAAAGACAACAAGACCCTGACGACGACGACGTCGACGAAACTGATGATTCCGATTCACAAATCGAACTTCTCCAGCCCTCGATTTCATCTCAAGACATCAATGACCCTTACCGTGTTGCCGGATGGCCTGAAAGTATGCCATTGCCTGGATCTTCATTTCCTCATGCCCCTGCTGTCAAACAGAAGAGCCGCCAACCATTGTCCACCAATCTCCAGAAGGAGCTTGCAGCTCTGAACCCTCCCCTGTACGTCCCGCCTCCTGGCGAACAAGATTCCACTTCATCGCTCCGCCGTCATCATCTAGGTGTGCTCACTACCATATTGCACACGAGTCTCCTGAAACATGACTTTGTGCGTGCAGGCAGAGCATGGGGCATGATCTTGCGTACCAGTGTCGTTGGCCGACCATTCGACGTGCGCACACATGGTCGATGGGGTATTGGTGCTGAAATTTTGATGCGAAAATTACCGCTTCATAACAACTCTCAGGAGGAGCTCGGCAATGCATCAACGATAAGTGATCAGGGTCTTGAGGCAGCAAAAGACTATTACGAACGCTTGATTCTGCAGTTCCCCTTCCAGAAAATGAACCCGAATGCTGTATCATCGCTAACTTTTTATCCTGCAATGTTTGGTCTCTGCATCTATGAGATTCAACAAAAATGCACTCGGGCTCTTAAAAGCGTTCGTAACTCTTCGCCAGAGATGGATCGATCCGACTCTGAATTGGAGCTCATCCAGGATCAGGATTCAGAAGGTATCGCTGCCATCAAACGCTCCGAGCTAGACTCTGCAGCACGCCTTGCAGCTCGTATGGATGAGTTGATGTTGTCTCCTCCTTTTGACACATATCCTCCACTCTTACAGTTAAGAGGGTCAGTAGCACTTTGGCTAGCGGATCTCTACACGACCACAGTCGAATCAGATGATGGTGATGATGAGAGCAAGGAGCGTGCTTCTATGGAGCGTTCCAAGGCCAAAAGGTGTATAGATAGGATGAAAGCCGCAGGTGTAGCGGTACCTGAACTAATGATGAACGTGCTGGACTGAGGTCCAGACCATATGATATTCGGGAGTTGCTGTCATGGTATTCCTCCCAAAAGTCCTCAAGCACGTATAGAAAGCCCAAGCAGATTTCGTCCGTGCTCTAGATTCACCAGCCAATTTTTGCCGTAGACCTGTATCCTATATCTAATCGTTGCGTGTCACTCGTTCTTGTCATTGTAATCTTGTAGAATTTCTTAATATTCTGCCGTCGATTTTGGAATATCCACTCAATCCACGGAGCATGCAGGCACGTCGCGCTCTTTGTAGGGTCGCCACTACCCAGAGGACTGCGGCCTACAGATCCAACTTCAATGCTGCAACACCGCCGAGGACCACCATTCTAAACAATTCGCCTCGCATACAGCTCATCCGTCAGAAGATTCCCGCAGGATTTCGTGGTCTTGCGTCCACATCTGGCACCAATGACTTCCTCAATCAGCACAACATTGCCGTCAATGACCTCTCCACACGGGTTGCACAGTTTCACTCCAACAAACAAAAGTTTCGCATTTCTCATGGATCAACCAACAGCACCCGTCAGACATCAAAAGGCCCCCATGTACTCGACGTGAGTGCGTTGAACAAGGTGTTGAAAGTTGATGTCGACCGAAAGATCGCATATGTTGAGCCCAATGTGCCAATGGACAGACTCGTTGAAGCCACATTGCCATATGGTCTGGTCCCGCCGGTAGTCATGGAGTTCCCCGGTATTACAGCTGGAGGCGGTTATGCGGGTACTGCAGGCGAAAGCTCGAGTTTCAAACATGGCTTCTTTAACCACACCATTGAGTCGGTCGAGATGATTCTCGCGACGGGTGAAGTGGTCAAGTGCTCTCCAACCGAGAGACCTGATCTCTTTTATGGAGCGGCCGGTGCGGTGGGTAGCTTTGGTGTCACTACACTAATTGAGCTCCGTCTTGAACCTGCANAAAAGTTTGTCGAGACGACATACCATCCCGTCACCAACATGCAGGATGCGATCGCGACTCTAGAGAAGGCTACAGCAGACCACAGTCTTGACTATGTTGATGGCATCATGTTTTCCAAGACTCAGGGAGCTGTTGTGACCGGACGCATGACCGATACGCCTTCGTCGAACCTTCCCGTACAGACTTTCAGCTCTGCATGGGACCCTTGGTTCTATCAGCATGTCCAAGGTCAGGTCTCCAAATCAGGAAAAGAACCCGTCATCGAGGCGGTGCCACTTCCCGAATACCTCTTCCGTTATGATCGCGGCGGCTTCTGGGTCGGCGACATGGCATTCAAGTACTTCAACTTCCCTTACAACAGATTCACCCGTTGGTTTCTGGACGATTTCACACATACACGAATGATGTATACAGCTCTGCATGCATCTGGCGAATCCAAGCGTTGTATCATCCAAGATCTTGCTCTTCCCTACTCTACGGCTGAGAAATTCGTCGATTATACATCATCTGAACTCGATATTTTCCCTCTTTGGTTGTGCCCATTGAAGAGAACGCAACAACCTACCATGCATCCCTACACTAGAGAAGACAAGGAACTGATGCTAAACATCGGCGTCTGGGGCTTCGGACCCAACAACCGCGCTGAATTCGTCAAGGCGAATCGAAACCTGGAAACAAAGTTGCGCGAGTTGGGTGGCATGAAGTGGCTCTACGCACAGACGTATTACACCGAGTCCGAGTTCTGGGAGCAGTTCGATCGTAAATGGTATGATGAGCTGAGGGAAAAGTACGGTGCTACCAATTTGCCAAGTGTCTATGACAAGGTAAAGGCACCGCCGGAGAAGGCAGCTGCTCCTGAGAAGTTCCTCGAGAAATGGCCTTGGGCTGGTTTCTTTGGCATCTGGAAGGCTATCCAGTCCAAGACCTATATCCAGGCTAGAAGCGCAGCTTGGAGGCAGTGAGTCAAGTAACTGGCCTTTTTGGAAAGATCATGTAAGAATATTACTTGCACATGTGTATACATAGATAAATGCCTAGACATTAAACATGATATTAAAACCCGATACCCCGTACAACCAACGTCTATACTTCCTGCTTCTCTTCCATGCCAGGTGGACTGCCGTTGGACGAGGAAGCTCCTTGTTCACCAGAGCTTCTTTGCGTCTCGGCAAGATGCTGGTGCCAGTCACTTTGTTCGTACGAGAAGGTATTCTCTCCACCTTTGCCATACCAGAGGGGTTCCCTGTTGGCAACCTTGACCACACTGGTCCAAGGACTCGAAGTCTGAGATGCTTGATGGAACAAGACATCAACCTCTTCGAGACAGCGGCATCCGGTTTCGGGCTAGTACATGGTTAGTCGTTGGTGACGACAAAGAGGCTGGAAACGACTTACATAAAAGAAATATATAACTGGTACGAGAGCAGCGTTGATGACTGCGAAGATGATGTACGTCTGGTAACCAATGTGATGGAAGGCGATGGGTGCGATGAGCACGACGATGAAGTTGCTGAGCCAGTTACCGGCAGTCGAGACGGCATTGGCAGGTCCTCTGATAGCCAAGGGTGTCAACTCGACAGCCCATAGCCATGACATGCCTTGCCATCCTATGGCAAAGAAGGTGTTATAGACGAAGATGAAGACGACCATGACAATATGGGCGGAGCTTGAGTCGAGGTAGCTCATGATCGTGAGGATGATGAGCGAGACTGACATGCCAACCGCGCCGAACATAGACAGAGCACGTCTGCCCCAGAATCGATCGATGCCAATGACGGTGACGAAAGAGGCCAGGAACAATTCGGTCGCGCTGCAACCTGCAAGCAGTCTCGCTACCCATGGCTTGTAGTCTGTTTGTGTGTTGAAAATGAGAGCGAGATATTGAGTAAAGAGGTTGATGCCTGTCCACTGCTGCATGACCTGTAGCATAAATGCAAGTATGGTGCGATGCAAATATCTATACTCATTCATTGAGAAGGCAGAAGAGAAGCCACCACGAGCCATCTCAAGGATTGCATCCTTGATTTGGAGGAATTCCTGGCGAACTTCATCGTCATCTGGAGTTGCATCCGAAAGTGCCGATAGAACGGTCAAGGCTCCCTCTTCTCTGCCAGTGAGGATGAGCCATCGAGGAGATTCAGGGAGGAAAATGATGAGCATGAATGCCAACATTGCGGGCACAACCTGGAATGTAGTGGCTACTCTCCACGAGGCCGAGCTTGGAGCAAGCCATGCAAAGGCAAAGTCAACCCAATAGGCCACAGCAACACCAAAGGCAATACAAGCTCCAGATGAGACCATGAGCATGGTGCCGCGACGATGGGCACGAGTCGATTCTGCTTGCCAGGCTGGCACGGCAGCGGTGTTGAAGCCGTTGCCGAAGCCAGCGATGAACCTTCCAGCAACCAATTGGCCATAGGAGTATGATGAGGCTTGAATCACCTTGCCAATTGCCATGAGGATCAAGCCAAGCATAATCATTTGTCTACGCCCGAGGTAGTTGCCGAGGAAGACGGCGATGATGGCGCTGGCGAAACANCTAATACGAAGGTCAGCATCTATCGGCCAAAGAAAGCATTTTATCTTCCATACTCCAATGTTCCATGTCGCATTTGTGATTCCTTGGATGACGGCAACATGGCTGCTAAAGGGTCGTCCAACGGTATCAATCTGTGGGAATCTCTCTCTAAAGGTCGAGACTGTCAGAAGCCCTCCGAAATCACTCTGACCGTAGCCGAAAGCGACAAAGCAAAGTCCAGCTGCCAATGCAATGGCAGTTCGAAGACGCGAGCCTCTCAGACCCAAATACGGAGCCATTGTCGATGTCCGAGATGATTGAGCAGGACTTCACCCATCTCCTCCAAGAAAAGCAAGAGCGACGGGCGGGACAAATACATTCTGGCAGACTCTTGCCCCGGCAAGCCTTCACGTCATGAACTCACAAAGACAGCAGTTCACCCAGCGGCCTTGGAGGTTCACAGAAATTGTACAGGGGTGCGATGATGAATCGTGCACGATTTGATCTCATCGGTGACCAGCGTGCGGCTGTCGATCAGCCAGATCCGAACTTTGAATCGGGGCGAACACCTTCAGACACGTCCAACGTTCCTAGCTCTTTGCGGCTCAAGATTCGACTTCACTTTGTCGGCAGTCTTGCCAAAGTGCTCTGGTTCTCGTCAAGAGCACCTCTTTTGCTCCTCATCCGCGAGCGTACCAGTTACTGACATGCTATGCCTTGCGTTGCATTCTCCGGACTTGCGTGCACTAACGAATGGCGCATGCAAGATTACGTCGATCTCACCTGCCGTCTCTCGACCCTAGACACATGCCATGTTAATAACCAGACCACTCCGACCTTTCCTTGAATCATCAACACGCGACTCACCAGGTATCACGACCTTGTACCTCGTCTATCTCGTACATTTCAACATCCCACGCTTCTGCATTCCCCTCACTGAAGTTCCCNNGCTCTGCAAGGGCAGCTGTCGGCACGTCAACAAAGGCTGCAGCGAGTGTTCCATNCGGTCGCCGCCGAGCACACATTCCACGTGAATATTTCCACCGATAGGTAGCTTGTCTGCAACCCCAAAATGTNNCCACTACAGTACGGCCGGGCCGTCTGGGCCGCGCTTCTAGGACAGCCATGTGTTACACAAGATCCTTCGGAGCTCGACACTGGCTGCCTTCTTGTTGATTATGAGAGTAGCCACGTGCAGAGGTCTCGAGCGATCGAGTTGTCGAGTAATCTCGTCCACACACACACTCACGGTAGGCTTGTTTTGCTGCAGCCGCATTCTCCCATCCAGGTTCCTTCATTGTCTTACATTCTTGACCAAATCATCTCGACTCAAAGTACAAACCCAAATGCACATAACCGACGAATCGTGATTGATCCTACTCGCACTTTCAGTGCCANNAATGTCAATGCGATGCNNCCAGTCTGGATCAGCTCAGCCTGCTCAGCACCATCCCTTGCTTCAGTTTGTGAAGAAAGCTGATGCAGGCTTCAACGCACGAGGACTGCTTCAGCACATCATCTCACGCAGGATTCAACAAACGCTACGTGGGGTTTTGCATTTTTANTGTGTGGCCTTGTAGGGCCATGGCCGTGATGGTCATGCACTTGCCCAAGGGAGNAGGTTGCTATAACCGGTGGGGTAGTCCTCGAGGGATATTGACCTGTCACATTTTTTCTTCCCAAGATGCTTTGTGGAATCCCTTGTCTCTTTATGATGCAATGACTTCGTCCTTCGTGGACCCTACCACAGTGCGACCTAATTTCTGCCGTCGGTCTTCCTCTGCAGCCAATCAACAAGCATCATTTGGCGACGAGTCTGTATGCTGTGGAAACCATCAACCCCACTATGAACAGCAGCAGCACCATCAACAGCACGTTGTGCAACCATCGCTGGACGATAGCAATGTTCATTTCCACTGGGTGCCTGACGATTCTCAGCCCAAGCGTGAGTCGACGTTGCTCTGTAAGGGTGGAGACAATTAATATTGACGTGAACACAGCGTGGTCGACTTGGCCAGATACATGGTATTCCCAAATCTCACCAGGTGCACATGGGAGCGAACACACGGTCTCGGATTGGAACAACAGCAGCATATATCAGGCTTACATGATCCCTCCATTGAGCAACGGGAACTACGTTCAAACAAGCCAGCCGAGCACCAACAACTGGCTTCTCCAGCGCTCGTACCATGGAGCCCAAGATGTGACTGACAATCGGGTTTCATGGACCTATAACCCAGTGCGTCCCGAGTACGACGATTTACACCGAACCGAGTCTCAGCCCCACCCACATGGTCGACCTCATCAGGAAAGCAGAGCGGATGCGCAATATTCTGATCCAGGAGATGCATGCTTTGAGACTATGCCCGTGAGCCTGGACCACTACACGTTCGTCTCTCCCGATGAAGGTTTGAGACACGAAAATTACTGTCCAGAGAAGCATGACACTGGTCATTGGGACTGGTCACAGGCCGCACCCAACGTCTTGCCTATCCACCCTCCGCTGCGCACAGATATTGCCATTCAAGACCTTGGCTATCTTGGTGGAACTTCCTACTTCTCCAAGCCAAGTCCATCAATGGTCACACCGCGCAACCAGATATCTCCAACTTCGTCTTGCTGGGACATCGACGACAATGCTAGTCTTGCAACTACAAACACGACAACCCCGACGGACCTCGTGCCTGATCCTCCTACCGAGATGGTAGATCCACCATTAGAGGACATGAACCCTAGCGACAAGACTATGGTGCCACAAAGACGTAACCTCAAAGATCCAAACCATTTATATATGCCGAGGTGGATCAGGGGAGATGGCAAACAGCGAGAGGGATGGTGTGGTGCATGTCGCCCTGGTAAATGGTTGAGTCTGAAGCGTAGTACCTATTGGNTGTAGGTGAACTTGATAATCCCAATCGACGAATGTACGCTGACAAGTACACCAGATCACAAGAACTTTTGCCACGGTATCACCGTCATGGGTACGCCATTCCCACGTCCGACTCGCACTCGAGCTTTGGCCGACGACAAGGGGTGGGAAGGATATTGTGGATCGTGCAGCAAATGGATCGTGCTGAATGGTGGAAAGAAGAGTCATACATCTTGGTTCAGACACGCTTACAAGGTATGCTTGTCTCTTTGATCTGCTACGTTTGACCGCAAGCTGACAGGATATAGTNGTGATCCCTCTGCAGTAGCCAGAAGCCCGCCATCCAGAGACCTCGTATATTGATCTCTACTCACGACCATGAGCTTGACAACGATTCTCAGAATCATGAGTTCAAAGCTGTCAGCATCTCTCACTTAATGTTCGACTCTACCCAGACCTGACTTCATGTCACCTCACCCCAACACTCAAGACACGACACTCTTCTCCTCGGTGGCCTTTTGTATTTTCAGAGCTGGTTGATTTCCAATGTTTTTACATCGCTCGACGCTTTCATTTCTCCTACCTTCATAGTTTCTGACTCCTTTCTTTTCTCTTCACAGTCACGATTTCTGTTCTTTTTGCTTGCAAACAAAGGAGTTTTGAATGGAAAGAGCATTGGCAGCAAGATTTTTTACAGCGTTCCTACCTGTCCGGTTAATTTCAATAGCGATGCATGCATGCGGTTATAGCTCTGCTGTTTTTGTTTCTCTCTCTTGGGTTTTACTAGTTTTCTTCTATCTCGGCCTTTCCATCAATTTGCTGTCTTCTCTTCGTCATCTCAGTGGTTTGATTCAATGTGCCTTTCTCGTCTGTGATCGTATGTAATGTCACACCCACGTTTCACCGCTCCATGGAAATTGACAGCGCATGAGTATAGGCGGTGAAGCCACGAGGCCGAGGACAACACACCTTTCCAGTTTCGAGAAATAATCTGGCCATAGTTTTAGGGGAAAAACGACAATCTAGGCTGTGTTTCCAGGCTTCGTTCAAAAAGGCTAAAAACAACTATAGGTGCTTCTAGGTGTCCTGAGTAGAGGAGAGGGTATAAGGCTGCATCAAAAAAGCTCTCATTCATCGCCGATCCTCTGCATCCCTGTCCACCGGCGTGGCACCCAACATCCATCCGATTCCAGACGCCAGACCACCGGTCACGGTGTTGGCAATCATGTCTCGCCTGCGCACTCTACCAGCATCGTCCATGCCTTCATGCACTGCCTCACCGGTCGAGTCTGGCTGTTGTACATACATCTGGGATTGCTGTTGTTGCGATGCTGCACTCGCACCAGCACCACCACGCAAGGGGAATGCATTCCTACTGAACGCCTTTGCCGCGCCCCGGGCCACATCGAATAGGCCCATGGGGGCTTCTTCGTCGGCGCCGCGTCTGGCCTCTGCATTCGAGCGGCCGACTTCACGGCGGGGCTGTCCGAATACCATGCCCTCGGTTGACACGTCTGCGAAGCCTCCAGGCACGCTGATGCGTTTGTCCGCGCGGTCGTCAAAGTCTTCTTCTGCTTCTGTTTCTGCGGCGAGCAGAGCGTTGGTCTCCTCTTCGCAGCGGCGCCATATATTGAGGACTTCGGAGAGGGAGGCGGGAGGGGCGAGGAGGAGGGCTAAACTCAGGAGTTCGGTGCGTTGATCTAGACGGCGGAGGGTGGGTTGGGCGTTTGATTGTGGTCTGTAGCGGCCGGCGAGGAAGGCTGCTCTCCAGGACACATCGTCTTCTTGCACCCCTGAGTGCTCCTCTGTCGTTGATGATGGGATGGTGTCTTGAGGAGCCAGTCTGTTGACGACATACGAGTATGCAGTCTCAAAGTCGCCGACCGTGAGTGACGCCTCGACACACATGTAGATGACCCTCTTCTCAGCGACCGAAAGCTTGGTCTGCTTGTCGACGTCCGATTCTAGACTTCTATCGATGAGATCGCCATCGGCATTGCGAAGTGGTAGACCAGCTGCTATCAGGTTGCGACCAATTCCTATGAGGTCATCGAGTTTTGTGTAGCTATTGGCATTCTGCTCGAGCAGCTTGGGAAGGAGCGACAGAGGATCCAAGCTAGCGCGGATATTCACGGGCTGGAAGGGAACGCCGTGCTGCAAAGTTAGTGAGTAGAAGGACATGGAGTGTGTGGCAGCGATCAACGCCACAGCTTTCTTGAACTCGGCACTTTGAGGGAATTGACTTTGGCAGTGGATGATTNNCTAGCTTTGATCAGCAGTGTGAGAGAAGCAAGATTATGCTTTGTCAACATACAAGTCTTGGGCTTTCTTCATACTGCCCCTTGTTTTGTTTCCATTGCTAGCGTTGTCGTAGAGTTGCATTGCCTGATCGAGTATAACCTTTTCTATATCTTCTGACCCAATCTGGCGAGCGTCGGAGGGAGAGAAGTATAGACGATCGACGAGTGAGTGANNCCTATATCACAAGCATGTCAGAACTTTGGTCTCTTTGAGTACGATAATAAGAGAAAAGGATGAAAGTATGATTGGTAGCTAGTGATCGGAGATGTGCAAGATCCTATCGATGTCCGAAGCAAGACCCTTATCAGCAGACTTACATCCACTCGAGATGAGCACCTTGAGTAATTCGCGTTCAATGACTGTCTTTTCAATTCTGCCAAAGATGCCAGCACCTTTGCGACCTTGGTCTTCGAGTTCAATGTTCCAGTTCCACAGCCAAAGCAGTATGTCATGGTCATGCTGCCATTGCTGCTCGTCGCGCTTCCCTCGAGCAGCCAAACCGTGCAAAATCTTGAGCAGGAGAGCTAATTGCTCGTCCTGGTCGGAGAAGAAGCGCAATTTTGCAACGTTGAGTATTGAGATGCTGTGGCCTAGGCCGGAGAGCTGATAGGCCGAATAGACCGTCATTTGTAGAAGCATGTAGGTTTCGAGTTTGGGAGTGGCCAGAGGATGCTCGGGACGCAAAAGGACATCTGGTTCGAGATATATGGTTGAGTCGGTGGCATGTAATAGCTCGGCGTGCTTGTCGACCTTGGGTAGCTGTTTGACACTAGTGGCGAGTTCTGGTGGAGGCTCGAAGTCAAGCAATTGAGCCAGGCGGACAAGAATTCCATGAGCGCCGTCTATGGTCTCTGGACTATCGGCTTCTGCAGCGTAGCAAGAAGCAAAGGCAGCCTGTGCATACTGGCGTTCGAGCTTGGATTGGGTATCGTCATCGAGATAGTCTTGAGGGTTGTGAAAGCCGCCTAGATCAACATCTCCAGGGCCGTCCCATTCTTCGATGAGGTTGGTGACAAGCGGGAAGTTTGTTACGGCATTGTGGACCATCCATTCGAAGACGTATTCCCAGTCGTGACCCGTCTTGTCGTCCTTGGATACACCATCGAGTTTGATAAAAGCAGTGCGTGGAGGGGAGCGGACGACGTCTTGTTCGGTGGGCTTGGATGATTGTTTGTTGTCAAGACGGCGTCTCTTGCGTTCGGTGTGGCCGTACATCCAGGGGCCAACCATGGCTCTTGTATCTCTAGCGACTAGACCTTCCGAGCCGGTGGCTGAGGTAATCTCGTGTTCGAGGTTGGTTACGTTGTCAAGCAAGAGGTCGATACCTTGCTGGCCGTCTAGTTTCTCGAAAGCAGACAGAGTTGGTGGGTCTTTGTTGTCGGGGTAGTAGTCGTAGCGGAGGCGCAGCAGAGGCAGGACAACCGAGACGTACCAAGTACGCAGGAAGTCGTTGGTGTCGAGGAAGGGCTCTGCCAGGCGTGGCACCAGAGCGAGGAGGCCCGTCTCATTGTCGATGCGGTTTGCTCGGTGAACGACGAAACGAGTCAACAGGTCGTTGGGCGCATGAGGAGGGAATGCCGGCGGACTGAGGTCTGCGATGGAGAGCTTGTTGACGCGCCCTTGGGCCTGGTCGGGTGACAGAGAGGCCACGGGTGCCGTGTCGACTTCCAGAGGTTCCCGCTGCTCCAGGTAGATGCGTGTGGCGACCTCGCGAACATAGGTCGTGTACAGGGTAGGGTCGAGTGTCTCTGGCATATAACTCAGCACAATGCGCAAGACCAGCTCGGGCGACAGCACATCGAGACGCAGCGGCGTGAAGGCGTGCAGTGCGCGGATGTTGGCCTCGCTGGCGTAGTGCACCGTCAACAGTATGCACTGCGCCGACGACAGCGCCTTTGCTTCTGTGCCCACCATGTCCGCGATTTTGTTGCAAAGCATTCAAGTCGAGCCATGCCGACCCGACCACTTGTCCGCGACCTGTCGCTTGCGTCACGCCGCCCGGCCCAGGCCCAGACGCTCGACTGACTCGCTCTGCACATGGCTTCACCAATACACGAGTAGAGTACAACAACTTGCGTCTGCCAATTTCGATACTGCTACTTATCTACATGGTGTAGCTATTCCTGTCTTCCCTCTTCGCCAATCTCGTTCAAGCGCCTGGTGGGGGAGGAGGGGTGGGTTCTCAGAAGGGGGAGGTGGGGGAGGAGCATCGCCGGCAGGGGGAGGAGGTGGAGGGCTTCCTGCCACGCCGTAGCCCTGCTGTTGCCATGGTGCCATGCCGGGTGCTGCCGCCTGTCCGTAGCCTTGATCGTAGCCGGGCGCTCCGCCATAGCCATAACCACCGTAGCCACCCCCATATCCAGCTTGAGGTGCTGCTTGGCTCTGCTGTTGCTGCCATGGAGCTGCACCACCACCAGAGGAATGGCCACCACTGTAGCCTCCATAGTTGTCGTTTCCGCGACCGCCGCCAGAACCACCAGCTGCCCATGGTGCAGGTCCACCCGAGCTGCCACCCTCGCGCTCGCGACCGCCGCCGCCGCCGCCGCCACCACCTTGCTGCCAAGGAGCAGGACCTCCTGTGGGTCCGCGTTGCCAGGGCTTGGCAGCTCCGCGGTCATCGCCATATCCACCAGCTTCGATGCGAGCAGGGGCTGCGCTTCCAGTAATGGCGCCGCCAGCACCCAGCTCTTGCATAAGGTTGTTGAATTCGCTGTCTGCGGGTTCGAGTTGACCAGCAGGGTGGCCAGGGGCTCCAGGAGCTGGGCGGTCGCTGTTGCGCCAATCTTGTCCACGTTGTCTGTCGGGACAATCTCTGGCCATGTGACCAGCGTTACCACAGACACGGCAGATGATGTTTGCGGTAAAGTTGCGTTGTTCGGGGCAATCGTACTTGCGGTGTCCGATTTGACCACAGTTCTGGCATGCTTGGTTTTCGTCGTCGCGAAGAGTACCGTTGAGGGCTGCGAGCTCACGCAATTGGTTGCGCTTGAGCTCGTTCTGACCTTCGGGAATGGATGCGGCCTGCGGTGGTGTTAGCCCGTGTTCCAGAATGTAGCGCAGCCGGATTAGGTGGATGATGATTACCGTCTCGATGACGTTGTGAATCAACTGCTTGGCCTTATTGACCTTGTCTTCGGTGTCGGCCATGATAAGGCAATGCAAGTCTTCTTCCTGGTTGCTGGTGTGGGCGGCGTCGGATCGGCCCTTTCCTTCCTTGACGGAACCCTTGCCTCTGATGGCAATCTTGGCACCAGATTCTGTTTCCATCTTTTTCAGGGTGTTGCCACGAGGACCAATGAGTAGACCAACTGTTAGTAGGAAAAAACCCTAAATGTTAGTATCTGTTATGGGACATGAGAGCAGTGAATGGTTAGGGGCAGAAGAGCAGTCACACTGTAGCGTGCCATAATCGTGGGGAGAATAAGGGGGAAGAGGTTAGCAATCATACTGAAGTTAATTTCTGGATAGTCGTTGACAGGCACGTAGACCTTCTCCTGTGTCTTAGTAGGACGTCTGTAGTCAGAAGGAGGGTGGTAGCCTGGGATGGTCTTCATGGCTTTTTCGACCAGCTTGTGGCGCTCTTCTTCAAGGCGCTTCTTGTAGCGGTACTCGCGAGTGTTGACACGACGACCGAAGTTGTCGTACTGCGGAGGCGGAGAGGGCGATCTGGACTGTGTGTTGGTTGTGTGTAAAAGGACACGAAGAGAGATGGACTCACCTGTCACCGTCGGCTGGGACGACATCGTTGATCCTCAGCTTCTGGCTGATCTCCTCAATACGCAAGTGCAGTGTGTAGGCGTCGAGTTGTTCGCTAGTCATGTTTCCGAGGACGGCGGTGGGCAAGTTCATCAGACCAGCGGCCTTGTTGTCGGTCGCGTCACCCCATCGGTTGCGCTTCTTTCTCTTCTTGGTGCCGTCGGGGTTCAGCTCTGCAGATGATGGTGAGCAGGTTGCGGAGAAATTGGATGCGACTTTCATACCTCTGACAGGGCTGCGGCCGCGCTTCAGGCTGTCGCCTTCGACGGGGCCGCTGCTGTAGCTCTCCTCGGCAGGAGGTGAGCCATCTTCACCTCCGAACCTGCGACGGTTACCCAGAGGGATGTTGTTGCTACCGGTGATGCCTTGACTGCGCCACGACATGGTGAATGTTTTGCGGTTATGGAAATGTCAACGACGGTCGCTCGAAGTCGCTGCGAGCGTCTGGAGAAGAGCAGCGCGCGCAATCCCGCCGCGCACAGACCACCCGCCGCAGCCTTTCACGCGCTTTCCACTAAGACATCCATCCTTTCCTTCACTCAACATCATGGAAGACATCCTCAATTCTCTTCGGTGACGCTTGTAAGAGCTACGTCTATCCTGTTACCATCGGAACTCTCGCGAGATACATGCATCCCAGCCTTGGCTGATATACAGAAGATCGATATGTTCGACGGTCGTGCACATCGCACCACATGGAGTCTTATTTCGATTCTAGGTCTGACCTCCGAATAACATGGCTTGACACGCACCTCTTCTTCTCGAACTGGTGAATAGCTGACTGCTCCACCAAGACAGTGACATGTAATCTGACACGGGGCATTCGAGCCTTGCACATGAAGGCCACCGTCCTGGGCTGGACGGAAAGCAACCTCGGGCTCTGCTGCGTTGCAGAACATAGATACGTCGACTAAGCCACCACATGAGGGAATGGCGACTAACCGTCGGTCTGCATCAGAATCGCTGCTCGGCGGCCACTGTATACCTAGCAGATCGATCGGTTCTACTGCTGAACACACTCGGCGCCAACCTACGATGGGTTGTGGCTACACTTCATATCAAGCAATATATTGCCAGGTAACTGAAACTCTTCGCTAACAACCATGGCTGGGATATGCTGCTGGTTTTGAACGAGCCAGAGCCTAAGCGAGGATGCTGTACATGCTGCTTCGGGTGTTGTGGAGAGAGAGGAGCGAATGCTCAAGGCAAGCGAGAAGTTGGAAGCTGCACATTCGAAACAGCGAGGAATGCAGTAGAAGACACGGCTCTTTGTGTGAGACCTGGAGAAGAAGATGTGTAACTGGCAAGGCTCATGTCTTCGAATCGGAGAACGAGCAGGTGGCTAGGTAATCTCACTGTCCAACCAACATTCTTGCCTAGCTATCAACACGGAAACAAAGAAATATGTAGTGACTGTAAACCATAGACTATGCTTATCCGAGTTAGAGGCTGTAACACTGTGGCGCTTGACGAGGGGGCTCCCGGCTGGTTATACCACTCTAGATTCTAGATGAGGACGAGAGTTTGTGTGTGTCGTGCTGCAGAACATGCCCTGATCACGGTTTGGGGCTGTGGATGAGGTCGATCCAAGGATGTGTGCCTGGCAGGGGGGTGAAGCAAGATCGACGAAGCGCCAGTTTGGGCTAGAGAGCAGTATCCGAGCTCGACGGCGCTGGAGAAAGCCCCTGACAACACCCTGTTTCGCTTGCCGCTCTGATCGCTAGGCCTGCTCCTTAGACTCGATGCTCCACCATTCGTGTTTCACGTTACGGGCCCGTTGCAGCAGGAAACGTGCAGCAGGTCACCACAAAGACGATGCGAGAACGCATTGGAGGCACATGCTGACAAGGGAGACGCGCATGGACAGGGTCAAAGACCAAGTGTTTGAAGCACGATAAATCTCTGACAGTCTTTCTGAATCAACACCTCGCCCCTTCGCTCGTGGATTCCGTCATTTCTATTTACAGTGGTTGGGTTTACCTTGCGTGCCACCATCCCCCATTCTCTTCCCGACTTTGCATCCCCCAAGACAGCCGTGCTGGTCGTCCATTCGTTACCTGCTCCCTCGACATTCTCCAGGTCTAGCCTTTCCAGCTTCGCTCGTCCTTGAAGCTACGGTGCAGGCCACCTCCCTCCATTCTTTAACAGGCCCGTCGGACATCAACTGCGTGCTCTGGAAGTCTGGATTCTGCAATCCTTCCATTGTTTACCACCTCTCCTGTTGATCAGTGAGAATTATCCAACATGGCACCTTACAGCACTTCATTGCTCTTCGCTGCCTTTACGACGGTTGTGACGGCCTACGTCCCCCAAAACTGACACCGGAGCAACAGGCCCTCGTCAACGACTCATACTATCAGAACCACCGTATTCAATGGTATCTCGGTTATGTCTGGGCCGCGACCGTCGCAGCTATTTTCACTTATCGCGTCACGGTCACTGCATTGCGATACGTACGAACGCTGGCATGTTTGGAAAACGAGAAGCAGCACTACTTTGTCAACCCTCATCTCGGCTGGGCTGGTCTCAGGCGCAACATTATCGATGCCCCTCTTTTCCGCAGAAGACACAATCGCGAGTTCAAGCTCTCGGCCGCGGCCAGTATGGGAACGTTGCCTGGTAGACTCCAAACCATGTATCTTATCGGTTCGTTATTGTATGTCTCATTTGAATGTGTGAGTTGCTAATCTTCTCTCCAGNGCTATCTCGCAATGAATATTGCCTTCTGCGTCGTGAGCATTCATTGGAGCGGCGGTAATGTTGCTACCGAAATCAGAAACCGCACCGGCGTGTTGTCAGTGATGAATATGCTGCCCCTTTTCCTGCTGGCCGGTCGCAACAACCCACTGATCAAATTGCTCGACATGTCATTCGACACTTACAACCTCATGCACCGCTGGATTGGCCGTATTGTGGTTCTCGAAGCAGTGGCTCATACTGCTGCATGGATGGCAAGCAAGATCATGACAGGTATGTTGTATCTTTGCTTGTCGTTGTTACTCGACTAATACCAATCAANNGCTACCTCGTCTTCGGTCGGCTGGAGCATCATTGCCCATGCCATGGCCAGCACGCAACTTATCCTGACTGGCACAATTGTAAGTTGTACCTGCTCTCGACATTTCCTTCTAGACTTACACAATCAAACAGNNGCTACGTGCGCTTTCATCGCCCTGTTGCTTCACTCGCCTTCGGTTGTTCGTCATGCATTCTACGAAACCTTTCTGCACGTCCATATCGTTTTGGCAATCATTTCTATCGTCACTATTTGGATCCATCTCAAGACACTTCCTCAGCAAATATTGATCCTCGGTGTCATTGTCATTTGGGTCTTTGAACGTACTGCGCGTGTCGCCATCTTGATTCGTCACAACATCGGTCGCGGCGGTACTCATGCCGAGATTGAGGCTCTAGCGGGAGAGGCCATCAGAGTCACCATTCGCATGGCACGTCCCTGGAAATTCCGTGCTGGCCAATACCTCTATCTATATCTGCCTTCGGTTGGCATGTGGACGAGTCATCCATTCACCATCGCTTGGAGTCAAGAGGAACAGGATCTTACCTCTGAGAAGCTGCCGACGGATGCACTTGATGTGTTGGCTAGACGCAAGACAACCATGTCCTTGATTATCCGCCGCCGTACTGGTTTCACCGACTCGCTCTGGAAGAAAGCTGAGAATGCTCCCGATGGCAGATTCTTCACCAACGCCTTTGTCGAGGGTCCATACGGGGCTGCCGATTCTTACGAGTCTTATGGTCATGTCATGCTGTTCGCCGCTGGTGTTGGTATTACTCATGCCGTACCACACGCCCGTCAGCTTGTGGGTGGCTATGCCAACAATACTTGCGCCACCCGCAAGGTCGTTCTTGTATGGATCCTCCAAAGCCCAGAGCATCTTGAATGGATTCGTCCTTGGATGACTGAAATCTTGGCCATGGAGAAGAGACGTGATTGTCTTCGCATTCTTCTCTTCGTCACTCGTCCCAAGAGCACCAAGGAAATCCACTCCCCTAGCGCTTCGGTGCAGATGTTCCCTGGCAAGCCTGACGTGGGTGCTCTGATTTCTGCAGAGCAAGCCAAACAGGTCGGCGCCATGGCCGTCAGTGTCTGTGGTACTGGAGGCTTAGGTGACGACGTCAGACGTGCCGTCAGAGAACGCTGTGAGAAGACAACGATTGATTTCTACGAGGAAAGCTTCACCTGGTAGATGGTTATGTTTCTGAACGGATATATGCTGGTTCAGATGTGATGATGGCACGGATGCTAGACATTCGATGGACGATCAGGAATCGTTCCAAAGTCTTGGTTCTTCTCTTCTTCTTTCTCTCACCTCGCCGAGGCTTCTTCCTCTTCTTGTTCTTCTTACGCTCCTTATGATTGTCCTACAGTGGACGCTCCTTGTTCGCAATTCTTTTCGCTAGTGAATCGAAATGTCAACCCAAACCTTCTGCCTTGATCCATGGCTATTGTGAAACTTTGCACTTGTACTCATTCGCCAACACCCTTATTATGCGACTTCTGAATCTGCCTAGAGTACCGTTTTACTTCCTGCCCTCAACCATGATAATGTGGTAGCCTTCACTAGTCTTGGCTTCAGCCCATTTGGGGCTATTGGTAGTGCTGGCCGGCAATTCGAAAGCGACATTCTCAAACTCGGGCATGAGGTTTCCTCTGGTCTTCCAGCCTAGCGAGCCACCTGTGACAATATCTCGTTAGAATTTCTCAACGGACGTGGCGTTGAGCGACTGACCTTGACGAGCTTTGTCTTCGGAGAACTCTCTGGCGACTTCATCAAACTTGACGCCAGCATTCAACTTGACAAGTGCCTCTTCCTTCTTTGCGTGCTTCTCGCATAGAATGTGGCGAACATTGATACTCTGGGCNTGCATGATATAGAGGTCAGTATATGCTGGGCAGAGCAGCCACGGCTCAAAGCACTAACCTCCTTTGACCTTGGCTGCGCCTGCCTTTTCTGGCTCCTTGGCCTTGCCCTTGTTGTTCTTTGGTGCCATACTGATGAAAGTTGTGTTGTTGCGTGAAAGAAAGCTGCTGAACTTGCGGCTTATGCGCGTGATAGAAGGAGGTGAAGCCAACAGCTCTAGTCGTTGGCAACCATGACTATCGCTGTTGACATCCCTTCTCCTTCTGTCTATGATCTCCGACGTATCCGTCGCGTTGCCTTCCAGCAGCCGATCATCGGACATAAATCAGAATTGCGGATACTTTATCCTATCATCTACCACTTCTTTCCAAAAGACTCGATTTCCTTGGAACTAATATGGCGGCTGATAATGCCCTGGAGGGCTGTAAGATTCCAGGAATTCCTGATAGCATGTACTACATACCGAATTTCATCGACCCAAAGGAAGAAGCAGAATTGTTGAACGCAATACCATCGAATCGGTGGATCCAACTACAACATCGTCGCCTGCAGACTCATCCATCCTCACTTTCAAAAAGCAACACACTTCTCGAAGCACCGCTGCCTTCTTGGCTCGTCAATCCGGTCATCTCAAGATTCAAGTCACTTGGTCTGTTCAGTGACAGTCCGCATCACGCGCCTAATCACGTCTTGATCAACGAGTACAACCCAAATGAAGGAATCATGCCACATGAGGATGGCGCAGCATACTATCCCATCGTAGCTACTGTAAGCCTTTCGAGTGCTTTGTGCCTTGATGTCTACGAAAAGAACCAAGATGGAGATCAAGCTCGCCCCAGTTCAACACCCAAGTGGCGAGTATTGCAAGAGCCACGCTCTCTTCTTATCACCTGTGGATCCGCATACACCGACACTCTACATGGCATTTCAGAAGCCGAGGTTGATGAGGATTTGGGACCCGATGCTGTGGCTAATTGGACTCTGCTCGGCGACAATAAAGTCTTTGTTGACAATGGAGGCCAGAACGTGCGCACGACTCGAATCAGTCTCACGTACAGAGATGTTCTCAAGGTCTCGAAGGTCGGAGCAAGAATATTAGGCAGGCCGAGGGGCTGAAATGTCACAAACAACGACACAAGAGACGCCTTGCCATGGCTGGATCATTGCAGATTAGACTGGTCTAAAGTACAGCTGCCTACTCAGTGGTTCGTGCTGTTCTCTCAACGACTCCTCCACCACGAACAACAAGTGCGACGTCCTCAATACAACCTCTTCAAGATCAACCGTATACGAAATTGCAACTTCCTCTTCTGAAGAAAACAAAACAGGATTATCTCTCTTCCACTTTCTTTCTTTGACTCTAAACTTGACTCCAACAGCTTGGTCGGCTGTATTGACCCAAAGAATAGATGTATCATCTGCTGGAGGGCTAGAAGAAGAAGTCGGATTGGCGTCCGCTTTGGTCTGCTTGGCCAGCCAGTCTCTCCAGACTCTGATGGTACCCTCACAGACCTCAACAGCCGTGAGTATCGTGTCTGGCCGTGGTCCAGGTTTCACTAGCATAAGAGTTGCAATCAGTTGAGTGAATAGCTCGTCCGCGTCCAGAGATACCTGTTGAGAGACCAGATTGCTCTCTGTGTTGTGGACATGAATAATTGGGTCAGCAGAACTTGGATGAGTCCTCGAGCCTGGTATGTCCCCAGCAGGATGTTTGAGAGACGGTCTTCGCACCTCTTGGTGCTGAGGTCTGAATCTGGAATACACAGCTTTTCCCAGATGGCCAACTTTTGCCGAGTCGGAGAGGCTCTCAAGGGACTTGTCGTCCAGGCCCGAGGTGCCTAACGATGTGCAGAACAGCTTACCGGCTGTCAATCTAGCACTTGGTGGGTATAATTCGAGCATCAAAACGTGGTCGAGCAGAGTCGCAGCAGCTGTCAGGCGATTCTGCAGAATTCTGACACAAATCGAATGAAATCTACGCGAGACTGGAGCAAAGGTCAAGACATTCTTTGTGGTGAAGGATTGTAGAATGTCGTAGAGAAGNCTACTGAGTCCGTTAGCCGAGCATCAATGAAATCAAATATGGTGCAGTGACGGTACCTCGTTTGGCAAGGCATCAAAAGCACGGCGCTTTGTAGAATTCATCATATGTGCAACAAGAGGCAAGTCAGACCCTCTTCACTCGAGACAGGCAGGTGCGACTCGAAAAGAGGAGTGGCCGGGAGGACAGGGTCTAAATAATGACGCCTGTGACGTTGACCCGATTGGGAAAGCGCGGGGTTGACGATAAGGAGCCTTATCGCTTTGTTTATTCCCTTTGAGCGACCAGAATTCTACCATCGACATCCTCACGTCGTGGATCACCAAATCTCGGAGTGTACATCGTCATGTCGAGACTGGGTAAATATGTTCAGAGTCGCAATCCTGAGGAGGTCGATCATCACTGGAGTTCAACACATCCAGATCGGCCGGCAACCGCCCAGAAGATACACAATGCCCATGAGCGCAACGGCCATCATGTGTACGACACAGACACTGAGAGTTTTGATGCAACTCGTACTTCTCTCGATGACCACGACTACGCTGCTTCCGATGACTCTCGGGATGAAGCAGACTACGACCAGCATGGCGAGCAACATTTTCAAGGCTACGGAGGACATGATTTTCCTGCGGCTGGTTTAGATCTCGATGTCCTCGATGGTATGATGTCGCAGTTGCACAAAACTCGACAATCTTTGGCTCATTCTGGTCATGCCGAAGTCGACTCCTATCCTCCTACCACTTCTGGTGAACCAGACCCAATCGAGGACTTTTCGGATGGAGTCGATGTTGAGCATCCGCCAGTCCAACTCCGTCCAGAGCAGCTGCGTGATGTTTACAAGACCAAAGACTCACAGAGACATGTTGCTTCACCTTCTATGGTCATTCAGTCCCAAGCACTTCGCCCGCAACACTCGAAGGAGGATTACAAAATCACAACCAAACCAACCATAAGTCAGAAAGATGTGCAGCATCAGANNAGAAGTCGCAGACCAAAGTACAACCAGTCTCTCAGCCCGTGGCCAAACATGTTCCAGAGCAGTTTCAGGCTCCCGCTCAGAAAGCCGCGGTCCNACAAGTCCGCTGCACGAGTTCCCAACGAACAACCTAATCAGGCACATGGACAATCTTCTCAAGTTCAGAACGGAAAGGTCAATCACCGTCAACGCGAAGCCAGCGAGGCTGATCACCATCGTCAGCAGTATGTGAGAAGGGCCGATCATCAAGAGCAGCACCCCAACGGGTTCAATCATCAACAACAGCACAGTACTGAAGAGTCTCCGGAAGAGAGCTACGAACAGAACACGCATCCAGAAGATCTCGATCACGACCTAGAAGAGTTGTTCGCCAAGGACTTTGATGAACTGCAGAAGGAACCATTCGATGGACCGCCTCGTGAGGAGGTTCACGACGCTCCGTCTGACTCCTCGAAACCACTGGGTGAGAGACTTGCATCTGTTCACAAACTCAATGTTCCCAGTCAGAAAGAGCTCTTTTCTTCGTTGAGCATTGAGGAGTGGGAAGAGGCCGGAGACTGGTTCCAGGAGCGCTTTTCTGAGGTCTTTGGAAAGCTCAAAGCTGCACGTAAAAAGAGACGTCATCTGGCCTCAAACTTCGAGAAACGCATTGCCGAGAGGCAGCAGGCGCTTACCAGGAAGAGAAAGATTACCGAAGATGCACTGTTGGAGATGAAGAAGTCGGGAAGCCAGGTTCTAGAGGGTACACCAAAGAAGAAGCAGAAGTTTACGGAGTGATGCGAGGAAAGTGGTTGAGTTACTGGGTGATGATAACGACTGCATGGTATGGGTCTGTTTTTTTCCTCTTGCTTTCACATTTGCTGCATGCTATAGCGCTTTATACCCTATTTGCTGGTTGTTGCTGGGTTTCTTCTCAATATCGCTAGAACCTCTGATCGAGATAGCTAGGTGGTTCAACAAGTCGTGTTCTTCTAAGTCACGATGTGCACGTTGCTCTATCACATATCAAGGACTTCTGAGGGCGAGTTGATCATATAGTGATGTGGCTCTGCTGTGGGAGTAACCCTGGTCTTCCGTGACGATGTCATCAACTCCCCCTCCACGACTGGACAAATGACATATTCTTTGTATTATAGGAATATGATATAAGTCTTTTACCTGACATGCCACTGAGCTGTTCTAATGTCTTGCGTCGGCATCGATGCTTATCAACCTCCGTCGAGAAACGACAGGCCAAATTTCTGACATAGGGGAGTACCGAAAGCTTGTAGGATGACATAGAGGAATGCAACACCAGTACCAGTCCTCCCAAGCCGTTGCCCTGATGTATCTGGACCTAACTAGTTGAATGTTTACTGAGATACTTGGACCGGTAGCTGGCATGGTACAGTAGGCATCCCGCACGGAGTCCATCACAGACGTTGAACATGGCTCCACCGACCACAAGGTACTGGAACCAGGTAGTTGGGGAGAGCAAAGTCCCCAGAATTAGAACCTTGGGCTCACAGTAGAGTTCATGCAACAGCAGACCTCGTGGTCAGGAGCCACGCAGCAAGTATGCAGACATGAGTGAGCGGAGGTACAGCAGAAGCTGAAGCAGAAGGATTTTGTGCGGAGCTGTATCCAGTCTCGTGCAGTAGTCACCATTGAGCGTGAAGCATGAAGGCGTCTGCAAGCTGAAAGGCACCAGGCTGACTCATGGCACTGAATACTCCACGAGCCAAGATGACAACCAAACCACCACTGGATTCTGGAGGTCAATATCTGGCGAGAGATTTGACCCTCTCAAACACACAGTTACTTGCCGCTCGACACCGCCATCTCCAGTGATGCAATCGTATGCATCTCCAAGGAGACGGTCGTCTCGTCTGTTTCGAATAGCAGCGACGAAGAGGTCATCATGACTTTTTTCGCATCAGGCCTCCCAACTTAGCAGTCCAGGACTGCCCACCAGGGCGAACTCTAATCCGGGAGCTCGGCCAGTCCAAACACAGACGATGGCGGTAGAGCGATATTAGAGAAACCTGCTAATGCAGGTGAGAGAACACACACAGAATATTGCGATATATTAAAGAGCCGATGGTCAATGCCATGGCTCACATGGCCATTGAATTCCTTCTTTGGGACCTTGGTCAATTAGTACGAGACTGCGACGTCTGTTTCAGACGCTGGAATGGTACACATTCCTGATCAGAAGACCTTGACTAGACAGGAGTGGTCAGAGGATCTACTCATGATGTTGGTAAGGCAGGATCTACGGCTTCCGAGAATGGTTCGTCGCAACGATGATGGAGCTGTAGACCAGATCTAGAGTCGGTGTGAGAAACCATTTGCATATATTAAACTTGCATGTTTCCACTGATCATGGAACGTGAGCGGTGTATTCTCAAGCAATCGATATCGAAGTTGTACTATGCATCTCTCCCGGAAGTCGTCGACGGGAGACCAGTCAAATTCGTGGACGATGAGGGCCCTCGTGAAAATGTGACTTAGAGGTATCCCGCACGCCTGCTGTCCTGACCCGGATTCCGATTATGTCGAAGGAATCGATTCCTGGTGGAAGATTGGCGCTTCATGCAAGCAGATGCAAGAGACTCGTTGCGGAAGTCGGTTACGTGATCGGCTAGGACAGGACGTCGCGACTCGCCAAGTCGGCGGCAATCTGCAGCCTCCATCTTGATGGCTTGTCGTCAATCATTTTGGCAAGATGGTCAGTGGGTAGAGTACGTGCGCGAGGCAGACTAGGTAATATTCAGTCTCCAAGTATCTCAAGGAGCGATCGTGATAGCTTGTTGATCCATCCATACTCTGAGCGATGCCATACAAACTCCACTCGTGGCCTGTTTCTCCAAAAATTCTGGGATCCAATATACTCGATATGGCATCTTTCTATTCATTATAGATTAATGATATGAAATGAATCTGGATTGGCAGGCTCTTCTTTCGGCCGAATGAATCTTCATTTAATGATATGTCGTGTTGCTCCTAGTATTGAGATTGCCGTGTCGTACCATGAACACTCTCATAGGTCGATACCTATGGCCGGCCAGAGCGGTATATGCATGCCCTACATGACGCCGGTGGAGCACCAGCTGAGTCCACCGTTGGTCTCTGCTCCCCGAAACCTTATAAGGCTCAGCCTTGTGTCCTATGTGCAGGATGCTATCCTCCAAGTGCATGCATTGTGGCATGAGCTCGCGGTTTCTCGTTGAGTGTTGCATGCACAGAAGTTTTGGAAATGCTACGCCCCAGCTGATCGAGACAAGTTTCGTGGTTGCATGGCGTATGTGTTGCAGTGGATGGCCAACGACGGCGGCATCGCTAGACATGATTGCCGCAAGACAAGTCATTCGACCGGCAATTTCAGAGGCCCATATGGGATTATATCTCCACATGGCTCCTCGCGATACTGTCAAACATGACTCTGTAAAGTCGATAGCGGATGATTTTCCCCTGGCAAGGTCCACAAAAAAGAACAGACACTCACTACGACCCGCGGTTATGCACGTTGACAGAGCATGGCGGCGGGGAACACACGGACAAAAGAACTAGCCCATGGCGCGATCGCCCATGTCGACAAGCAAACCCAGGTAGCTGGGTCTTCAAGAGAGACGGGTGCAAGAGACGCACCGACGCCTGCCAGTTTCTGGCCGCTGTCAACGCACGTCTTTTCTTCCTTGCGCCATCGATGAACAGCGAATGGCGTCACCAACCTAGGTATTGTTGTAGTACGACCACTGCTGGTATTTGAGCAAGTGATTGCCCGCGTCGAACAGATCTTTGCGCACTCATAGCTAAATTCTGCACAGGCAAAATAGAAGGCCCTCGATAGTGATGGCTGATTCGGTGCCCTCGGCCAAGTTCTTTTCGGCGGCTAGATCGGGTGAGCAGATGGGATCTTTAGTGCTGTCGGCCTGACGCAACCGGGACATTTCTCTGATCGCAAGCTTCATTGGTCGTGATAAAAGGACACACACACACAATAAATGAGAGGGATCTGATGGCCGAGCGTGCATGGTCGCAAGATACCACGAGTGCGGTTTCCTGCAAAGATGCGTCTTCGTGCATTCTCGCGAGTGTTTCAGAATGGTTCCTATGTCATGAGTAGAGGTTCTTGGATAGCAACGGTGTGCGCTATCCGAGTACACGAGTGTGGCCGTTTGTGGTGATGGCTGTTGCCCGCTTCCGCACAACGTACGGCATGTGTGTGTATCAGACCTCTGTGTGCTCCTGAGCGACTTGGCTTCTGAACCCTCGAACGGTTTTGATGCGCTCTGGTAATGGCAGTTGCTGAGCGATCTGTTCCCGGGACACACGCCAGACTCGAATGCGCACAGTGCTTGTCGACTTGGTTTGGTTTGTATCGTCAACCGGATCTGTCAGGGCAGGGCTGGTCCGACCCGCCGTCGCCAAAGCNTTGCCTAGCACAGATGATTTGCAAAAATGGGAAATCTTTCATGCAGGTGTGCTCACTTTGCAGCCACCAACTTACCAAGCCTCTGGGTTGGTGGCGGAACTGACTTGTCCCAAGTTGCGTACTCTTGCTGCAAGCATCACCCATCTGTCGACTTCTTGGAGGGTTGCGAGCGAGCTTCGACCACCACACGATCCTTTGGCTGGCCGAACAGCTGCTAGACTTGTTNNAGTGAACAAATCAGCGCACTGATCTGTTGGTAGACGGCGTGAGTGATGTTGGAACATGATTCGACCGTCCAAGTCACGGCCCTCAGATCTGGGCCACATTGAGATTGACAATGCGCTCATCAGACCCGTATCCAAGTGAGATTGATGGAGCAGCGGGTGCGGAGCATACATGCTTATTTCGAACCCGCTTGGATACTGGTCCAACAGGGGGACGCTCAGATCAAGATGCAGTAGTAGAATATGGCAAAGACCAGCGTGAAGCCTCTCTTTCATCATGTCAAGAGAACGCGGCCGTTCTTGGTTACATTTATCCCGTCCCATCGCCCATACTTGACCACGTCCTGTACACTTCGTTCTTCATCATTGAACCTCACTTCGGAATCGCCATCATCTGATCGCCTACTTGACGACTTGGCTTGACCATTGACTACCTACCTATCTGTTGTATCAAAACGACCAATACAGATACATATACGAATCCCTATACTGCGACATTCGATCGTCCACGCAAAAGTCACAGCATATCCATACCATCACATCAGAACTGCTGGCAGTAACTCATCAGTGCATACGAAAAACGTAAGATATACCAAACGAACGACATGAGGTTGCAACTGAGAAGAAGAGCAGACGTCAATTCCACGGACTTGTCGTGATCCGAGAACCGCGTCGGTCACACGGACAGATACGCGTACCCTGGAATCAGAACAAGGCCGACAGCCGTCACGACCACCAACAGGACTGGAAATCCCCAGAAAGGAGAACACGAAACTAAACTCGTAGGGATCCAAACAAGCCCGCGAGATTACGAATCAAATCAAGACTGGACAGGAAACCGAGCAGGACTGAGTGATTCATTTCCCTTAGAGAGGCTCGAAACAGCGCCCAGGAATTCGGTGCAGGACATCCGGGACTTGTCAAAGGGTGAAACAGACCAAGGGGCGTTTTTCCTCGGGACTTCTCTCGACCTTCTCGAAGGTGACGATAATAGAATCCGGGTGACGTCGCGCAGAGGCCACGTCCAGGTTGACAGAAATTCCTCCTGGAAAGGGGGAAAACCAACTGCAGGCACAAAAGCAAAAGTGCCCACCGCAGAACATCTGACACAAGGCAATCTCCTCAAGAGGCAGCAAAGCAGCAGCGTAATTCGAGCAGAGAGAAAAAGTCGACGAAGCCAGTGTTTGAGAAGCAAGAAGCCAGCCAAATCGGGTAAAGCGTTGTCCACAGCCACATTTGAACTTCGCGGGTCGCTCCCTGCCAAAAATCACACCGGTCGCATCCTGGTCTTCGCTCCTTCCTTCCAAACCCTCCATTCTGCGCACCCTCATCGACCAGAAGATCAAGAAAGAGTCGTCGTCAAGTCGCGGCTTCTTCTTTTGTTTCTTTTACCAACTGTGCGCGGTTTTCGTCTCTGTCCCCATCAAAGGTATGCTTGTTGTCCTCCCAATCCTCGCCTCCCTATCATCGCCCTCGTCGTTGTTCGTTTTTTTCCTATCAACACACGCGTTTTCCCGACACCCGTCCCTCTTGTGCTGCATCCATCCATCGCGCGCATCGACCGCATATCGACCGCAACGCCCTGACACTTTTGTCGGTCCCTCTCTCCGTTCACACATCCACTCATGTCGTCGTCGTCGCCGCCTCTACCTTCACTTGACCCATGACCGTTTCCAATGCCCAGCAACTAACATGATCCTAATCCAGTCTTGACCGCTCTTCACACTCACGCCCCTCGCCCGACCACAACAACGACGATCGAATTTCATCTTCGACGCGTTTTTCTCGTTGCTCTCTGCTCTCTGCTCGTCTGCATCTCGTCGCGCATCTCACTATAACGCGTGCCTGGCGAAGAAAAAAAAACCTGCCTATCAGTCAGTAGATCCCAACCACACACACGACGTGTGCCGAAAGTCTTCTTGCACACATATAGACGTTTTGTCTTATACGCCCACATGTTGCTCCCTCGGATCGATTCGCTCTTGTGGCCCAGCACGAGGAGGGACAGCGGCATCGTCGGCAGAATGAAGTTGAACAGCATCCTGAATACTAACAAGTTTCCATCAGACACTCCCGAAAGAGTCATGCAGTACGAAGTTCCTCACTACNCCCCTCCCGCCCACCACGACATGTCGTCGGCGGCACCCGCGCCCCAGTACACCCAGAACCTCTACGTGCCTACCGGTAGAATCAAGTCCGAGAATGGCTCTGAGCGCGGTGTCTCACCTCACCCTTCTGATCCTTCGTCACGTTATTCTTCTCAAGCCCCTCCTGCCATTCACCCCGCCGCCTACCCACCTCAAGGCCTGAACAGCCTTGGCCCTGCCATGCGCTACCCCTCGCCTTCTCAGCTGCATCAACAGATGCCCTTGATTCAACATAGCTACCACCCCGCCTCGAACGATCCGGCATATGCTCAACCACCCATGAACGCGGCCCCTCCGCCGGTCCAGGATCAACAACCTCAGCAAGAAGGAACCCAGCGCAGCACCGGCAGCGGCCTGCCCAAGGCCTTTGCATGCTCGACCTGTGGCAAGGGGTTCGCTCGCAGAAGTGATCTCGCCAGACATGGTATGTCGATTGGAAAAGATTTGGAAGTCCCTCGCTGACACCGTGTTANNGAACGCATCCACAGTGGCGTACGCCCTCACGTCTGCGACTACCCAGGATGCGGAAAGCAGTTCATTCAGCGCTCTGCTCTTACAGTGCACTCTCGCGTCCACACTGGAGAAAAGCCCCACATGTGTGAGCGCTGTGGCAAGGTTCGTAGAAGCATTCCGAACTTCGTTGTCGCGTCAAGTTTGCTAACAGCTTCTGTACAGCCCTTCAGCGATTCATCGTCTCTTGCGCGTCACCGCAGAATCCACTCTGGCAAGAGACCTTACAAGTGCCCCTATGCCGACTGCCAGAAGACTTTCACGCGTCGCACAACTCTGACGCGTCACCAAAACCACCACACCGGCACCATTGAAGAGTCAGCCGCTGCCACCGCTGCCGCCTTGGCCTCGCGTGCCTCGATGCAGACGCGTGGATCGCGTTCTGATGGAGAAGAATACTCGGAGAACAAGTCGCCGATGCCCACTCCCTCGCCTCACGACCGCCCTGTTTCAGTCTCGCCCGCCGGCGGTATGAACGGTGTTGCTGCGCTTCAGCGTCAAACTTCGGACTACTACATGAATGCCATGAACGGTGGTATGACGATGCCCCCTCACATGCGCAACGAGATGGCTACGCACAGCCCGCGCTCCGCATCTCCGGCCAACTCTCATTATTCCATGCCCAGCTCGGCCAGTCAAGCCCGCCAGCCATTGACCTCCCACCCTGGTGCATACCCTCTTCCATCAACGTTGGAGCCACCCACTACAAACCCCCCAAGCCAGAACGGCAGCGTTGGTGGCAGCCCCCACATGGGTGGCTCTGGCTGGCAGTCTCCTGCTCACCAATCAATCGGTGGAGCGCAGCAGGCCGACTACTCGTACCCTGACCCCAACACTCAGCAGTACGTGCAGAACGCTCAGAACCTGTATTACCAGAACCAAAATATGCGTCGCCCTCAAAGCACGGATCCCATGGACCCTTACCATGCACAACGCATTGGCCACGTCGGCCAGGAGCTCTGGGCCCAACACCCGCAATAAGGCATGTACAAGACAAGTCGGCGAATTAGACGGAGCTGGAGTTTAGCAGACAGGCGCACTGGGTGTCTATCGTAGGACGGAGTTTCGATGGTCTTGCCGCATTTTCATTTGCTTTTCACACACTTATTCGCTGCAGCACAGGCTGTGGGCTTATGCACGGGGCGGCGTTCTGACAGTATTCATTCGTTTGTCTCTTTTTCGAGTGGCTGAAGCGACTCGAAGGTGTTCTGGTGGGACATGAGTGGCATTTGGTCTTGATTGTCTTTCAGCGGCATATATGCAGGGCGTGGTTGCGTCGGGGGCAGATAATGACCTGACGTTTGTGTAACTATATTATAGAGACTGCCAAAGCAGCGGAAAATGCATACATTGTTGCACATCGCAAGACATTTGAGGTCAATGTTCGAGAAGATGGTCGAGTGAGTACAAGTACGAGTACTCATAATCTGACTTTCCCAAGGTGGCAGGCAGGTGGCAGTGGCCGGCCAAGAAAGTGCGACCATGGGGATTTGGGGCTGCACGGACCGATGACGAAGACGTGCGAGAGCGTCGAACCTCCACACGCATCTCGTCGTCGCATGCACGCCCAAACCCTCCACTTTCTGTCCTGCAGCAATCCACTCCAACCTCGCTGCCGCCGCTCGTCTCGTCACTGCCCTCATCCTGTCGCATTGACGCGTGCATCTCGATCGCTCACCCTTCCTTCTCCCACACCACACCGGGCCCGCTGCGAGCCCCAGTCTACCACACACCATGTCGCAAATGCTTAGGAGTGTCAAGAATGTCACCAAGGGATACTCGTCCGTCCAGGTCAAAGTCCGAAATGGTCCGTCTTCTTCAATCGACAGGTCTGCCCGTACTGATACTATGCACANNGCGACCAGCAACGACCCTTGGGGCCCGACAGGCACCGACATGGCCGAAATTGCCAAGATCACCTACAACAGGTATGCACATCCCACTGCGCTTCCCCTGCAACCACCACTGACGCCATGCCTTCNNAGCTCGACGGATTTCTACGAAGTCATGGATATGCTCGACAAGCGCCTGAACGACAAGGGCAAGAACTGGCGTCACGTCCTCAAATCGCTCAAGGTTCTCGACTACTGCCTTCACGAGGGCTCCGAGCTGTGCGTCACATGGGCTCGCAAGAACATCTACATCATCCGCACCCTCCGAGAGTTCATCTACCTTGACGAGGAGGGCCGCGATGTTGGCCAGAACAGTACGTGTCCCCATAGCCTCGCCTAGACCATGCTGACCAGCCTTGCAGTTCGTGTCTCCGCCAAGGAGTTGACCTCTCTCATCATGGACGAAGAACGCCTGCGCTCCGAACGTCAAAACAGACACTCGTGGAAATCAAGAGTTACTGGTCTCGAAGACATGGCTGGCGGAGGCTACGAAAGCGAGACACATTCGACACCGAGGAAACCCCGCGAGCGCGCCAACAGAGCACGCACGTCAGACGAAGATCTCGAGTACAGACTTGCGCTCGAAGCAAGCAAGAACGAGGCCGAGGAAGATGCCAGACGACGTGCCATGAAGACCCGAGGCGGCGAGGAAGACGACGACCTGGCCAAGGCGCTCAGGTTGAGCAAGGAGGAAGAAGAAGCACGCAAGCGCGAATTCGACGATGCAAATGCAAGTTCGCTGTTTGACGACACGCCCGCTCAGACGCAGCAGCCCACTGGCTTCAACCAGGGTTACCAGCAGCAGACGGCCGTCGACTGGTTCGGCAACCCCATGGCCCAGCAGCAACCTCAGTCCACTGGCTACTTGAACAATGCCTACAACCAGCAGCCGCTCCAGGCTCAGCAGACGGCTTTCCCACAGCAAGACTATTCTGGCTACTACCAACAGCCTCAGCCCACCGGCTTCGACCAGTCGTTCCAGCAGCAGCAACAGCCGCAGCAGCAGTTCCTCCAGCCCCAAGCGACCGGCTACAACCCATGGGCTACTCAGATGCAGCCTCAGCAACAGCAACAGCAACAGCAACAGCAGACGGCCCAACCCGGCTCCAACAACCCATGGGCTCTTTCGTCTCCCGCCTCGCAGGAAGCTCTGCGCCCTCAGGCCACCGGCTCCAACAACCCCTTTGCCTCGTCATTCAGCCGCCCGCAGCAGACTCAGCAGAGAGCACCTACTCTGTCTGCACTGCAAGAACAAAAGACGGCCACCCAGTTCAACCAGCCCGCATACAACCCCATCACCAGCTACCAGGCTCCTCCACCCGCAGCTGCTCCTTTCCAACAACCTGCTCAGACCGCCCAGCCCATGGACCCTCACCGTGCTCAGCTCAACGCCCTTCTTTCTTCTGGCGAAGGCCAAGATACCTTTGGCAATGTTGGAAACATGCGTATCCCTGCGCAACATACGGCTCCTGGTACCTTTGTCAACAGTGCTGGCCAGGGACTTACCAAGCTCGAAGCCTCGCGCACCGGAAACAACCCCTTTNTACAATCCCAGTTCACCGGCATGCCCCAGCAGCAGTTCCCGGCACAGACTGGGCCTGCAAATGGACATGCATCATCCAATCCTTTCGGCCAAAAACAGCAAGGCCCTCAACAGTCTGGCAGCCTTATCGACCTGTGATATCCTTCTTTATTATTGCCTTTTCTCTTGTTTCGTACTGTTTCCTCTGCCAAATTACCCCCTCGTCTTTTGTATTCGTCCTATCTTCCCCTCAGCCGTCTCATCATCTGTTTCATAGACTTTCTGGAGCGGCGTGTTCTTAGGACCCTTTCCCTGGTTTTGTAACTTGAGATACCGCTAATCGTTTGATCATATCTTGTACTTTTTCCTCTTTCAAAAAGGATTTCCTTCAACTAAAGCATGACATCACGTGAAATATCTCATGTTTGTCGTTGCTCGTCGACTTCTGCACCTCTCAATACACAAAGAGCTATTGATACGTCCTCGAGTTTGCAACAAGAGGTGCTCAGACTCGAGGATCCACCTCGACTGCTGGGTCCGTGGTCGCTTTAGTTGACACTGATCCATATTCTCAGAGAGCCGTGATATAAGAGGTTTGACTTCATAAAGCCCCGGTGCCCTGGACAACATACTACACCTCCTGACTCTAGTTTCGTGCCGTCTGATGTGCGTCCTTGACAGGGTCCCAGTACCCATTACTTGCGTGGCTGGTGCTCGTTCCCTCATCCGTCGACGACGATTTTGAGCGAGTTTGACTGGACTGTGCAGGCTTGTTCCTGCTGTCACGAAACCGGAATACATGCCCTGTAATGTACGAAGTTAATCAAGCTGCGCTATGCTCAGGTGCAACCAAACTTACACAACATCCATCTTATAATCCAATTCTCTTCATTGAAGCTCTCTGTATCATGTCCTTTCTCATATACAGGCTTGGTCTCAGGACTTGCCTCGCGATAGATCCTCAGAATCTCATTGTGTACTGCTGATTCACAGATTTGAACATTTGAATAGGGTGGTTGTACCTGTGATNNTGTCAGCTGCAGCGACAATCTACTGTCTGCTTCTTTACTGATACAGACACTAGGGTCGCCTCTCAATTGAGGCAACAGACTGTTTGGACTGATCAGGATGCGTTCGCGTCCTAAGATTGCTTCATCCTACAGAAGTGATCAGCACGATCCCTCCAAGTCTACTACAGATCGTCTGTCTCACTTTNNCATCAACTCATAGAGACGATTGTCAGAACTCTTCTGAGACGACAGTCCAAGTCGTTGGAAGAACTTTGCTTTGGAATCACTGCGGGCTAGAGGTTGTAGTTGTGGGGCCATTGCATGTCAACAGTTTTCTAGACAGCAAGATACTCTCCAATATTCTCGCAGCAGATATCGACTTTTCATGTCCTTTATTGCCATGCCCAGGCATAGTTTGTAGCGACATCGGCTCTTGTGAGAGTATTTTTTGCCAGGAGCTGTGAGAGATATCCGTTCGCCTCGTGCCGCTATTTTGATCTACTCTGCATTTGCATGTGAGATTGTTCAAACGTAGCGAGCGTTCTTCTGATCCTGGAATGATGAAACAGCTCACATTTACAGTATCATGACATCTACCCATGATACATCGGATCGAAGTCCGGACATCTGGATGACGGAGCGCTCTGCGAGATTGACAGCTATTAAAGATTGCCGCACTGCGCGGCAATCGATGAGCTTTGCGAACGATCGAGGTCTCGACACTAGACTGGGACTTTACGACACTGTTAGAAGACGGAATCATGCCACACCTACGCTCAAGTCTTGGTCGACGCCAGTATGTCCGATCGCGTTGTGCCAGCAATGTTGTCAGGGATCTTGCATGTACCAACGAGATCAGCCACCAGTGTAGGACAGCCTAGCAACTGCCGACAGCGAGTCGAACATTGCGGTAATCAACTCCGGTAGCCTTCTCCAAAAACCATAGGGACGACTAGCCTAGTGAAGGATATGCATCACCCCTGTTTGACTTGTAAGCGTTGGGCAGCAACATGCCGATTAATATATAGAATCAACGACCCATGCAAGTCACCTTGAAGAGTCGACTTGGCACGTGTAAGAGCATTCCGCGAGGGTCAGTCTGGATCTTGAAGCTCGCCGTTCAAGTGGATGCGCATTAGCATAGGTGATCAGGCCTGATTACGCCCATGAACATTGACTGGTCACTCCTTCCTCCCGCAGTCGAACTTCATCTCTTGACGTGCGAGCGGCCCTAATCACATGCTTCGTAAACACGACGAATGAAGCCAAGTAGAATCGAAAAGGAAGGTGCTGTGGGATATCATCAAGACACCAGAGCAGAATCTCTCTCCCAATACGAACCATACTTCACATCAAACATCCTACCGCAAGCAGCACATCGATCAACATGCTTCTTTTCCCCCATCATCTATCCAAGAACCACTTCGCGATAGCACCAATCGCAAATACCTTGATCATTCGAACGGAAGCTGGCGATCAACTTCCAGGAAATCTTGTTACCTCACAGACCTAGCAATCTCGGAAGTCGGCTCGTCCGATATATCGATATACAATGCATCAAGAGCGCCATCATGCGTATCAGACATTGCTTCGGATTCGAGTCACCATCATTTCTCCAACCACTCCATTGCTGCCGATCACGAGACTCAACCTACTCACGCACGAGCAAAGAGCGAAGGAAGTGCTCAACATGACATGGTCCGGTTCACCAATCGTCCGCACGGCACACCTCTCTTCACCATCGCCGAGCAGAAATCGCTAGCCACGCTCCGAACCCAGATCTCCTTCGCTTCTTTCAGGAGGAGAGGACCCACTTCTCTCGTTACGATATCATCCGGAAAACCCAAAGCTGCAAGCGTCGATGACACGGTACTATACACGACCCGACGTGTACCCTCTGGAAACACTCAAGCCTCGTCAGTACCCAGCTCCAGGGATGATCCAGTGCGTCCTTGGCAACCACCATTTGTGCCACCTCATCGTGTGAAGACGCCCGAAGGTGTACCACACTGGCCGGCANACCCCCGTACCTCTCTCGTACGAAGCATAGCAAGAACCCTGAGCTCCGCGACCTCGTTGTCTCCAGGCGAAGGCACTCGTTTCATCTTGAGGACTCTGCGTTCAGAGATTCGGTTACGCCATAGGCCTCAACCTCGTAATTGGCGCCCACCAGTCAGTGGACATTCGACATATCATTACGACCAGCCTTCTGAACATCCGCTCAACAGTGCACGTATCGCAGAAGTCATTCGACCGGAAGATGACAGACAGGATGAGATGCAAGTTCCGCCACTCCCAGTGCCAACTCTCGCAGAGAGACAATCTTTAGATAGGCGATGTCGTTCCAAGTCAGCCAACGCTTCCCTGGCCCAGCGAGCACTCGGGGCCATTGACGGCAACGCCATCCCGGTCAACCCTGCTCGGGCGATCAGAGCTCGTTCCGTATCGGTCCCTCAAAGATTGAGAGTAGCAGAAGCCCAGTCGACTTCGAGACCACCAATCCAGGATACAGTACAGACAGGCCAAAGCACAGAAGCTTGTCCATCTGACACGATCCGGACCATCGAAATGATCGAGAGCTTTCCGTCACCGCCATCCGGACCAACGACAAAGACAAGGGAGAGGTTGCCATTTTTTGCACCGGTACCCCAAAGAGCTCCACTTGCCGAGTTCTTGTCCGAGAGAAACTTGACGACAACTTTCGCAAATCAAGACTAGGCGTCGAACGATGGCTTCTTGGTACCACGACAAGCGACTGACACTTCGATCTTGAGGGCAGGGGGTACACCGCCAATCCGGGGCGAGCAAGACAGGTACACCTTTTCAGGTATGCCGATATATCGTGATGATGCGGCATCGTTACACAGTCACGATCGCTCGCAAATTCGCCGAATGTCCGATATGGACTTCCAAGATGTTGGCAATGTGATTCCAGAGCAGACTGGTGTTCGCGAAGGACCAGAGAGTCAGACACCGATTGGTCAAACAAGTTATCCGCATGCCATCAACCTGGTCTCGAGCATAAGAGACGACGGTCATGATGGAGAGGTGCCACCATGCACAATCCGAACTACGAACGAAGCGAAGCAGAAGAAAGGAGTTCTGAAAGCCATGCTAAGAGCACTGCGCTCAAGGATGATGCAGGAGAAGAGTGGGCCTGACAGCACGAGCTGTCAGATTACCAAATCTCTCTCTCGAAGCATGCACTGGATCGGACAGGGTTGTTTGTGTCGAGACAAGATTGAGGATGGATCAAGTGATGAGACCAGCCGACAAGCTATCCGACTTGTGCAAGTTTGAGGCTCTGCTGTCGAGGGATATCACTGAACACTCGAGACACCTAAACACTACAATGACATTGTTATTCTTTGCAAGACGAAAAGACTGTTTTTGTATTCATGGGAAGCGACCTGTAACGAGCGGAACCCCTGTGATCGTGAATAATATTGGGCATGAGTCGTAAAGCGTTATATGGGCCCAAAACCAAGGCTAGAAGAGATTATTCGATCCTAGACGCTGCAGTATGCAGATGGTGGAGATGTATGTACAAGGTAATATGTGTGTTTGGGTGCCGCGCTAAGAGAACTTGACGCCAGCTCTCTTCCTCTTCGCCGGAGAAGTCAAGCCCGGCAACTCACTACTATCCTTTTGTCCCGTTGCCGGCCTCACCGCCGACTTGCCCAGCGTGGTCCTGACTCGCTTCTTTGCGGGGCTCGACAAGCCGGGCAGAGAAGACGTGTGAGCAATCGCTGAACTTGCTACATCGTTTTTGGCGGAGCAAACTCGAGTCTAGACGACAGAGATGGAGGTTTCAGTCCCGTGAATGGAGTAGATGGTNNTTTTTCGGTGTTCCCAGGCTGGTGGTCAGGGGTTCAGAGGGCTGCGGTGCAGGTATTGTGGGTGCTAGTGGTGGGGCTGTGGATACTGGCTTTGGAACCGCGAGTTTGGAAGAACGTGCAGGANGTCGCGATTCGAGATTTCCTCTTGATAGGCACTGGTTTGGCACGCGGTGTGGATTCGGTTGGTAGCCCAAGTGTCTGTTGCAATTCTTGCTCTGTGGCTTCGACGTCCATCTCGGTAGATTCTGAAGCCACTTCCTCAACAGGCTCCTCGGCAGATGTGAGTGGCACAAAGGGCTCCAAGGCTCTGGCAGATACCCTTGAAGTGCGAGCTTTTGTCTTTGGCGGGCTGTCGGGTGGATCCGACTCGAACTCACGTACGTGGGTCAATGTCTCGTTCCACTGCACACCTCTGCGTGTTGTTGCTTTGTTGCTTTGCTCTTTCTCAGCCGCAACTGTCTCAGCTGCTTCTTCGGTCGAGTCCTCGAGTAAAACGATGTCGTCTCCAATGTTCAAAAGCCTAGCCTGAGGCATGATGCTCTTGCCCTTGTTCTTGCGTGTGTTGGATCGCGTGAGCAAAGCCAGTTCCTGTGCTTCCGTTCTCTTCAGCGCAATGTGATCGGCTGCACTTCTAATGGCGATCTTGGCTGGTTTTTTCGGAGCGGCAGCTGGTGTGCGGGCACGTGTCATCCTTCTCGGTGCCTTTGATTTTGTCGGTGTCGCCGCCGGTAGTTCAACAGCAGGTTCCTCCTTTGGAGGCTCGGGTTCTTGCTTGGTGTCATCTGAAGGTTGCTTTGGAGGACTGTTCGGGTCGAGATCGGTCAAGACTTCGGGCTTGTCGGTGGAGGCAAGGGCATGGCGCACGACATCCGAGTCTCTGCGGTTTTCGAGGGACTCGCGTTTGTGGGCGGCCATGGGGCGTTTGCTTGCAGCGGCGCGGCTGAGGAAAGCATGGAGGATGGCAGTGTCGTCTGAAATTCTAGGTTTGGGAACAGGTTCGGGGGTGTTGGTGTCTTCCGGAGGAGCTGACGAGGAGCGCAAGTCCTGGAGGATCACAGGCTCTGCATCCTCGGCGTCGCTCGGATCAGAGAAAGAGTCTTGAGGGTGGAAAGGGTTTGGACCAGCATCGAGGTTAACACAGCGTTTCTTCTTCTGGGGACCAGGCGACTTTGGGGCAGTGAGTTGGGCAAGACGCGGTTGCGACTGCAGGTGATGATATGGGGCTTTTGGGGCGCGTTGGTAGAGGCGAGTGATTGTGATGCGCGAAGGACCCAGGTGAGCGGCGTCGGTCGAGTCCCATGAAAATTGCTGTGGACGCGACAAGACGGGTGCGGCGGGGGCAGAGTGTGGACGAGCGGGCGGCGATCGTGTCAAGGAAGGAGCAGACGCGTCGACGTCCATGTTGGAGCGAAGCGATCGTGCAAAGCGATAAAGATGAGCGGGAGGCAGGAGCGACCTTGACTTGAACCTTTGGGTCAACGTGCGTGCGAGCACATGCAAGATGATGTTTGATGACAAGCACAACAAAGGCAACCGTGCGTAGGGCAACGCGAACCCGCGCCTCTTCGGGGAAGGTGCGCCGACGCCAAGCACAAGATTTCCAGAGCAGCGACGAGATCCTCTATACTCTTGTGCAGCATATCATCGTCGCCAGTAGCTCGCCATGGTCGTCAAGAACACCCAAGCTGTCGCAAAGGCCACCGCGCCCCGTCTGCCGCCGCTCCACAAGCTGCGCGTCCGCAAGCCCGACCAGGCTGGCGCAAACCCTTGCATCGGTGTCATGTCTTCCGTCCTCGGTACGCTCTGTCGCAACTGCTTTTGCCTTGCTGTTCTTACTCTGACACACTCTACAGGATGCTGGGCCTCGTCTGGATACACGGCTCAGGGATGTGCCGCCCTTGAACAACAACTTCGCGCATGCATGGACGCCCNNCCGTATGTTTTGGCCGCCTCGTCTTGAACCACGACCATTCCGACTCTAACTCTTGTGCAGAAAGCCGGCCAAACCAAGAAGAGCTCGATCAACTACCATCTCTCGAGACTATACCCCCAGATCATCGGTCCACACAAGCGAAACTAGTGCTTGGTCGAATCTTCTTACTCTTCACGACTGCATCCTGGCATTACACGGCGTATCGGCGACAAGAATACTCCCTCTTGGTCTTTGCTTCTCTTTTCAGGCGGCGACCTGTCATTCTCTCTGTACTACAACCATATCTTCAACATGTACAATTCTGCTCAAAAAGTTCCTGTCAGCCAGGACTATTTTCTCACAAGCTATCGTCTACTCAGCCATAACCCTTGCCAACGAAAAGTCTCCTGGGCTTTCCAAGAGAGGCTCCAGACATGAGCTCTGCATCACACGTAGAGAAATTGTACCTGGATGGGCCCATCAGACAAGTTCGCTTGACATGCAGAGAGCAAGCTTTTTGCCGAGGCTGTTTCGTGATATGAAGTTTATAGCGTGCACCTCCCATGTCACCCATCTACTGCGCTTTTCATGATCCTATTGCAATTCTTGAGTATGGATATCTTGTCGTGGTCGTAGAAGGCGGGCTTCCACTCGATCCCCGCATGATTGGCCAAAGCTCTGGTGTGCTTCTAGACGTTTCGGTAACAATATTTCCTCGCTGTCCCGGCCTCCCTCCTGTCGCTTGACCATCATCTTCAATACCCTTTGTGTTCTTGTCTACTTATCTGCTGCTTGCTATCTTCTTTTCCTTCTCTTCTTCCAATCGTGCTACCGTTCACGCACGGTAAGTCCTTCAATTCTGCCCAATCATCCCGCGTCGCCTTTATATGATGAGACACCAGCTGGCACCAGTCCTAGAAAGACTTGTACTCTTTTTGCTGCGGAATAGCTTGCGGGGACAATATCCCTATCTCTGATATGAACCTCCATTCCCACCTCTGCTTGACTATCTCGAGACCTGGCGCATCCCTGACTGACCCTCAATTGCAACAGACGCGCATAACCCACTCCCTCGTCTCGCTTACCGCTTCACACCGCCAACATGGTTCTTCACAACCCAAACAACTGGCACTGGGTCAACAAGGATGTCTCGGGCTGGACCAAGGAGTATCTGGAGAAGGACCTCGTCGGCATCAAGGCAGAGAAGGATGGTGCATCCGCCGAGATCTCAAAGTTGTTGAGCCAGGAGGGTGATGTCGAGGTCGCACAACGCAAGGGCAAGGTCATTACCATCTTCGACCTCAAGCTGCAACTCGAGTACACTGGCAAGACCAAGGACGACGAGGATGTCAGCGGTACAATCACCGTCCCCGAGGTTGCACACGACACCGAGGAGGATGAGTATGTTGTGCGTAGTCCCACGCTCTTCACATGCTGAACTTGTTGCTGACAAGCTGTCTAGTTCGAGATTGAGATGTACTCCGAGTCTTCCTCCAAGACCCCCGTCAAGGACCTCGTCCGATCGCAAATCACTTCGCAGCTCCGCGCCAGATTCCAGCAGCTGGGCCACGCTCTGATGGACGCTCACGCCAAAGACATCCAACACGCAGCTGGCCACAAGCCTGGCTTCACCCCCGCCAAGGTCTACTCTAGCTCATCCGTCAACAAGTCCGAGGACTCCAAGCCCTCGACTACAACCTCCACCTCCAACGGCAAGGGCCCCGCCGTCAACGTTACCAGTCTCAGCGACCAGCAAGAGTTCCGCTGCGACGCTCCCATGCTCTTCCAGATCCTCACCGACCCTCAACGCATCGCTGCCTTTACCCGCGCACCCCCAAAGGTTTTCGAGGGCGCCAGACCCGGCGGCAAGTTTGAGATTTTCGGCGGAAACGTCAGTGGAGAGTACGTCGAGCTCTCGGAACCCACAAAGATTGTCCAGAAGTGGCGTCTGGCCCAGTGGCCCCAGGGTCACTACAGCACTTTGAACATTGCCTTTGAGCAGAACAACGTCGACTCGGTTACCATCATGCGTGTCGACTGGACCGGTGTGCCCGTTGGCGAAGAAGAAGCCACCAAGCGCAACTGGGAGAACTACTACGTCCGCTCGATGAAGCAGACATTCGGCATTGGTTCCATTCTGTAAGAGCAAAAGCCAGTCAGCTTGTCGCAAGAAAAGGCGTCACAAGAAATTTTACGGGTACATGAAAGCATTTCAATCGGACTCCATCGGTTCGTTGTCTCTCAAACAGAGAGACTTATAGATACGAATAATCATACAAATTATAGACGTCAAGTCGTTCAAAATTTTGGAATCTGCTTCTCTCCTCCGATCATTGACTTGGTGTAAACTTAAAGTCCTCGTCGTGAACCCAGTTTCCTCGATCGTACTTGAATAGAGATAGGCCGAGGACTGTGCCGTGGCATCCTTTCCATTCATGCTGCACCTGCTCAAATGCCTTTTGCACTTCCTTTTCGTCATCGACCTTGTTCATGATGGTGTAATGAGCAGCAAATCCTCCAGCATCTTGGTGACTGAGGAAATCCGACCATGCCGCCTTCAATTGCTGATGAACTTGTCTCGCATCATCGCCACCTGAAGATTTGGGTAAGCCGATAGCAATGCCTTTGTTCAATCGGAAGGGTGTCGCAGCAAGAAGATGGAACTGGCTGGTTTTGCTCGAGAATTCTCTCAATGTTGGCTTGATCGATTCCTGGAGTAGACTTCCAGGTAGTGCGTGGAAGAGAGTGATGTGTGCATCGAGTCTGTTCAATCGAGGAGGAAAGTACTTTTTTCGTGTCTCGGTCAAGATGCGGTGGTGTTTGGCGTCTGTTAGAAGAGTCAAAACATAGACTGAGTCTTCGGCAGCNTGATGTCTTTGGTGTGTATGAAGGTGAATGCGTAGGGCTGTGTCCCGATCTACCGTGTCGGTTTCCCTGTTGCTCGCCAGAAGCATGCTGGCGGTTGTTTGAAGAGGAGTGGTTTGCGACTGGATTGTTGGCAGGCTTTGGTTGNNCGGCTTTGGAATGGCTGCAGACCCTGTAGCCGCAGAGTATGAAAGTCGTGTGTTTTGTGACATATTTGTTCGTGCTTGCTGGATAACTCTTCTTCGGGAGATGATTGAAAGTCTGTACATGGTCGTAGAAATGGTTTCNGAGCTGGTCAGAAAGACCTTATAATGTCCTTCACGAGAAACGGTGTCNCATGACGTAGCCAGNCTTCTGACGCGTTGTGTCAAGAAGCACTGTTGCTATTCCACTCAACAAACAGACAAGTCCTTGGATAGGAAAAAATGATCTCGACATTCGTCCTTCTCAGTCGTGAAGTTCTGTTCAGTCGTTCGAGATGGTCGCTGTTTCTGTCAAGACAGCCACTTCATAGTGTTACTGGGTACCAGTCGCTTCAGCGTTTCGATATGCATCGCTTGACCTTTGAGTTTGAGGTCTCTGACATCCGATCGAGTTTTTGTAGTAGTGTCTATGCGCCGAGCATTTTCGCCGTAGATAATGGTAAAATCAGGCAGGTGTTCTGATTGAATGCTTGAAGATGCAGTTATCTTGCAGAACTAGAATCAAGGTCAATACACTACACAGACGATAGAAAGTATAGATCTCACCTTCCCTACAACGACACCGGGTCCCAATGTCGAGTTGGCCTCTATCGTGCTGCCAGCTCCAACCTTCTCGGCCTGCACAATTGATCCGCTCTCGACGCTCACACTTTCCTCGAGCTCGACCGTTGTTCCAGCAAAGGTTCCGGGGCTGTCACTCAAACCCACGGTAGCACGATCTCCAACGACGCAATTTTTTCCAATACGGACAGCTCCCGTGTTGGATGTGACTTTGGCAAATGGGTGAAGCACCACATTCTCACCAATGGAAACGGGATGTGTGCCGATAATCACAGCCTTGTCGGAAATTATGGCAGACGGATGAATTGAGCAAGGCGGTTTGGGTCCGGCGACAGCTGAGGCCTGGCGACGGACACTGCCAGAACCGGAAGACATGATAAAGGTATTCGAGATGATAGCCGGCGAACACAAACAATTGAGAGTTGCATAAACAATGGTGACACGTGCAGGCGGGATGTGGATGTTGCCGAGAGATTTGAAGCTCCCTCCAACTTCACTCCTCCAGGACCAACCTGTCTTCCACAGGCGCATTTGACCTGTAAGACTATGACTTGCAAAATGCACCATTTCCCCTTGGCCAGCTGTGCCGATCAGGCCATCAGCGCGACCATGTATCAGACCGCCTGCCTTGCGATACAGGACCAATCAAGTGCTTTCCAGTGTGAGACGCGTTTGTCTGGCACAGCAGCAATCAAGCATATGATAGGCTGGGTTGGATTTTTCCTGTGCATGTAATGATTGAGCAGTTCCGTGCTTTTGTAGGTCAAGTCGAGGAGCAGACGCTTCTTGTAAGGGAAGGCGCCAATTTACTGGTGAGAGAGTGTAAACGGCATGATAGGTAATGGCAGGTGCGACCAAAGAAGATTTCACCACCTCATTTCCTAAATCTATCTCCCTCGTTTGCACCCCAAGAAAGAGAAAGACGGTATCGGAAGTATCTAGCAGAAGTTCCGCGGTGATGGTGCTGTTTCCATGTCTCGTTTGTAGCTGGCGTTGTTTATCGCGGACCAACAGACACCCTTTTCTTCGCACACAACTCGATTGTTCACAACACTTTCCATAATTCTACACCACGTTCCGGTTCTGAATGACACAACGCAACCATGGTCAAATCCAATAAATTCGACTACACAGGTGTAAGCTTTATGGCGTCCGTGGCGTTCGTTGCGCACTCGCTGACATGCACGCACGTAGNNCGCACATCATCGGGCCCGAAGCTGGGCAAGTCAATTGCATCGGACCTCGAGAAGCGAGCAGACAAGAAGCAGCGCGAGGCCAACAGACCATCACCATCAACTCCCAGGTTGTCATTGAGACTGCCCGCCTCGGCCAAGCGCACTCCACACAAGGATCGACTCAAGCTCAAGGACAGAGATCGTGATGACTGCGATGGCGATGCAAAGGACAGCACGCTCCACAAGCTCGATCTGAAAGTGCCCAGCAAATCTTTGACCGATGAGGGATTTGCTCTCCTCGCCGACGGCCTGCAAAACGCCTTCACAACATGTAGAGACCTGGCCTTGGTTGACCTCAACCTTACCAACAACGATCTCACCACCCGATCTCTGGCTCGTCTGGCCCCTCTGATTCAGACATCTTGCTACACTCTACAAACTCTTGACCTGTCTCACAACAAGTTCCAAGTCTTGACTGACGTGCAGGCTGAAGAATGGCAGCTCTTCCTTCAGTCCTTCCGCGGTTGCATGACCCTGCGCAGACTCGACCTTGGTGACAACCCCTCACTCGGATCACGAGCCTTTGAAGTTCTTGCCCGCGTCTACTCACGCGAGCCCGCTGTGGATCCTGAGCCCGCTACTGGCAACCTGTCGTTCATCACCTTGCCGGACAGCTGCTCCGTACTTAGCAACAGCAGCTTTGACGGTACCCACATCAGAAACGGCAACGACCCTGACCTTCCGAGATGTGCCAACGGAAAGACTCTTGCCGACGCATGGATGCTCAAGGATCGCCGCGGTCTTCGATCTATCCCATACTTGACCTTGACCAATGTCGGCCTGGACGACACGGGTGCCCTCTTCCTGTCTTACGTCCTGGAACAGCACTACTATCCTATCCAGCTCGTCTCAGAAAACAACGCAACCGAAGCCTCTTCTTCCATCCGTACCTACCGTCAAGATGCCAACACAAAGGGCGTTGATTGGGACAACAACTCCGAGTTCTTGTCCAAGGACGGCCTTCACTTGCTCCAATGTGCCGAGAAATTGAGAATGAGGATGCTATTGGGAGACTCGGACAGCATTACCAGCTCGTACATGTCAGCAAGTGTCGTAGACTTGCCCGATACATCTCCCAGAATGACCTCCAGCGCCCACTTGCGTCGCTCAAGCCTTTTCTCTGTTCAGTCGGCTGACTACACTATGTTTGACAAATCAGACATTCAGAGTGCTCGCAAGAAGGTCCAGCGCAACACCATAGGACATGCTGGTTGTGAAAGCGTCGATCTCTGGCGCGCATCTCTAGCTGCAATCATTGCGTCACGCAAGGTCTTTCTTCTGGCACCTGTGTTCAAGATGTTCAAAGCCACCAAGTTGGTTTCAGAGACAGGCGAGCAGGACGTCGAGCCCGCTCTGAACAACAACGGTCATGCTATCGAGATTGATATCAACCAGGTGGTTGGCATGCCTGTTACCGATGAACACCTCGAACGTTCACTGAACACGCTCTCAATCCACTCGGATTCGGTGAACTTCGAAGACGGTCAGGCCAAGCGTTCCTATGCCTCCACCCTCATGACAACCTCGCCTGTTGACTCGATGAACCCTGACTTGACTATGCCAGATGGCGCTGCAGTCTTGAGCTCACCGTCTAGCACCAAGATTCTTCGTACTAGCGCCTCATCCCGTGGTCACTTGACAAACTCCGAGAGAAATAGTCCAGAAAGTACCCAGAAGGTTGGAGAATACGTAAAGCCCAGAGTCAGCTCCGAGGAGTACATGCGATTCCAGCGGAACAGAATGGAGAAGCTCAAGGCATACCACAAAGGCGAGAGCGATGGCTACAGAGATGTCAGTCTGCGTTGCCACCTTCCTCTTCCGCTCTGCCTTGACATTCTCAGACTCGACATGAGCGCTGTTGACCTCAGCCATCTCGGTAAGGAGAAGCAAATCAAGGCGTTCACCTGGGGTCAGAAGAGAGAGACTCTGAAGAGTGGCTACGACTGGAGAATGAAGGACGAGAGCTCTCAGCTTCTCATGTTACTCTCTGGTGCTGAGTGTGTCGAGTATTGAAGATGGGTAGCAGACGGAGAGGCATAGTCTCGGTGTGGCTTGAAAATCGCAGCCTCGAGGATTCAGAGGTTGGTGCTGCTGTTGACTGAGAAGAATTACTTCAGGTAATCAACATCAACAACGAAAAAGACGTTCGTTTACAGTATTGAGTTCTTCACATGCTTTTCTGACTGCCCTTGATCGAAATATTTCCGTGCAGAAGTTGAATGTCTGAGGAGAATAAGTGCTAGAGTGCATGCATTGTTTATCACATGCCGATCGGCAGCATGACGTAGGCTTATGGACTTTTTGACCCTTCCGGCGGCGAGTCCTCCAACCCCGAATCAAAACCATGCACGATACGTTTCCAGGGCAGAATAACGAAAGTATCACTTGCTGCAATCATACTAGTAGCTATAGCCATGGTTCGAAAATCTTACAAGACCGTCGAGACTGGCGACGACAGCACGACCGTCACGGCGCCGGCCTCGGAGGTCGAGGCACCCTCGACCTTTAGCGATGGACTCCCACTACCGCAAGTCATGGTCTTTGATCTGGACTACACCCTCTGGCCCTTCTGGGTAGACACCCATGTCACCGGCCCTCTGAAACCCACCAAAGATGGCCTGGTGGTCAAGGATCGCTACAACGACTCGTATGGCTTTTACCCAGATGTTGCAGGCATCTTGGTCGCTGTATGTCTTTCTATACTCTCAACTGCACATGCACATATACATCAGCTAACCCGTCTATCCACAGNNATCAAAGAAAAGAATCTAACACTCTGCGCGGCATCACGAACCCAAGCCCCCGAACTCGCCCGCGAAATGCTGTCCTACCTCCTCGTTCCCTCGTCATCATCATCTTCTTCCTCTTCATCACCAAAAGCGCTCTCCGTCTTTGACGAACTGGAAATCTATCCCGGAGACAAGAAGACGCATTTCTCGCGCATACACAAGAGGACGAATATCCCGTATGAAGAAATGTTGTTTTTTGACGACGAGTCGAGGAATAAGAATGTGGAGACTTTGGGGGTGGTGATGAAGTTGGTGAGGGATGGTGTGTCGAGGAAGGAAATTGATGCTGGGGTCAAGTTGTGGAGGGAGAGGAATCATAGGTTGAAGAAGGAGGATTGATGTTGGTGATGGTTGTTTACGATTTTGCACTGGGATAGTTTAGATGATGGCATGAGCGATGGCATTAGAATACAGTGAAGGATATATAAAGACATATACGGAGCAGTTGGAGCCAACACCCATGTATGAATGTATATGCCAGATTTGTTTCTACCAAAACTTCACATCTAAAATATCTACTTTTTGCTAAACCACTCTCTCCAGAGATCCCTGAAACCAAACTGGGGTCGTTGCTCATCATACACTTTACTAGCAGGACCAGCCAGATTACCCAAGATTCTAGAAGGCTTGTTGTTGGAAGTAGCCTCGAACCTTGGCTTTGGCGCCACTGCACGTTCTCTGATGGTATCAGCCACCTGTGGCGCAACTTCCGCATAGCACGAATTCAACTCGCGGTCGAGGAAAAAGTATGGTCGTTGGGCCAGTGCTGGACACATGAGATTGTATGAGCGTGTCAATTGATTCAGGTTGTCGATGGCGGCTTGGTGGTAAGCCCTTTCGGTGCGTAGCCAGTCTGCATCCCTGAATGGTGCGACTTTGAGTGGTGCAGCTTTTGGTTCTTCTATCACGGCTTCCATGGGTGCATCGACGGAGATCTGTAGCTCGCCCTCTTTTGATATTGGCTTTGCTGCCTCGTCGATGGGAGTTTCGGTGATGGTTATTTGCTGTGAATCTTGAATAGCTGCAGTGCCAGATGTCTTGATCTCGCCATCGAGTGTTATCTGAGTAAGGTGGCCAGCTTTGTCGATGGTGTTGATCTTCTCCGTCCGTTTCCTTGCGGGCGGGTTATCAATGGCTTCTGCGCGCGCATATTCTTCAGCAAGTGCTAGTTGGCTTTCCAGAGATCCTCCTCTACTAGCGATGGACCTCGCAACATGTCTCCGCCAGTCGGCACGAAGGCGAGCTCTGAAGCGGTTGGAGGTGCTGACAATGTCTTGTTGCTTTTCGATCCATGGAGGCACGATATCTTGTCGCTGAATCATGCGATTGAGCATGTATTCGGTGGTGTTGATGAAAGGACTACTCGCATTGTAGTCTCTTTCGATAGCCTTGCCTCTTGGTAGATTCTTGAATTTGCCTCGAGCAATTGCATCTTCTATGCGCTCATTAGCAAGAGACTCCAGTCCCTTCAGAGTTACAGGTGCAGAGCGAGCAGTAGGTGTGAAGCGTTCTTTCAATTCCTTTCGGAACTTCTCCCTCTCGTCGTCCGGTAGCTCTTTCATCTCGGCATAGATAGACGTCTTGTCGCGTGCGTTCGCTAATCGGAGACCAGAAGATGGGGCGTTCCTAGGTCTACCAGTATCAATCTTGCTGGGAGGTCCTCGAGAAGGTCCAGCGGAAGATCGCCTGACAGGCTTAAGAGGCTTGTGTGAATCATTGAGCATGCGCAGCGATGCATCATGCACGCTCTCGGTACCAGACCACGGCGCCGCACCAGCTATATCTCTGCTGTGACGGCTGGCACTATTAGGCATTTCTGCCTGAGAGATGGCTCCAGCGTGCTCATTCCGAAAAGAGGCAGTAGCAATTCGCTCGAGTAACTCCTGTTTGAGGCCTTCGTCGAAACCTGCTTCCTCCACGGCTCTACGGGCACTGCGGCCTCCAGACTCGAGACCTTCCTCACTCAGTGCAGCCAGTCTGCGTGACATGGCGCCTTGTTCCTTCTCTTGCTCTTTCTCTCCATGACTTTCTTTTGGTGGCGTCGAAAGACGGCGGACTTGTTGAGTGGTTCGGGCAACCCGCTGAGCAAAACCCGGTCGCATGCATCGCGAGCAGACGGGGAGGGCTGAAGACGACAACGGTGGCATAGGCTTGTGGTGTGACGGTGGATGGGAAGTGGCAATATTCGAGTCCATCAGTTATAAAACGTCCGTTATCTCCGTTGGTGACGTCTACACGCCAGGGTCATACTCCGTACCATTGACCACATTTTTTATTCTTCACTCTGCACGAAAATATTCGTCTGACGTGTCTACGCTCTAGATAAAGCATAGTATGAGAGAATGCTTTCGCGATCAAGGTGTTGGACGACAGCAATTGTATAAATCGACATGAATCTCCAAATTGCATATTATCTATTCTAGTGCCGCACCGCATATTCTCAGGATCTAATATTTAAACAACCCATGTCTATGCATCTAACCCCATAACAAAACCATCTATAGCCTAGCCTTGAAACGAGCATTCTCCTCTTGCAAAGGCTCGGCAATACCATCCCCGGAAGTCTTCGGCTTGCCGGGCTTCGAAGACTTCTTCGGGGCGCTGTGGTAACCACCCTTGACGTTGTCCGAATTCTTGATGTTGCCATTGGCATCTCTCTGGATACCCAGCTCGAGAAGCTTGCCGAAGGCTTTGGCAAAGTGATCAAAGAAGAGGTCTTTGTCCTCGGCATACTTCTTGACCCAAGGGGCAAATGACTCATCCTTGACGAGCGCAAGATCGGTCGGCAGCATGGCCAATTCTTCGTCTAGGTCCTCGTCAATGTAGACAAACTGCTTGACGCCATTTTCAAGTGTCTTCTCCTTCCACTCAAAGTCCGTCATGATCTTATAGTAGGTGTTGTTGAAGCGAGTGCCGTTGGGAACCCAAGGTCCATGGAAACCACTGCGATCCATGTGCATTCTTCCGAGGTTGTGTGCTCCGCTGAGTGCGACAATCTCTTGATCTGTGAAACCCATTCGGTAGAAGATAAAGCGGATGTGGTCAGCGCCTTGTGCACCATCCGGAAGACGACCGCGAGGAGGAAGTTTGCTGTCGTCCACATAGTCGGTACGGCCGGGCAGCCATTTTATCTGAGGACCTCCCATCTCTTTTAGCGCGACAACGGCGGCAAGTGTCCATAGGTCTGCGTAAGAGATCCACGAGTGCTTCTCCTTGATGGGTTCCAGGAATACACGGGCATGTTGCAAGCCTGCGTTTGCTTCGTCGCCTCCTTCTGCCTGCAACAAGTTAACAAGCCATAATACTGACCGCACGTTGAGGGTGGCACATACCTCATAACGCATGCCTGCTCCATTACTACCGCCAGTATCGGTTTCCGCACAATATGTACCAGCCGAATGCCATGCCAAACGCACCAACACTGGACCAGCACTTCCATCATCATACTCGGGCTGATGTAGAATCTTNTTGATATCCGCAGCAACGGCCTCGAAATCTCCAGGTTTGCTCATTGTGATGGGCGCCCGAATCTGTAAGTCAAAAAGAGATCTACAAACACCAGAATTTGAAGGACAAAGAGAGGGTGGCAATGATTACTACATTTCTCAAAGAGAATATCATACCGTCGGCAATTGATAAGGACGGTTATTGAGATAAAAATGATGCGCCGAGGCTTGCCTTTCGTCATTTTGAAAATACGATAGTGAACGTCACATGGTTACTCATCCAGCCCAGCATATATGCATAATCCTACACTATGAATATTGATGCAGTGCTCTGTAGAGAGGAAAATCGTAGGATTATACGGCTCTCTCAATCATTATACAAAAAGCAACGTCGTTTCGTTTTCTCTATATCATCCACACCTATGTGGCTAATTTTCCCGTATGTTCTTGGTACGGGCATCTCAAGCGGAAGTATGCATTTGTGAGTTTTTTTTGGCGCTTGATAAGAAAACCCTGTGCGCTTCATACGTAGTCTGCCCTTGCATGAGGGTACCGAGGTACAAGGTTCGGAAAAGCGGCCGCATGTGAAGGGTCCGTCCACATCTGGAAGTTGACACAAGCTTGTCGGAAGGAGCTACCAGAGACCAGGTTTCGATGAACCATATCTTGAAAGGAGCAGTTGATCTCGGTGGTCAACTCGATATTAACTCTATTATTTACTTCTCGGCCTGCATCTCGGATCTATGTGACCTACTATCGCCAGAATCTCAGAGCGCGCTGCTGACAACATTCCAAGGCCTCAACGGTCTACCGTCTTCAAGCTCGACCAAGAACCACAAGGCCTCTCTTGCTCTATCCAACTGTCCACTTTCCTCGTGTGCTCGAGCAAGTAGACTCCATGCTTCACTATCGTCCCAACCTTCTCCGCTCTTCGTCAAAGCTGTAAGTAAGAAGTATGCTCTGTCCCTTGCTGCGAGTCTTGTTTGAACTGCGACACTGGGGGTGGGATCTGTGGGTAGAACTTTGGGGTTCGTCGGTGCTGGTGTGGAAGGAGCGATGATAGAGTTAGGCAGAGGAGCCTCGGCAGGAATGACTTGGGCGTAGATGTCGAGGAGGATTGTGCTGATGCCTACGATTGCTGCGGCGTGGTCGGGATAATATGATAATGCCCTTTCGTAGGCAGCAAGTGCTTCGTGAGGGTGGAATCTTGCCGCGGCTAGAGAGGCGCGCTATTCAACGTCAGTATAGTGATTCCGTGATCAAAGATAGAGAGTTCATACCTCGGCCCAGACATCTGCCCAGAGTCTGTTCACACTACGGCCACCACCCCAACCCTTCTCGTCGAACGCTTTGGCAGAGCAGTCTTCTCGGGCGACGACTTGCTGTAGATCTTCTGCTAGCTTGTGTGCTTCGTCAACTGCACCTTCTGCATCTTCGAAGAACTCGCCGCGGGTATATTGTCCTGCGATATGTAGCCAGACTTCGACAAGCAGCGACACAGTATGCCGTCTCTGTCTGGCAAAGGAATAACGCGGACGAGGTGCCGCGGATGCGGTTGTCGGATGCGGAGCTGGCAGACGTAGATCTTGCGACGGCGTTTGATCTTCATGTCCAATAGGTGCGGGTTGTTTCGTGGATTCAAGGTTGTGAGGGACTTCACGCAATGGTTGATTCTGGTCGAAGCCGTCTTTTACTGGAACAGCTGGGGCACTATCGAAGGCGAGAGCAGCCTTTTCGGGGTCGGCTGCATGTCCGTGGTGATGGAGGTGTTTTAGTGGATGGTGGGGTAGATGGATCTTGTGGTGTTGCTTCTCATGCGACATGTTCTCGTCGGTAGCAGTGGATGCTGGTGTCGACGTGTTGTTATTCACAGTTGGAAGCGGAGGCACATCCTTTTCTTGTGCAGGACCTTCTGCGGTCTTTCGTGTCGACTTGGATCGTCTCATGATACTACCACTTACGCTCTTGAATGTACCTTCTGTCTTCAGGGAAGGCGCGACGAAGGAAGCCGCCGATGGATCAACTGTGTCTTTTGGTGGTGGTACTACGCGGTTGGCTGACGTGCCGAATAGCTTATGGTAAAGCGCAAGCACCTGTGAGCCTGCGTCAACTGCTGTTTCGGAGTCATCAAGCATTTCGGTAAGAGCCAGTTGCGTCAAACGGAGTTGAAGTAACCCTTCCTTTTCAGAATCTTCCATCTGGAGGATGAGAGCTTCGCCATCGGACTCTCCAAACATAATGTCGGCACCGCCATACTGTTCGAAGGCGACATCACAGAACTCGACTGCGTGCTCATAGTCGCCTCTAGCTGTGAGAAGTAAGGACATGAGGTGGTAGAGAGGGATCATTTGTCCCTTTCTTATAGCACTACCAGAATCGTCGTCTTGTGATGAAGTCAAAGCAAACTTAACAATCTGAGTAGCGGGCAACAACTGTCGATTCTCGGCAAGAACAGTGCCGAGTAATAGAGCAGTCTCAGGGTCAAGATTACCATCTGGTGACATCTCGGCAGCCTTCCTTAAAGATTTGATAGCTTTCTCTCTGTATTCTGATCTCTGCGCTGGATCGTGAGTCAACCTAGCATAGTTGGCCTGACTTTCACCAATAGCACGGTAAGCAGCAACAGAAGACTTGGCTGAGATGAGGATCCCAGTCGCGGTCTCGTCGTGCATAGCAGCTTTGTCCGGCTGACGGCCATCTTCATCCTTTCTCGAGACGGTGATAGCGGAACTTGGACGCGGTTGTCTGAGCCAGTCAGAGAGACGCTTTGAAACCTCGAGAGCCTTCTCGCCCTCGGCTTGGGATCCGTATCTGCATAGAATACCTATAGCTTGAGCGGCGGTCAGAACCACAAGGTCATCACTATCCAATCCTGGCTCGTTGTGTCCAGTCTTCTCGGCCCTTGACTTTGCCCGGCTTGTGATCTCTGTATAAGAATCGAAAGCTTTGATAGCGAGGTCGAACTCGGCCAGCGAGGCATGAATAGTAAAGAGGTGACGTAGAATTAGGGTTGAATGGAAAGTCTTTGTTGCGGCGCGATAAAGGATGTCCAAGGTACCGCGACTGACAGCAGCCTTGCCACCTTCTCCGAGGTCGGGTTCACGCCATCCAGGGCCGCATAATATTGACCAGTTAGAAATCACGGAATTTACCCATTGCTCGACCTCCTCGTTGGATTGGTTTGCCTGAGGGAACTTGGTCTTGTAGAGCAGCACGCTTTCATAGGCAGCCTCGACTTGCTTCAGCTCGGATCTTTGACGCAACCTCATCTTGGCTAGATCGCTGGTGGGGTGGTTGGGGTTATAGAAAGCCAAGGGTGACTCGGAAGAGGGTGTGTAAAGTAAATCTGTGGCGAGAATGAAAGAGAGGAAACTGTAGTACATTCCCCAGACTTCCTTGTTGGAGACATCATAGGGACCAAGGGAGTAACTCGGGGCGGCAATCTTCGTGGCCGAGTCGCCAGTCCAGATGCGAGCCCATGCTCTATATGAGACCAAAGCGGCGTTCGCAGTAGAGAGAGTTGAAGTGTGGGCTTGTTTCGACTGGAGAGTGCAGATGCGACCGAGCAGACGGGCGGCCCATGTACGATATTCGGAAAGAGCAGCCAGATTTACAGGAGCTTGGTCAATGGCTGACAGGGCTTGACTGTATACCCGAAGAGCGCTGTCTAGAGAGAGCTTTTGCTCGGACGCAACACCCAGGAAGTAGCAGTGTTTGATCAAGGCCAGACGGGTGTTGGGGTTCAATTCTGCGGGCGACTTTGCAAANGGAGCAAGTTCCTTCCAAACATCATCTTTGAGACCACCCAGTACGGTGGGCCACTCGGCGCGCAGGAAGTAGATCTCATGGAGGGCGACGTTGGCTTGGAAGGCGTCTTCGAGGAGGGTGCGTTCGCTCTCAATAGCCCGGACGAGCTTAGGAGTCTGGTCCAGGAGACTGGTGTGGGAAGCGGCCGAGGTCTGGGTGCCAGGACGGCGGTTGGACGATGTGGCGGTCTGAGCCTCGGAGGTGGCAGCGAGGGTCAGGCATGTCCGGTGCGGCGCGTGTTTGTCGACCTTGCGGACCAGCTCGGGCACGTCGGACCAGGCGCCATTCAGACGGGCGGCATTGAGGCTGCCGATGTAGCGCTGGGCCTTGTCGCTCTCTGACACCTGCACACCAGTACATCAGCAACAGCTTCTACTTCTCATACACGACATAACATACACTCATGGCCATTGTCGTCGGTGTCGAGGCATGGAGAGCAGCACAAACAAATCCAAAGTCGCTGCTTCGTCATGCCCATCACCCCCGACACGGCTCGCGTCCGTGCCCTCCGTCCAACGGCTGCCGTCCCTGTTTCCCCGGACTTTCAGAAAATATTCAGACTGCAAAAGGGTCTGGCATTGTTCTTTTTTTTTGCTAGATTAATATCTCCGGGCTGTACTGGAGCTCTCACATCTTGGACAAACTGGAATGGCTCCTCAGGCAACTTCCGTCTCTCTGCTGAGAGCAGCGTCTTTCCGCATCTCGAATGCGACCAAAGCCGAGCTGCCTCAGGTCGCGGCTCTGACTGCCCAGTCTCTGCTCTCCTGCAAGGACATCTTCACCCAACCCGATCTGGCCAACCAAAAGGACTCGGATGCTGCTCTTGCTCTTCACAGATTCAACACTCAAATCACCTCCTTGCTCGGAGACCGTCATGTCGAAGGTCGTTGGGCTGCTGTTGTTCTAATCAAGGCTGCCATAGAGGCTGGTGGCTGGGAAACTCTCAAAAAGTCCATCGCTTGGGTGCGTGGTCTTTTGATCCTGCTCAAGAAGCCCGACCCTCCTCTCTTGAGATGTCTGACTATCGTGACTCTGACCCGCATCTTCATGCTCACTTGGGAGTTCCCCACCTTGATCAGAGAAATCACCACTCCTTCCCTCCCAACATTCGTATCAACCTGTCTGAGCAACCTCGCTTCACGTCAGCCTACTCCTCAGGAAGTCAAGGCTACTCTGGAATGCTTTGCCCAACTTCTGCCTCGCCATCCCACAATTTTCCGCCAACACCAGGACGCCGTTGCAAAGTTGTTGACTGTTGTCTTTGAGAACAAGGCTTCGGGTGACCACATCATGGACCTCGCTTCTCGCATCTCTGTCCTGCTTCACCAATGTGAGCCCAAGAATGGTGCCAGTGACAAGTGGGAAGCTACTCTTGTCGCTACTCTACATAGTGCCCATGCCATGGCCGATAGAACTTTCATGAGCATCGACGAAGACTGGCAATCTGTGACTGGCACTAACTTTATCAACAAGAACATCTTGTCTGAGCTCTACTCCAAGGCCCAGGAAGCTAGGACCCCTGCAGATGGCCCCGTTGGTCAATTTGTCACTCCTGGCTATCAAGGACTGATGAACCATCTTCGCTTGCTTGCCGCCTACTTTGCATCTGCTACCTCTGCCTCTGTTGTTGGCTCTGTCGGCGCTGTGGCAGATCTGCTGACCAGATTGATGTCCAACACCATCTCTACCAGTTCGACCAGAAGCACTATTCGCTTCAGGCGCGATGCAACCAGGGAGGAGCGTGATGCTTTGACTGAAGTCCTCCCTCAGATTCATGTTGCATGTTTGGAAGTTTTGTCCATCATCTTGGACCGCTACGGAAACGCTCTCACTCCAGCATTGCAACCTTTCCTCGACCAGATCATGTGGATTTTCCATGCCTCTTCCGCCAATGTCGAGGTCAGGACTGCCACCTATATTGTTGGCAAGAAGATCTTGGATCTATCGGGCCAATCGCTTAACAAGGAAGCCATTGGCGCCTTGAAGAAGTATATCACTGCATGCTGTGAGGACGTACTACCCACTACCGAGGAGAAGGATCCTCAGAATAGCAATGGCAACAAGCAACAATCTACCATGAACGCCGACACTTTCCTTAAGCAAGCCTCCACCAAGCCCTCAGCGAAGACGGAGCTTGTAGGTCTGAAGTCCGCAGCATGGGATCTGCTTCCCACTCTTCTTGGTCAGCTTCCTGCCGAACACTGCTCGATCGCTCTGCGCGCAACCATGGATCGTACAGCAGTCCTTGCCCGTCACAAGGATGCAGTCATGGCAAGCACGCTCAACCACATAAGCACAGCAAAGGCTGCACGTAAAGGCAACAGTTTACTTCCCCTTCTCGCCCGCGAATATCCCACCGATGCTCAAGTAGAAGTCCTTCTTCGACCCAGAATGCCCATTCTACAAACTGGCCGTAAAGCCACTAAAGCAGAGACCGAAGCCGATGCTATGGACGAAGATGAAGATTCGGCCTCCGACAACGAAGAAGAACAGACTCCAGCAGAAAAGATCCTCGAAGTTCCTGAAGATGCCGCTGGCTCATCAGCAGGTGCCTCAAGCAACAAGGATGTAGCACACAAAGAGCAAGAACTCGTAAATTGGGCACTGAATGAATACATTCAAGAAGGACTAGGCCAAAAGTCCATCAATGAGCTCTCAGGCGGTGCGATCAAAGACAGCGAAGGTGAGACTATGGCAGACACACACGAAGCACAGAGAGCCAAGAGACAACGTGAGGATGACGAGCCCAAAGCGGCGGATAAGAGACAAAAGTCCATCGAACCTCAAGCTACTGCTGAAGACAGCGATGATGACGAGTTTGTGGTCCCAGAAATCATTATGGGTGATAGCGATGAGGATGATGAATAGTGGCACAGAAATTGCATAATATCATTATATAATTTATGCAGAGGTTCGGTGGAAGGACCGAAGGACGAACGCCACTCATGTTAGCGTCTGTTGACAACTGTAGACATTCTGATAACATCAACCTTCGAGCCCACCATCGGACTTGGAAGGAGCGACAGCTCATATCCGTATCTACGAACTAGCTTTGTGAATCCCAATTAACCTCAATAGCATCAACATCATTTCAGCATCGTCTTTTGAGTCTTTACACGCGCTGCGAAACAACAGCCTCACAATTCCTTCAGGATCCGGCAAACCAACAGTGGGGGCCTCCGCATCGATGATATATCTTCGGCGCAATCCTTGTGGGCGCCCGCGCAGGTGTGTGCACTATACAGCAGGCGCTGTATATGCACGCTTACCGGCCACGAGGCTGTATGCACTCGACGAAGAGCACACGAAAGCCAACGATTCAACCATAGTGCTACTACGCTCGTCGTCGTAAGTGCAGTCCAGAGACGCATATGATAATGCTCTGTTTTCTCCACCTATGGCCTAATTTGCACTGCGATGGGTCTTTGTTCGTGACGGACTTCTTTAAACCCCCCTGAAAAGTAAATTCAACCTGATGCAGATCCCAGAATTGTGGACGAATTGTAGCTTCGTCTGCAAGCCACAAGCTTTAGGACGGGATATCATGCATATTGAGTTGCATTGAAAAGTCGACCGCTACCAGGACGCCTTATCGCCTGCTTCTACCCATTCGAATCTGTTCTGGCCTGGATGTCAGTATCGGTATCTCCTGACCTTTGTTTTCTGTCTTCACCAGAAGTTTTCTGCGAAACTCGACTTACCTCAACGAACAAGCCAGAAGTCCACCTGCGCAGCTCCAGCATTTGAGTGACTGTCTTTACGTGTGCACCCGTCGTCAAGCGCGTTTTGTCAAAGCGTCATGTCTCAACGACCACGGAGACGTGTTGTTGCGTGTGTTGATGGCACCTGGTATGACGCCGATGGCCAAGAAGGCAAGTAAGAGCGACTTTCTCTCGAGACATAGACCGGAACTAATACAGTCGTTANNGGCCAAGGACACGGGAACAATAGCAACGTCTTTAGGATTTTTGCAGCGATAGCTCGCGGCCCGGTCAAGAATGAGGACAGTGAGATGGTCGAACAGGTCAGCCTCTATCACGCCAATTTGCACGATGAAGTTCCTTTACGTTGACAAGCACTAGNNATCATTGAATATTTCCCGGGTATCGGAACAAATGAGAGGCCTTTGGAGAAATTCAACTGTGGTGTTACTGGAGAAGGCTGTGCAGAATAGATAGCTCGTGTTTACAAGGTGTGCTATCCTTTTGTCGTGCTTCATAAAGTCTTGCTCACCTAAATATTAGNNTACTGCTGTCGTCACATTGAGGGACCCGAAGACGATCTGTGGTTTTACGGCTTCAGCCGTGGTGCATNNGTGAGTTGATTCGTTTTAACACTCCATCGATGGTAGCAGCTAACAGAGCCAGATGTTGTGACTGCGGTAGCGGGACTGCTAGAAAAGATAGGTGCTTTGGTCTACGATGAGGATTTCGACAAAACTTATGAGACGGCTCTGAGCCTGCACAAGGCCATCCAGATGGGTCATGTCAGAGAAAACTCGGGCAAGGCAAGTTTAAAATNNGAAACCTCTGATTACGCTTACTGACGTAAGAACGGCTCTACTACCTCCAGTCAGTAAGAAGCGATATCACGATCGTCCGTCACTGACAACTAGAGTACCCAAAAATCGAGGAGATGCCCGAGGATCAACTTTCTTGGCCTTCTGGATACCGTGAAGCGTATCAACAGCGATCTCGATTCGACAACACACTCGTTGGCTTTCCACGATTCTCTCCAACATGTCCGTCATGCTCTCGCGCTGAACGATACACGTTCGCACTTTAAGCCGGAAATGTACAGCTCGATTCCCGACAGCGAAGCACTCCGAGGTCGATCTCTGATCCAGGCCTGGTTTGTGGGTGCACACGCAGATATAGGGGGCGGAGCAAGAGACGATGGGCTCTCGCTGTATCCCCTCCAGTGGCTTTTGATTGAGAGTGAACACCAAGGTCTCGTTCTGCAGCACAATTCTCAGACAGCACTGATAGAGGATCCTCTAACTTTGGTCATTCCGTCTCGAAAGTCTGGGTTAATAAGCGACGGAGCCGCTACACCAAGCGCAGCATGGGAATATCACTATGCAAACGGTGTAAAGGTTCAGATGCATAACCTGAGTGNNTCCCATAACCACGGAAACATGCAAGCGCTGACAAAGCTGGCAAAGAAGAGACCTGGCTTCGACATCTATAAGAGGTCTAATACGATCGCGACTCCGACGCCCAAGGAACCAACCACGGCAGTCAGCACTTTTGATTCCTCAAGGCGGCACAGTGAGGGTGACACCCAGCGCAAGAAGAGCGGGTTCATACGCGGACTTTTCGGGAAGAAGAAGTTCATGGACGCATCTTCGGGTCCGACAGCTCCTACAAGCCCCCGAGAGCTCGATAAGATCGTTGAGTCAACCCCTAACGAACCTGCACCAGTACGACACACTGTTCGTCTGAACCCAGGGTTCCCGCGCGTCACTTTCCAGTCGTCCCGAAACCCGTTCCGCAACGGCAGGCTAGAAAACCACATCGAAAGCAAGCATGGTATGGATGTCGGTATTCTGAAGGTGTTTCACGAATGACTAACACTGCTTACCGATAGGTNNGCTTTTGGAACCATCGTTCACCCGTCAGTCTACTTTATCATGGATGTCTATGCCCGCTATGGTATAGAGACAGCGATGAAATCTTTCCAGAAAGACATAAATCGCTTTCGCGATGAACAACATCCAAACATGAGAGACCCTTGGCTAAAGTTGGAGATGGAAGGCGTGCCCCAGACCAGCGTGAAAGCATGCAGAATACTCGTATGTGGCCGCACAGGAGTTGGCAAATCCACTCTCATAAACAAGGTCTTTGGCGTTCCCATGACTATCGAATCGCACATGAAACAAGGCGATCACGATATCAACGAAGCCTTCGAATCGGATACGCACCCTGGAATCATCATCCATGACTCTCGGGGCTTCCAGGCTGGGGATGCTAAAGAGGTGGGGCAGTTTGAGAGATTCATCAAGAAGCGTTCGGTGATCGACGATCCTAAAGAGAGTCTCNCTGAACACAAAGTGAACCAGGCGATAGACGAAAGCATGCGCCTTCTCCGCCACGGGGTATGGACATCGTCGGTAGGCGCAGGAGCAGTCTTTGTGTCCACCGTCTCAACGCCAACAATCTCCAGGATGCTATGCGATAACATTTTGAGATGCTTTGGCTTCCCGAAGATCGATCCGGCAAGCGTCAACAACATCATGAACAAGATTATCGGGTGGAACCTCAAGCGTTTCCTCACACAGCAGGTCGGTCATTGGGGACTTGCGAGCGGCAGCATGGCTGTGGTTATCGTTACTGCAGGCGCAGGCACCCCACTACTCGCGGGCTTGTCGCTGCTGGAGGCCTCTTCAGCCGCACGCATAATTGTCAAGTGCACCTGCGATCTGATTCTCATCCTCGACCGAGCATTCAAACACGGCGGCAAGTTCGTCACAGGCTCCGACATCGAGCTGGCCCGTCGCGAATACGTGACCACCCAAGCACAAGGAAGCTGGTCCAAACGAAAACAAGTACATGCCCAGGTTGTAAGATTGATCCCCGTCATCTCCAAGAAGTTCTGGAATGCTGTGCGCATCTCGAATATCAAGGTTGGCATGGAGGAAATTATTCAGAACAACCGCTGGAGTCCGAGTGCAATGATTGGTCGCACAGACTCGGTGCAGGGCTCTTTGGTGACCAAGTTGAGTGCGGAGTCTTTGAGGGATGAGGAGGAGATGACGAACTTATTCGAACTTGCCAAGGTGTAATGTCAGAGACCTTGTGATATACTACACGTAATTCATCCTTTTCGTATCAGTCGAGACCTGCTTTCAGGAGACGCGATACTCCAGCGTTAGGACTATGATGCCACCGAGCGTCTCCGTGTTTGCATAATTTGTGATCTTCTGGCCAAGCAGCTTCCTCACTTGTGACATCAAGACTAGATGTCCGACGTCGGCTTTGCTCGCTGCTGATGGTGGGAGTTGAAACAGTCTTTCGGCAGTAGGCCGGAATTGTTCTTCACAACAGCGCTCTATGCATATGCTGCTGTCACCATTCCTGAGGCTCGCGACCGTGAGCTCACGAGGTGCCTTTAGGCGACAGTTCTTGGAGCCGTATTTAGGCTCTGTTCAGGTTTTGCGTGCATGAGTCCAGACTGTGATTGTCATGATGAGCAGCCTTGGGTCCATCGAATGAACTTTACATGAGGTCGCAATACGAGATGCATCGCGCCACGATTGTCCCTCACTCAGTCATCGATCAATTAGTACCAGTACCTGAGGAGTGCAGGATGGTCACGTTGCTCATAGTAATATGTATTGCTTGGCGGTGCGACGCTGTCATCTCTTGTTTGTCTTGCCCACCTCCAAGCTTCCGGAAGCTTTCCAAGAATGTACCTCATCTCATGCAAGCTAGTGATGATTCTGCTTACGAATGTTTTAGTATCCGAGAGATTGTGGGGATGAACAGGTCGCTTCGAGAGGTTGAAACAGAAGGTGCGGCCGAGAAGCATCCGAGCAACCAATGACATTTCTGCTTTTTGAACGACATCTGATGGTAAAATCTCTATGGCTGTAATGCTGTTACTACTGACACAATCGTATCGTCAATTCATCATTATAGATTACGAATGCTTGTGGACTGATTATGCCGCACGCCTCCTGACTTCGAATCTGCGCCGCGTCACAAGTTCAAGCCTCAAATCCATCCTAGGCTTTGAATCACAAAGACACACCTCAATCTCGAGTCCTGCATACGGGGTCGAGGCCTCATACCGACATCTGCGGGTCTCGCATGTAATGACAAATGAGATGGGAAGACGGATCAATGCGTCGCAAACATCACCATCGCCGTCCGATTCCCCTAGTATGCACATCAAACTAACCCGTACTCGCGCGAGATCCCTCCTCAGTACTGCTTCACCAAAACGCCATACGAGCTTGGCCTTTGGGTAATATAGCTAAGCTTTCTTCAGCATCGTACGTGCGGGGAAATTTGGTGCGTGACACTCAATTGTAAGGAGCGAAGCCTCTATGCAGTCTGGAAGGTCTGCTAATTAAGCTAGACGATCACTAACATACCTTGATGAGTAACGATATGCTTTGGAGCTTTAGGCAAAATTACTCGACTCTAGGCAAAGGACGGATGATCGACGTAGGCAATGCACTCGACCGTTGCAATGAAACGTCCTGAAACTTCGCTAAGCACTATAAGCCTATAAGCACGGTTCCCAGACTCCCGTCCAAAGCTTGTTCAATCATCCTATTACGACAGCACGCAACAGTTCTCGTGCGCCCACCTCTCAAAAGCACACCAAGTCGGCTTGAACAATGCTTATGCGTGGCTGAGATTAATTAAGTGGCGGTCGTGGTGACGCTCGCTTGAGGGCTGTAGTATGGTTCTCGTCCGTAAGAACGCATACCGGGCTCATCAATCCTAAACACGATTGCACTGCTAGTACTGCAGGCCGGAAAACAGGCATTAGGCTGAACAGCAGACTTCCGATGCCTCATCGTGTATAAGTACCGCGTCTGCTCTCCAGTGTTGATCAACTCATTCAAGCAAGCAAACAGACATTCCTTGATTTCAAACACCTCACTCTTTCAACAAACATCATGAAGTTCACCGCTATCGTCGCCGCTATTGCTGGCGTTGCCATGGCTGCCCCTGCCGCTGAAGTCCCGGCTGCTGAGCTGGAGAAGCGTGCCACTCCCATTAACTATGTCCAGAACTACAACGGCAACCTCGCCAACTTCAAGTACAACCAGGGTGCTGGCACCTACACCGCCAACTGGAACCACCCCGGTGACTTCGTCGTCGGTCTTGGCTGGACCAAGGGTAGCGCCAGGTCAGTACTGCTCGATACTGTACATGTGTAGCTGCTGGCTAATAATTTATACAGGAGCATTACCTTCAGCGGTTCCTACTCTACCGACAGCAGCTCCTACTATGCCGTCTACGGCTGGTTGAACAACNCCCTGACCGGTCAGTCCACCGAGGTCACTAATAATCGAAGATGAACAGAGTCCTGACAATCAACAGAGTACTACGTCGTCGAGAACTACAGCTACGACCCCTGCTCCACCGGCACTCAGGTCGGTACCCTGACCAGTGACGGCTCTTCCTACAAGATCTGCACCCACACCCAGGTCAACCAGCCCTCTATCGCCGGCACCAAGACCTTCGGCCAGTTCTTCTCTGTGCGCCAGAGCAAGCGCAGCTCTGGTACCGTCACCATGTCCAACCACTTCAATGCATGGGCCCAGCACGGCTTCAAGACCGGTGACTACAACTACCAGGTCTTCGCCGTTGAAGCCTTCGGCGGCACTGGCAGCGCCAACGTCAAGGTCTCCGGTTAGTAAGTATCACTCCTCATGCGAGTCGAAAGCTGTACTGACAAGTCTTTGCAGAGGGAGATAGCACCGGCACCGGCAGCGGATCTGGATCTGGATCGACCACCACCAGTGCCCCCGCACAAGGTCCCACAACTGTCACCCCTGCACCCCCCAGCACCACTACCACTTCCTCCGGCGGATCGAGCGGTGGCTCCATCCAAGTCTGGGGACAGTGTGGCGGTCCTGGAGCAGCAGCTGGATCTTGTGTCTCGGGCACCAAGTGCGTCACCCTGAACCAGTACTACTCCCAGTGCCAGCCTGCATAGACGTGAGCTGGCTCACGGCATGCCTTGCGCGTGCAGATGTCAGGAATAGCTTTCCTCGTTTGTCGATCGTTCGCGGATCGTTCTTTCTGATTTCTGTTCATTGATTGTTTGTTTTCTTAAAGTCTTTGTTTCATGGGTAGTTCCTTCTTCCCTACGCTCCTTAGCCCCAAAATAAAGCATTTGCTCAAACTCCCTGACCACACGGGTGACTTCATGTGCAGTACGAAGCCAGTGGTTCACAAGACAGCATCACAGAAATATGATCAGCAATTAGGATGAAAGGCAGCAGTTTATCAAGTGAGCAGTAGGCATGCCATGAACGCCCGAGTTTTGTTCTTGCTTTCTTGTCTATATGGAAGACATCAATTACCCCTGTCCGCGATTCATAAATTTCCACTGTGTGTCAGTTGATAAGTGTTTCGTAAACATGATCGACTTAGAGGATGCCACGAGTCCTTTTCGCTACGGAGCGACATCGCAGCTCAGATTGTAGTCGGGAGTTGCTCAATCGAGTCACAATACGATGCGAGCAATTCGGAGAAGCAGAATACCTGCCTCGTCGTGAACAAAGATGACCTCAAAAGCTCACGATGTTTGGTCTCGGCCCATCATGCAAGTTGAATATCTGAATTTGAATTCCCTGACATACATCAAACATTAAAGATACCATGCTAACACAGAGTGGGTATGATACTGTCCCAACGTAAACCTCTTGTGGCTCTGCATTCTACCAGCACTTCATGATGCTCTCTCAAATGCACTACAAGCTCAGGTCAATTTTTGACTTTCGATAAATCCTGACCTGGAGAAAATCCAAGAATATGTATCATAAGTAAATCAGAGAATGATAACTCTTCTCGTGGATAGAATCCTCAAAGCAAAATCCAGCCAAAGGCAATTGCTGCTATACCGACACATAAGCCCACTCCTATACTGCTTGCCGCATTGGCGCCCAATGGTGCGGAGGAGGAGCCCGGAGAGTCACTTTGCGCAGCTGTCGATGCAGAGGACGGTGAATTTGAACCTGCTGGCGAAGTAGTCGAAGGTGAAACCCCGGAAGCCGATTCGCTCGATATAGTTGATGAGGCATTCGGACCCCTCGAAATATCGATGGTATAAGTCCGGATCGTGCTACTTTGCTGGATCGTGCTGGTGCTCTGGACCGTGTCGACATGGATCGTACTGGTCCTCTGAGCCGTGTTGACTTGGATTGTCCTGGTGATTGTAGTGCCATTAGATCCGATCCAGAACTCGGCGGATACAAAACCCTCGGTCAACTGCGCGTTTTGATCTGCATCCGCATCGACTGCACGAATGAGCCATGGGACGCTACATTTGTCGCCGCAATCAACAGTCCATCCCCAGTGGCCCACTGAAACATTGGCTGCAGAGCTGTTAGCACGTGTATATTGTGTTCTCCTTGTTGGCATGCTTACTTGTCAAGGCGACTGGATGAGCAAAGTCGAAATTTGCAACTGCAAAGAGATTCACTCGCGAGAATGTCGATGTCCAAGAAATGTTCATCACAGATCCGATTGCATAGAATTGAACTGCTGATAGATCTGGCCAGGTGAACGTTCCATTACCACTGACGGCTCCGAGCGCTGCTGTCGGTAAAGGTTGGTAAGGCTTCCATGTGGTGACGGTCGACTGAGAACGTGCTCGGAGGAACAATGTAAACCAAACAACGCTCTGCCACAGAAAGTGCATCCTGCAGCTGCTCCTCATAGTAGCGGTTGTTTTTCTGTACATAGCAGTCGACGGCTTCCAAGAATCGAGAGGGCGCAAGAAGAATTGGTCCTGAAAACGCGATCTGGTTGTTTAGAGAAAATAAGCGCTTGGAGAGGTCAATATCTATCGCATTTTTCTTAAGGCCTCCATCCTACGAAGGATTCACAGCTCAAGCCACGCTTGGAGCCTTTTCATGCTTGTAATATATCCAGTCGGGTAGCGCAGCGCCAGACCTCAATTGATTGCATACCTACTGTATGCACTGTGCCGCTTCGCATATTACTCTGGTAGAAGCGCCGTTGACATTGTGTCCTTGGCAGGAAGAGGCTGTAACATGTAATTAGGACAAGTCGGTTGACTTGCGACCTACAGCGACAAGCAAGAGCGATCCTGTCAAGCCTAGATTCGTCGGGACAGATACATCGATCTCGCTTCTATCGCCTCATTGTATCAATCATCCGACTCAAGATGTTGTGCAGAGCTGGAGAAGTTGTTCGATGATTGTTGATTGTGAAATGATGAGAAACGCGGTTGATCGGCAGTCGCTCGGCAAGTTTGACGCGCTCTTTCTCAAGACTGCACCTTCTGCCCGATTTCATCCATCCCACAGTTTCCATCAGATGTTCAGGAGACAGAGCAAACCTGGAGCCGTCATATGATGAGCATTGCCATTAATTACCTATCACTAATCATGTCCTTCTACTCTGCGTCATATTCTGCTCTCCTAGAGACAACAGTGACTGCTAAACATACTGGGAGGGCAATTTTTCCGCTGAGCGCTCGCTGACCTACCGGCCCCACGAGAATGCTGTAAGCGCTTCCCATGTTGCAAAGTTCTGCTTCATCTGTCGCTCAGATAGCGATCAACAGATGCGTCTCAGAATATGCACGAATCCTTCTACTCTGCGTCTCAGAATATGCACGGGTTCACTTTCATCTACCTCTAGCCTGAACATAACAGTTATGAACATGTTATGCTCGGTACGTTCTCAACACCAAGCTCTTGGTTAGATCAATTAGAGTTACGGGACGTCACTAGCGCAATGTCATATGGGACCTCTCTCCACTCCAGTAACAACATCTTCCATCCGTCCCATCTCAATCTGTATCCGTCATTTCACAACGACGTACACCAGGAGTACCCCCGGTAGTCTGGCGACGCATCCTCATCTTCGCTGCCAATGATGATAAAGCGCAGTTCTGGTTCAATGGACGCCTGGTCTGCCGGACATGGAAGCACCACGTCGAGCAAACCTACCGCGACAACTACCTAATAAAGCCCTTACGGTTTCACATCGACATCGATATCGGTGAGGAGTTCATTCCTGGTTTTGAGTTCGGCACTCGCTGCATGATGGCTATGGATATGATCTTCGATCGCGTGGATGCAAGCAGAAATAATTACTGCATATTCAAGGAGAATGAGGAAACAACCGGTGAACGTGGCGGCTGGATTGACGAGGAGGGACATACTGAGATTTATGAGCGCAAGAAGTATGGTATGTGGAAACAGAAGCTCGAGTTCTACCTTGGAGCCGACGAGGGTGCAGCCGCGAACGGCGGGCGCTTCGACGTACCTCCATAGGTCATCCGTCTCACATCACCGATGACACAAGAAGAAGACGACTTCGAAGCTGAAGACGAGAGGAATGAGGCATTGGATGATACGGAGTGCGACGAGATCATCAATGACACCGAACTCCCAGGCTTCTCTTACGACATCGCTGCGCGCGAAATTAGCTTCGATTGGGTCCTGATGTTCAGTAAATTCTTTGCTGAACACGTCGAGACCAGAAGACGAGATGAGAACTTCCAATATAAGGTGCGACAAGAGATGCGATACGGGCATGGAACAGCCGGTGCAGTAGGTCACCCCAACTTTGGTCGCGACAATCCTGGACAGGCCTCGCCTTATACAAGGGCCAACGCCATGACAGCAATGACCGATGTGTTTCGTCCCAACCGTGATCTAGTCCGTCGGGAAAGGATCAAAAAGTTCTACAAAGACAAAGCTGATTGGGACTACCCGGATCACATGTTTGGAAGAGACGAGAAGGATGCACTGGCAAAGCTTGTGCCATTCCCAGGGGCTGCGAGCTTGTTTGAGTCGTTCAGATCTGGTGGGATGGAGGATGATGAGTACGATGAAGACGACGAGGACCACGAGGGTGGATTGGACAGTTACTTGGCATCGGTTCTGGGTCGACGTACTTGACCTAGTAGACCAGGCACTCATGGATATGGTAAGGACAAAAAAGAGGAAGAGAGCGAGGACGGAGACGAAGATGAGGATGGAGACCAGCACACGACTGTACGAGCCAAGAGATATGACCACTTCGGAAGTCAGAACAAATTAGTAGTACTGAAGGGCGGAGAGTAAATCTCAACAAGATTGCGAACAGTGAGCAAGATAATCGAAAAAGAAGATAGAGAAGTCCAAACTGAAACCCTCAGAAAATAACAGAAACTGAGAACAGATTTACAAACGCCTTCGTCCTTAGCAAATCCTCGTACCTTCTAGCTAGAGGTCGGACTTGGATGGTCAAGTACAACCTCTCCCGGTTCTTCCCCCTCCTTCCTGAAATTGTACGTCTCCGCGCCGACGGGTGGGAAATCATCAGGATGCGCTCTTTCGAACGCCCTCTTTGCTTTTTGGTAGGCTTCCACATCATCAATATCTTCTTGGTAGTACGTAGGAGCAGGATCCGGGGCCGCGAAGTAGTCACCAATGGTTTCTGGACGCTTAGGATGTATAATCTTGAGATCGTCGGCAAGGACGAATTTGTCGTCGGATGGATCGGGGCTAACGTAGCGTTGTAGCTTTGGTCTGAGGCCTTCCTTGATCTGACGGGTGACCATGGCTTGACGCCGTTTGCGGGATGCGGCTCTTGCTCTTACTGTGCTGAAGGGTGAGGTATCCCTTTCGATGGGGCTTCTGCGGCGCTTGGGGCGAGCTCGAGGGACGCAGAAGAGGTACTTGAACTTGTCGACAAGTTTCGCCGTGGCGTTTTCAACAGCAGCTATGCCTCGAAGTGGTGTACCCTCGGAACCAGAAACGCTGCTTCCATCTTCCGAGGCCGCAGCGCCAGCGTCGAGTTCATCAAACCACTGATTGGTGCCCCAGCATTCCATGCCTTGCGTGAACTGGGGCATGAGCTCTTCAATGGCTTCCAACACAGCCTGTGGTGTTGGCCTGTCTTCCACTTTGAACTGCACCATAGCCTCGAGAACTTTCAACAACTCAGGGCTGTACTCTCTGCGAAGAGGGTTTTCTGCTTCACGTGCTTTCGGGCGCTTCGGAAGCGGTCTGTAGGAAGGCACGGGATCAAAATCGCACGCTTCCCAGTTGATATCATTGCCGTGAACTGCTATGCCCATCAGAATGGACTGCATAATGAAGCCGATCTGCCAGATGTTCTGTAAACAAGGTCAGCATGGTCTCTATCAGTGGTATTGTAGTGTGTCGTCAACAACAACAACGCCCTTGAAGTGCGTCCCCATGGAGACAACAATCAGGGGTCCATCGCGAATGTAGAGGCTCAGAGAGACTTCAATACAAGAGTGCGTGTACGTACCGTGTGAGATCCAGCAGGTGCTTGCCAAGACCTGGGTTACCATTAGAAACCTTCTTATCATGACTACGAGAACGAAAGGAACACACCTGGGCATTCTGGAAAACTGTGTGATCTCGGGAGCAGACCATCCTTGTGTACAACCTCCAAGCATGACAAAGCTCCACGGGTCGTCTAGCTTTATTAGCTTCTTGTCAGTGTTGAGCTGNTCGACCAGCGTACCTTTGTAAGTGATGTGTGCATTTCCGAAATCGCCAAGGTAACATGGAGGATAGGCCTGAAAGTCCACCAGTCAGTTCTGGGCATACACAGAGGGGCAATGTATCCATGATCATACCGGAAAGCTATTGTTCTTGCCCAGAGAGCCAGGAGCACCAAGAAATATGTTTTCGGGCTTCATGTCGATGTGTGCGACTTGATAGTCGGTTTGACTAGTGCGGAATGCTGTGTCCATGACCACTGCAGCAGAAACGAGTCGGTGCAGTATGTACCAAGCAAATGGTTCGGGGATTTGTCGGTGTCCTTTTAGCGTAGACCCCGTCTCGATGCCTTGCGTTTGAATCAAATCAAAGAGGTCTCCAAAGGCGAAGTAGGGCGAGTAGTATCTCCAGGAATCAAGCGACCAAGAACAATGCTCAGCACCCAACAAGGGTACAGTATATACTCGATCCGGGGGGTGCCATTGGGCNACGAGAGACCTCTGCATGAAGACTTCCCTGATATGTCCCTGACCCAGACCTCCATCGGTGATGATTTGATCTGCTCGTACTTCGGTATATTTGAGCACAACGCGGTCGACAACTTTTTGATCTGCGTTAGAGACGAGGTTCCAGAGATATGCTCGCCCGAAGCCACCGGCACCAAGCTTCCCACCGCATACCCACGAATGACCCTCGGGAGCGTGTAGGCGAGGAAGCGCGCGTAACTCAATGTCTATCCTGTCGTCGCGGTACGGATCATTGTAAAAACCTCCCACGTCGGCCATGTCTGCGGAATAACGAGATTATCTTGAGAAGGTATAATATATGCTGTTATAGGTTGTCTGAGAATGAGCAATTTGTCCCCGGTATTCGCGTTGACTGAGAAGGGCACAAAAGGTTATGGTCATGACTATAACAAAGGACTTTCCGGATCCGGTCTGAATGAGTTTGAGATGGACAATTCCCCTTTGGAGCGGAAAGTCGATTTCGAGTCTTTGAATGCGCTCATTGTGTCGCAGAGGTCTTTGACGGAAACAGATTGACTAGATGCTAGTCTGGTCAGTGGGAAGGCTCGCATTGTTACCCTGTACGACTAATTGGGCAGTTAGTGACCAAAACTACGTGAACTGCCGAGCGAGAGGTGAAAAAAGGATCTGATAGAACCCAGCTATATCTACTAGTCATTGCTTTGAGTAGAACACATCAAACCTGCCGTCTTGTAGTTAAAGATAATCTGAGGAATACCAGGACGTTGAGACGCGTCCATCGCGTTGAAAACCTTGGGTTTGGCATACGAAGAAGTTCCCCATGTTAGATTATGAGTACGGGCGATGTCTCATGTGTAGCAGTTGAATTCCAGTCAGGGTTCATCGTTCCACAAAAAGAAGTTGTTCTTGTATGATGCTACCAAGTCGCAGTGTTGGCTGAAAAGGGCTCTGGAGCAAGAGCTGGGGTGTGCGTTGCCAACGTTGATCATACGGAAGAATATCGGCAGATTGCGTTCTCATCCGAGCGAGGGAGTAGGTAGCCATCAACACGGCATCAATTACTTCTCAACTACAAGATAATACAAAGTGTGCTTGCAAAGGAGCTATTACCAGCTCATCTCGCAAACTGAATGGATGTTGGTGCGAGAACCAAGTCCTCAACGATCAGTCCATACAGCATGCAGACTTCATGTCAATCCCGGAACGCCACACATACATGTGTATGCCTTGGACCTTAGCTACTATGCGCGAATTGACAACGACATCGGACAATATTGACAAGGATATGCTCAGACCAAGGAAGGTGTTCGGAGTACGACTACGAAGTCAGTCAGACAAGGATGTATGCAACCTGACGTCCTTTTACAAACAGTCGTATCAGTAACTGACCCATTCGCAGTTCACTACGGACCGGAAGGGGCGTGTGTGGTGAACATCGAAGGCTAAGAACTGGTTGAGGGATAAAGGTAATACATTTGTAGGTATCTCTCTGGTAGCGAAAAAAGACCGATGCATATTATTCTTCGTCTAAGACTTGTTCTCGCCGTCTTCCTTTTTCTTCTCTTCCGTGTACGGCTTTTGCTTCGCTCGCGAATTCCAATCCAACGAGCGCGAAATACTCTCGATCCAGTCTTCGCTGCGTTTATTCAATGGCAGCACGCTAGGGTATGGGAACCTCGAGGCAGAAATGGTAACATAGTCGCCAGGGCATAGCTCAGTTCTNGGATGACTTTTGTCAGTCAATTGTATGAGGGTAAGGAAATGTTGGAGAGTTATGACATACCTATACTTGCCGTCGAAACTGGTGTATGCAGAACTACGCGCATCGTATGGTACACCGATGCGCAGAACCATGGTATCGGGAAGAATGATGGGTCTGAAGTTTAGCGTGTGTGCAGCGATGGCGGTGAGGAGAATGACGGGATTGTCTGGGTGACAGAGACTTCCACCTGCTGCCAAATTGTACGCTGTGCTGCCTGTTGGAGTAGCAACAATAAGACCATCTGCTGCAATTGTGGTGAAGCATTCCTCGTCTCCGTAGACATCTAGCTGGACCATGGACCCAGATGGACCTCTGTCAAGCACGATTTCATTGAGGATGTGGTATGCCGCTTCCGGTTTGTGAGTGTGATGGTCGTCAGCCTCGGCACCTACGAGTTCCTCATCCAGTCTTCTCTGTTTGTGGTCATCATCACTGTCGCCGTCGCGACGGATGCTTCGCATGATGGTGCCCTCAAAACGGAGACGAAGAGAGACGGTGATGCCATCGCTGAAGGCTCTAGGTAGAATGGACGTGTATCTGGCAAAGTCGAACTTGGTAAGGAAACCTAACGATCCCATGGCGAAGCTGAGAACAGGAGGTACGATGCGTTGAAATAGGAGGGAGGCGAAGAGAACAGTACCATCACCACCAAGCTGTTTCGCAATGTCAGTAAGTTGGTATCACAATCTTGACAGTACAGCACTCACAGCGAGAACAATATCGAATTTGTGTGGCATCTTCTTGCAGAGCTCCTCGTCCCAGTACTTTAGCCTGCTTGTTTTGGACTCGTCACCCTCGAGGATCCACGGGATGTCAAAAGACTTTAGATCCTTGAGTTTGTCCTGAACATANACTGCATCTTGTCAGTCACCAACCCGATATATCTTGATATCAGTTACTCACACAGTATACTGTGCCTGTTTCTGATCCAGCAACCACTTTGTCAGCTCCGCGGCCTTGGCACACAGAGTAGCATCGGTGAGCTTGGTAAGGACAAAGATGTTCTTGACCTTGAGCATCAACTTGACTCGACCCAAACGCTTGGATAGCTCTCGAATACCGAATGCCATGTCGGACAATTGCTTCTTGGTGAGCAAGCGAGACTGCATGTGGTCGCCATGTTGTGGAGGTGTGCCTGAGATTTTGTCTGCCGGTCTCTCTTGATGTTCCCCTTCTAGACTCTGCTCAACTTTTGTACCGCCGTCTTTCTCCTCCAGCATGTTGTGGATGAAGCATGAAGTGTCGTTACGCTGTGTACTGGGTCGCATGTTGGTCTTGACAATTGACGATTTACGTCGTGGTGTTGATGATCCTTCGAAAATGACCTGCCAGAGATGATAATCAGAATCCGAGAAGAGATAGGGATGGTATCGATTGAANAGTACTTCGAGGGCTTGGTGTCCTTCGTCACTGCTCATATCGTCGAAGCTCTGTNNTCGAACACACGGGTGTTAATAGGAAGGAACAAAGGCCGGAAGCGGCATATTCACCTCCCTCCTCGCACTGACGCGTTCGGCAAGAGCGTCCAAAGCCCTGTCACTCATGACCTTTGTTTTCGTAAGAATGTGTTTGATTGTCCAACAAGGAATGTACCTACTCCCGGATCCGATCTTTTAATTGTGTACGAATTCCGTCGTCATGGCCTGGACTGATTGCGGGGTTAAGCCCTTATCATATCTCCACTGGGATGGATTGTTCCAATCATGCCGAGGCTCATCATGTGTTGGCAACAACCAGAACCACTTCCCCTCTAAGCCCCTCTCTCGCTACTTTAATCCTTCGTGTCCTTGGCCTGGGCTATATACAGTGCTAAGTAATATAAAAGAAACTAATTTGGATTCTCTGGGCTCCAACACACTTACGCGTAAGGTAGTATATCTTGTCTCTCGTCTCTTTTATTCATTCTTTTCCTCGTCTCCCTGTCCTCGTCCTGATTCGTTCTACCTGTTTCATTCCAACATTGTAGAGAACATGGCAGAAATCACCATCAACGATGCAGACCTCCAAGCCCTCAGAGGCAAAGTCGTTCTCATCACCGGTATGCCAAAGACTCCACCTTGCCAGTAGACTCTTCTAACACGTGCCAACATAGGCGGCTCCTCAGGCATCGGCCTCGCAACCACAAACTTGCTCCTCAGTCTCGGAGCCAAAGTCGTCAATGGTGACATGATCGGCCCCATCTCGCGTCCCGAGCCCTTCTCACTCGAGTCCTACCACTGGATCAAAACAAATGTGCTCGATTGGCCCGGCCTCAGGGATCTCTTCAAAGCAACCTTGAACCTCCACGGTCACGTCGATCACGTCTTTGCGAATGCAGGCATGCGACCGTCGACCTCCTACCTCACTTTGGAAGTTGACGAACGTGGTAACCCGATCGAACCCAACCATACGACGTTGGACGTAAACCTCAAGGGCGTGATTAACACTGCTTCATTGGCTTTGCATTATATGCAGAAGCATCCTGCTCCCGAGGGCAGCGTTCAGAGTATCGTACTCACCGCATCGCCCTCTGCTTATCATCGTTTCCGCGCTGCAGATTACGGAGTCAGCAAACATGGTGTGTTGGGTTTATTGCGCGGTCTTGCTCCCGTGACTGTACCTCACCTGCCCATCCGTGTAAACGCACTTTGCCCTGGCTGGACAGTCACAGGCTTGACCGAGGAAGCCCACTACGCTGGTGTCAATGTCAACTTGTCGACAGCGGGTAATGTGGCCAAAGCTGCAGTACTGTTGATGGCTGATGAAAGCAGACATGGCCAGATGGTATTGAGTGTAGGCGATAAGTACAGGGAGGTTGAAGAGGCAGTATTGCTCAAGGCTATGAGCTCTGAAGTCAGAGGTCAAGAGTTGACCGAAGATGAAATTTGCGAAGGTGTGATTGCCAATATGATGGCGCAGGCACAACAATGAGGGCTGTAATCGCAAGGTATAGTTGAACTCTGAGATATTCCCAAATTGCGCATATGTCAAACTCTTGATCGTTTCCTGTCTTGTGAGAACCTTTTGAACATAGATTTGTACAGATATAAATACAGAAGACATGACTTGTTTCTCTTTCAGAGTGCCACCGTAAAACGCCGCCCAATGCAACATTCTTGATGATTTCTCTAGTTTGAGCCACGCTTGTTGTTCTTCTTCTTGCGAGAGTTGGAGTCTCTGCTCTTAACCTCTGAGCTGCGCAACATGGCACGCTGTCTCTGGTACTGCCTGACAATGTTGTCGACACTGCCAATGTCGTGTCTGGGCTGGCGCATGTAGTAAAGTCTTGCTCTTCTCGCTCTCTTCTCCTTCCTTTGCACAACCTCGACACCCTCGACATTGGGACTGTAGATCTTGTACCACATCTCGACGCCCACGCGGGTCAGGTTGTTGCGCAAGAGAATGGCAGTGTCGATGCCTTGGCGGCGGATGTTTAGACATACACCGGCGTACTGGTCACCGTTCTTAAGGCGAACCAGCAGGATGTCGCCGACGTTTGCGCGATCGATGTTTTCGCGGCTGAAGAGGCGGGAGCGGGCACCGGTGGGATCGAGGGCGGTGATTTGGGATTGAGTGACGGCGGCGATTGGGTCTTTGCAGTTCGTACGGGCTGAAGGGACGGCGGGGAAGACGGGGATCTTCTTCATGGTGTGTTCGCTGTCTNNGGAAAGGTGTCAGAGTGGAGGCCAAAGACTGAAGAGGTCGCGTGTCGTACTGCGGCCGGTCATGATGGCGCCGGGGTGGAAGTTGACGGGCCTGCCGGTGGTCGAGGGAGCGGCGGTGGCATAGTAGCGCGAGTGGTGCTTGTCTGCGCGCAATTGGCGCAGGGCAGATTTGAGAGCAGCCAGTGGCCGTGCTGGAGTAGACATGGTCGTGTGTGTGGTCGACTATACAGAGTCGTTGATGGATGTCGCTGTTGCTGCTTGTCGGGCTTCCGCTGCCCCCAAATTTTCGGTCGGCCAATCGCGAACGCCGCAAGCTTGCGACTCTCTACCGCCAATTGCTAGACAGTTGCTTCGACTCTGACACAATCAATCATGACGGATCTCTGCAGGACGTGTGCATTGCGCACTCAGCGCTCTGCTGTTTCTGCCCTTCGTCGCAGCACCCAGACCCGCTCCTTCACGGCCTCGTCCTCCACCCAAAGAAACACTGGTATGCACACAATCCACTCGCAACCACTTCTTTGCTAACAACCTGCTCAGNCCACTCTTCCCACATTCGCCGAAACCTCCTCCCCCGAACTCGACGATGTCCTCCTCCAACTCCGTACCAAACACTTCATCCCCGCCTACCTGAACAAACGCCAGCGCCACCTCATCTTTGGCGACAAATTCAAGCAAGAACTCGAGAACAACCCTGCCTACGCAACCCTCGGCGAAGAGGAAATCGCCCTCACCCACATCGACCGCAGAAAGGACATTCCTGCTCGCAAACCCCTGGTCCTACAAGCACTGCGTCTGATCGAAGAAAACAACGAATGGCGCCAATTGCCCTCCATCCTCGAGGGTCTGCACAAAGCTCGCCCACAACCGGATCTGGCTCTGCAAGAAAAGATTCTGAGGAAGTTGCAGTTGGCTGATCAGTTTCCTGTGATTCTGCGCTCGCTGCGACGATCGCATGCCACTGGTCTCACTCTCAAGAACGACGCCGTTCTAAATCAAGTCCTCAACGCCCTGCGCGAGACCGCGTCGCTCGAGAACTGGGAGCAAAGTCGTTTGGAAAAGGCATTGAAGCAGGCAGACGAGTTGGCCGAATTGCTCGAGTCGGCAGACCATGGTTCCGGAAGAAAACTATCACCCAACGACCCCAGGACACGTCCTGCTGTCATTGGCCTGTTCCTCGAGCTGCACGCTGTATACGCACAACAATATCAGAGTGGCCAAGACGTGAGTGGAAAGGTCAAGGCTTACGCCACAAGATTCATGGCTACTTTCAACGAGTCCAACCAGGTACGTTTCCCTCAAAGTCATCCTTACGGTCGCGAACTAACAACTCCAAGCNCTGCCGAGACAGATCTCCCAGCAGTCGGTCCTCCGATCGAATTCTTGTCGAAAATGTCCATCTACCACGGTCTCAGCCTCGCATCAAAGATCCTGGGCTCGGACATGCCCGATGCCGCTCGCGCAAACCAGATTGTCCAGCAATACGAACAGAGATTGAGCACATTGGCCGAGGCCTTGTCAGCGAGAAACCCCGAGCCCAACAGTTTCGCAGCATCGAGCTTGAAGGCCTGGGACGCCTGTGTAAGGTGAAATATTTTGTGATGTGAAGCAGCATCAATGTAACAGTACCTGCAAAACTTTGTACAAAACGAGTCTTCTGAACTACATCCCACCCTCGCACCTGTGGCATCTTTTTTCGTTTCTTCCGTTCGTACGTTGAGCGCTGAGAACACCTGCCGCCAAGATTCACAAGTACGACACCATTGTCCACTCGTCCCACACGTCAGACCAAGCGCAGCACTCGCGTCTTCGCCTGTCTCCAAGGCATATGTCCATCGCCTCGTCTTCTGGACCCACGTCTCTTGGCTCCTGGGACATTTCTCTCATCTTTGCAGTGATCTAGCCTGTGATCGTCTTCTGTTTTCGTTCTTTTCATCTTTTGCGGGTTTCTGGTTTGTTGAAACTCTCTTTGCTCGAGATTCATCGTTACCTTCTTGTTGACTTCGATCGTGTTCCATTGGTTGGCCCGATCACTCTTTCCGTCGTGGTACAAGGATGGAATGAGCGGTCTTGTAAAAACATGGTTGGAAGGAGCGATGGGTTGAAACAAGATCGGAAGGAGCGATGTGGTCAACCCTCATCAAGGAAGGAGCGATGCAGGCAAGACATAAGAGGAAGGAACGTTGTGATTTACGCACAAGCGGAAGGAGCGAGACAGCCAACATATCAGCAGAAAGCGATGATAAACCAAAAGAAGATCAAAAAAAAAGCTTTTATGCAACATCTGAAACTCTTCTTCTACCCTTGCATTCTTCCTTTATCTACGAAAACAGAAGTGCTGTTTTCTACAAGGAGTAAAACTTATACTTTAAACCTTGACACCGATCTCTTGCACCTTTTCTTCTACCTCTTCGACATCTCCCAAAGCCCTCTTGACCTCGGTCAGAGCTTCTTTGGCTCTGCTCCAGTCTTCGAGGTCAGAAGTCCTCAAAACACCCCTCTCATTTTCTCGAACCACCGACCTCAGTACATCTTCAACTTCGGCCAGAACAACTCTTCCATGCTCGCGGACCTCGGCTTCCCAAGTCTCCCTCTCGGCCTCCCATTTCTTTTGGAGACGGCGTAGGGTCCAGACAAGACCTAGCGCTGCGATAGCGCCAGATTCGGCCAGCATGGTTCCTGAAGTGGCAATGTAGAGCCACACGCCCAAAGCAGATGTCGCGCCGATGGTAGTAAGGGACTGAGCGAGTAGTGACTGAGCACGCGCTTGTAAAGACGGCACTAAAGTGTGCAAGAGCTTTTGACGTGTAAAGTGAATAGCCAATGGCCAAGGTCTCGAATGGAAGATATCGATTCCACCAGTCTGCGCGACCTTTGCTGTAAGGGCATGTGTGTTGAGAAGGTCAGCAGCGCTAGGTTGAGCAACCTTGTCAGTGAAGAATTTGCCGAAGAATCCTTTCGAAGATTTTGTTGTCGGCGCAGAAGAAGCTTGAGAGGGAGCCAGGAAAGCTCTTTCCTTCGATATGACTTCGCCAGTCTTTGTGTCGACTGCACGGTCGGAAGCGTGCATGGCGTAGTCGGGGTTGAAGTTTGCCACACCGCCTCTGCTGCGGAAGAAACCTGCTTGTTCGATTCTACCAGCAAGGAAAGCAAGGGTGGATTCTGCGTCAAGCAGCCAATGTGAGCGTAGCACTTCCTCGGCGGCCACGTTTACATCGTCCACACGCCACAGAAGCCGAGACCAAGTTGTTCGTCGCCATGATCGTGAGTCTAGTGCATTGGCGAGGGAGATTTGTAAATCAGTATGTGCGTGTTGTGCCCAGGCTGAGATTGCTTGAGAGATTTCCTGACGTTTTTGGTCGGAAATGCTGTTAGAGACTACAGCATTATTGGCGACTTGTTCGGAAAGAGCAATGGCATCGGCTGCAGAGTCAAGAGTAGAGCGGATGTGTGATTGCAGAGTTGGTCTTAGGCCTATCGAATCGCCAGTGATAGGGTCCATAGGGTCCGAGGCCAGGAATTTGATGATGGCCTGGATGTTGCTGGCTTGCCATTTCGTGTTAAAGATGGCGCTGTTGGCAACGTCCTGACGGAAAAGATCGAGAGCAGCTCCAGCTTGGTCGATGTCGACGGGACTTATCAAACCAGTGTCGTTGGTTTGGGTGCGAGGGCTATCGCGTGGTACACTTAGAGCAACCTGGATGAGACCCTGTTGTGCGCCCGTAACTCCTAGAGTTGTGGCTTCCAGAGCACTGGAGAGACGGCCAAAGTCCATGCATCCTTGAATTCCTTCTCCGACAACGATGGCCTTGTGGACGGGATAGCGCACGAAGCCGGTACGGCCAGAGGAAGCGACGGGTGTTTGCAACGGAGGTACCAAGATGGCCTCTGCCAGGCCTGACGGATCAGCGGTGATAGTGGGACCGCTGGGTGTGTTGAGGGCTGTAATGAGGATCTCGAGGTTGTTCTTTTCTAGGACGCGTGAGGGGATGTTCAATTCGTTGACGAGCGGGTTCATGGGCGGCATGTCGTCTTCGGCTCCGTATCTNGCTCAACATCAGCAATCGCACAACGATGCCAATGTGCTCTTCTCGTACCTCAGGAGCAGAGGCTTGCCGTCTCGCGATGGCTGCTTCAGCATCATCTCCCACTGACCCTCATCTCCCAGCGCATCGGCAAGCAAGACACGTGCGAGTTTCCTGGCAGCCACGTCTCCGTCTTGTCCCAGACCAAGCAGACCAATTCTCACAGTTGGTCGCGAGGTCTCCAGTCCCCTTAGGGCGAGTTGTAGTCTACTCTGGTTGACATAGTCGCTGGCGATATCCTTCAGACGGTCCAGAGATGCGTAGAGTTGTTGGTGCTCTGCGGGAACGTTTGAGGGAGGGTTGATGGCTGTTCTCGAGGCCAAGTTGGTCGCATGCCTGATGTGGGCGCGTTCTGGTGTGTAGAAGCTAGTGGCAGATGTGCGGGCGAGTCTGTAGTCATGTACAAGGCGCGTGGATGCGAGAACGGATGGCTGCTTGCGAGCGATTGACGATGCAGACCGCCATATCGTTGATGGCGTATATACAGAAGGGACCAAGCGAGCGCACGTCTTTGGCGACAGCGGCCTCGGTGCCAATGGCGCTCGAAGAAGCATAATGACCTTCTCAATCGTGTCTCTCCTCCGGCCTGCCCGCAACTCGACATGGCATGCGCTCCGCCAAGCCTCGTCAAAGCTCCCAATCCCATCACCTATTCATCACTCGGGTGCAAGATAATAAATGGCGTTTCAATACTGTTTCCATTCATGCAGTCAATGCATCGCGTGCTGTCACTTGCAGCTGTAATGTACATGCCCGCCACAGGTCGTCATGTCAACTAAAATAAAAAGACTTTCTCTGAAAACTCCTCCGTTATACCACAGGGGTATCTTAGTGTCTGGCGCTGCGACCTGAGCCCGACGACCTGTGCATCTTGTTAGCATCTTTTCACAGTCTAGAGAAATCTTCCAATACTCACATGCTTATCCTTCTGGCAACACCAGCCAGCTTCTGATCGTTCTCGGCTTCCTGCGCCGCACGCGTCAAAGCATCATGTCTAGCAGCATCGCTGTTTCTTCTGACCTCCTCACCCGATGGAGGCAATCTCTCGTTCTGCAAATCCACCTTGCGAGCATCCTCAAAGTTGGTGATTGCTTGCTTGATACCTTCGGCTCCCAGCATCAGTGTACCAGCAGGGAGCTTGCCTCCACTGGCCGTCTTCAGCTCAGTAACACGCTCCGACTCCTCGCGCAGAACCTGGAACACCCTTGACAGACGACCGATGGCCAAAATCTTGTTCTTGATGGCGCGACGCTTGTACTCGGTGCTATCCGGGTCCATGTTTGCAACACTGTTTGATGGGAGAGGCGGCGAGTGTGGTCCAGATGAGAGGGGTGTCTCTTCCTCGAGCTCCTCCTTGCTGCAGGTGTTGAGAATGGCAATGAGCATGTCGGTAATCTTCTCGCCAACGAAAGGAAGCGACCATGTGAAGACATCCATAAAGTTGGGCAGCCAGTAAGGGTGAGGTGTGCAGTCTNNGTTTATTGTTAGCTGAAAGAAACTAATGTTTGTAGGGCTGCACTCACTGAATTGACGGATGTTCATGACGTTGTTCTCGTACTTGAGGACAGCAGCCTTGTTGTTGTAGACATCCAGGTAGTTGGGTGCACTGAAGATGGTCATGACACTAGGGAATCCGGTAGTCCTGGTCTTGCGGTACATGCGGTATCCAGCATCTTGAGCCTCGTGTGCGCGAATGATAGAAAGCAGGTTGTTCTTCTCCAAGAAGGCACATGCTGCAGGGTATGAGAAGAAGTATGAGCAACCTCTGACATGGTTGTGGACAAAGTATTCTTGCGTTTTTTCCTGACCAAAGTCCTCAAGCGGGTCGGCCCAGAGAATATCGCACATGAGACCGTGGGTAGGGGGCTCGCGGAAGCGGTCAATNCTGCGTATAACATTAGTAAGGTCGCAGTCTGGGTAGGCGACGGCACATACGCTCTTGAGGTCCTCAAGTGTGTGCAACTCGGGACTGAGACCACCGTGAATACACAGGAACTGCTTGTTCATAACGGCAGCAAGGGGAAGGGCGCAGAACGACTTCATGCAGGCCTCGTACACAGCCTCGGAGTATTTGTGCTTGCACTCGAGCTTGAAGGTGAAGTAATCGGTCAAATGGCGACACTCGTGGTTGCCACGCATGAGCCAGAAAGTGTTGGGGTACCAGATCTTGAGAGCCCAAAGGTATAGAACACACNNTGCATATCATGTCAGATTGGCGCGGCCCAGAGCGGGGCTGGAAGAGCATACCTCGATACTGAAATATCCACGGTCGACGTAGTCACCCAAGAAGAGGTAGCGCGTGTCTGCAGGGTCACCGCCGACTTCGAACAGCTTCATCAGATCGTAGTATTGACCGTGGACATCGCCGCAGACGGTAATGGGAGCATCCATTTCCAGAAGGTTGGGCTCTCTCTCGAGAACCTTTGTGCACTCGCTCAGAATCCATAGCGCCTGGTCCTCGGTGAGACGACCCTCCCGATAGAAGTGTTGCTTGAGGAATTGTAGGTTGGGCTTGTTGGGATCTGTGGGAGAGAAGAACTGCTCGTCGGTCGGCGGATGGAAGGCGGGCGCTTGCACGTCTGTTGAAATGCGGGTCAGCTTGGTCCGTCGTCGAATTGAACGATTTGCCCGAGCTCTTTCGCGGTATGGAACAAGAGCCGAGGTGGAGTACATACCCTTGCATACTCTCTCCAGAGTGCTAACCTGGGTGCCGTCCTCCATGGTGTGGAGAGTGAAATCAATCTCGGGGACGGGTCGCTTGTTGGTGACAGCGCGCACGGCGGTGTCGACATACTTGTCCTGCTCCATGGGTTGGCCGGACATGATTGCAGCGTGTCTGGTTGTTGCAAAAAGGTCAAAGTCGGAGTCGGTGGAGGTCGAGAGGGCAGCAATGGCCGGTCGCGTGGCTGAGGGGCAAGAGAGCAGCGACCAGTGGCAGCAAAGACGGCTAGACCCTGCAACTGTGGCGGTGTTTCTTGACGCTGATTCAAGCTAATGATGCCTGACGTAGGGAGCTGACTGTTGTCTCTTTAAAGGAAATGGCCTTCAATTACCACAGTCTCGTCTATAGAGGCGTGTTCATACGCATTAATCACAGATATTCAGGAGAAGGCTCATAGATGGACAAAGGCTGGGCATTGGACAATCACGAGAGGAAGGCGGTCAGCTTGTGGAGGTGCGCTCGGGAGATGTGCCTCGCTCTTGCCAGTTCCACTCCGTCATCGCCAAAGCCCTGAAACACCACCCTGCCGCCATTCTGTTCTTGTTGCACCACAGGAGTAACACAATCCCATTCTCATACTCCAGCGTTTATTTGCAGGATACCCGACCTTGTATTCATGTATACACATTGAGTTGGGCTCAGTCTCACAATTCACAGTTCATTCAGATTCACTAACAAGGACAAACCAGTTGAGAGTTTAATCAGAAAAACAATTGATTCATGATAGTGCAAAAACCATGCGTGCTGAGAAACTTAACCCCGAGACTTGCGTCTCAACACAGATATGAACATTTCCCAATCATTGCAAAAGGATACCGGATCCTGAAAGTCTGGTCGTAAAAGTTGTCGGCTTCGTTCAGAAGCTGTGCTTGTGGTGGATGTGGTTGGGGATGTGACGGTGGATTCGCGAGCTTCTTCTTCTCACGACATCGCGCTTGGAGACAACGTTGTTCGAGCAGGAAGTACCAAGGGAAACGGGGCGAGGGACAGCGCAGTAGTCGATATCGCAGATGCCAAAAGTGTTCTCGTCGATGCACACAAGCGCACCAGGAGATGGGCATGAGACTTTGCCGCCGGAGCAAGCACCAGAAGTGCTGTTGACAGGTGCGGCGTAGCCAGTTCCAGAAGCCATGGGGACGACAGGAGCAACACTGACAGATGTGGCCAGACTGGGAACAGGAGCATACGGTGAAGACGCTGCGGCGTAAGATGTAGGGGCAGTGGCAGGAACACTGGCAGCATATGGAGCAGCTGATGTGTAGCTCTGGGTGGAGTTCGATCCAGAGCCAGGTGCAGGGTCAGCGCTGGTGGGACAGCCAAAATCACCAGGTGTGGCAGCTTCACCGTAAGTAACAAATTTGCCAGGTTCAGGGAATCCGACAACGAGGCTTTGGTCTTTGAATTTACACTCGTTAGGGATATTGGCAACGTAGAGCTCAGGAAGGCTGTTGAAGAAAGTGTCATCGTCGGAACCGCCAGTAATCGAGATAGGTGCACAGTTCATGTACATCTCGCGGTTTCCAATTTTGTTGAACCAAGTCCAGGCGAGAGTGGCATTGCCATTCTTCATACCTTCAGGAATTTGAAACTTGAAGTCTTTTAGACACTCGCTTTGGTTGTCGCCAGTGCATTGAGCTCCAGTTGGCCTTCCATCAACATCCTTTCCGACTTCAGCAATGTTTCCCTCGGCATGTACTGGGCAGCTACCAATGTAACTGTGGATGACCTTCCACTTGGACTTGTCGGCTGGAGGAGGATACTCGTAGGTCACACTGAGTTGACAAGAGCCGCCACCATGGACAGCACTACCAGTGAATTTGAGATCGTTGTCTTCGCCGACTTTCATGGGGTTGGAAACACCAGTAGCGTCGAAAGCATTGGCACGGCTTCCGCTTTGGCAAGGAAAGTTGTAGCCTTGACCATTGAGAGGCGAGGTTTGGAGGGTACTGAAGCCGTATGGTGTGGGGGTGTTCATGACAACGTGAGCGTTGGACTTTGCGATGAGGGCAAGGACCGAACCCAGCAGGACAGTTGAGGTGTACATTTTGTGTTGTTTGGGGTTTTGATAGAGAATGTGATGCAAGAAATTTGGCTTTGAATTGCTTTTATATCGCTAGACCGGCTATGCGACTTGAGATTCGAGAGTTGTAGAACTGGTGAGAAGATGTGTTAGGTGTCTTGTTTCAGGAACTTTCGAGTTTTATGCCTGTCTCGGGCAGTAGGAATGGAATCTTCGAGGAGTATATGTATTGTGCCAACACATCATGATGTCTCAATTGAACAACACAATGGATCAATGAAAACTTGAAAGAGGACATAAGCAGAAAACAAGGAACAATGGGCATTGAGCATTGAGTATTGTTCTGACAATGAGAGGACAGTGGTAGCTGGAAGAATCAAAGAAATGTGAACCTACCAAAATCTAAACCGAAAGGCCAAGTGAGTGAATTCAGGTAAATCAAGCAGAAAGAGTGACAAGCATGTGGGGACCTTGCAGGCTGTAAAGAATGTGTAGGAATTGCACCAGGCGATTCCAAAGCAAAACTGAGACGATGAGGGGAAGCAGGAGGTTTAGATGCCACTGGGACTTACGGTTCTTATATCAAATCTTGTTTGCGTAAGGTGGATATCCCTATTTTCCGCCACATGTATGCGAACTGCAGGTCAAGCACACACCTGCTTCTGTGCATAGCCTGGCCAAGTCGCATAGTGGAGATCTACGTATCGGACTCTGAAATGGAATTGGCCATGGTCCACAGACCCTCGGGCCGTGGATGTCCAGTAAGAAGCCAGATGTGCCTTCTCAGGAGGCATTTTGCTGAACTGGTGAGACTGGACTAGAGCCGTCAAATCGTCCCAAGCGCGGGGCGAAGCCACTGCGAAATACGGATGAAGAAATCGTGCACATGTCCGTGCAAGTTTGCGCATGGCTGATCGCGCGTGTTAAACGACGGGGCGGTCAAGGCCACCCCTGCAGCACGGTAAAGCTTGGTTCTGGTCACACAGCAGTCTCTAGATCTGGACGAGACAGCAACAGTTGACGCTGTCTTTGTGTGGTTGTTTTTAAACACCAACCTGTTTCCTATTTCTGCTGTCAGGTCGTCATTTGCACAGCCTGCCAATCCGTATCATGTGTTAATGGGCAATTCAATCCAGTGAGGCCTTATCCAGATCGAGCATTCTTCACAGCTTGCGAGCAGTAGTAGAGTCATGATAGCGCATCCACAGTCGATATCAATACCCGCTCGAAGTATGTTTTCATGCATGCATGGAAGCAAACGATTTCTTGGGTGTGTCCAATCAAAGATCATAAGTATGAAAGCGGTCGAAAAGGAGATGCACAAGCCCTGGAGGCGGCGCGTCCGTGCATCAGGAGTGGATGTAACAAAGAAGCGATCTCTCGAAATCCCTTGCCTCCTTTGTTGCACAGAACATCGGAGATTGGGATAATATCAGAAAGCACTATTAGTACCATGTTTTGTGATGTCTGGACAGTAGCGATCCCATCCCAGAGTGCCCTTGAACAGACCATGGAAGAAGGAAGGGACGTGTGAAAATCTTGAAGCTCGGACCCCAAGATCTGCCGGCAACCGCTTTCGGGCCACAAGGCCGATGGAGCTCAGTCGCTAACATGAAACACTCGGTTCTGTTTGAGACCTGTAACACCTCGCTCTTGACTTGTATTTCGTGTGCAGCGTCATACATTCTGAGCCGCCGACTCGCCAGTCCATTGCACATGCATGGCACAAGAAGCGGTATACAGAGCCTTACTGGACGAGAGACATTATGTCATTGTTTCTGAAGGCGCCTGTCTGGCTTGACATATCATTGGCGCTACGGTGATGTATGTTCATGCATCAAACGTAAATCCTTCTTGGTGAGAATTTGCACAAGAGGTTCCCGTTCAATGCCGATATGCGCTTTTCTATCCGTTCCTATGAAGCGCCCGAACCCGTATCTTTGCCTCAGCCCTTGAGCATTGGAACTCTGCTCTCTTCCGGACGTATCTGAAGTATCCAAGAAATCTTGTAATGCGTGACTGGCAGCAAAGAAAGGAATCTGGCTAATGATTGTTGTAGGCATTCGAGGTAGTATCCTCCAGGGTCGGCGAATGTACAATGTGATCGTGAACAAGATGTATGTACTCAATATCCCAATGGAAAGAAAGAACATAGGCGACGAAACAAAAATTCGGGCCTCCGGAGTCAGTACAGAGCCGGCAACGACGATTGATTTGTTCGACGGTTGAAGTATTGTATCGATACGTGTGCCGAGTACAATTGCGAATATCCTGGCATACAGAGCTTCCACAATTGGCGCGGTCGTGTTGAAAGATGGTGGTGGAAGATGAGGATCCAGAGTTGCCGAACTGTTCAATGTCTGTGCCAAGAGGTAATTGACAAAGTCACTAGGATACGAGTCGTTGTGATACGGCTTGGAAGCAATATATGGATATTTCGGAGCAATCGACAGTGTAAGCAGCGTGTGAAAAGCATCGAGAATATCGCTAGAGCCAGCCTGGAGATACCGATTTTCGTGGTTCATAGTGTCGTTAATGGGAGTTGAGGCCTGAACAAGACCTTTATGATCAACCATGACTTCGCGAAGTTCGACATGAAGCTGAGGCTGACAACCCATCCAGGACGCATCTAGAGATTGTTCTGTAGATCCCTTGGATGATCTACCCCATCCAGCTAAGACAGTGAGCTCGCAGTCCGACGTATGGTTGTTACTCGAGTAAGAGTTATTAAAGCTCATGTATTCGATAGCTTCAGGTGATCGTGACTCGACGCTTCGATAAGTTTGTAGGGACGAGAGGTTACAACTTGGGCTACCAGCTGGTATGTCCCACGTCAAAGTCTTTCCAAGTGATTTCTGATACATTGGATAACAATGCAACGAGGCACTGACAGCAGGTGTTCTTACGCGATAAAGGTTCGCAGAAGCGTTGCCACTATCTACGTCCTGGAAGGGGACATAGAAGAACCTTTCGTCGGTCCATGCTGGCAGAGGTGTACCGGCGGTGAGATTCGACATTGCGACGTAGAAGTGGTCGAAGGTCGAACTTGAGAATGAATTGGGGATCCTAGAGGCATTGATCGGTAGCTGATACTTGACTGTGAAGTTTCGAGGCGTTGGGAGCATGATAGTGTGCTCATACAGTAGACTGCTGAAAGCTACAGACACCACATTCGCCAGGAACGTCATGATACAACAAATAGATGCTAAGGAGATGTGTCCTGTCTTCAGCGCTCTGAACATCACAGCTTGCGGTGGTAAGGAGTTGTAGGCTGCACTAAGTGAGCGTGATGGCGCCGCGTCGCCTCTGCGAAGTTGCTCGTATGGTTGAAGCATACAAAGAGTCCTGGTAAGCCATGTAAAGATTGGCTCAAANAAGGCACCCACTATCATCGGCAAATACTTGATCACAATCTGCTTGATGAATAGAGACTTCGAGGGGCGAGGTAGGCCTTTTAATGTCAGNTTGACAGTAGTTTTGAGTGTAGTGCGGAAATTACCATCTTGAACTTGCGCACGAACGTAAGTATATATAAGTGCAGCCATGACCGAGGTTTGTAATATCAGAAAACCACATCCAAAGATCCAGGATAACTCAGGGGGTAGTATTGGTACTATCGATTTTGTGGTCGCGTCCTTGGAAGGTGGTGGTTGCATATCGGGGCCAAGATAGCAAAGGGTGGGTTCTTGAGAATGTCGTCCCGGTTGCAAAATGAATTCAGCCTCCTGGTATAAGTCTTTGAGCTCCTGAGATGTTGCGCGGTCCGTCCCACTTGTTGTCTCTATGATACGTTGATCGCTACTCGTAAGAGTCATCAAAGAAGCTATGCTTGCAGGCTCGGATGCGAGATTAGTCTTTCTCCAAGAAGGTAGAAAAAGTATCATGAGAGCAATGAGTGTTGTGGTTGCCAGTAAACCTTCAACAATGTAGACAAACGTTGGTACCATAATCACTGTTTGCGTCTGGTAACGTCTTGTCGCAAGCACTGTTTTGTTATGGTTGAGATCGAGTGACAATACATCAGCCAGCTTTCGTGCAAGCAGTAGACGATAGGCAGCCTGATAGGAGTTTTTGAGGGTTTCGGCGCCGAGATAGTCTGCCACAGGCCGTGCATACGCACCGAGTGCAAAACTTGCCAGGTTTGGCAAATAGTCTTTCCATACAAGCTCCGGGAAGTTAGTCCGAACCCTTTCTTTTGGATCTGGCCATGATGATGTAGGGAAGATTCCCCGATTGTTATTCTTTTCATAACCCTGGCTCATACTCCATTCGAAGTCAGTGATGTTGATCAGATCCCTGGGAAGTGGCTCCTTGGGACCGGTGGGCACGATGTCCAGGACGTTCATCTCTGGGGGGACAACGGTGGCTATCACCTCCTGTTGATCTGCAGCGAGTCTCAAGTTAGCTGGATTCTATGATGGATGGACTCGAGGAGTTCTTTGGGATAGCCATACANNGTAGGTCGGCCTACACCAGAGCGTGGTGTTAACATTCTGAGGTTGGGACTTGTCGATGGTACCTTCGGTTATTCCAGATATCCAGCGGACAAGAAAGGTTTGATTTGCTTCTTTCGGGCATAAACCGTTCAAATAGGAATCCATACTCTCTTCATACCAGTAGCCCACATACATAGTGCTGTATTGGTCTCTGCTCAGTAGAGTGGAATCAAGGTTCATATAGTTGTTGTCGTACGTGCATCCCCAAGAGCTATTCATACCACGACCAGTTTCCTCACAGTTGATGTCAACTGAGTAAAAACGCGTGTTTGTGGTCCATGTCTCGGCTGTCTGCATTGTATCGTTGTCTGCCAGAGAGAAAGGCGCAAGCATTCCTTGCCGGTCCATGAACGGAGGTAAGCTCTCATTTAACCATACAATGTTGTAAACGGATTGAGCGTACAGCCCGGTCAACGTGGTCGTCTGATCATGCAATGAGAGATACGATGTAGACAATATTCCAGGCACTTGCGAGGATTTTTCGATCGTCTTCGTTGCGAATATGCTGGATTGCAAGGGAGTAAGCCCCCAGAAGATAAGTACCACGGCCAGGGAAGCCGAGAATACTGGCCAATGTCTTTGGATGTCAGCGATGTTCTATGTATCCGAATGAACGTTGTACCTTCTTTGGAGAGCAGCGAATGGTACAAGTGCCACAAAATCGAAGGGATATTGCAGCAGTACTGAACTTTTCCCGAGCGCGCCTTTTGAGCGGGATAGTTGAACGAAAGGCTCAAGCCTCTTGATGTCGAGGTCGATCCAAGTCCAGACAAAACTCAGCACGAGCGATACGATCGTCGGCAAGTACAGATAACAGAACTTCTCATTTACTGGAAGATCATTGATCTTTGGGGCGAAAAGAACGCCAGCGTGACGATTGCTTTGTTCCAAGTAGGTTTGGAGGATAGCGATCAATGTTCCAGAAGCTAGGATGGTCGGCACAAGAAAGTATACTTTCTGTGTCAATGGCTTCCAATGCTGTCTGGCTGTCGATGGGATCAAAGGGTTCTTGTCATCCTCAGCCCAAATCGAGAGTTCAATTGACTGTTCAGAGACTTTTGGTCGTAGTTGGCTACCACCATAGGCTTGGCTGGAATTGTTTAGGTCTGGTATCAATAACATGGTTCGGTATGAGCTGGTAGGTATCAGAAATCTCGGGAGAAGTAGCATGATGCTCCTTCGCCATCTTGAAGTACTTTCTTGCTCTATCGTAGCCACTCATTCTGGGCTTAGAGATCCAACTCGAGCTGCAGGTAGCCGCCGTGGTAGCCGCCGCCATTGCGGCAACGCCAATGTGCATGATGGACCGGGCGGCTAATAGATGAGGCGTTGCACATTGATATATTGACGGTATTTTACATATATCTGTCGATAACGTACATCGTAGGTTGGAGACGGTGTATGGGCGATGCGTGAGCGTTCGAAGCTTGGGTGAAGTTCGAAAGGAGAAAGGATCAGATTTTTTAGTTTACGTTCCCAATTCTACCCGATCCGCTGTCTTTCGGGCTTTCATCTAGCAGGCTTGATCTTCACCCCTGATGGGAGCTTGGATGAAGTCACCACATTAGACATCGCAATATAGAATACATCCTTTTGTGGTTCCGCCTGGCCAATTCACTTCGACATTGCTATCAAACGGACGATCTGTCCCATTCAACCTTTTACAAGGTAGAGACAGCAATGGTTGAAGCGTTATCTGAGCGTCAACATTCGTTGTTTCTTCGAAGAGATTTTGGAAAGCAACTGAAATCACGTTCGCCAGAATCGGCCTAGCTGCAAGGAGAGTCAACATGACATGACCTGATCTAAGGGCTTTGAGAAAAACTAGCTGGGAAAGAACATTCGTGTAGGCCAGGGCAAATGACTTCCTACTGGTTGACTTCCCTCTTCGGAGATCCTCGAACAGTTGACGCGTCAGAAGGATCCAGGCAGATATACGTGAAAGTTGGACAGCTAGGAATACGAAGCTTGGGAGATTGAACACCTTTGGCGTGTGTCGTGTCTTCAACGGCTGTATCCTGATTGAAGCAAGTCGCAGGTGCGGACTGAGCGTGATAGCAGTTCCAAAGTTCGAAATTAGAACACGGGCCATCTTTGCAACGAACAGAAGCCGATACGCTGCTTGGTAGGACTCCCCAAGGATCTGGGGATCCAAGTAGTGTTCAAGTCGGGGCTTCTTAAGTGCAGCAAACGAGAAAGAGGCCATCTTCGGAAGGTATTTCATATCGAGATTAGTGTCGACAAGATGTGTCTCCTGATGGGGCCATGGAAGACTTTGTCTGCCGCTCAAACTCGAACCGATATGGTCTAGGCCTGAGCTCATATCACTTTCGAAGAGTTTTGTGTCGAACATTCACGAAGAAATATCAGATTTCGGTCCAACTGTAGTGATCGAGATGACACTGCCATTGGCAGCATTTACACTGGCATTGACTTGCTGTTCATAGTACCGTGGCTCACATTTCTGAAATTAGCACACAGGATGCGGCGCGGATTTTCAAGGCGGCAAGACGGAGACTCCAACTTGCAAGCGCCCATGACTGTGCCTCCAAGAGACATGCATAATGCTAGAGCGTGTTATGTTTGAGATGATCAGGTCGGTGAGAGGGATGGACATGCAAGGAGGAAGCGTACAGCTATCAAGAGAGAAGAGAGATCAGTCTTTCTGGAAAGGAGAGCGCAGTGCAGTTGCCGCAGCATGGGAGGCTGGAAGCTGTGCTCAACACAGCTTACTCGTTCTTTCTTTCCCAGGTCCATTCATGAGCCCTAACCTTGATTACCAAAGCGGTTGACTGTATCCAATGACCTTCAAGCATGTTCACTCCTAGCAACATAGAAAGATCCATCTCAATGTCGCACACAAGCAAGACGTAAATGCTGTCCAGGGCTGCTTGAGTGACGGCCAAAGCTATGACCACCTAGCGCCAAGATTTTGGCTGAGCTAAGCGAGGACTCGCACCCCCGACATTTGCAAAGTTTTCAGTCTCTTGCATCCTCTTCGAATCGACGACAGCGACGAACAATCCACGACCGCCAAAATGACCAGCAGACCCACGGTTTCCATCATCTCCGCCGACGGCAAGGCCGGCGAGGCTAGCCACCCTCTCCCCAATGTCTTCAAGGCTCCCATCCGTCCCGACATTGTCCAGTACGATTGAACCGCGCCCACACGACGACAGCTGGGCAATTGGCTGATAACATGCGCGCAGGNNACCGTCCACACCGGTATGGCCAAGAACAAGAGACAGCCCTACGCCGTGAGCGAGAAGGCTGGCCACCAGACCTCTGCTGAGTCCTGGGGTACCGGTACGTTTTGACGACGACGAAAATCTCGAAACGCCAAGAATACCGCTCCTAACACAACCTTGTCCANNGGCCGTGCTGTTGCCCGTATCCCCCGTGTCTCCGGTGGTGGTACTCACCGTGCCGGTCAGGCCGCCTTCGGTAACATGTGCCGTTCCGGTCGCATGTTCGCCCCCACCAAGGTCTGGCGCAAGTGGCAGCAGAAGATCAACCTTGGCCAGAAGCGTTTCGCTACCGCCTCTGCCATTGCTGCCTCTTCCTCCGCCGCTCTCCTGATGGCCCGTGGTCACCAGGTCGCCACCGTTCCTGAGGTTCCCCTCGTCGTCAACTCGACTGCCTTCAGCAACGCCGCCATCACCAAGACCTCCGCTGCCGTCGCCCTCCTCAAGGCCGTCGGTGCCGGTGCCGACCTCGAGAAGGTCAAGGCTTCCAAGAAGCTCCGCGCCGGTAAGGGTAAGCTGAGAAACCGCCGCCACCGCCAGCGCCGTGGTCCCCTCGTTGTCTACAACCCCAGCGAGGATGGCAAGGAGCTCGTTACCGCTTTCCGCAACATCCCCGGTGTTGAGACCTGCCCCGTCTTCTCCATGAACCTCCTCCAGCTCGCCCCTGGTGGTCACCTCGGCCGTTTCATCGTCTGGACCTCTTCCGCCTTCCAGGCCCTTGACAAGATCTACGGCTCCACCACCGAGGCCTCTGCCCTCAAGAAGGACTTCCTCCTTCCCCAGAACTCTGTCGCCCAGCCCGACATTGTCAAGCTCATCAACTCTTCCGAGGTCCAGTCTGTCCTCCGCCCCGCCAAGGGTGGTGCCATCCAGAAGCGCACCAACGTCCAGAAGAAGAACCCTCTCCGCAACAAGCAGGTCCTTCTCCGCCTCAACCCCTACGCCACTGCCTTCTCCAAGGCTGGCCTTGGTCAGCAGAAGATCCAGGACGGCAAGCCCGTCGCTCCCGCTGCCGAGTTCAAGACCCTCCTCCACGAGAACTAAGTGTTGGTTCCCGGGGCTGTTGGTCGGAACGTGTTGAGACAAAATTTTGGCTCGGGAAGGGATTAAAAGTAGCTCTACCAGTCGTTTTTGAAAAAGAAAAGGAATTTTTCGCTCTCATCTGATGTCTCTCTTGCGCTCTGTGAATGCTTCTTGTGTCATGTCTGAAAACAGAACTATAACAGTCAAAAGCGGATTCAATCTACACAACGTACAAGTTATAAGGAACAAGAATCACGATGAAGGTCTATAGCTGCCTATACACGTTGGTTCCTCGGAGGTCGCAACAGAGTACGGTGCAATTTCGGTGGTATGCGATCCTTTCGCGATCACCACTTCGAACTCTTGTCGTTCTACTATCATCTACGTTTCTTGCTCTTGCCATACCTAATTCCTTGGAGACAGTGACCATTGCTCTGGCTACGTGACCGAATCTCGATCTAGGCAGAAAGACAATCTCATCGTGTGAGTTTGTGTACGCTAACATCGATGCCATCCATACTGACCATCTACCAGAAACACAATGGACATTACCAAAGACCCGCTGGGCCTCATTCTCATCATTGCCCTCTTCACCATAGCCCTTTACACTTTCTCTCCAAGGTTGTTCCGCTTTTTCTTCATCGGCATCGGGCTCTCGCTATGGCAGTCTAAGCCTCCAACCTACAAGGACATGGTTATGGCATGTACCAGACACAACAGAGGTGACATTGATTGGGATTGCAAGCTCAACATAGGGTCGTTTGGCGCAGAGATTATGGTGTATACTATTGCTATCATGTGTGCATTGGCACAGCTTGATGATATTGTTGCGAGATTCGGGACTGAGAGAAGAGAGAAAAGGGTGGAAGCTGAGACTGGATCGAAGGCTTCTGGACGCCGAACATAGGTAGCAGAAGTAGGAGATGATGATTCCTTGTCAGATATCTAGTGCAGTCGACCACACGAAAGATGGTTGGAGTGCTTCTTGTTCTTATATGTAGTTTCGAAGCAGACATATCTCAAATTGAGACGACATGGTTCAATGGCAGTAGATGGTTGAGCAGTGATGGCAGAAGTCAGGGTGCTGCTGCTTACAAAAAACCACGCGTCATCGGTTTGCGACGGAAGCTCTGCCATCTGCCAGGCGCAATCATGTATCGCAAACCTTAGAACTTATGGTTTGAAGACAGCTTGTTCAGTCAGAGAAATTACAGGTTCCTCTACGACAAGAATAGACAAGAGCAACAGTATCTGAAGTGAACGAGCATTGACGAAGCTTCAAGACCCACATAGCTCCTACTTTCGCTCACCACAACAGACCAACCCATACACATGTCACACTCTCCCAGCCACAGCACAAGCTCAAGTTCCTCATCATCCAGTATGGTTCCTCAATCGCCCTCTGCAACAAACGGCAGACTCCACCACGTCGCTCCAGTGTCAGCCTTCGAAGTCGATCCCTCATCCGACTCTTGCTCCAACACACCAAACCTCCTGCTCTGGATCGGCGGCTTGACAGATACATACCACAGCGTCTCTTACGTCTACGCTCTCGCCTCTTCCCTCCCACCTACCTGGTCACTCGCCCAAGCGAACCTCAGCTCCGCAGCTAGTGGCTGGGGCACTTCTTCGCTATCTCAAGATGTCAACGAGATCTCCAGCCTCGTCTCCCACTTCCGGCAGCAAGGAAAGCAGAAAATCGTCATCATGGGCCATTCCACCGGTTGCCAGGATTGCATGCATTACTTTGCCAGCCAAGACAAAAGAGGAGACAGAGCAGCAGTAGACGGAGTAATTCTGCAAGCCCCCGTCAGCGATCGCGAAGCCATAGCCATGGACATGGACCCCGCAGACCTCGACAACGCAAACGCAATGGCGAATACTTGGTGTAGAGAAGGTAAAGGCGAACACATCTTGCCTTTGAACATTACCTCGAGCAATTTCGGACGTAATCCTGTTACAGCACGACGATGGGTTGCTCTGGCTTGCAAGGGAGGTGAGGACGATTACTTCTCGTCTGACTTGCCAGATCAGACATTGAAGAGTACGTTCGGCAAGGTTGATAAGCCGCTATTGATTCTATACGGTGAGGAGGATGAGTATGTGCCTGCGACCGTCGATAGAAAGGCGTTGGTCAACAAGTGGATTCCGCTTGTCAAGGGCAAGGTAGATGAACAGAGCAAGGAGTTGTTGAGTGGTGCTAGCCACAACTTGAATGGCGATGATCAAGAGGTTGTCGACGAGCTCATCAAGAGGGTTGGTAGATTTCTGACCAGCATTTGATCTGATGAGATGGTAGTCGCCCAACCCATATAGATATAACAGACCTGGAAAGAGATGCACATACATGTCACCAACCAGTCACACCTACTAGATGATATCGAATCGCTTCTTTTCGAATTGTACTCATCTTTAATGGGAGGCCGCAAACAAGGAAACAATGCAACAGCCGAGTGTCAGAAACAGAAAAGAATGACATTTGAGCCTTTTTGTCAAAGTAGTGATGGGGTATCTTTATTGTTCGACCATATCTCCGTCTCCTCACCGTACTCAAGATGCCGCTGCTCCTTCCAAGGCAGGCTAGAAAGCACTTTAGACATTCTTTAGTACCCACGCCTAGCGTTGTTGAACAAATTCATCAGCACATCAGCCTGCGCCTGAGGTTGTGGCTGAGGATGAGCCTGAGGGGGCTGTTGTTGCTGAAAGTGTTTCTGGGGAGGCGCAAATCCAGGAGGCGTGGGGGCATGCGCACCATATTGTTGTTGATGTTGAGCCATTTGCCATTGCTGAGCATTCATGTGGTTCATTTGTTGTTGCTGCATGGCCTCGAGCTGCTGCTGCTGTTGCTGCTGCCGTTGTTGATCGAGGCGCAGTTGCTCGAGCTGCTGTTGCTGTTGCATGTTGTAGTACTGCTGCTGATCGTAGGATTGAAAAGGCGATGCGAGAGCAGGTCGTTGTTGCTGTTGTTGGCCGTTCTTGAAGAAATGAAGAAGGTTGACTTGTTGGTTTGGTAATTGCTGGTTGTAGTCGTGTCTTTGCGGCTCCGGGGTTTGCTCGTGGTGTATCGTGGGCGGTGGTTGGTGTTGTGGTTGTTGTTCTTGATGCGATGGTGGCAGTTCTTCCTCGACATACTCTTCTTCCACATCGGTGACAGCAGCGGCGTCTCTGCTGTCCTCGGCCCTCTTTGCGCATTCCTGGATGATCAAGGCATTGACCACTCTCGTCTGTACCGTGCTTCCCCCTTCTTCTGCAAAGATCCATAGGCCGTAGATGTTTGTACTTCCGTCCTCTCCTTCAACCTGCAGGATAACATAATCGTCCGTCACCTGGACCGATTCGGCAGAGAACAATTCACTAGAGAAATTCTCAAGGCCGCGACGATTCAAGACGATGCAGCTGTATCGTTCAATCTGCGGACCTCCTACCAGTGGCAGAAGCGAGCAGACGAACAGTGTGCCCTCAGTTCCTTGTTTCTCCCAACTCGACGAGGCTGGATTGAAAGTGTAGACGACAGCGAATGGAGCGACTGAGAGGATCTGGTGCACCGAGGGATCGTGTCGTTGCAGTACACTAAGATTCAGCTCTTCATTTGTGCGCGCTGGAATGGGAGCTGGTTGAGCCAGGGAAGTCATGGCGTCGGTTGCATATGCTGTGTCGGTGTCGTAGTCTGAGGGGACGTGGTGGTGGTGCGCCGTAGGTCGCGGGTGCGAGTTGCGATTGTTGCGATTTTTGGGAGGCATCTCGATTATGTCGTGTTTGAAATAATAGGGCTTTGACTTGCCTGCGCACACGTTGTTCGTGCTGCTGTCTCGGTGTCGAACGAGCTGTGCGACGTGATGTTTGAAAGCTGTTTGCGACGTCATGCGCGCTCACCACGAATTTGCCAACACTTTCAAGTGACCCTGGACTCTTGAGCTCTGCAACCTTCTTTGACTATACGCCAACCCCAACATTATCGTACAATTTCCTCTTCTTTATAAACACCAGATCTATAAGAATATCATGCGTTTCATACCTCCTCCGCGGGGGATGCCTTTTCTTTGTACAACCATGTCAAGTAATCGTCAACACTCTCGATGCTGACATCGTCTGTGTTCGACGTCTCACTCTTCGAAGCCTCGACGTACGGCATACCAACCACTATCTTTGGTTGCCTTGCTGCCTTCTCGTCGAGTCCGGCCCTCATCTGCCTGCCCTTCTCACTGAGTTCCTTGAGCATGTTGATATAGTGATCGTTATAACTTAACTCAACGCTGTCAGGATCCGACTTGTCAGGTTTGTTGTTGAGCTTCTGATATGTCTTTCTGCGCCGCGCTTTGGCTGCACGGTAATCTCTCCATGCCTGTACAGGCTTGAGTTCAGTAAAGCTGTACTCGATTGACCAATCGTGGTGCTTCTTGAGCATCTCTGGTCGTTCGACGTATACACCATTGACCTTGGAACGAACTGCGAGGACCATGCCCAGCAAGGGTTTGTCCGCGTCTGCTGCCGACTCCGGCTCTGCTTCTGGCTCTGACTCGGATGTCTCGGGGATGGCTTCGATCTCCTTGACAATCGTGTCTTTTTCGGTGGTTTCTGAATCTTGTGCAGCAGTTGTCTCTGACCGAGTTTCGGACGCCTCTGGACTTTGACCAGATTCGGAAATGTCTTTTGCAGCCGATTCTTGATCCAAGTCACTGCTTGAGTTGTTAAACTCGTCGACAGCGCCGCCATTTTCCTTTCCAGGTTCACTGGTTCGCTCCTCGTACATCTTGGAAGCTGGATCACGCAGATTGCGTTCCCACTCGGCGATCTTCTCCTTTTGTGAGTCCTGGATCGTGTCAATGTCCTCTTCACTCATGGGTTCTGCAAAGATCTGCATAGTCGGAAGCGTTTCAGCGGCCTTGGTCTCAAAGGTAAATCGAATAGACTATGTCACCGTTAGTATCAGATCAAATTCTGGATTAAGCACGCGTACCTGATCAGGGAATTTCTCAGTGGCCTTGTTAAACACTTCATTCAACAAGCTGATACTGAGATTGAACTCACGGTTACCCAAAGTGGTATCCTGTGTACCGTGAAGAGCGCGGTCGAGCTCGCTAAGACTTATATACTGGAAGCCGAATATACGCTTGACGTTGTGATATGCAACGAAAATGCCGTCCATGTGCCCCATACGAGCTTGCAAAGAGTATTTGAGTGCAGTACTACGCAACATATCGTAGTATTCTCTCTCGTAGCTCTCATACTGACCTTGGGCTTGTGTGATCTCATACCCGGTCATTGGCTCGTGATCTTGAGATTGCATACGGATTGAGAGTACAGCACGGGTCTTGAGATCGAACATGCCTGTCCCGGGTAGGCGATCATCTTGAGCGTCCAGTTGCGATCGTAACAGGAAATCGCCCAGCGAGGAATAGTGGTAAGACTCGGGTTTGTTTCGCTCGACCTCAGAGATGCCACTAGATTTGTGCAATCTGTACCGCTCGAATTCGGAGCTTGGCATGGTCAAGAGTTTTTCCATGGATCTACCAAGCAACATGAGGACGTTGGCACTGTCGTGTTCCTTGTCGGCGTCAACAGCGTAAGTGTCGCCTTTGCGTCTCAGGAAGATGGAAGTAGGGATACGGTTGAGTACCGTGAAGCTTTGCAGGGTATCAGGGAAGTCTCTGGAGAACATGTCGGTGTTGAGTTTGCGCCACGCAGAAAGGAGATAGTGGAAATGAGTCAACGTGCTCGTCATGCTGGAGGTAGAACCGACGTATTTNTTGCCATGCTTTTTNGCGAATTCCGAGAGGAAGTTGTCCTTGGAAGAGGTCTGGTAGGCAGTGAGGGCGTCGTAATCAAACTCAGTGACTGGCATAATCTTTTGCAAGTAGGGATCGAAATTGAAGACCTTTGAACGTCTGTCTTGGAGTGGGTAAACGCCTTGGGTGAAAAGGACGCGATCAAGACCGTGATGTAAACGAGGAACAGGCGGTTGTTCAACATGCAAGCGCTGCATCTTGATGCCCGATGCATCCATGGTCTTCATGCCTGCAGCGAGGAACTTCTGTGTACGTTTTTCATCGGCTTCTCTCTTCTTCTCTGCTCTGGCGACACGCTCAGGAGTCTGAGGCGCAGGGCTGTTTACAAAACGCGCGCGTCTTGTCCGCAACCTCCTTAATGTTTTTCTAGGGAAAGATATTGGATCGCTCCTGATAGACAGCATGGCGTCTCTCAAAGATTGTATTGCTCCACCATCGTAAGGCAGAAGAGTGCTCGACGGGTCTGACGATTTGAAGAAATCGACTGTAGAGTTTTGAGCCTGGTCATCTGCTTGCCTTTGCCTGGCTGGGGATCGACGAGGGAAGAGTATTTTCCTGTATGCATCTGAACCAGGACTCGAATCCCCTTCGGCCTTCTGCGTGTGCTTAACCCCTTCGGATTTGTGGCCAGATTCATGTTTGTTGGCAGTTGTTTCCGAATGGTCGCTCTGTTTAGATGCATTCAAATCTTCCTTGTTGAATGGCCATAGATGGTCTCGGGGACTGTCCTTGGACTCGGTCTGGCTCGCATCTTCAGGGTCGATAGGTTTGTAGGTGGCAGTTTTCGTATCGTCGTCCTTGTTGGGCTCGGCATTCAACAGGCATGTCGAGTGGCGGAGCGGGCATGACGTTGTAGTCGAGAAGAAGCGCAGACGACATGGCGGACAGACATAGCGGCTACTTGCAAGGAGGGGGAAGGGCCAGAAAGGGCGGACGCCTTGAGTGCGCCAGCTGGGCATCGAAGATATTGGTATGCGCCTTAGCAATGGCGACGACTGACAAAGTCAACCGCCAATTCGCGTTCCAATTATTCTCTAATCGATAGCGTTAGGGCCCGGCTTGTTTCGGACCAAGTTGCTTGCCGGTGGCCGGGAAGCCAGTGCGCTTTGAGACTTGCTACCGAACGTGTGCGTACTTCTATGCGCCGCCGGTCGACCATTTGCTCTACTGCCCTTCTTTCCATGTCGTGCTCAGGCCCGGATCGCATGGGCTCGTGACGAGGATAGAATGTGGTGATATTGCTCAGCCAAGTCATCGGACGGTTTCTTGGTTTCTTCCATCTAACTCACACAAGGGCTGGTCTAACTAGATTTCGATCAGCTGCCCTGCTGTCGAGCCACGTACGCCTTGTAGCCAAGTAGCCCCCGGTTGGTAGCAAGTCCGGTGCGTCAACGCCTCTGGCGGAGGCGCAAATCGAGCGATTGTTGATCGTCTTCGGGCTGGTTTTAGAACATTCAGAGTTCAATTCGTTCGGCACGCAAGGAACCATCTTTTGCGCCGCTGCGCTTTCCTCTCTTCTTCACATCACTCTCTCTACCAGAAGCAAAGACGACTCTCCGTCGACATGTCGGCCTCTCTCTCACTCTGACGTGTATCGACAATCCCTACGTCTTGGTGTCGGATCATCTAATTTCCCTCTCCTTCTGATCTCCCGCCGCCATGAACTCCGGACTTAAGCCAGCTATGCCCCAGTAGTACTACGCCGACCTGACCTCTCCACGACATCTTCTTTGTAATCTTCTTCTCCCAGAGCGCCGTCCGTCATGCCCCGTTCCAGCAGTCGGGAGCACGCCGGCCGGAGGCGCAGCCTTTTCGGCATTCCCTCTTTCACCCAGATTCATCCTACTAGTACCACCACTCGCGACTCTCCGGACAAGCTGAACAAGGACTCCTCCAAGACGCTCAAAAAGCGTCGCGGCCCTACTCTTGTCACCAATCTTGAATCCTCACCAGAGCTGGTCCACGATGAGGATCCCTCGCCCACTTCGACAAGCACTCTACCTTCGCCGAAACCAGTCACACGCCCTTCCTTGAGTGTCCGGAGCGGCGGACGTCCAGTCTCATCCGTGTTTGGCTCACTGAGGTCCATGCGATCCATGCATGAAGACGACACTCCTTTGACCACCACCTCAAGCCGAACGCCATCCATCAACTGGGCCGATTTCGACGCCAACCATTGCCGGAAAGGACTTGTTCTACACCATGGCGAAGTTCAGACCAGCAGTAGCATGTTTCGTAAGAAGAAAGAGTACCTGGTCTTGACAGACACCCATATTTTGCGCTACAAGAACCAATCAAAGGCTGCCGAGACGATTGGCAGTGTGCCTCCTCCATTTGGCAGAAGTCCGACAATTCGCCATAGCTCGACCCACTCCATTGGTTCCTCTCAGGACCTGCAATCGCTACACTCGGATTCATCAGGCGACAAGGAAGGCCGAGTCACTCTCCGTCATATTGTCGCTGCGCACAGGCTCGACGATGGCCGTCCTTATTTTGCCATTGAGGTTTGCTATCTCGACGAGGACGGCTCTCAGGCTTCAGCTATGGTCATGCAATTCGGGGATCCCGAGGATCGTGATTTGTGGTTGCGCTCGATCCGCCAGGCCGCGAACAAGGCTCGTCTGCAAGACCTCAATCCCGTTTCTGTCGTCAACTCAAAAAATGCCGCAAGAGCTGTCGAGCGCGAGAACGATTATGACCCTGCCAACTATGCCATCTACAAGGTCATCCAGCGCCAATTTTCAAAATCACGATCTTCCACTGATGACTTGTCCAAAATTGCATCGACTGTATGCTTTTTGGCCATTGGCATCCACAAAGTCCATGTCATTCCATTGGTGAAGACCACTAGCCGTGTTTCGTCGCCTTCGCTGTCAGCAAGTAACGTCCCAACATCATACGGTATCCTCAATATGTCGGCTGTTCGAGTCAGTCAATCAGATGATCATTTTGAGCTCACCTTCCGGCAACCCCTGAAAAGACCAAAGACTCTTTACTTGGCTTCCCTGGCGTCTCACGATATCGCCCTCCGTCTTTACCATGTCGAGAACGTTCTTCGTCCGGAGTGCGCTTCTCGTATGTTCAAGTTTAGCGTCCCACAGGAAATCGACGATCAGCTTCCTCCTACGGTCAATTCGGATACGGAGGATCACTGCTGTTTCGAGCGTACGCTGACAGCATATTGCATAGCATACGATGTTAATCCATCGAACATATGCTATACCATTGATTATACGTGCGAGGACGCGCCTCGCTTCCAGCTGCTACCTTTAGCGGACTCGCGTCGACATAAGTATAGTGCAGCCGAGTTGTTAGCTGTCATGCGAGCTCTACGATACAACGAATCTTTCAATTCGCTTTCTTTCGCTGACGTTCAGCTTGATGTACTCAACGGACTTCACGACAGTTACGGCACCGAGCATGTCTGCACGAGAACGAAACGAGGAACCCCAATCCGCCTAACCGTTGAGGAACTTACCCAGTCCTGCCTATTGATCCAGGAAGTTCGTGCGCTGGCTGCGACGAACAAAAAGCTCCGAAGGATGGACTTCTCTAGGTGTATTGTCGCAAAACCTCCGGATTATACAGATGACTCGGAGGCCAAAGTCAAGGATATTGGATGTGGTGTTGTCGAAGCCCTTTCTCCACTTTGCAAGCATCAGATCACGAACGTTGACTGGATTGCATTGAATGGTATTCACCTAAGTGAGACCGATCTTGATTACCTGGTTGGTGCAGCAAGTGACAAGGCCTGCCACTTCCGGGCCATTGAGTTGAGCAGGTGTTCGTTAACTGATCGCACACTCAGTTTGATCCTGGACTCTCTCCGCGCCCAGGACAACACACTAGAAGCTTTGGACATTTCTGGAAATCTTGCAAGACTTGCGCCGGCCGTGTTTGATGGACAAATCAGTGTGTTTGGTTTCATTCGCAAGCTCAACTTGTCCTTTGCATCTCGAACTTCGGGAGCCGAACCCTTGTTCAATGCTGAGACTCTCCTTACCTGGCGTTTGGAAGAGCTCAGACTGACTGGCACATCTCTCAACGAGAACACGATCCAAGCGCTCGCAACATATCTCAAGCATCCTCAATCAGATACACTCCGCGAGTTGTACCTAGACTCTGCATACATGTCTGGTAGTGATATTGCGACCATTATGCGCGCTACTAAGCGTGCCTCGATCGAACCTCGTGCCCTCCATCTTGACATAAGTCACAACAACATCACAAAGGACCACGATCAGTTATGCAAAGCCATTTCGGATGGTTCAACACCTACCCACATCACTCTCCGAGCCATCGAGTATCGCGAGGAGTCGGTGTTCCGACATCTGATCAATGCACTGAGAAAGAATCAAAGCATCAGATATCTTGACATTTCCAGAACAACCTTACCAAGTGACGCCAACGATGATACCAGTCGTGCATTGGAGTCACTTTTCGCGGAAAACTGCACGCTTGAAGAATTAGATATTTCAGGAGAAGATTCGCGTCTAGAAACCTCACGATTTGGTGTCGGTCTCAACCAAGCATTGAACGGTCTCCTTCAAAATACAGGTCTGCACGTCCTACGAGTTCAGTACCAGAGGCTCGGCTTGCCCGGTGCTAGTATGCTCGCAGAAGTCCTGAAGGTAAACAGAACGTTGCGAGAACTTCACTGCGAGCACAACGATATACCCCTCTCCGCCTTCACCGATATGATCAATGCTCTAGGCAAGAACACAACACTGGTGTACATGCCATACATGGATGAAAGTCGATTAGCAGCTCTTAAGCAGACGGAGACGCAAGTCAAACAAATACGCGACGAGGTACCGGCTACCACCTCACCATTGAAACCTTCGATTCCGGCACCGCTTTCTAAGCAACTGCCTTCGTCTTCGTCCTCATCGGCATTGCGTAAAGGTCTTGCCAACATGAAGAGAAGCGTCAATCGGAACAGTTCGGCCGCGCCTCCCTCTTTCCCCTCTTTAGCACCTACGCCGCGCCACGTCTCGTCTCCACTCGCGTCGTCGCGCCCATTCTCGCCCTCTAAAACTAGGGCTAATAGTATCGCTGGCTCCCCCATCACTGCACCATCTGCTTCGCTCACCGACCAAGACATTCAAGCCGCGTTACGCTTAGTGACGGAGTCCTGGGATCGCCAACAATACCGATTGCAACAATATCTCGAGAGGAATTGTTGCATTCTTCATGGCGTACCCACATCTATGGAGATTGAAGAGGAGGCATTTGAACGTGCGACTAGCGTCGGTACCTTGTCTCAGCTTATCGAGAAGGTCAAACTAGATTCAACACCTACCGCAGAAAAAGAGCTAGACTTTGGTGATGAGTACAGACTTCCTGAGCTCAGCCTGGTGGGAAGTCAAGAGGGCATGCAACCCCAGGAAGGATTGAAGCTCTCATTGCCTCCACGACTGCAGTTGCGACACGATGTTGAAGAAGACGAACAACCGTCCTTCAGCTTTAAACAATTTCTGCTAGGTCGTCAAGACATGAGCAGTCCTGAGGATATGGTTGATGGCGTAAGCTCTTCAGGCGCCGCCACTGAGGGCGAAGACAGCGAGTTGCCTAGTCCTGTGCTCGAGATGGGCGGACCTGGTCCTAAAGGACTGGCTGGTCTAGGCATCAACCAAGGAGATCTCAAAACACCAACTCAGAAGAGTTTCTTTGGTTGAGTGTTGGGCTGCTCTTATCGTCCCTTTCCTTGTCATCTTTGAACACTTTTTTTCTCTATCTTTTTCTCTTGTGGTTTTACTTGAGGAGTTTTAATTTTTGCTGGAATGATTTGAAGGTTCTATTACTATACCCCAATGAAACAGGACAATGGCTGGAACGGCAAACAGGAAACGGCATGGCACATAAATATAGGGAGATGGTGCATACTCCAGGATGAGGCTGGTCAATCATCATTGTTTTCTTTTTTTCTCTGTGTATAATGTCGAATGACAATTAAAAGAACCAAATGTTTTATCGCTCATAATGTCTTCTTCATTCTACGAGCTTCGCATCGTGGTCAACATGGCGTTGTGTTTCTCGAGGTGCCCAAGTCGCAGTCCTCGTGGCTACGAGCGTCTAGATGTGCTAAAGGTAGTCGGCATATTCCTATAGCTGCTTCTTATCACGATCATAATCAGATGAATACTGAGCTCTTTCAAACGATGAAAGGGCCTGATGGTGTGTAGAAAGAAGCTCTAGGAGTTGCAAGATAGACACCATCTAGCACTACATCAACGTATATAATGTTAGGCGACAATCTCAAAAGAATCGATTGTAGATGGATGGCAAGATCTCTTGATGTTCGAGCTAATGTTTCAATCTTGCTTGACCCGTGTATCTAGGCCCTCAGTGTAGTCGTTTCTCAGATTGTGGCTTGTTTAGTGTTTGTTTCTGGAACCGGTCTTCGGTTCTATTAGCCAATCGATCGCACTAGATGTCTACAGGTTCATTCAGCTGCTGTATATAATACAATGCTTATGCAGAGCTTGAGCAACGTCTTGCATACCTTTGTCTCGTGATCTTTCCAGATTGATGTTGTGATTTTCAGAAGTCGTGAGTGGTTGGTTAGTCTGGTCAACTTTTCTGCTTCACCACTTTCACTCGCAAAACAACCATTTACTCTCTTTCCACTATACAGTATGATCTCATCATTATATATTCTCAAGCTCAATGCACTTATAATCAAATATCTCCTCTCCAGCCTCGAAGCCCAAAATCTCTAACGCGAGAATCCACAAAGCTTCACCAAAATCTCCACCACCACAACCACGCTTCTTCCAACCACTTCTGGGACCAGAAAGAAACCTTTCTCTACACATCTATGCAGCCAGGAGCAAAAAGATATCGACGCCCGTGTGATTCGAACACACGCCCACGAATGGATTTGATATCGTTGAGGGATGCTAGGGAGCATCATTCGAGTCAAACGCCTTAACCACTCGGCCAGAGCGCCAGTATGAAAATGCTTGATTTTGAGCGTATACATAACGATGCTGACCCAAAGAGAAGAGCGGATGAAGCAAAAGACCCAGGTTGGAGAGTAGAGACGTTATGAGTTGTGCTTGCGAGACGTGCCGCAGGTGTAAATTTCGTTGTGCGTAGAAATCTTGGCGTTGGAGGAGGCCTTGGCGTTGCGATATAGCGACAAAGGAGGAATTGTAGATGCAGATTCATACGGCTGTTGGAAGTGTGCGGGGTGAGGACCGGACGGACATCGAAATTCGTGTGTCTTTTGGTGGGTTGAGTTTGTGGTGCCAGTGGTCTGTGGGGTAGAAAAACAATCGTGGTCGACTGAGAGCAAGAATACAACTAGTATAGGAAGATGTGAATCGTCTTATAGAGACATGACGTTGAGCAGGTAATAACCGGCACGATGATCTGGAAAGAACGACGAAGCGACCAGTGATAAGACAGTAAGCGTCGTGAATGAATTGTATCGTGTGAGTTATGCAGAAAGTGCTGTACAAGCAAGACGTCGAAAAGCAGAAACCTCCAGCCCAGAAGAGAGGAAAAGACCCAGGGTATCATTCATTTTATTTTCCTTTCCTCCCACAAAAACTCCTTGTCCCAAGAAAGCAAAGTCCAAACTCATCTGCGAGCATCTTCCCAGTCATCACCATCATCGTTAATGTCAGTATCGTCAGACTCGACTTCAAACTTGGTGCCTAGAGCAGCTTGACCTTGTCGAATCAAGTCCTGGATCTGACGATCTAGTTTGCGCATGCTTTTGTCGGCATCTCGATCTTTTCTTTCTAAGCGGTGGAGGAAGCGTTGTGCATCGGGACTAAGATTGTCTCCATTTGCACTGGCAATGCTTGAACGACGGTCTGCGCCAAAACTTGTGCGGATGGGTGTGGTGACGGGTGACCGATGTGCGACGATTGCAGGGCGCAGGGGTGCAGCAGATCGAGTGGAGGCTGTAGATGCTGTGGTCGCAGTTGTGGCGGAACGATCTGCAAAGGCCTGGCTAAAGACATCGAAACGGGATTGTTGTGCTTGAGGAGAGCCAGTGTATGAAGGTTGGCGAGAGGGAATGCGTCGTGTTACTGAGCTAAGGGCTCGACGACTACTTGCTCTTGTAGCGCCGAGATGGGTGAGGTTGTCCGTGGATGTGTTACGGTTGGATGGACGAGGTACTTCCGGGTTCGAGTCTACCATTACCCAGCCAGATTCTGTCTGCTGTCGCTTGAGCGAACGTTGCGGAGTGTTGTCTTGCTCAAAGTCGCCGAAGAAGTCGTTGGCCGGATACTGTCCAGGCAGTGGAGTGGGAAGCTGGGTAGGGTGTGCAAAGTCATAACCTCGTCCGGAACCAGCGTAGAAGCCACCAAAGGCACTCGCGCGACAAAAGTGCCACACTTTGCCTACGACACCGCCTACTAGCTTCATGGCAAAGCCGCCCCATCCTTTGGTGTCCGAGGCATCGCTAGTGCTGGCCATACTGGTGTAGCTGACTGTCCTGCCTTTTCCGTTCCTCTCCCTCGCCAGCAGGCCCGGCACATGCGCGGCGTCTTGTTCAGGCGAAGCGTCACCAGAGTCCCATTTCCAGCGAAAGTCTCTCTCTCCAGTCAAGTCGTCGTGTCGTGAAGCAGCTGCTAATGTTGGTGTATCGAACTTGTAATCCAGAGTGTAGTGTTCATTCGCCAGAGGAGCTGGACTCATGGCTTGAGTGGCACAAGCATTTCGCAAGCCATAGGCCAGAGGGGCCGAAGTGTTTGCCTTGTTGGAGTTTGCGCGTGACCGCTTTCTTGTCAAGGCGGGCCTGTCTTGTGACGGCGTGGCTGCGAAACCCATAGTGTCCACATGCGACAGTCCAGGAGTGTTTGGCGGACGGAAGATGTTACTGTGCAAGCGTGCCGACTGCTGGTCCGGGAATGGATAGCTCGAAGCTGTCGAATAGACGGTCATGTTGCTGAGATCGAGTCCAGGTCAGGCGAATATCAGGGTTAGCCTTTAGGGAGAGCTGCGAAGCGGGGTCGGTTGCTTTTTCTTGCTCAATCCTGTCCGTCGTTAGACACAATCGTCGACGTGCATAAATACATGACTGTCGTCGAATCCAATGCCGTCGAGTCTTGATGCGCAGAGCATGATGATGCTTGTTGTTGTAATTCATCTCGCTAACCATCATCCGTCATCGCTGCCGCTTCGAAACGCCTAGACCTTTTGTTGGCCTGCCAACCGTGCCGTTTGTCTATATCGCTGTTTAGCTTGCGGTTCCTCCCGTTCCTCGATCTCTAAGAGCCTGCCGAGATCAGTATAATACCGACAGTCTGCTATGCTCTTCTTGACTGGCCAATCCCGACGACGACGTCGTCCCTCCAAATAATCGCATGATTGTCAACCATCTCCACATCTGGTGATCATCATATCATGATGTCTCTGGGATGGAATCCGATTGCCTCTCGATCATGTACCTTGGGATGGAACACTGCCACACGTACAATCTCTTGTCAAGGAGCCACTATCCAGACTTCTGTCCATCCGAGATTCTATGCTTCAGCTCCTAATTTTCCATCTCAGGAAGAAAGTCCAAGAGAGCAGGAACAAACAAGAGCCTGGGGAGCATCTAGACAGCCTGCCTCTGTGGTTGGAGGTCAATGGGCTCGTAAAGGGATAAACAACGGCAACTGTGTACGCAGTAAGTAACATACAACCCTTTTCCATGACCACTAGTCACTACGTTTGTGATGCTTGTTTCTCTGATAGTTGTTGTTGGACTCTATGCTAACGTTGATCAATTGCTCATTTTATGGATTACTTCTGTCAATCATCACGATGGAGAATTGCAGACGAGACGATCTGTAAGACGACATTGACGAAAACAGGTCCTTCATATCATTGTCTTGGGCAACATGATGATCCTTGAATGAATGCATGCATGATTCTATACAAATAAAGCCTGTTTTGATGCAGACTCTGGATCTAGGTCGAAATCTATCCAATCTTCCTCTTCTTGTTGTACTTGCCTCTGGCCTCCACTTTGCCATCCACAGGCAACACTCTTCTTGCAGTAAATAGATAGCCTTCGGCACCACCTCTCCACATCATGAGCGGATGTGTGCGCCCAGGCAACACCTGCCAAGGTCTGATTCTCGTCGTCTGCAATGTAGGCGCCAAAACCAATCGCGGATCCAGTGGGAAGTCCTCTTCAGGGGGGNNAGAAGTGTCGTTCGCGATGTGGTCCAGGTAAGCAGCTTTGCGGTCTTTGGAATACAGATCCATGATTTCGGTCAGTGGCTCCACAGTGGGTGAGTAGATGGCAATGTGTGCAGAGCCGCGCAGCAAATGCACTGTTGACTTTAGGATCGTGGCGGGAGACATGTGGGAAGCGATTATCAGGCCATCAAAGCCGCCGGCGCGGGTCTCATCGACAATGGCCTTGCAGCGGGCCCAGCGACGACGTTTGCGGTAGTATGCGCCGCGTTTGCCGGATTTCATTACGTCGAGTTCGGCTTGGGGAACGGTCTCTGGCTCGTCGTAGGTAGGGTCCGCGGAGGGGTCGATGAGTTGGAGCCAGGTGAGGGTTTTGAGGTGGGTGTGGAGAGGGTGAGTGGCGGTTGGATTGTTTGTGTCGTAGGAGAAGTATTTGAGGAGCGAGACGTTCGGTTGAGCATTGGCATGGAGTACTGTGATGGTGTTTGTCGAGGAGAGGTTGGTGTTGTGCTTGTTCATGGGGCGCTTTCTGCCATTCCCCCGTACTTCTTCTCCTTCTTTTGGTTCGTCGTTGGTTGGCTCGTCCTTGGAAGAGTACTGCATTTCCACATCTGCGTCTTCTTCAGCCAGTGCTGTTTGTTGTGCACTAGCTTTGGGAGCAGTCTCATCGTCGTCGTCAGACTCTTCATCTTGGTTGTCCGGGTGGTACAAGAGACCCATCTTCTCGGCCATAGAAGCCACGACCAGACCACCAGTATCGTCAACGACCAGCCATCTTCCACCACCAAGTTGTGTGCCCTCTTCGGTGAGAGTCGGTTCTGCGTCGGGGTGGTAATGTACGTTTGCCCAGCTGCCGACAAGACCCAGAGACTCTTCTCTAAGCTCCATAACTCTTGATGACTCCTTTTCAGCGATCATGTACTCGGTCAACATGGAGACGTTCATGGGCAAGACAGTAAATCTGCGCAAGTACTTCTTGTGTTTCCTCAGAGTGTACTTGGCCAGGGCGAAGGACGTCTTTTCGCTCAGGTGGGTATGCGACTTGAGAATCTTCTCGATAATGTCTCTTCCAGAACCAGTTCCAGCTTTCTTCAATTCCTCAATCTCGTCCATGCTGAGAGCTTGGCGAGAAGCATCGTCGACTGTCAGACGGTTGTTTTTCAGCAAGACAGAGCCGTCGTCGGCGACAATATCGAAAGATTCATCGGCTTTCTCGGTGGGGTTTTCTGAGGGAAGGGCATCTTCGGCGAGGACCTCCGCGTTCAGCTCCGAGGCTGGTACGACTCGCAGGCGGGAGGTGTCGGTTTCGGACTGCTTGTCGGTGATCTCGTATGTGAGGTAGTAGGGTCGTCCAATAAGAAGGTTGCATGGGAAGGATCCGAATTTGCCAATAGAAACAAGACTGCAAAACGAAAGGTTAGTAAAAATGGTGTTGTTTGAGGTCAATGTTCGCACCTGNTTCGGGACTATTTGCACCAGCTTCAAGGTATCTGAAGGCAGGCGTAGTAGCACATACTCGCCGGCATGGACGCGCGAGTGCATGGTGGAGAAGAATGGGTTGCGACAAGGGTGTACGGGTACCGCTGCGGCGGACTTTTTCTTGGATGCTCTGGATGCTCGCGCAGAACGCGGGGAACTTTTTCGACCTTTCCTCTTTGAGCTGAAATTGTGACGTGCTCCTTCCGCGCGCCCTCAACGCGTCCGCTGTACTTGCGAAAAGGCAGCTTCGTCCAGCGAGCAGGCAAGCATTGCATCCAATTTCCATTTTGCCCCAATCTTTTACCCATCACATCAGCAATTATGTCCGACTACGAAGATGAAATGGACGTCGATGGCCCCGTCGCTCAGTCCTCGATCCAATTCTCGTCCAACTCGAATGAGAAGGGCAAGAGAAGCGCCGCCAACCTGCCCGTCGAGCTGCAGGACACACTACCTTGGTATGCTCTTTTCCCACTCCATACGTGATCGACATCTAACATGCGCTCAGGGNTGGAGAAGTACCGACCAAACACCCTCGACGATGTCTCAGGCCATCAGGACATCTTAGCCACAATCAACAAGTTTGTCGACAGCAACAGACTCCCTCATCTCCTGCTCTACGGTCCTCCGGGAACCGGAAAGACATCGACTGTCCTTGCCCTTGCCCGTCGCATCTATGGTAACAAGAACATGCGACAAATGGTCCTCGAACTCAACGCCTCCGACGATCGTGGTATCGATGTCGTCCGCGAACAGATCAAGACTTTCTCGAGCACAAAACAGATCTTCACCTCCTTTGGTGACAAGTCCGGCGGCGATGGTAGCCCGGCCAATTTCAAGCTTATCATTCTTGACGAGGCCGATGCCATGACCTCAACTGCTCAGATGGCTCTGCGAAGAATCATGGAAAAGTACACCTCAAACACTCGTTTCTGCATCATCGCCAACTACACCCACAAACTCTCGCCCGCTCTACTGTCACGTTGTACTCGCTTCCGCTTCTCTCCGCTCAAGGAGGCCGATATTCGGCGTCTGGTCGATATCGTCATTGAGAAGGAAGACGTCAACATAGCCCCTGATGCTACCGACTCTCTTGTCACCTTGTCAAAGGGTGACATGCGTCGTGCACTCAACGTTCTACAAGCTTGCCATGCTTCATCAACACCGCTCCATCTACCAGGTCAAGCACCTGCCCAGGGAGCAAAAATTGACCGCGACTTGATCACAAACGAAACAATCTTCGACTGCATCGCCGCACCACATCCTGCTGATATCGCAACTATCCGCGATACACTACTCTCCAACGCTGACGTGACTTCATGTCTGGCAACAATCAATACCCTCAAGGCAAACAAGGGTCTGGCCTTGGCTGACATATTGACTGCTCTTGGTGAGGAGCTTGCGAATCTGGAAGTTCCCGCACATACAAAGGTCGCCTGGCTACAAGGTCTGGCTGAGATTGAGCATAGACTGAGTGGTGGTGGTAGCGAGAACCTTCAGACCGGTGGTCTGGTCGGCACCGTCAGAAATGGCTGTGAAATCATGGAGAACAAGAGTAAATGAGCAAAAGTCTGATCAACAAAGGGAGATATCAAGCATGGAGTCATGGAGTTAGATGGGAATTATACCGGATGTGTATAGCTATGTCTCGGGACAGTGGAGGCCGGGTGAACACGACACTTGCTTTAGCATAGCTTTATACGACACCTTGTATGCTCTGCAATACCTGAGCCCTCCCTCATGGGTCAGCCGTGTGCCGCTCTTCCTCCTTGAACTAACAGCACGACCGGTACTGTTGCTATAGCTCTCCTTGGCTGGGTGACATGTGCCATATGAGTACACTACCGTTAAGCATGTATTCGAGTCTGGCCATCGCACCTGCTGAACTTCTTCTGGCTTTATGCAGTCCTGCATGGGTTCCAGGATAACCGGATTTTCCACTCGTGCGGCAGCTCAGACTTCGGGATCAATGTCTCAGTGGGATCCCGGTGCCAGGTTTGATGTGCGCTGTCGAAGCTTATCGCCAGCTCTCGGCCGAGTGCTTCTTGCGCGTCTTGAGTTTCCAGAACTGTTCCATGTCCTCATGAATACGTGCTCATGAAGGAGGAAAGACAGTGTTCTGCAGATATCTTGTAAGCAAGGTGCAAGTCCAGCTCAGGCACAAATCAAGACGTACAATGAAGCTCTCTAGGGCTCCTTCGAAGAGTTCATTTGCAACTCCAACACCACCAGTGTGCTCAACAGGTGAGATAGGACTCTTGACGACGTATTCGACGTAGAGATTGGCCCATATTTGGTATAGCACAGTACGCATGCTCGCTATGCGCGTATCTGTAAGCATCACAAACTTGAGATTCGTTGCCGTCTCAAAGTAATGCAACTTGTACTCTCCAGTGCGATACGACAGGAAACTTGAGCATTGTCAATACATCAAATACCATAACTTGAAGAGAAACAAGGGGGCTTACCTGTCATCTTCACCGCCCAGTTGACGAACCATGCGACGAAGAGAAAAGATGGAACCAAATATCAGTTTTGCATCGTCTTCATTGGACAGGGCTTTGGAGTTGACGCCTGGTACGTCGCCATTGCTGATAGCACTGGCTCCCGATTGACGTTGGGCTGTCTTGACGGATTGAGATACAGGTCTCTGAGCCCAGCGTTTGCTGTATATGCATTCGNNGCTTGGATGATGTCAGTCTCCGTGGTCGTGTCGAACTGATATAGACTCACTATGCCTGTCAAAGATATAAAAAGAGTATACAGTCATGGTTACAGGGATGAGTTGATGGAACGATATCAAGGGATGGCTGGCGGTTCGTTCTAGCCCGCTGGTGGTCGTAGACGATGTGGGGACAATTGACAGGAAGCTTGGCAGGTGCAAGATTCGGCGACGGGCGTCGAATGGGTGCGCTTTCCTCGTCTGATAAGTTCGGATAGTCGGGCCTAGCGTTTACCTTGTCACTTCACTTGCGTGGCCTATGAATATTTGTTTAGAACAGACAAAGCAGCAATGTTTATACAAGCATCTTTCATTTGACTTTACCTGCGCATGATAAATTCTCCGCCTTCGACATGGCAGATTCACAGGCTGCCTCCGACGTGACTGACGCCCGCCCATCATCGTCAGAAGCGGGGCATGACCACCGCGACAATGCTGCACATGTTCTGCCTTCACGTGGTATTTCACTCAACATAGCCAGTACAGATACCAGCCATGGCCGACCCGCTGCTGTCAAACACATGTAGGGCTAAGTCCTGGATTGAAGCCTCTACAAGCCCATCATGCTGAGCATTCGTCGCGTCGCGCAGGNNTCCCTGCCGGCATACCAGAGCCCCATAAGACACCACCAGCGAACCGCCTCGAGAACAACCACCGTCAAGGTCAGCTTACTAGTTGCTGTTTCCCGGTCGCAACACACTCTGACACTGCTTGCACAGGAAACGCTCAATGCGCGAACACACTACGGCTCTAGCGACGATGACGGCGCAGCAGTCCACCGAATTAACCAATACACCATTAAGCAAGAGATTGGTCGCGGCTCCTTTGGCGCAGTACACCTAGCTGCAGACCAATTCGGCAATGAATATGCCGTCAAGGAATTCTCCAAATCACGTCTGCGCAAGCGCGCGCAATCCAATCTTCTGCGACGACCAAATCAGAGGAGACAGCCTTTCCACAGAATGACGACTTCGGACAAACTCGCCCCGCAAGCAAACAACTCTCTGGACCTGATCAAAGAGGAGATCGCCATTATGAAGAAACTACACCATCCCAATCTTGTTGCGCTGATTGAGGTCTTGGATGATCCGGAGGAAGACTCATTATACATGGTTCTCGAGATGTGCAAGAAGGGCGTGGTCATGAAGGTTGGCATCGACGACCGAGCCGATCCCTACGGTGAAGAAACATGCAGATGTTGGTTCCGTGATATGATTCTAGGCATCGAGTACCGTAAGGAAGCCTGGTCGCGCATGCTTGTTAGTACATATGACTAACTCGCCATCCAGNTACATGCTCAAGGTATCGTGCATCGAGACATCAAGCCTGACAACTGTCTCATCAACGAGGATGACATACTCAAGATCGTCGACTTTGGTGTATCAGAAATGTTCGAGAAAGAGTCCGACATGACCACAGCAAAGTCGGCTGGTTCGCCTGCATTCATGCCTCCGGAACTTTGTGTCGCAAAACACGGTCATGTGTCTGGCAAAGCCGCTGACATCTGGTCGATGGGTGTCACGCTGTATTGTCTCAGATATGGCAAAATTCCCTTCGAGAAGACGGGCCTACTCGAAATGTACGAAGCGATTCGCACGGATGAGTATCCACTAGAAGAGCACAACCCAGACTTTGAGGACCTTATGCGCAAGCTCCTGGAGAAAGATCCCGAACGAAGGATCAAGATGGAGGAAGTCAGGGTATGTGATCATTCGTGTCATGCCGCAGTCTATAATCTGACAGGACCTAGACCCNATCCGTGGGTTACCAAGAACGGAGAGGATCCTCTACTTTCAATGGAGGAGAATTGCGCCGATATGGTTGACACGCCGACCCAGGAGGAGATGAACCACGCCATTACGGGCAATATGAAGCACCTTTTGGTTGTGGTATGTGCAGATCCCATGACCATCTGAACATGTGGCTAATCCGTACTTGCTAGANTGAAAGCTGTCAAACGTTTTAAGAAACTCCTGTTCCACAAGCGTCCAGAACTGATGGATGGCTTGTTCGGTCGTTCATCTCGCATAGTAGCGCCTCCTGGTAGTATCGAAACAAGGCACAGACGAACACGCAGTAGTGATGCTGATGACAGAAAGCCGATGGAGGGAGTTTTGGCCGCGGAAGGTATTCATCACGATATCGTAGTATCTGACGACATGGTCTGCAGTCCCGGAGAGATGGACGACCCAGAAACCGATCCGATACACGAACACCCAGACAAGAACGCACAGCAGGACTCGGTCGACCGCGCTCTGGAAGAAGCTCCACACAAAGGTCACGCTCACGACCCCCTATCCGAAACGACATATCTCGGCATAGGGACTGGAAGCGACTCAGCATCGGCACACCCCTCGGAAAAGGTGGAAGACAGTGATCTACCAAAACACGTAGTCTGTGAATCACCCGGCGCGGTTGACAACAACTTCTTCGAACAGGCCTACCAGGAAGAAATGCAACGCATCCACACTAGAAGAGGACGTAACCCCACCATCTACCTCACACGTCGTGTCGAGCACAACAAGGCCATCGCTGAGCATGAGAGTGTCATCCGTGACTCTTCAAACTCCGCACCCGAAGGTCCTAAGAGCAAGTGGGCTGGTCTGGCGAGTAAAGTTCGCGGCGCCGATGTCGTCGAAGCTGCGAAATCGGGAGCTGAAGACGAAGACAAGGAAGAGAAAGAGTGATTTCATTCTCGAAAGAGGGATTGTTCGTTCTTTTCATCGTTTGCAAGAACTATCACGTCATCGCTGGACGATGGATTTGTATTCAAGGCATTCCAATTCATAACTGTATAACCTTTTCTACTCCTATGGTCATTGGGGAAAGGTGGTGGGAAGGGCGCGAGGTCCAAGCAAAAACACGAGACTTAGATATTCATAACAGGCACCGCACACGATAACCTATATAACAAGAACCTGCAGCATACCGCCCTCTTCTCAATCCAGGTATTGCACCACCACTTTTGGATATCATGGATCTGTACTTTGCCAAGACATCTGTCAGGACCAGGGTCGTACCCTCGACTGTGTCTTCAAGGACAATCAACGATGTTGGGGTAGCAACACGGAGTATATTTGTTCTCTGATATACCTGATATATACCTAAGTGGCTTCTCAGATGTTGTACTGTGATATGGGTCGAAGGAGCTCGCATTCGTCGCATGACAGCCAAATCCGAATTCTCAGAGGTGTTCAAGTAGAAAGCAGTGTGTGATCACACACGCGGGTAATACTTTCCCGGAGGTTTCGATACCAATGCTGTTGCACACCCCGTCACCTCAAAGTCTCACACCTTCAAGATTCATGCAGAGTGAAAAATGTATATACAATCTCTCGAAGAACGTACAAAAGTATAGCTGTCTCGGGTAAAGAGCGTGGAGCTGTCGGCGAGGTCGCGTGGGGAAGAGCCGTGCCTACCCCGGACGAACCCGAGTTTGGAGCAATCGTCAGTGATGCTTGCCGTAAATGACATCCGGCCTACGGCTTCCGATCCCAGATACCGAAAGAGACGACACAGGGCCGATGATTAGGAGACTAGCCATATAATAAGATCTTTCGTGTATACAAAAACGCTCCCTTCTTCCCTTCCTCCCATTAATATCATCTCCCATACCCCATTCCTTGAACTCACACAATGGCGGCAACAAGACGTTCATGCATGCGCCTCTCGGCACTGCTCCCTTCGTCATCTAATGCTCTTATTCGCACACAGCTGCCGCGGGCGACAGCGCGAGTTGCTTTGAGCAAGAGAGCTGGCGTTGCTGCTACAGTGACATTCTCTCGCGGCTTCATCAACGATGTCAAGGTTGGCGGAAGCGATGTTGAATCTATTGAGATGCACGAGAGTCTGGCGCCGACGATTGACCGCTCGCGGTCAAAGGTGTACGCCAGTGCCGACGAGGCTGTTGCTGATATCAAGAGCGGGTCTACAATCCTGAGTGCTGGATTTGGCCTATGTGGTACTGCTGGTATGTTTGACTGTTCATCTGTTCTGCAATCGTGATTTCAGAGGGAATAGGCTGAGCTGACTTGGCGTGTCANNGATACGATTATCAAGGCTATGGCAAAGAGAGGAATTGAAGACTTGCACTCACTCAAGGCTGTTTCCAACAATGCTGGTGCTGGTCCCTATGGTCTTGCTGAATTGGTGCAATCTGGCCAACTCACTTCTGTTATTTTGTCGTTCCTGGGCACCAACAAGGCTATCGAGAAGAAGTACCTGACTGGCGAGCTGGACGTCGAACTGACACCTCAAGGCACCATCGCTGAGCGCATCAGAGCTGGAGGTGCCGGTATCCCTGCCTTCTACACCCCCACTGGTGTCCACACCTGGATCGAAACCGGAGAAATTCCCATCAGAATGGGTCCTCCCAAGGAAGGTTCCAAAATGCCCACAACCCTGCAATCCGGCAACCGTCGCGAGACACGCGAGTTCAAGGGCAAGAAGTACAACTTGGAGCACGCTATCCAAGGTGATGTTGCCATTCTTCGTGCCTATAAGGTTGACGAGGCAGGTAACTGCGTCTTCCGCTACACGACTGGAAACTTTGGTCCCATGATGGCCAAGGCAGCCAAATGCAGTATCGTGGAAGCCGAACACATTGTCCCCATCGGCGAAATTAAGCCTGACGAGGTAGATCTGCCCGGCATCTACATTGACCGCATCGTGCCCGCAACCGAGGAGAAGAAGCTCGAAGTCAAGAAGTTGAGAGAAGCGGAAGGAAGCGACCAGTCCAACAAGAGCGAAGGCGAGCAGCGCCGTGAGAGAATCGCTCGTCGTGCTGCAAAGGAGTTGAAGCAAGGTTACTATGTCAACTTGGGAGTCGGTATGCCTACACTTGCACCTTCGTTCTTGGATCCCGAGATCAAGGTCTGGATCCACTCGGAGAACGGATTGATGGGTATGGGCCCTTACCCCACCGAAGAAGAAGTCGATGTCGACATCATCAACGCCGGCAAGGAAACTGTCACTATCGTCCCTGGAGGCTCTACCTTCGACAGCGCCGAGTCCTTTGCTATGATCAGAGGTGGCCACATCGACGTGTCTATGCTCGGTGCTCTGCAGGTCAGCGCAAACGGAGACTTGGCAAACTACATGATTCCCGGAAAGGTGCTCAAGGGTATGGGTGGTGCCATGGACTTGGTCTCCAACCCCGATCAGACAAAGATTGTCGTCCTTACCGACCATGTCGACAAGAACGGTGTCAGCAAGATTCAGCAAGAGTGCAGTTTGCCTTTGACCGGTGCTCGTGTCGTGTCGACCATTATTACCGATTTGGTAAGTTTCCCTGGTGATATGGATCATTTACAGATTGCTAATGAAAACGTGATAGNNTGTGTGTTCCAGGTCGACCGTAAGAACGGAGGCCTCACTCTTACTGAAGTCGCTCCTGGCGTGACAGTCGAACAAGTGCAAGAAAAGACAGCTGCCAAGTTTAAGGTAGCTGACGATCTCTCCGAGATGGAGTAAAGAGAAGTAGAGGACGAGGACACTCTTCGATACCAAAATCCGCGTCGTTGTAAACCGCTTTTATACCAATGTTTCAAGAAGCCATATATGTACAGATATTCAAATCTATGCTACAAACAGCCGTGATATGCCAACATGGTTCTCATCTACTCATTGCTCTATTTCGTGTTACTTCCTTCTTTGCAAATCTAGAGTTTTGCCTTGATAGACCCAGGGGCATAGCTTGATCCCTTGCCCCCACTCAATGCCTCCACAAGTCTATCCACACTCTCGAGTAGCCAAACACTACCCTCATCACCAGCCAGCCACTCACCACCCTGAACATCCTTCTCCGCAGAGCCATCCTTAAACGCCTTTCTCAATCCAAATACATGACTCAACACCTGCGGGCCCACACCCGTCTGCGTCCTCAGACAGCTGACTGCCACAATACTAGTCAACACTCTACCCACATTTCCCTTTTGGCTTCCTCTTTCCTCGGGGTCGGCAAACAGAGCACCGTACTCGGAGTGCAGGATGTGGACAGGCAAATCAGGATGTGACTCTGCGAGCTTGTTGTAGAGTTTCTTGTCAAAGGGGTCGTATATGCTTTTCCAGAGTTGCTCGCCGCGGGCACTCATGTCGGTGATGTTGTTGGGCGAGGGGATACGGGTGGGTGTTGTGGAGAGAGATTTTACGGTGGATGAGGGGAGGGAGGCACGGAAGGCATTGAGCATGTTTATGGTACGAGGCACCTGTTTTGTCGCATGTCAGTTGTTGAAAGCAGAGGAAGGAAAGCGGAAGAGGAAAGAGCAACTTACGCCGTTGAAGCCAATGCACTTTAATCCAACTTCTCTCATGAGTTCTGCTGTGGCCACTGCATCGCCCTCGGGAGAAGCTGCATGATACAGCTCAGTCAAGGAGTCGGGCGAGTTCATCGTCATGGTTGTCGCTGTNCTAACATCCTCAAATGGTCAGTCATTAGAACTTTTGTAGATATCATGTGTCCAACATACAGCCATTGACAACCAAGCAGGCACACCAATACCTCTGTCCTTAGCATCCTTGGCCAAGTTCTGGTAAAAGGCCTTGATGCCTTGGGGTGCGGGCAGAGCGCCTGGACGAGCAAACGGGGCGTTGATGAGTTGCTTGAGGGCGGGCGAGAGCTTGGACATTGTGTGCTGCTTTCTCTACCTCGAGAGTTGTATGCGATTAAAGAAAAAGGAGTGCAAGTAGAGAAAGAGTGTGTCTCCTCAGAGATTCTGGTTGCAGTCGCAACCATTCATCATCAATCAATTGCCGAGGGACGACCCGCGCAAATGCCCTTTATCTCCGTGTAACTGCGTGTTTCGGTGACGTGTTGGTGCAATTTGGGGAAGTCGGCGTATTTGCGACTTTGCCGGACTGCCGTGGCTGCCCCGTCTTGTGGCCCATGATTGTTATACAATAGCACTCGACAGAAGATATTCGGAAACCCCGATGATGGTACAGAAAGGCCATGAAGGCCAATCCCCTGTGATCGAAGACGATAACAGGAGTTTGGAAGATGTGATTTTTATGTACCGAGTTCTGTGATCAGAGGGCTCCCATCTGATTCACAATCTCATCGAAGCTACTCTACACTCAACTCCCCATTCCCCCTCCTTCGAAAATGAAAACCATGCGTCAATTGTTTTGCTGTACCATGCATGCTTTGTGAACGAGAAAATAACAATCAGACGCTGTGCTTTGCATGCATATCAATCAATTCAATCCTGTACAACCGTAATCGTCGTAACTCCGGGTCCAGCCGCGGAAAGGCCCCTTTCACTGGTGCCGTTCGTGCCATTGACTCGCTCATTGTCCTTGTCGTGCTCGTTCGTACCGTTGGTTGTCTTGATGTCTGTTGAGAAAGAGAATGGGTCCAGGCAGCAGTCGAATCTCATCTGAATGTCCAGCCCGGCCAGGTGGGGGCACTCGGCCGATGTTGCAAGGTTGTAGAAATCGCTGAACCGCATCCATCGAAGGGAAGCCATGTTCAGGAATTTGGCTCGGTCTTCCTTTATGCGTTGCTGGACCCTTTCAGCTTCCGCGAGCTCGGCCAAAAGGTTTCCTGTTTCTGACATCTCACTGTCCTCGTTCGAGGGGAGTCCATGTACCAAACTCGTTGACTGTAGACATGCCAGCATGAGCCGACGCTGCTCTTCAGTCACCTCAGACATTGACACCCCAGAGAGTAACGATGGCTTTGCCTTGGTATCGAGTGGAAGACCCAGAAGAGCATTCGCATCTTCGCCTGTGAGTATTGCAGCCGCCTGATAACTGAGCATCCAGAGGTCGTCAGCTTTGCCTTCGTCCGGCAGATCTCCTAGCTCGGCTCGCTTGACCACCTGGACAGGAAGGAAGTGTCTCCGAATGTATGTCTGTCTCTCCTTGCCACGAACATCTGTTAGACTGATGATATGAGCCAAAGCACTTGGAAGGGCTTGTATCTTTCTCTGCCTGTCCAGACGACGGTCTTCTGCCAACTTTCGCTCATGTTGCTGACGTATCTCTTCGGCCTTGCGCTCGGCTTCCTTGCGTCGTGCAGCCTCCTCCTCTTTCCGGACCTGTTCGTCATTGCGCAACTTATCCGCCAATCTCTGAGCATCGGCCTTAGCGTCGAGGTCGGCTTTGCGAGTGGCCTCCGCTTCTGCAGCCTCGCGATCGGGTTCCTCCATCTTGATATCGTCGTCGTCTTCATGCTGAGCATCATCTTCAGAGTCGTATGCATGATGGTCTTCCTCGGTGGGCTCGATCATTGAAGATGAGCGTTGACGCTTCGGTTGTGGTTCGGAGAGGTGGGAATTGCTGTGCTTCCTGGGGCGGCCTACTTTTCGTGGGCCAGGCGGTTTGAGAGAGTTCTGATCCGATGGTCGTTCGCCGTGTCTTCTAGGGGGTGCAACGTCGGAGAGCTCTGAAGATGATCGCTGCCTGCTTTCTGTACGCATGTCCTTCTTAGAGACCAGACGTCTTCTGCTTCGTGCTCTCTCAGGCGAATCAGCATCTTCCATTTCCACGTCAGAGTCGTTATGACGATCCATGCTTCTTCTTCGTTTCTTGGTAGGCTCACGGCGAGCGACTGGACTAGAGCTGAGTTTCCTAGCATTTTCAGCCTTCTCGTACAGCTTTTGTAAGAGCGCCTTCTCCTCCCTCCACTTCGGACCCTGCTTGGATTCAGCGATCTCATACCATGTCAAGTTGCTACTCTTGGAGCGCCACGTGGGTTCAAATTGATCGAGTTCGGTGAGGGCCTTGACCATGTCGAAGTGGGAGGTTCCGATAACAGAAAGCATAGGTCTATCAGCCCTTTGACGAGCCTTCTTAGGGGTCATCTCGGCGAGAAGCATGTTCACCAGGTAGAGATCGCCAGTCTTTGCCGCTGCAGCTACAACGTTATTGTCCACAGGCACACGGGCATCAAGGAATTCTTGGACCGCTGTCCTATCGTTCTCGCTAACAAGCTTGAGTAGATTTTCATATGTGCGTGCAAGAAATTGAAGTCCTTGTTTTGGTCCAGGTCTTGAAGCGGGTTCTTCGACATTGTACGTTTGTTCGGATCTGCCGTTCTTGTTCCAGTCTTCAATAGCGTCGCGCAAAACAGCACGGATTTCAGTAGCGTTATCGGTCTCTTTGGTGATAACATCGAGCGCCTGTTGGCCTTTCAAGTTACAATGTAGAGGGTTAATTCCAGCCTTCAGAAGAATTTGAACAACATCGAGATGGCCGTTTTCGACCGCGTCGATAAGAGGAGTGTCCTTGTCCGCATTTGCGCAATGTGGATTGCAACCCTGCTCGAGCAAATAACTCACGATCTCAGGATATCCATTCAGAGAAGCAACTTGGAGTGGAGTGTTTCCTGCAAATTCGCGCTGTTCGAGTTGCTCAGGGTCTTTCTCACGCCACTCCTTGACACCGTCAAGATCGCCGTTTTCGCATGCCTCGGCCAGGCGAGTAAAGCCGTATTTGTTGACGTGTCGCTTTGCCAAACCCATTGGTCGACCTGGTGTTGAAACAGCTCTGCTGGTGTTTCGAGTGAGTCTGCTTTTGGGGTATTGATGTGATGTTTCAGAAGAGGTGTCCGAGTCCCAGACGTTTCTCGCGAGCATGGTCTCGCGGACCGGAAAATGAGTAGCGGCGCGTCGTTGCCGTGCCACGCCGGCTGTATGCAAATGTTGGCCGCTGTTACTCCGACTCTGGCTTGGCCGTACTGATTGCGCTGAGGCTGTCCGGCGGTGTCTACGCAGTTGCGGAGAGGACGAGTGGTCTTGGCTAGACCTCCGTTTCCGACGCGGCTGATCGACATCTGTGTGCTTGCGTTTTCGTGGATTTGATGTTCGCTCTTCGCCGTCCTTGTCAGATGCCCACGACCTTGCATCCTCGTCTTCATCGTCCTCATCCTCATTCTCGTTGTTATTGATTTCGTTGTCGTTTCCATTCTCGCCCTCGAACGATTGCACTGAGGACACCTCGCTCAAGTTGTCACTATCGCTGTCCTGGTTATTTCCATTGGCATTTGTGGTTTGCTCGTCCAGCTTGATTCCCTCTTCGACCAATTGCTCCTCTTCTTTCTGTGGCTTGTCGCCATTAGTCTGAGCCTTATCGATAGAAGCTTCACAAGCAATTTGAACCTGAGTCTCTTCTGGTTTGAGGACAATCTTTTCGGGGATCTCGTCAATGCTTTCTAGAGCCTGGGCGGAGTTTGACTGCTTGAGCATGTCGCGTTTCTTGACAGGTGATCCGATCAAGGTCTCAGCCTCGGAGTCATTCTCGGCGTCCAAGACATCGTTGGTTCCGGATTCGGGAGCGTCCTTTTGTGGATTTTGAGGGGCTATAGGTAGCGAGGAGACAGAACGGGCTTCTAGAGGCATGGGAGATGTGCTCTTGGTTGCTGCAAGAGGCGGCGCATTCTGGACAAGCGCGTTGTTGCTGTCGGAGAGGGTGCTGTGGCTCATGCCGCGAATATGGCCATGCAATACAAGCGCAAAGCGAAGACCGGCTCCGCAAGATGGGATTCTGAGGCAGAGGGTCGTAAAAGGGGCGAGCAGAGGTTGGTGTGGATTGAGAAGAAGCAAGTAGTCACCGTTAGCAAGAGCTGCAACTTGGAAGGCGGTCCGCTGTCTAACGCCCGCTCGGGCCTCCCGCAGTCACGTGCACCTGCCGCCGCCGATCCATGTCTCTAGCAATCTCACCGACAGTCGAGGCCTGTTCTTGCCTGGTTTTTGAGTGGCTGCCGTCCGAGTCCGAGGATAGCCTCACTGTCTGCGAAGGCTGTTAGCGAAGCCTGGTGCTTGGTTGTGTTGCGCTTGCCCGAAGCCTTTGCGTGCGCCTTTCAGGACGCCATCAGTCTGTAACAACCGCCTCGGAAACTTACCCTTCTAGCGCCATGCTTGACCTCGTCATATTCTTGAGGGCTTCCTTCTTGCTGGCTGCTGTGGCCGTAAGACAGAAACACAACCCCGACCAGGTGATCAAGTTCGCTGACTCTTCGCAGGCCCTGCTTGCTCATTGCGTACCTTCTCTTCGTACTCGTTTCTTAGCATATGGCTCTCGTCAAAATGGTCGACAGCCAAAGAGACTCACCACCAACCCGCTAGACGCACTTGCCACTTTCCAAGTGCCTCATAGCTGGTTTACGTCTTTCTATGTCGTGTCCACACTGTGTTCTTTCATATGGTTTTCTCAGATCCTTCTTGATCAATCGCTCTGGCGCAGTCTGGCAGCCTTGACCGACATCAACAAGTCCATGACCTTGGATCAAATCATCGTCACTTGGATACTGATGCTCCTGCAAGGTGTTCGTCGTTTGTATGAGTGTTTGGAATTTACTAAGCCCTCCAATGCTCGCATGTGGATCGGCCACTGGGCTTTGGGGGTATGGTTTTATGCTAGCATGAGCGTAGCCGTCTGGGTCGAAGGAGCTCGTAGGTTTTCGTCTTGTGAAAAACCATGTCTTGCTGCTCTGACGTTTTCCCTTTCCNCAGCAATTCTTCGCAAGGAGTCTTTCGATTTCTCACACTTGACCATTGAGCCTCCATCCCTTCGTACTTTTGCAGGCTGCTTGCTTTTCATCCTTGCTTCCGGCGTGCAGCATGATTGCCATGCATATCTGGCATCCCTGAAGAAGTACAGCGTGCCCGAGCATCCGGTATTCTATCGTTTGGTCTGCCCTCACTATTTTGTCGAGTGTTTGATCTACTTTGCGATCTCGATTGTTGCAGCCCCTGCCGGTGCCATGCTGAACTGGACAATCGTTTGTGCCCTTGTGTTCGTGGCCGCGAACCTGGGCGTGACGGCCGATGGGACCAGAGATTGGTATGTACAGAAGTTTGGACCCGACAGCATGAGCGGGAAGTGGAGGATGATCCCCTTCATCTTTTGATGTGCCGAAGAAGGATGATGGTTGGAGCGGTGGGCCGAATATAGAACAGCATCGAAAGCGTGCTCAGGCAGGAGCCTTACCTCCAGTACTCTCGACAACCATTGTAATGTCTTGTTTGCAATCAGGCAGAGCGCCAGCCATCTCTCTTGCTAGTATGTCTCTGAAATCGGCGAAAGCCTGGCTCCTGCCTTTGAGCTGTTGGTTGAGTCTCTGTACCAGTTCGACGAATTCACGAGTGTAAATGTCAGGGTTTCGCGATCGCTCTACGTATTCGATGACTTCTGGTGGGAGGCTGGTCGGAAGGACACGAGCAGTCTGGCACAAGGACAGCAAGTTTTGGATCAGGCGTTTGNNCTGAGATGGCATGTCAGCGTGTTCTTGTGACACATATGGTGGTAGGGTGGTCGGTTACATCTCAAAGGTCATGGCCTCTGTTGTTTGCGAGCCGCGGAACTCATGCGCCTGGCAGATGAGCATGTACAGGTTATCGATGACAGCTTTGAGCTGCTCTNNGTGGAGACAGTCAGTAATAGGAGGGCGTATGGGGTAGGCTAGTGACTCACCCTCGACCTGATCAAGACCATCTGTGGACGCCATGGCGATGGTTGAGCCGAAAGAATGGGTTGGTCAAAGATGAAGAAGTGACGATGTTCAAGATGAGGATCCGGGGTCCGACAAGCCAAAACGCACCTGCCAGCAACCAGCCCCACCGAAATTAGGTACCGAGCACCTTTGTGGACATGACCACTCTCCGCCAATCTACCTTCACAATTGACCGCCAACATGTGCAGATATCCTTCAATGTCTACATCGAATTGAGGATCCCATCACGGCAATGTCTTTGACCCTGGAGTCTATAAATGGATCAAGAACCCGGCCGCCCTGTCCCGCGTGGTCATGCGAGGACTAAAAGCAACACGTCTGTTGGCAGCAACAACCCGAATAGACCGAGACAGACCAGATCCAAGAGCAGCAAGAAACTCGACTCGATCTATTCCGATGAGGCTACTGTCGCCTTCATCAAACGCACCTTGTGCGCTCAGCAACTCACAGGCCCGGAAGGTAGCCGAGCACGAAACATTTCAAAGCCTTTGTCTGAATCACTGCCACCTTTGACCACTTCTAATCAAGTCGACCTCCAACTTTATGCTCTCATCTCTATAATTATCAAGGACTTTGTACAGGCTTGGTACTCGAGAATCACCCCAGACCAGGAGTTCACCGACCAGGTCGTCCACATCATCGCTCACTGCACACGCGCTCTTGAGCAACGAATAAGAGCCGTCGACCTGGAAGCCTTGGTACTCGATGAGCTCCCCGAATTGATCGACGTCCATGTTGCAGGTAACTATCGCATCAACACGAGACAAATTGTAGTCATTTAATTGATATCTTGTCAGCCTATCGCACTGCATACAGCGCTTCCTACACTTCCTCACTCGTAGCAAACCCGAGAGACATCTATCACGCCATCAATCCTCACCCTGCCCTCTCTCCAGTGCCGTTCGAGCCCGGATCTCTCGCATCGTTAGATCAGGCTGAGAATGAAGCTGCATGGCGCCAGTTGCTTGTTCAAGGACTATTGTCTCATCTGCTCCCGCCAGAAGATCTAAATAATCCACCGCTAAAAGTGTTGGTCACTGAGATATTCTCCGAGTTGATCATTGGGCGTGGAGTTTGCGGCAATATTTGCGAAGGCTGGTTCCTCTGGGATCTTGTTTCCAAGCTGCTTGCCATCCTTCGTCCTCCTGAACCCGATGTACACCAGGAACCACCTATCAGTCCGAATCGCCTCGAGAAATTTGGACTCCTTGCAGATGACAGTGATGATGCTGAAGAGCCACCCGCTGTTACGAGTCGAAGCCCAATGGATACCTTGTCCGGTGTATGCTTGCAGGTCATGCAATACGCCTTCCTTGCCTTCATATCGATACGCGCGTTCTTCACAGCTCTGTCAGATGCCGCATCTCTGCCTCCAAGGGCGAACAGTAGAGAAGGCTCAACGCATGCCGAATTAGACGACAGTGGCTCATTATGGCAGCAATCAACACACAACAGTACCAAGAGACCAATCCTAGGAATGTCTTTATGGAGTTGCTGCTCGCATCTGCTTTCTTTGGACTTGCAGATGCCTTGGCTCACCACTCTGGGTGCATACATACAGTGGCTGTTGGTCTGCAGCTCGTGGAAGGTGGGTGACACAGACAGCAGATTGGACAGGTGAGTTTGCTTTTCCTTCTCATCTCTCTCCATACTTCCCCTCATGCCTTGCCATATTCGCCGATCGTCTTTTGATTGTCTTCCCTCCATCGAATTTCAGCCATGCCGGCTCAGTATCTTTGTAGCCCCGCATGTACTTTCAGTCACTTGATCTCGGCTTGAGCCAATGCCCTTTCGCGACGGGCCGCCCGCCACGCACACAGGAGTTTGTGAGAGGACGCCACGTCGCATTCCGAAGCGCTCATCGCAAGCAAGCAAAACCCGCTTCTGATTCTCACGACTTTATCCGCTCTCTACCTCAATACTTGGATTTATCTCTCCTTTACTACTGCATGCGATGTTGTAGTGCGGCTCGGAGACGCCATCCTCGATGCGGAAGCTGCATATTGTCTTGTCTCAAAGACCGAGAATAAGCGACATTCGCCGAGCACCGTCGTCTTGGTCTACCAATGGCTTGGGCCATTGAATATCTGCTGCAACTTGTCTGCGGCCTAGCGAGCGGCCTCAAATCTGGATGCGCACTTTCCTCTTCCCTTGCTGCTGTTCGTGGGCGCTTAGGCAAACCGCCTTTTCGTGTAACCGTGGCGGAGCGCCCAGCATGATCCGGATGGACTCCAGGCTCTTTTGTCAATCTATCGAGACACACACACACACGCACACAAATCGCATACACATCCCATCCGGACATTCAAATTTTCTTGCAACCATCGAAAAACCCGATTGATTGGGAGATGTCGTTTTGCTGACTTTTACATCCAACCTACACTAGACTACTTTCTCACCACATACGTACAAAAATCTTCGATTCCACTCGCTTACCGAGCATCCTCTTGCTCATCCGCACGAACATGTTCCCCAACAATTCCCTCGGCCCCGGTCGCGTGCCACCCACCCCCGATGAGGCTCTGGAACTGCGTGCCAAGTGTGCCGCCTCCATCATCGCCGCTATACCCCCATTATCGTCAAGCAGGTCTTTGCTGCAAGGGATAGTGAAGACGTTCAGAAGCAGGTAGAAGATATGCTAAATGTGTTTGGAGATGCGTATTTGAACAAGCACCTGATAGTCGGGATTGTGGACTTGGTCGTCGTGAGGTTGTTTCCTGAATTGGAGAGCAAGAGCGTTGGCGCTGTGTTGAGGAGAGATGAGAGTGGAGAGGAAGTTCGTTCGTAGAGCTAGATGCTAGAATATCTTGTTGTCTTGTGCCGAGAAGGAATGATGTGATTCTGTATCAATATATGAACAACTTGTAAGTCAGTGATGAAAAACCGGATTGGTGAGCGAAAGATGAAGAAACCCGAATGTAGCCCTTTACACGAATGCAGCTCGAACCTGCGTGAGCAGTCAATGGATATCTGTATATGTCCCCCTCTGTCGTTGCAAGGATGTCTGAGTCCGAAACAAGAAAAAGAGAACAAAGAATGAAAAAGATGCAGAGAACACAAGTTATGTAAACCGAAACGCAGCGGACCAGAAACAGAAAGAGCAACCAAAGAATGAAAAACAAAACCAAAAGAAAAGACCTGACCAGCAGGCAAAAGTAGCAAGAACAGAAAGGAGGAAACAGGGCAAGCAAGATCGCTCTTGCCTAACGCAGCAACTTCTCCTTGAGCCTGCCCAGCAGCATCGCCTCCGACACCTCCAAACATCCCTTGGGCTGTCCCTCGAAGAACTCCACAACCACTCCTAATGCACTTCTCGCTTCCTCTTCCGTTGGCATCCTTTTGCTCTCAGTATTGAGGGCATCAGGGTTAATGGTCTTGGCATCTTGTTGTACTTCTTCGGCAAGCAGAGAAGTATCTTCCATGCATTCGTCTATACTACCCAGTCTGTCCTTCTCTTCTGCCAACCTAGGCAGAGAAGACAGAAAAGGATGGGTATGAGAGGGTGAGAGTGCACTCTCAGAAGGAGGAGAGTCAGCCATGAAGGTGTCCATGGCACGAAAGTTTTGCTGTAGGAAGGGCGAATGCAGTGGTCCAGAGGAGATTTGACTTGCAGGCGAGAAGAAAGGCGATGTAGGCGACAACATTTGGGGAGTGAAGCATGTGGAAACAGAGCCCAAGTCTGTAAACGCGGTATCGATGGAAGGAGGAGATTTGCGGCGTTTGTTGCTGAGGGTAGGTCTGACGTCTTCGCTTGTTGCGTTGTCCAGAGCTGGAAAGATGGTTTCTGGAGAACTGGATGAGAGTGTTTCGTCCGAAGGTGAATTGGGTGACGGATTGGTGTGAGCATTGTCAGAGTCCGCGACAGAGTCTTTGCGTATCTCTTCGTTCTTGATGCCCCTGCTGTTGATATGGTGCTTCTGCTTGAACTTTTCCAGCCAGCCGGGGTTATTGACTGGGTTCAGAGCTGGGTTCTCAGGTCCGGGGATGGATGCAAAATAGTAGGCTTGTTCACGAATAGCGTCGTCTGTGATGGGTGAGCCCCTCTTTTGTTCCTTGATAACCCAGGCCGAGAGGGTCTTTTCGATATCTGGCAGTCGTGCTTTGGGCCTCTTGCTTGGAGGTGAGCGTGGAGTTTCCTTTGGTTGAGCACGGTTTAGATATTGCTCTTTCTTTCTAAGGACCTTTGACACAGTGCTTTTACAATAGTCAGTATTGATCTACACTCAGTCCCGGTGACGAACATGTCATAAGTCATACCTTCGCTCTACTCCGAACAGATCTGAAAGATAGTCAGTCTTGTAGATCTCTGTGACTCGAACAAAAGCTTACATNCCTATCTCGGTCTGCTTGGCGGTTGGGTTCTCCTCTGCGTACTTGCACATTCTTCTCCGATCATCATCCGAAAGCGTCTTACGAACCGATGGGCCTGATCTGGTGGACGAACCCGCTGACACTGGCGTCACAGTTGGAGGTGATGTTGTGCCCACCTGAGTCTGCGGCAACAAGTGTGGATAAAACGTTTGTTGACTTCCTATCATGCTCGGCCATGGCATCATCAATGGCTGTAGTTGTTGGTGGGTAGGCCTCAACGGTGGTGATTGTGAGAAGGCAGCCGAATGCATTGGGAGTTGTGGCGACCCCCAGCCGAAACCTGTATACTCTTGCGCTGGCGTTCCATGATACGAGTGAGGGTATGAATGTTGTTCTGACCATCTCATTGGAAAGCTGTCAAAGGTAGCCGGGTGTTGTTGCTCTGAACCATCGTCCATCGTGGTGTGTCACACAGAACAGCCTTAAGCTGTCCGAGTGGTGTATTTCTTGTTGTAAATTCTCAAGTGGCCAAAGACGGCAAAGGATCAGGAAACTTGAGCCTGATGAGCATGCAAGTTGTTCCTGGAAGAAGTGAGGCACAGTCCCCATGCGAGCCGAAGCATGCAGCTCGACGTCGAACCTTTACAATATAGGGAGAAAGCTTCTGCGAATTGTTAGGCATAAGTGCAGATACTAAGAAGTCTCAGAAACCAACAGGTGCTTGCCTATCGAGAGGTGGTAACCGGAGACAATAGTGTCAAAGCAGGGCTTGCCTATGAGAAATTAAGTTAACCTCATCGGGACGGTTCGAGGCTGGTTTCCGAGAGGATTACCGCAATATTTCTTCAAGGATCACCAGCGGCAGGGAACGATTGACATGATGTACACAAGACGACCGACGTAGTGGGTGCAGGCGCGAATAAAAAAAAAGAGGGGGATGCCAACGACTGGATTCGAGATGTTGGAGCCCTGGTAAGCAAGTGCTGGGCCATGATGCATGTNGGTAGAGGACCGGAGCTCGTAAAGACTCTAGAGGGCCTGCTGCTGCGGCCGCTTTGTTGGCCGCCTGCATCGTTGCATGCACAGCCATAAGGAAACTCCACACGGAAGGGTAATCCGCCCGCAATCGATTCAGGAAGCCGGGACCAGATGATCGGCTTCCTGCTTTCTGTGGGCTGAAGGNNGGCCTGATGGTGGTGCTGGTGGATGGGGGTCCAAGCGCCGACAGCACGACACAACGCAAACACCAATCGTGCCCTGGGATGGCATGTTTCGACTCCCATTGATCCGGCCGTAGACCAGTGGTATACTAGTCCTGGTATCCCGCCTGCAATCGTCCTCAAAGGGACAGCTCTAAAACGTAAGCGCGACTTCAGATCTGTTGAGTGCTGAAGCTCCAGGCGAACAGCTGTTCGGACAGCGCCGTCGCAGACGAGCGTAAACCCTCATCATTAAGCGGCCTACACTGCAGCATCGCAGCGTCCGAGAGGTCAAGCCGAGCGAGACAGGATGTATCTCCACAACAGAGAGCTGCCTTGCGTTATTGGATCACCTCACCAAGCGGCATGGCTGGCTTCAGAAACAAGCAGAGTTGACGAATCGCAGGTCGAATTAAGAATTTTTTTGATTAAATGTCGAATGCGGACCGAGGCTATGTGCGGGGCGGTTATGCACCTGCTTCGCGAGTGGGAAAGAGATAACAAGACCTTGGCCAATCAAAAAATGGCTTGCAGCGAATAGGGAGTGGATGCAAAAAAATAATCGATGGAGTGGACGACAAAATCATTGGATAGGAACCGTGAATTTTCCATGGGCAGAAGCCGGTCTATCTGAACAGAAGTCTCGCAAAGAGGAAAAAAAAAGAAGAGGTCTCTTACCGGACCGGTCATTGTTGTTCATGATACGAGTGTGGTGAGGTGGACACTAGCGTATGTTGGATGGGTATGACAAAGGCTGCTGCAAGTAATATCGACCAACGGGATCGTTGATCTCGACTCGAGACAGTTGTTCAAACCGGGGATATCAAAGGTAGGGGGAAATGGTTGTAGGCGAGTGACGTGCATGCTCGTATTTATCGCTTGATGATGGTCAAGACATCTTCGTCGGCAAGCTCGTGAGAGAGGCCGACTCTTTGAGGCTGATGTCTGACTGATTTGCCGTAGACGATGGCGACCTTGAACTGCTCGACAATGGTCTTGTGAATGGCGTTACACTTGACGAGATGTTAGCTGGGAATGTAGATGGGGTAGAGAGCTTGGGAACGTACAAAGTCCTCGACTGTGCGAGCATTTGCTCTCAAAACGACGGGAGCGGTGTAGTCAGGAGCTCTGCCCTTGGGCTTGGTGTATACTCGGCACAGGCTGAGCTTCTCCCACATCTGCTCCATGAGTTCGTCGACGTTCCAGCCGTGCTCGGAACTGATGGGACAGGCGTTGGGGATACGGTATAGCAAGTCGAGTTCCTCGATGGAGATGGCATCGATCTTGTTGAGGGCGTAAATGACAGGAATGTAACTTCTGCTCTTTGCTTCGAGGATATCGATCAGGTCGTCAATGGTGGCGTCGCAACGGATGGCAATGTCGGCCGAAGAGATTTTGTATTCGGACATGACGGCCTTGATTTCGTCGTGGTCGATGTGGGTAAGGGGCACGGTGTTGGTGATGCTGATACCGCCCTTGTCCTTCTTCTTGAAATGAATGTTTGGCGGAGACTTGTTGATTCTGATACCGAAGCCTTCCAGTTCATTCTCGATAACGCGCTTGTCGGTAAGAGGCTTGTTGACGTCGAGGACGATGAAGATCAAATGGCACGTCTTTGCGACGGCGATAACCTGACGACCACGACCCTTTCCGTCCTTGGCACCTTGAATGATACCGGGCAAATCGAGGATCTGGATCTTTGCGCCATTGTACATGACTTGACCGGGCACGGTGGTGAGGGTTGTGAATTCGTATGCGGCGGCTTCGGAGTGTTGGCCTGTCAATCGACTCATGAGGGTACTTTTTCCGACCGAGGGGAAACCGATGAAACCNACTGTCGGGGATCAGCTCTTGTGGTGTGCTTGGTCGAATCGATATACGCACACACTGGCAACACCGGTTCTAGCAACATCGAAACCAGCACCGCCACCACCTCCACTCGACGATGGAGTCAGGAGTTCTCTCTTCAGCTTTGCCAGCTTTGCCTTCAATTGACCTNNGTTGGCGAGGTTAGTCTTGTGTGGTCTGGCTCTTTCTTCGAGGCGCGTACCCAAATGGTAGGAGGTGGCCTTGTTCTTCTGGGTCTTGGCCATCTCATCTTCGATCTGCTTGATCTGTGGTGCGAGGTGGGTTAACAACAATTTTTCATGGGCTCTGGACGGCAGTGGTGGCGCACCTTGTCGACAGTGGTCGCCATGATGGGTGGTGTTTGTGCGAGATGGGGCGACTAGTGCGCGGTGAAGAGAGTGTCTCGCGACGGGCGTAGCGAGGGTGGAGGGTTGGGATTGCGGTATCGACGCACGCGACTTGGGTGGATTGTGAGAAGTCGAAGTTGCAAATTTGGCACAATGACGACTGCGGGGTTGTTCTTCTTTGGATCGCCGCCCTCTGCAAGGTGCAGTAACTGCCTACTCTATTATCATCAAAAGTACTTGGAAACCTGCGATATTTCTCTCAAAACCTCAGTCGTCGTCTACATGACAAATGACTGACTGCGCCAATTTTTCAGAGGGATATGGCGCTTCTGGAAGCCAGCTGGGAGACAAGGTGTCCTGAGCGATTCAAAAGTCCGGCGACATTTTCAATCATGAGGCCGTGACATTGATGATTGCGTCAAATAATATCGCCGACTTCTCGCTCGACAACACGACTACAAATACCACGTCCATCCAAGGCTTGACCATTTGCTCCATTTTTGCCCTCTGCCAATTCGACAGCCTGCTCCATTATGTCTGTCGCAGCGCCACTCTCGAACATGGTCAACATGGCCAGCCAACCTCACCTTCACTGTTGTGCCACATGCAAATCTGCCGTGTCCGACGACCCATTTGGCCATCTCGTACGCGATATCCGCCAGTACTTGGGTCCATCTTCCGGTATCGATTCGGCCCACGTCGACCCTGACCACATCAAGACACTCATGGCCAGATACACATCCAACCCCAAACATTGGGAGCGTTATGCTCGTGCAGACAAGAGCAGGGGCTACACGAGGAACATTGTCGACAACGTTAATGGCAAAGCGAACCTGATCCTCATCGTCTGGAATCCTGGCAAAGGCAGCTTGATCCACGACCATGCCGATGCCCACTGTGTCATGAAGATTCTCAAGGGCAACCTCACAGAGACCATCTACCACAAGCCAGAAAACGGCGACACTACCGTCCACCCTCTGCAAGTCAAGAAGGAGACTGTGTACCATCCTGACGAAGTCACCTACATTTCGGATCAAATCGGCCTTCACCGTGTCTTCAACCCCGACCCAATTCACCCTGCCATGTCGCTACATCGTGAGTTGTTCAACAACCATGCCGTGTCTGTCAATCCATTGCTTACACTCTCGAGCANNGTATACACTCCTCCAAATGCTGCCGAGTTTGGCTTCCACGTCTACGACGAGCGAACAAGCAAGAGCTCCTTCGTGCCCCCTCAGTACTGAAGCTCGTCTCGAGCATTCTGCCTTTTCTTATACATTCCTTCATGTTTATCATCTGGGGGCGCTACGGTCAGGAATATACCCCGCATACAATGGTTAGGATAACCCGGTGTTGGTAATGAATTGTTCTTTCTACCTCTGACTTTTCCTCTCTATCAGACGACCGTCGCTCGTTGACCTTGGTCCAGATGTGCTTAATGATTACGATGTTTGTTTACGATTCCCCTCATGTGAACCGCTATGTTCTTTGTTACAAATAACCTCTAGGGCCCGACAAACTTGAAGATTGGATAGTGGAAAATTTGCTCCTGAGCATACCAGGAACAGGTGATTTGACGAGCGATGCTCCGAGCAGCCACTTGTCGTCGATTGCTCTCTTATGCGCTCGTTGTTTCTGATGGACGCGTAATGTCCAGCACCGAGAAAATTTGCTGGTCATGTGTGTTTGCTCCGAGGATAGGGGGTTCGGATCTCGCAGCATCTTGGAGGTGAGTGTAAGATTCTATACAGCAAACCTTCGTCCATCACCGACTCTGGCATCACTCCGTGGCTCTCGTAGTATCCTCCAGCTCGGAGGTTTGGTATATCATTGTTTCATTCTGCCTGCTCGAAACGATCAACCAACAAGTTCGTCTCTCTGTTGACCGTCTGTTCAATAGCTGCCAATCAAAAAGAACTCTCTCATTTTTTTTTCACCTCGTTCTAGACGAAAGAGTCATCTCGCAATTATAAAACCACCCACATCCTCGTCCTCCTCCCTCCTTACGTATTCTTCGATTCGTAGCAGATAACGACCCGATAGCTCTTCTTCGGTCAGCAGATTCAAAGAACTGCCAAATCCCATCAACATCCAACTTGCAAGACAACTTGACTGTTATACTTGTATAAGAACAAAACACTCCCAACACACGCACACAGCGTCGCCAAAGTTGAATATCGCCATCAGATATTTCATCAAAACCAGCTAGTCAGCAACCACTACACAACGATAACAACTTAACCACTATACCACACACCAACAACAACAAATCCAGCACAAAAATGGATTTTGCTACCGATTTCATCCTCTTTCCTCAGCAGAAATCTGCTCACGACTCCATCGCACAGGTCGATGCACTTGCCGCTCTCCGAGCTACTGCTAATTGCGAGCTCGATTTCGCCATCAAAACCCAAAAGAGTTTTGAGGAGTGGTGCGTCGGCGCCGATGCCCGCCTCTACCGTCTGGGATGTGCCAAGTACGCACTCCCACATCACCTGCGCTGTGTCCCTGAGCTCGAGGCTGCCAACTTTGGTCGCTGGCGTCAGGACATGGCCATGGCAGCAGACAAGGCGTGGCGGGAAGCTTACACTGCCAGTCAGGCAGTGATCGCGCTTGAAAGTTATACTGCATTTCGTCAAGGCAGTCTCGAACTTCTATTTGGAGTTGGAGCGGGTGTTGGTGAAACACCCAACAACGACATCAAAGATGACTGCAATCTCATCAAGGACAAGTACAGACAGGACAGTTTCGTGCCTGAATACACTCCTCCCCTCGACATGGCTACTTCATGGGGGACATCGGCCTCTTCAGAGCCAGAACCCGCAGTCAGGTCTCCGTACCACGAAGCCAGGGGTGGACGGCCTCTGACCCATGAGCAGATCGAACAGCTGTACATCTCATGGGACGACGAGGAGGGTCTGAGAGATTATCAACGTCACAGATTCATACAGGATTTGGAGCGCGAGGCCAGAGACCCTCCCTCGACAAGCTGGGCAGAAAAGCGGGCATCCATAGAGAATTGGTTAGACACTCTCTCGATACGCTGACCACTGCAAAAGAAATAGCTATAGAAATGCACAGTCGCTTGCCAGAAGCGAGGGTGACCACGGAGAGGCGTTGATTCTCAGCGTCTCTGTGGCACTCCTTTGGTTTGGAAGATGACTGTACATTTCTATAGTTATACAGTGATGGTGTTTGGCACACAGGGAGGAAGGGAAATGGAACAGAAGTGAGAGAGAAAGAGGTGGATGTTATACAGACAGGCATTGCGCACATCATCGCATAGTATAGCATGGTTGGTTCTTGGTCTTACACGAAGAGCATTGAATACATTGTACGAACATTGAAGCATGCTTCACTCTCCAACAAAGAATATCCAAGCGAGATTGTATCATCGCAATTCACAGTGTTTTGACGATGGTGTGATGGCCCCTTGAGAAGTTCTGCTCTAGCATAAATTTCAGGGGCGAAGGACTGAAATTGTGTGCGGTCGGATGGCTGCCTAGAGCATAACCTCGCTTGTAGAGACGAAGACAGCTCCCAGAACCTACAGCCTTCGAATTTGAGCGCTATGGAAACTCACAATGATATCCAAAGACAAGGCTGCGTCCACAGAGCGCAAATGTTCTGATGGCTCTCCGTGGACAGGGTTGATGTTGATGAAAGCTTGTGCAACGCGATAGCTTGAGAGAGTAGAAGTATCCTTTGAGAGACGACGAGAGCGGTAGAGAAAGAGTTGAAATTCTCGAACTAATACTTCTCGATACTCCAGTGCGAGAAGGAAGGAGCTATCTGATTTTTCTAGCTGTATATGGCTAGGTTGGATGCGCTCCTGCCCTTCTAAGAACCACCAGGTGGAGGGATAATCGACTTGTGATCTCGTTGGACTCCTGCATAAAGCTTTGTGAGCAGTAGTTCAGATTGTGGGTTGAGGAATGAGGATTGAGGTGAGTGAAGTGGATGGAGGAAGATAAGATCCGAGATCATCTTGATTGGAGAAACAGTACACCAGTAAGCACGATCGTTTTGTGAGCAGAAAACTGTTTGTTTCTTGAAAACTACCATTGAGAGCTCATAGATATCTTCGGATCATTCCTTGAGTAGACTAGACAAATTTGGGATATACCATGTTACAGAACCTCCCCAAGACGCTCAATTTTGGCGAATTACCATCAGTGCAGAGATTTGTCGATTGGCCCGATTATTCCCTGATCGAGGGATCTGTAGTTTCATGGCGCTTTGTGTATCAGCTTCCCAGGCATAAAGCACGCATATGCAACAAGAACTTCGTAGCAGCAATATTGGAGGAGGAGGTGGTGGAAAGCAGCGTCTTGATTGTCAAAAGCAGACTTGGAAGGCAATAACGCAAGTCGAGGGTAGTAGAAGAGTCGCATCGGGCTATTAGCTTAATATAGCAAAGAAGGTTGAGAAGTTGGTGGGTGTCATATGCCGAAGACTCCATTCCGGAAAATGCTTGAGACGATTGTGAGCTCGCTACAGTCATTAGAGAGTTATCACACTATATGAATTGACGCGACGTCAAGTTAAGCCGAGCATGTGATTCTCCGCCCTGGATTGTTGGATTCTAGCGGACCCTTATGGTCAGCCTGCTGCTTATGTTGACGGAAGCATCGTGCCCAGACGATCTTGGAGCCCAGCGGCTTGAAGGTATAAAGATGTAAAGCGTCAGATCATGCCTTACTGTCTGTCTATCAAGTCTCGGATATACTGCTGGACTTTCTTCGCGACCAGCTCATTGTGCNNTCTATGTCATAATTAGAAAGCTTCGTGACTGTGCTTAGGTCATAACTTACTGATGCAGAAACCATGAGGAGTGCCATGCGTATCGATCTCCATGATGGGCTTGTCCTCTTCTCCCACTTTTCCCGTTGCAGCTCTGGCAGCGATGAGCTCATCTCTAGTCTCGTTGGCAACCCAATGGTCGTCGGTGCCAAAATAAAAGTACAGCTTCGTCTTGTTGCCGCTCGAGTTCTGTGCCTTTGAGAGACCCCAGAGCTCGTCGTCCCAAGCGTCCGTCGTTATGGTCTTCATCTCGTGACCAGCAAGATATNNCTAGTCCGCGTCAGAGAAAATTCTGTTGAGGATAGAGACTTTAACTTACAATGCTTGTCTGACACCGCCTTGACTCTTGATGAACGCTGTTGTAGGCTCTGCGGCAGGGGCAGGAAATCCAGTCACAAGACCAACAAGCCTTTGCAGCGCAGAGAAGGGAACCCAGGAAAACAACAAACGTACGATAACGCCTGCAATAACAGCGAAATACGGGATGGCAAAGAACAGCTACAAAGGCACAAATCAATCAATGCGTGCAGTGGTAGGTGAGAGCGAGGATTTGGGAGAAGGTGACATTCGGCTGATGAGTAGGTATTAAGAGTAAGAAGATACATACNNACTAAACTTCTTGCCGCTTGGACTCTTTGCGATATGAGTGACCGTAGGAAACAGACAGATTCCACCAATGACTTTGGCATCATTGCTCAATTGCTGGGTTGTTGGGTTTTGCTTCCGCCGTCTCAAGACCTCGAGCAGAATGTACGAGCCCACCGAATGACCCATCAATATCACTTTCGTCGTACAATCTTGTCTTGCATGGCTCTCAATTGCTCTTTCGAGCATCTGGCCCATGTGCTCTATCTGCTTTTCCAAATCATATGGTCCTTCTGCATTGTCACTGACAGCATGTTGATGTTTATCGTCTTGCACTCCAAACCCACGAAGGCTCGTTCCTGCGAGTTTGATGTGATAGCCCGAGTAGTTGGTTCGAAGGCTATCGAAGCACAGCGTGAGGAAAGTGCGATAGTATCCTATGAGGCCCGGATTTCCAGTAATGAAGAAGACCAGTAGCGATTCGGTGGAAGTGGTTGCGGGACCGACATGTGTGAGGTCAATTGAGTCTTGTAGTGTCATCTTGAATGATTGTCGAGGCTCTTCACGAGCGCTCAAAAACCAAGTCAGACTGGACGCAGTGCAGCAAGCACGCTGATGCGTGCATGGAGGAATAGCCGATGGTGAGGAAGCCCCCTAGGTACACTCGTCAATTGTCCGAAGCTAGTGCTGGATGTAGTAATCGGTACAAATAGTGAAAGTTGATCTCTTCACTGTAGATATACCACTGAAGAGACTCAATAAATCACGCGACGATTTAGATACTACAGGCGGCTCCATTCTTCGATTTATCTACAACTGTTGAAAGGGCAAGTCTTTGAGGGCGACGGTACCTGTCACTCTCAGATCGCGATCGCAGCCGCCGTATTGCATTCTACCTGTGTTTCACCCGCAGCAAGTGAATGTCACCGCTCGAAGGGGAATTTGTGAAGTAGCACCTGCCTGTTTTGTTTCGGCGGAAGCGCCATCCGGTGTGAATAGGTAGCTTTTGACGGGGTACGATCAAGGAGCGGAAACATATGCCACAACGCCCGACGACGAATCTCTCGAAGCACTCGCAACCCACGCCAGAGCGACACGCGCTGCACCACCACAAATCATTAACAAAGCACCACCGCCATCCACCGCCATCTCCAAAAATCACAATATCGACACGACCATCAAAATCGCACCTCTAATTTAATACTGGAGCCCTCTTGATTAATTATTTGCGTTGCGTTGACGGTTGCGCGAACTTTTCCTTTTCTCTCTCGCTGTTTCCCCCATTCCACTTTCGCGACACGCAAATTTTTCCGGCGAGGACATAATCCAACGCCAAGCCTTCTGACTGCATAATTTTCATCCACCACAACTTTGCATGAGAGTATGCAGAGCACTCGTGCCTCCGGTGCACGCTTCAGGCAGAGGAAACTCTCGACCAAGCATCCGCTACAGGTCGTCAAGGAGAATGAAATAGAGACCTTTGCCATCGATGAAGACCCTCAACGCCACATCCCTCATGTCGAGACCGGTGTGGAAAAGGCAGAAGAAACTGAACACCATCTCCAGGCTGTCATCTCTGCTTCTGCCGCCGCGTCGCTAGGTGCCAAAGTCAACCAAGTCTTTATTCCTACTCCAGAGACAAAGTCAAGCGGTATTCCCTATGATCAGTTGTACCCTCGACAGTTTGCCGAACCTGCTACCTACATTCGGTTCAGCTCAACGGTCGAGGACTGTATTGGACATCAGTACAACATTGACGAAGAAGATGATACTTTCTTGCTGAATTTCAACTCATCAAGGAAGGATGACGAGAAGATCTCCGAGGATTTCTTCGAAGAGCTGATGAGTTTTTTCGAGCTCAAGTCGGACAAGAATCATCCTTTCGCCAACATATCCAACGCTCCGATCCTGACATTCGAAGAAGCCGAGAGCTACTATGACGATCCAGAAGATGAGACAACCCTTGCTGTAGAAGCTCGGAAATGGGCCAAGGAAGTGTATGAGCACTGGCATTCGAGAAGAGTGCAGAATGGCAATCGCTCGCTCTTATCAAATCTCAAATTCGAAACAGGTGCCGATACTGACGACAACGACGCCTACGTCTGCTTTAGACGTCGCGAAGTACGACAAGCTCGCAAGACCAGGGGTAGAGACGCTCAGGTGACTGAGAAGCTCAAGAAACTGAGGAGAGAGCTCGAAGATGCCAGGCAACTCCTCATATCTGTCAATCAGCGCGAGCGTTTGATCAAGCAGAGGATAGAGACAGAACGCAAGGTGTTCGAACAACGTAGTGAGTTGAAGAAGGTCAAGGTGCAGCAAGGGATCAAGGGTGAAAAGGGAGAAGATGAGGAACTCCTTGTCAACCAGAGAGTAAGTCATAATCTTCTTACCGTTGTTGTGAGCCGTAGGCTGATGTTGAATAGCNCCACGCCCAAGCCCAGACCAGCAAAGGCCGACGGACAAAGACCCACAACATTGCGTCTCCCTGGCACGAGGACAGAAGCAGTTCGCGCAGCTCCGGAGAACGATCTTGTGCAGTTGTCAGACATCCAGGAAGAGGCGGCCGCAGCGGTGCAGCGATCAGTCGAAGAAAAGATTGGCCAGCATCGCAAGTGGAACAAGGATTGGGTCGACAACACCTGGGGACCAATCACACCACCGGCCGAACCTCCCTCAGGGTCAGGGTATCTGCCACGCATTGAGGAGATTCAATTGCCGACGCCCCCAGCTTCTTTGCGTTCAGAAACATCACAAGATCATGTCAAGGACGTCGAGATGAAAGATGCGGATCTACCTACACCGGTCAGCGCTGCACAGGAACAGGCACCGCGTACCATGTTCCGTTTCAACTCGCCGCCACCCGAGGCAGGATATGAAAGACCTGCGTACAGGCGACGATATGGCCGCAATGGACGGTTGTACATTGAACAACGCAAGCCGCGCATGTTTGTCCAAGGCAAAGGTGTGATAGGCGACTCTGACGATGAGAGTGACGGCGAGACGGTCGTGTATCCCATGGATTGCTATGACACACTGGGCATCAGCTATCGCGCTAGCATCCTGGCGCCGCGAAGGCCAGTGGATCCGGCAACCGACCACATGGCGCAACTGAGACGGACGGGGTCCAGCGGCGATGTGGTGATGGCGGGTGGTGGATCAACAGCAGGTCATGGAACCAGTCATGGCCAGGGCGAGGGTGGAAGTTGATGAAGCATTTTTCTGGCGAAAACTTTTTGTGATACCACTTTTTTTCTTCCCTTGACGACTTTTGTATAGTAGATGAGAAACGTCCAGAATTGCTCGGTCTCGAAGGCCTTTTTCCTCTCAAAATTGAATCGAGTCCAACGTCGGATGTAGTGATTTCTCTGCTTGTAATGATTCGCTTAGACAAGGCCGAGTCTCAGAGTTGAGATAGTGGTAGGGCGTGACGGTATAGCGTGTGGTATCTGAGGTACGAAACGGCAAGAATGAAGGAGTTTAGTAAAGCGCCGATGTGCTTCTTGTCTTCGGGTGCTTGGGGTTGTGGCAGGCAGTGTGTGATTCAGGCGGTAAGCGGGGCGGCGGTAGTAGAAGAAGAGGGGACGAGCACAGGCGCTGGACTCAGGATGATTGCGGACGAGTATGGAAGGAGTGTGACCTTGACTAGGGCAGCAGAGGGTGAAGAGGACTGGCGACGAAGAAGAAGACCATGACTGGAGCGATGCTGCGTACTGACGAAAGCAGATATGCGGCTTGGAGGAGTGGAGCAGGATCGATCGAAGAAGAAGGAAGATGCAGAAAGGGGTTCAAGGAACGAGTAGAGGTCGGCAGAAGAGAGCAGGGCGTCTTGAAGAGGCAGTGGCAGGAAAAGTGCCCTTGTCGTTTTCCTGAGGTTGGCAGGTTAGAGATGGTAATATGCAAGAGCACAAGGGCCAAGGCCAGGGCCTGAAGCGCTTCCACTTTTCCCGATGCGGCTGGCGTCAAAGTTCCCTCGTGCAAGTCCGTTTCTTAACACCGTCCATCGTTCTTTTCTTTTCACACTGTTACAGTAGTATAATCAACATGGCCATCGCAATCGGCCTCGAAGGCTCGGCCAACAAGCTCGGCGTCGGTGTCATCCTCCATCCCTCGTCGCAAGCCGACAGCCCTCAGACACAGCAAGCTCCTTCGAAGCACGACAGCCCTCCGGTCCAAATCTTGTCCAACCTGCGTCATACCTATGTCTCGCCTCCAGGCTCTGGTTTCCTGCCCAAAGACACGGCTGCTCACCACCGCCGCTGGGTCGTGCGTCTGGTCAAGCAGGCCATGAAGCAAGCACGCATCCAAGTCGACGACATTGACTGCATCTGCTTCACCAAGGGCCCTGGCATGGGTGCTCCTCTCGGCGCTGTCGCTGTTGCTGCTCGTATGCTCTCCCTGCTCTGGAACAAGCCCCTCGTCGGTGTCAACCACTGTGTCGGTCATATCGAAATGGGCCGTGCCATTACTGGCGCCCAGAACCCCGTCGTCCTCTACGTCTCGGGTGGAAACACTCAGATTATCGCATACAGTGCTCAACGATACCGTATCTTTGGCGAGGCTCTCGACATTGCTGTCGGCAACTGTCTGGACAGATTTGCAAGAGTTCTGGCCATCAGCAACGATCCTGCTCCTGGTTACAACATTGAACAGATGGCCAAGAAGGGCAAGGTTCTGGTCGAGCTCCCCTACGCTGTCAAGGGCATGGATGTCAGTTTCTCCGGTATTCTCGCCCGCATTGAAGAGCTAGCAAAGAAGCTGGAAGCTGGTCAAAATGGCAAGACCGAAGTGTGGAAAGATGACGAGACGGGTCAAGATATTACTCGCGAAGATCTGTGCTTCAGCTTGCAAGAGACTGTCTTTGCTATGCTGGTAGAAATCACTGAACGCGCCATGGCCCACGTTGGCGCAAGTCAGGTCTTGATTGTTGGCGGTGTTGGCTGCAACGTGAGGCTACAAGACATGATGGGTATGATGGCAAGCGAGCGTGGAGGAAGTGTATTTGCAACCGACGAGCGTTTCTGCATCGACAACGGCATCATGATTGCCCACGCTGGTCTACTCGCCTACCGCATGGGTCAGACGACAGACATTATGGACAGCAGTTGCACACAGAGGTTCAGGACTGACGAGCCTTTAATCAATTGGAGAGACTAAATCTTGTTCTCGTGATACGGGAAGGAGCGGCCAAAGCTGCTGTCCACCTGTGTTTCCTTCTCATCATCTCTCATCCGGTAGCCCTGTCCGCGCCTTCGATCCCGACTCTGTGGCAAGCTTGCGCAGACTCTTCAATCGTCATCAGGGATCTCAGTCTTGACAGTCTTCTTGACAGCTGAAGACTTGTTTCTCTTGCTGATGAGGGTTCTGCCCTCATCTTCAGACTCATCATCCGAGTCGTTCTTGGCGCGCTTCTTGGAAGGTGTGGCAGTGGTAGCGGCCTTCTTGTCCTTGGTGGTGGCCTTGGGCTTGACAGGAGTGTCTGTGTTGCTTGTGGTCAGATACGTGGCCAAAGCGTGTCACACACACAAACTTACTGGGAGCGGTAGGGAGTGAGCCACCATCAACATCACTAAAGAGCTTCTTCTTGATGACACCTNNGAAACGGGAGCAACGTCAGCATGATCCGCGCAAGCATGGACAGTGGACACTCTATGACTTACCCCAAGTGTTGGAAGCAGTCTTGAGGGTGTTGAAGTTTGCAGCCTTCTGCAACTTCTCCATATCGATCNNTGGACTTGTCAGATCACTGTGCGCAAGATCTGATGGGGGGACTCTTACTTCGGGAGGACCGGGCTTCAGGCAGCGCCAGGCAGCCTTCAGGACCATTTCCTCCTTTTCAGTGAAGATAATGGCCTTCTTCTCACCCTTTATGGGGGACTCGCTCTCGTTATCAGACATGATGAAGAACGATAAGATCTTGGGTGGGTGGGCGGGTGGGTTGTGTGTGATGAAAGAGGAAGAAGAATCCGTCGAGGTCTTGTCGTGATTTATAGACCAATCCTCACGTTCGTTGTGCCCGACAACACGACCTGCTTAGTCGTCGCTTTCGTCTGTGTTGATTCTTTCACTTTCCGCCAGACTTGCTTCCCTCTCTGTGGTCTTTCCACCTGGTCATTCATCATTGCCTTTCGTTCTTCTTCCTTAACTGGGCTCAACTCCAGCCGAGGCATTGTCCATCAGCATAGTTTTGCTCTCGCTCAGTGACGGTGTTTTGGTGAACACCCTTCAACTCAGCGAACATTAAACACCTTCCCATCTGTGAGTCTCATTCACCGTTGGTCGTGAGTCTCTATGTACCTCGAGAAGTCAGGAACCTATGGGATGAAACCTGCTGGAAGCCGTGATCGTAACTGAAGTAACTCTGACGCAGAGCTGACCTTGACGGCGATCTTCCCTAGTATAACAGCATCTATCGAGGAGTCACCGCTATCCTAAGTGAGCCGATCATACCGAATTGGCAAGCATATATACACAGCCTACTTCAACTTCGCCTCTCCCTTTCACAAACACAACTCCTTAAAAGGTGACCTCCAACCAGGACTACCTTTTCTCTCTCAACCCATCTCCGGTCTACATCATTCACAATTCACATTGATCTTAGCACCTCACCTCAACAACTCTTACTTACCTCGTATGTTCTCCGACATGTCATGAGTCAACCACGATCAACACTGACAGATCGTCTCTCACCAGAACTAACCATGCGTGAGACACGCCTCCAGACCAAGACGCGCGCCGAGGTTCGCAAACAAGTCACCCAAAACATCAAGGACAAGGACAACAGATNCTGACATCCCGACCATCAAGAGCGCTGAAGCCCCAACTACCACAATGGTGAACAAGACTGCTCAACATCTCTCCGGAGAGTATGTCCCTGCTGGAGTGTTCCCTCTGCTCAGCCTGCCCGTCGAGCTCCAGACCATGGTCTTTGAGAATGTCGTTGCTGCTCCAGATGAGCAAATCATTATGCTCGAAAATGCCAAAACTCCTGCACTCGCCCGTGTCAACAGATACCTGCGCAAGAGTGTCCTACCCATTTTCCTCGGCGTCAACACTTTCCGCGTTTTTACTGAAGAAGCTCCTCTTGCTGAGGGCAGTCAGGCAAAGGAAGCCAAATTCCGGATCCAGAACTCGACCATGGAGTGGTTGAGCCCCCTGGGCTACCAGACACCTCTCTTCAAGAGCCTGATTGTCCATTTCGGTGTGAAGAATGAGACCGAGCTTGTGCTGCAGTACTCGCGCAAGGCTGGCAGCAAGACCGGCAGCTTGACGGCCAAACATGAACGCGAATGCCGCTTCTGCTACAACCTTGGTGAGGGCTTCCCCCACCTCCCTCGCGCCCTCCTAGAGAGCATGCCGATCAACCTGAACCTACGCCGCTACATTGAACATGCCGAAGAGCGCAACACCATCGTCGGTAGGGAGCATGAAATCGCGCTTGCCGATCTCGAAGCCGACGTGTTCAGCAAGACGACTGGCCTCAAGAAGGATGCCTTGGGCATCAGCATGGCCAACATCATGGGTATCGAGCGTGCGATGAACAGGGGCTTGATGACCTTTGCCATGGCTGTTCACTCCGTCAACATGAAGCGCCTCAAGGACACTCCTTGCGTCATCTTGTTTTCAGGCAACAACTACGTCCTGCGCAGAGACATGGGCATCTGAAGCATTCAAAACAACTAAGGAGAGGAAGGAAGATGGAGAGCCTGACATGGGCCAAGGCAAAAAGGCTGGATTTGATTTCGTGGGTTCCAACAAGATCTCATTCTCGAGGGAACAGTCTTTGGAATAAGGGATTGATGATGCAGACACGGACACATTTTTCGACTTGTTTCTTTTGAGCATCTAATATGCAATCTCAGTCTCGGAAGAAAATCTTCTGCTTATATTTAGTCTGCAGCAATGAAAGCGGACACTGTCTTTAGCCAAGCACCAGATCTGGCCCTTGAATGAACGACAAGGCAGTGCATTGACTGTGAGGACAGAAGATTGAGGAAACTTGTTAGGGCGCCAGTAAGGATGACAAGACGGAGCTTGGTGTGATTAAGTAGATGATTGTGTGTCTTAGCAAGAGGTGAAGATGAGATCAGAACAAGGCAGGTGAAGCCGAAAGTGGGTGCCTGAGGAAGCAAAGGCCAAGCGACAACTACGTCAAGGCCGCAATCGACAAAACTTCCAGATGGCAACCACCCACCTTCTCTGCCCACAACCAAGTCGCGCAATATCATGGCCTCCTCCCTCTCTTTCTCTCTAGGTGGCTCCTCTACAAAATCTACCCAGCGACGCTCTCCGCCACCCACCAAAAGAACAAACGGCACGAAACGCGACCATGCCGCGCTGCTCGATGATGCAAGCGACGACGAAGATGCCAGCCATGCGAAACGACAGACCATTACACACTTCGACACTACGGCTGGAGGCGCTGTAGATGCCAAGGCACCCAAGAAGGAAGAAAAAAAGCCACTGGTCATCTCAGCACTCGCAAACAGGGACTGGAGGGAAGCATCCAAACGACAACGAGCCCAGAAGTATGGCATTACCACCGAACAACTCGATGCGCGGAAAGAGTCGGCGCAAAATGCTGAAGGAGCGGACAAAGTGGTCAAAGAGACGGATGCCGTCAAATATGGATTGAACGTCTTTGCGCCTACCGTTGCTGCGTCTGCAGAGGATACGCAGCAAGACCATGAACCAGAACAGCAAGAGCAGAACAAGCCAGAGCTGCACAAAACAGCAGACCAACTCGCCATCGATGCCCTCACGGGCGTTGCTCCCACATCCACTCTCACCATACCCGCCTCGGCTGTAACAGAAGAAGACGCCTTCAACGACTCCTACCACTCCGCCCCTCCAGCGCCCTCACTATCCGACTACGCCGCCGTCCCCGTAGAAGAATACGGTGCAGCAATGCTACGCGGCATGGGTTGGAAAGGCCCCTCCTCCACTCCCTCCGCCCCTACGAAGAATGGCAAAAAGCTCTCCCACCCGCAAAAAGACCTGCCTTGTTGGGCATCGGTGCCGACCCAAATGCGGCAGCCCAAGCAGAAGAATTAGGCGCCTGGGGTAAATCTTCTTCCAGAGGAAGGAAAAGAGCCAACCATGTTCGTGCCCGTTTCTATGAAGAACAAGAAGACAGGCGAAACATTGACGGAAGAAGAGCTCAAAGAGAAGATTCGCAGAGACAAGGAGGAAGCAGAGAACCAGCGGTTCGTAGTCAGCGATCTGGAAATCAGGGACAAGAAAAGTGGGAGCAGAAGAGACGATGACAAAAGGAGAAAAGATGACTACTCAGACGATGAGGAAAGAAGGCGGCGAAGAAGAGACAGGGAAAGAGATTACGACCGTCATGACCACAAATCCAGAGACTACGATCGCAAGGATAAAAGAGATCGATCACGCGACCGCGATAGAAGAAGAAATCGTTCTCGCGACCATTACGACAAGAAGACATCAAGTCGAAGAGAACGTTCTCGGTCTCGTGATCGGGAGTACGAGAGAAGGGACAGGGGAGACAGAGACTCTGGGAGAAGAGATCGCTACGAAGACTCTTCAAAGTCTTCGAGTCGGAGGGACAGGGATTATCATCGCTCTTCTCGTCGATAAATCAAAATCCAAAGATAATCTTCTGTTGCTTGCACGAGATTCAGCATGTGTCTTTCGTATTGTCGAGAGCAGTGCTGATGATCTTACGCAGACAACGATCAAAGTATCAAAAAGCGGCTTCGGTCTTGCGAGGGTACTTCTTCTGGCACTTTTTCTCAGCCTCGTCGTTGGCACGAGCTTGCAAACGTGTGTCTCTCGCCTTGTCGAAAACTGCTCATGATTATATGCAGACTGCAGTCAGTACACTATTAGTCAAAGACACAGTGAGGAACTAGTGTTCGATTAATTATCAACTGAGTAGCGTTGTTCCCTGGTGTACTGTACAAACATGTCGAGTATCGTGAGAGACCTCCAGTAGTTGTCTTCACTACGTTCCAGAGAGAGAGATATCGTTACTGGCAAAATCTTTGCTATACCTGGCTCCATCGGTTTAGTAGCTATACTTTTGCGTGCTCTACTTTATGCTTGCCATCGTTCTTTTGTTCAAACTCCTTAGGCTCTACTAAATCTTGTTTCTGAAGTCTCACGCGAGGCATGTTGACCGGAACATCGTCTCGACTTGAACCTCTGCATACTTGATGTGAGGATCCGTCTACTGAGTCCGAAGCTGGATGCTTGGGAGAGCAGTGGTACTTTTTGATAGATGTCGTTGCAACCCGCTTGAGAAGAGTGTTCACGTAGAAATACAGACTGATATTGGGTGAGCAGACCGGGAATATCGAGTGGCTTCGTAACTCTTGATCAAGACAGACTATCGAATCTCAACACCAGGCTTCTTACCGATATCCCTGTCCTCATCTCCCTCATACCTCATATCTTCGCCAAAGCTCTTAGCCCGGTCAGTCGTATGTGTGATGTCCTCCAACCTTCTTCCTCTAGTCTCTTCCAGCCAGAACCAAGTCCCTCCAGCACTTGCAAGGTCGGCGATGCCCCAGAATAAAAAGGTGCCCCAGCCCATGTTTTTTATCATGTATGGTGTACTTATTGAGTAAACGAAGTTCCAGAGCCATTGTGAGGATACAGCAATACCGATACCAGGCTCTCTGATGCGTGTGGGAAAGATTTCTGACACGTAAGGCCACGGTAGGGGTCCAAACGAAAAATTGTATGCGATAACAAACAGATAGATGAGCGCCACAGTAGCTATACCAGAAGATGTTACTGTGGCGTCACCAGGTGGTGGCTTAGATCTGACAACAGCGGCGGTGGAGATCTGGCAGGCGGCCATGACCAGTGCTCCGAGTGTAAGGACGATCTTGCGGTTTACTCTCTCGGCGACGAAGATGACGAAAGTCAGGCAAGCGGCGACCTTGATGGCGCCGAAAATAGCGGTGAGTAGGAGGTCGTTATTACCTTTGCTTCCTACCAAAAGCTTGAAGTATTGTGGTCCATACGTTGCGAAGGCAGTCGCGCCTGTAGATTGTTGTGCGATGAACACAACAGCGGCAGTAACAGTACGCTTCAGGTTTTCAGGCTTGGTGTAGAGTTCGCTGAGCTGGAAGCCTTCTTTCTCGCGTAGCTCTGTTTCCACCCCGAGGCGGATCTCGTCCATTTCAAGTTGAGCATCGGGTCCGCTGTCTGCTCTGATCCATTGCAGAGACTCCCAAGCTTCCTTGTGACGGCCTTTGAGAGTCAGCCAGCGGACGGACTCCTTCAGAGTGAACATCCCGAGACCGAGGAGAGCGGCGGGAAGTATCTGAATGCCGATGGGGATCTGCCATTGTTTTGATTCGCTTGTCGAGATGCCTTTGCCTACACCGTAGTCGATCCAGTACGAGGTGAAGATGCCTGTTGTCTCAGAGAGTCAGAGATGGTTGCGCATCACCGAAGCCAAGCCATCTGCTTACCAAAGNGTATAGAAAAGTTGGTAGAAGCTACCAATCTGACCACGCAGCTGCTTCGGGGCCATCTCGCTCGAGAACATAGGCACGACAACACTGCTGCCGCCTAAACCAATGCCAGCGATGAATCGAGCTGCCAGGAAGGCACTAAAGGAATGTGTGTTGATGGTTTGAATGATGGCTCCGATGACAAAGATGGTCGAACACAGGACTAGCGCCCATCTGCGGCCATATCGATGCGTGATGGGCCAGATAGCAAAACATGCGAGGAAAGTGCCTAGTTGTTGGAGGCCGACAGACAAGGAACTGTTCCGAGTTGCTTGCTTTTTGGTATAACCAAAATCATTCTCAAAGGATGCAAGAGTTAGTACTCCACCAATAATTCCTGAGTCGTATCCAAANAGAAGCCCACCCGAGCACACGACACAGCCGAGCCAGTATGCTCTGAAAGTGCCTGCTCGCGTCATGTCGGACTCGCAACGAAGAATCTGTTCGGTGATGTCTGAAGATGAGCGAGACAGCAAAGCAACCTCAGGACCTACAGGACCGGAATCGCCATCCATTTAACAGAGCGTGGGATGCAAACAATCCAGAAGGATCGCAAGTCACGCGGAGATTGAGCATGAGATGGATAAGCATGCAGCAGTCGGCAGGAGGAGAGTAATGGCCTGACGGCCTGCCGTGGTACACGGCCGCACCTCCCTTTCTCAGAACCTCGTTCAGAGGCTCCGCCAGTAACAAGGCATTCAGGTCGCTCGTCGGCGCTCGCGGTGATTGATTGGATGCTGTTGATGCGCCTTGGCATGTGACGTTTGTGTCGATCATCTCGCGAATTCCTGGGTCGATGGTGTGCTTGAGGGGTCGCAGTCTGCCTTCTCAGACAACGATAACGTCTCCCACATAAAACTGATAGATATGGTGAATGCCTGTTGTTCATCACGGACTAGAGTGTCTGAACGCGTGGAGTCGTCAAATCTTCGAGAAGCTGAGTTGGAGCTCGCGCTGAACCTGCACCATAAGTCCAACTGCCACTTTGGGCATGGTCGTCTGGCTAATGTTTCTACATACTAAAGCGACACATCATTGCTAGGTACTTTCTTCAACACATATCAGCGATAGATCTCGACAGTCCCGATGTTCTGCTATGGATCAAACTCGCTCCCGACCGACCGCTTGGTATTCTTGCGAAGCGAATCGTGTCAGCGGTTATGCGTATCCTCAGCGGCTATTCTAGTTAGGTTGAGGTGCGATAAAGTATTGTCGGGCAGGTGACTGAAAAAGATGAATTGCGACGTGCTGAAACAAGCCGAGTTAGATGAGTAGATGCACTCTGTGCCGCTCAAGGTGTTGGACCACTTCTATGCAGAACCCGCCGCTTAAGTATTAACACTGTGTTAGTGGCGCCGAAATGTAAGGCGCGATTATGTTGGACTTTAGCTTATAGCAGGCTCGACGCGACTCACTATATGATGATACACTTTCTAGCGACTCGAGAACATACCTATGGCGAAACTTAGGAGACCTTTCTTGAGGAGTATTGCGCTCAAGGTGGCTCTTGCCCTCTGTACAATCATGACTTTCACCATTCTGACTCCGCTTCGAACTGTCCATCCGCGAGATTTTCGAACTGGTATGATCTTCAACCGTCAACATGCTACTCTTGGTCGGAGCGATGCGAACCGATTCAAACAGGACAAGATACAAGTCGTCNCATCACCAGTCCAGACAGCCAGAAAAAAAGCAGTGGCAACAGCCTTTCAGCACGCGTGGGATGGATATTCCAAACATTGTTTCGGCCACGACACATTACATCCTGTAAGCAACACCTGCGAGTACGACTTTGGTGGTTATGGCGCCACAGCCATCGATTCTTTACCGACCGCAATCATATTTGGCAATGAGAACGTGACCATCCAAATCCTCGAGTTCGTTGCTGCACTGGACTTCAAGGTAGTCAAAGGGGGTAGCCGTATCCAAGTCTTCGAAGTCACTATTCGGCATTTCGCTGCCATGATTTCGGCCTGGGACTTGCTCAACGATCCGTTCTCTCACATGGCCAAAGACTCAGGTCTACGGCACGCGCTGTACAACCGAATGACCACATTAGGTGATGCACTCAGCTGTGCTTTCGACAGTCCGAGTGGCGTCCCTCGTGAATGGGTCGATCCAGCGTTATGTCAGTCAGATAAGGGGACTCAGAATACCATAGCTGGTGTTGGGACTATGATACTTGAGTTCGCAAGATTGTCAGATATCACCGGCAATCAGACCTATGCGAATTTGGCGCGAGCGGCCGAAGATCATTTGCTGAAGCCACACCCAGCATCTGGCGAGCCGTATCCGGGCCTTCTCGGTTCCTTTATCAGTGTAGAAACTGGAGAGATCATAGGCTCCCAGGGTAGCTGGGGTGCACTTGCAGATTGTGAGTTCTGATTTCGAGCCCCTCGAAGACAATCAGGGACTAACGACCCACAGNCTTTTTATGAATATCTGATCAAAGCATACCTATATAACAGCGATCTCTACGAGTTCTATCTGGAGCGATGGCTGGTCGCAGCAGACTCGACAATACGCTCAATCGGATCACACCCTTATGGACATCCGGAGTGGACATTGTTGCCATCCTGGAACGGAGAAAATCTGCAGAACTCGATGGAGTCACTATCCTGGTTCGCTGGTGGAGATTTCATTCTTGGAGGAATGGTCACAGACAACCAGACTCTCGTGGACTACGGCCGTTCGATCGCCAATGCGGCAGGCGCAATTTACAATCCAACCAAGACTGGGTTGGGAGGAGAATTTGTGACTTGGGATACCATCTGCGAGGCCAGTGGGAGTAATCCTTGCGATCCGCACGACTCCATCCAAATCTCTGATGGGAGATTTCGTCTGCGACCTGAGGTTCTGGAGACGTGGTACTATGCCTATCGAGCTACACAAGATGAGAAGTATAGAGACTGGTTATGGGCTGCCTTTGAGGCCATCAACCGCTATTGCCGAACAGAGACCGGGTTCAGCTCAATAATTAACGTGAATGCTCCAGAAGGGGGCAGTAAGGGTGATGTCCAAGAGAGTTTTGTGTTTGCCGAGGTGATGAAATATGTATATCTCGCACATTTGGGGGTAAGATTTTCCAATGCTCGGTTGTGTCTCAACTGCTGATTGATTNTGCAGGATGCTCCATACCACGTTCAGGACAGCCGGACTGGTATCAAGAATACATGGGTCTTCAACACAGAAGCACACCCGTTACGTGTTGCAGGTCCGCCACGATAGAGACAAGATGTTGTATAGACACGGATGAACCCTTTGCAATGGTAGTAAATTCCTCGCTGCACTAAATCCGATGTTCATGTTATAGCAAGCACATAGCAAATTGGTGACGTATTGTTCTATTGCCATAGTCATGACCGAGAGCTGTTCGAAGAGGCATCGAGGTGTATGTAATCAAGAAACATTGAACCTCGATTTGACGAATTAATGCTGAGCGGGCAACCCTGACTTCAGTTTTGATCCATACCGAAGCCGTCATCATCTGTGCAACTTGCACGAGAATCGACCACAGCTGTTATGTCCTACCCTCCGTAAAGTGTACAAAGGCTCAAGAAGTGATAGTAGTATAGACGCGATGCGGTCGACAGAGCAGAGCAGAGCAGAATCATGACCATCCTCACAGCAGGCATCGTGGGAACATCGAACACAGCTCCACTGTTATCTCGTCAATAAAGCATGCACGATGATCGAAGCTCACCGACGAGACATGCGCATTCATCAAAGCAACATATGTGGATATCACCGAGAGGTAGACACTCGGTAAGATTAAGACATGGGAGTATTGGGTCCGCGATGGATGTGTTGTCGTCGATAACCATATATTGCGAAAAGCATTCGAGTGGGTGGGTTGCTACTCTAAAATTAGGCCAGCCGCCTGGTTGAGAATCTAGAATAGCATGCAGCAAGCTTGCATGTCACAGAGGCATGCCTAGGTAGCTGTGCGTCGCCTGAGATTTTCGCGATTCGAAGCAGACCACGGTCTTGCCGAAGTTGGTGAACAAACACTTAACAGCTGAACAGAGACCGTATGAAGTCTACTCGGCGGGGGCGCCGCTCGCCATCATGGTGCAAATTGCAATCTGATATTAGCTGGCTGAAGATTTGCAAACGCAATGCGGAAATGACGTGCAAGCCTCGGGCGTCTATTTTTCCGACTTCTTGTCACCATGTTCCTTTCAAGTTTCAACCCTTGCAAATCTCGAAGGCTGCATGCAACAAGCTCAAGTCTCGATGCAGGTCCGAGTCGACCGAGGTCCCAGAGCGGCAGCCGGCCAAAGCTTAGAAAGAGACATGGTTTTGACGGCCGGTTCCTGGCGCGGATCGTATCACCTAGTCGCATCCTCACCCGAGAAAAAAACATCACGCTATTGGATATCCCTAGCCCGATTTGATTGCCCAACCCAGCGCTTCACGGTCCTTGGTTATTGCCAGATACGCTCCGAATGTGGAGTTGGTAGCTGGCAGATCATGTTTACCATGCGAGCGGCGTGGACGGCTCACTCTTCGCCACACGGGAATGGCGCGAGTAGGCTGATTTTCTGTGAGACCGACCGTAGGGGCTCGGCTACTGGTTCACTTTGCGCCGTTGCACCTGGCCCGGGGTCTCAACGTTATGGTGTTTCTTCTTCAGCTTCCATTGTAGCGTAACGTCTCCGTGGAAGGACTAGACTGTATGCGCTTCTATATCGGTTGGTGCTTGGCTTACTTGAGCCCAAACGGTCCTGCTCGGTGATCCTTTGCTCAAAAACCCCAGGTCTGCCGTCAGTACAAACGTTCTCTCGTCTCTACTAATTTTCTTACCTTGTCTGTTCTCAATCCTCCTTCCACTCTTTCATATCCGGTGGTAGCAGTATTAGGCACAAGCCAATCTACATTCTCGTATTCCATACTCTAGTCCTTCGCCATGGACGACCGCAACAATGGCACTGCCGCTTCGTCGGCCAATGCAACCNCCTACCTCAGACCTGGTACCCCCGAGAGTGAGGCCATCACCCCTGTTGCCAGAGCAAACCCCTTCGCAACTCCCTATGGCTCGATGCCCGTTTCGGCAGCAGGCTCCTCCACAGCTCTCCAGCAGCCTCAGCAGAGATACTTCCACTCTAGACGTGTGAAGAAGGGCGAAGTCGAAAAACCTTGGCTTGAGAAGAAGGACCCTAAGGAGAAGTGGGTGACCATCATTCCTTGCATCGGTATCGCCATTGGTATCGCTCTCACCGGTTTCCTCATTTACGACGGTCTGGCCAGTGTCACCAACCACAGCTACTGCCCCGTCTTCGCCGACGACTTCTCCAATGGTCTCAACAGCAAGATTTGGCAAAAGGAGGTGGAGTGTGGTGGCTTTGGCAACGGTCAATTCGAAATCACAACCAACACCGACGAGAATGCCTTCGTCCAGGACGGCATGCTTCACATCAAGCCTACTCTTCAAGATGCCAAGCTCGTCGAGCAAAACAATGTCATCAACCTCCTCGCTGACGGCTCCTGCTCGTCTGACGTCTGGTCCAACTGCATCACCGGCACCAACGTCACCAACGGTACTATTGTCAACCCCGTCAAGTCTGCTCGTATCAGCACCAAGAACGGTGCTTCCATCAAGTTCGGTCGTATCGAGGTCGAGGCCAAGCTTCCTGCTGGTGACTGGCTGTGGCCCGCCATCTGGATGCTTCCCAAGGACGATGTCTACGGTGCATGGCCTCGCTCCGGTGAAATCGATATCATGGAGTCTCGCGGAAACAACCACACCTATTCTCAGGGCGGTAACAACGTCATGAGCAGCACTCTCCACTGGGGACCCAACCCTGCCAACGATGGTTGGTGGCTCAACAACAACAAGCACTCCGCTCTCCACACCACTTACGCTGCCGGTTTCCACACTTTCGGTCTCGAATGGTCCGAGAAGTACATTTTCACCTACGTCGACTCTCGTCTTCTCCAGGTCATGTACGTCAACTTTGACAAGCCTTTCTGGCAGAAGGGTAGATTCCCTGTCAGCGATAGCAACGGTACCGCTCTCATGAACCCCTGGGCTGCCACCGGCAAGGACAACACCCCCTTCGACCAGGACTTCTACCTCATTCTCAATGTTGCTGTCGGCGGTACCAACGGCTGGTTCCAGGACGGTGCTTCTGGCAAGCCCTGGACCGACGGCAGTGGCCTCGCCAGAAAGGAGTTCTGGGATGCTCGTGACCAGTGGTACCCCACCTGGGAGAAGAACGGCGAGATGGTCGTCAAGAGTGTCAAGATGTGGCAGCAGAAGGGCTACAACGGTTGCAACTAGACTGTATAATCTTTTGGTCTTATAGCGATTTGCTTTCTTTTTGATATTTTGGGATTGCGATACCTCGGAGTTATGTCTGGGTTCACTACAAAGAGTGACGATACGATTTTCTTTTTCAGAATATAGACAAGAATCACATTATAATTTCTACAGACTACGTTCGCAATCGTTGTGATCTTGTCTAGTTTCTCCTCACAGTATACCAGCCATCTATCGTTTCCATGACCTCTACTCCGGTGAACTCGTTTGATAGAATCGTCTAGATAGAACCCGTCAATATTGACTGCCGTGTTTGGTCGGTAAGGCTGGGACATAAACGTCGAAGGTCTTCAACTGTCACAACGTCGCGAAACGGGCAGTGATTCTGGGAGTGTGCCCTGATACCGCCAGTGATAAGCAACGTCTTTCTTCCAAACATACTGCAGAAACGTGACAAGACGTGGCGAGGCTGGTGAACCATTTGGTGGAAGCGTCAGGATCTCAGACTCGGTCAAACGGGGGTCCGTCACAACCGTCCGGCAGTGAGGGGTCAGGGTTGGTGGTGAAACCCGTGACGTTGGGATGATGGGCATACTAGTCTCACAGCAATTGTCTCAACTTATTATTACAGTTCAGGTGTGGTTTCAATTTCTCATGCAAAAGAGAGCTTCCTCTAGGCTCTGGCTTTGAGCCACTCGCGCAACAAGTTCTACACGGCCTCGGTGTCACCCACCGAATGACAAAGCTTCTTCGGCAAGCCACAACCTCTTCGCACATGGTCAGGGTTCTGGTGAATGGCAGCTGAAAGCGTGCCCCTTCAAGGCACATCAGCTACAGCTGCCTGTTATCAACGCTAAGCTTAGAGTGCTGGGCTGTGCTGGCAGCCAGCGTTCAGCCTCGTGTGAAGATAACGGCGAGATAGTCGTTGATGCGTGGGATGATCTGCACCTTCAGTTCAGGCCGAGAATCTGGAGACGTGTTGCAATATCTGAAGATCATCACAAAGCCCTCGGGGGATCTGCTGGAGAGAAACTTGCACCATAGAAGCACTGACCTGACATGGTTCTTTGTACATTGTATTGGTATTGAAAGTGTATGCAAGGAGTGGTGGAGTCATGGGGTGAAGCATCTCAACCATGCTATTTCTGCCCATGCACGATTTCATTGAGAGAAGATGTTTTCCCAGCGAGTGCAGAAATCAAGGATGGACTGCAGCGTAGGAGCGCTTGGCACATCAAGAGTTGTTAACCGAGCGGACCCGCCGCGGGTGCGAGCCGCCTGGCGAAAAACTTACAGCGACGGCAAGTGATATGGACTTGCAAGCTTTTCCACCATCTCGGATCGAAGTCTAGGAACGACAGCAGCGGAGTAGTCAAAGTGGTAGATCTGGAAGCCTGACGCACCAGAGTTGGATTGCAAATAAATGAAAGCTGAAGATCCAAGACGCAATCTCCTCCAGCGAAATTCGCCCTTGGTCAAGCCGTCACTGAGCGGCACGATGATTTTCTTAACGGAGTGACTGAGCGGCTCACCAAGCTATATCAGCAGCTAGAGAGGAAGAGTTTGCAAAAATCAAGGTATGTTATTAGAGTTGTATGCACGTTGAAGGAGGTTACAGTGGTGCAGGACGTCTGCAGCAGCAGCGAGCAGGTGAGTTGAGGTTGAGGTCACAGCCGAACCTTGCTCAGGACTTGGCGACTGGATTTAGCAACGGCTCGATGCAGTAGCGCTCGTGCTTCCGCTCGCCATCCGCGAGTCTCTTTTCTAAGTTTCTTACGGCCGCCCGTTGAATTTTCCAATAATCGCCAAAACCCAAATGTCACCAGAGACATTTCTGCGCTTCCAGAATACTTGCCACGCATCTTCGGTGCCAAGTGTAGAACGATGTGTCTCGCGCATCCACGCCCATAATCCGAAAGGTTCTGGACGCGGAAAATGGTTGATCAATGATGCGCTGGAGGATATCAGACGAGCGAATCCTTCTGCTGCAAGGTACTCGTACCTAGTTCCCCGAGTACGTACTATTACGTAGCGAGCGTACCTTGCAGCATGACAGAACCTTGCCAAAAACGACTTCCGATGTCTAAAGAAAGGACATGTTGCATGCGACACCGGATACCTGCAAAAGATGCTGCACCATAACAATGAGATATCGTCCGCGGTCAGCAACGACAAGATGGATGACGATAGTGTAGCAATACATTGTCGGTCATCGTGACCTTATACATAGGATACTGCACACCATTTCCCACTACGGTAACAAATATTGGCGCGCCTGCCCATTTTGGCCGTCGAGTTGAGTTAGTGCTCGCTACGCTCAGACCTAGCCATGGCTTCTTCAGCACGAGGGCGATCATCGCATGCACTTGTCTCAGTTGCCGTTTCTTGACTCGACGCCGTTCGATAAGCGCGATGCCAACTCATATCCGGATCCAGCCCAAGGGCCCTCACCTTGGAGCTAACCGAAGCCACAGCGTGCCCGTTGAGTGTTCGATGCTAGACCCGCATCTCAGATCAAACCGCGCCGTGTCTCCCACGGTCCCACGGCGTGTCCGCCGCCAGTGTGTTCTGCGCCAGAATAGCATTTGGACCGAATACAGTAGTGCACTACCGTTTCCGTCAGCGTTCAACGTCTTTCAGCTTTATCATGTATCCAGCCTGCCGGTCGAGATCTGGTCGTGCCTTTCATATACACCAGCTTTTCCTCCTAGCTCTTTCCTTCTCTTCCTCATTCCTTCATTAATTCTCTACCACTACTCGCTATCTAAGTCGAACAATCTCTAAGGAGAGACAACGATCCATCCTCCCCGGATCTACACTCTAGTATACCGCCTGACATTCGTTTTCACCAAGGTCTATCATAGGCCATACCCATCATGGGTCTCAAGAACTACTTCAAAGCCGGCAAGGATGCCGAGAAGAAGTCTGAAACTCCTGCCAACGAGATGAGCGAAATCTCAGAGAAGCCTCTCGCCCCTCCTACACCAGCATTCGCCAGCCAGACACCGTCAGGCCTATCAACACCCAGAAATGGTCTTCTCTCCTCTGGTGCATCGATTGCACCCTCATCGAGGTCAGGTTTCATGGACGACATCAAGCACGAAGTCATGGTCAACTACCTCTTCCAACAACAATGTGCCAGACTATGGGTTGGCGATGGTAGCGGCGAGGTCGAGGGTGTTCTCTTGAGAAAGTTCAAGGGAAGCTACTTGGCTTGCCCTCCCTCCCTCAGCACATCGACATTCGCCATGGCATGTGCAGCACTCAACGTGCCGGTAAGCAATCCTCAAATTTCATCCTCAGAATCAATCTAATCGTTACCCAGTNGCGCCATGACTGTCAACTCCCGTATCATCAAGACTTTCCTTGCCTGGTCACCGGATGCCGTCGACGTGCCGCTCATGAACGGTCTCAGAGTCCAGATTCTTCCCACCATGGAGGACCTCCCCAGAGCACGCAAGCACCAGTTCGCCGCCTTCATTGCCTCTGAGGCACTTCTTGTCGTCTGGGATGATGACGCCAACAACCTCGTCAACCGCGCCAAGCTGATCGAGGGCGAGCTCATGGAGCTCGTCTGGAAGACTGGTGAGCCCGAGGAGGTCACCGACGAGCCCGTGGCCAAGAAGGGCCCTGGTGTTGTCGAGGAGGAGATTGATGAGGAGAGTGGTGAGGTTCTTCCCGAGAATCGCCCAACACATCTCATGAACACTGTCCTCGTCTCCATCACCCTCATCATCATCATCACTCTTCTCGGAGCCGGTTACCGACAACTGGCCATTGAAGTCAAGATCGATGGTAGCTACACTCGCATCGCCTTCGTTGCCCTTTCCNCCGTCCAAATCTTCTTCACCCTCTTCTTCGCCCAGGTCATTGTTGGTTGTATCGCCCAGATGATTGGCCCCGTTCGCCAAATGACCCAGAACTCTCGCTTCTACTCTGCTCTGCTCCCCCGTCGCATCCAGGGTCGCAACCTTCCTCACGTCACCATCCAGTGTCCCGTCTACAAGGAGGGTCTCGCATCCGTCATTGCTCCTACCGTCAAGTCCATCAAGCAGGCCATCTCGACCTACGAACTTCAGGGTGGTTCCGCCAACATCTTCATCAACGATGACGGTCTTCAGCTCCTCGATGAGGAGGAGCGTGAGGCCAGAATCGAGTTCTACGCCGATAACAGCATCGGTTGGACTGCCCGTCCCAAGCACGGTTCCGAGGGTTTCGTTCGTCGCGGAAAGTTCAAGAAGGCTTCCAACATGAACTTCGGTCTCATGGTTTCTTGCAACGTCGAGGAGAAACTTCTCCAGATCAACCGTGGTAACGACTGGACTCAGGCTGATGAAGCTCAAGCTTACGAGCGCTGCCTCAGCGAAGTCCTCGAGGAGCATGGTCGCGCCTGGGCTGATGGCAACATCCGTATCGGTGACTACATTGTCCTCATCGACTCCGACACTCGTGTTCCTGCCGACTGTCTTCTCGACGCTGCCTCTGAGATGGAGCAGGGTCCTGAAGTTGGTATCATGCAATTCAGTTCCGGTGTTATGCAAGTCGTCCACACCTACTTCGAGAACGGTATCACCTTCTTCACCAACCTCATCTACACTGCCATCCGTTACACCGTCTCCAACGGTGATGTCGCTCCTTTCGTCGGTCACAACGCCATTCTCCGCTGGGCTGCCATTCAGCAGGTCTCTTACTTTGATGAGGACGGTTACGAAAAGTTCTGGTCCGAGTCTCACGTGTCCGAGGACTTTGATATGTCTCTTCGTCTTCAATGTAACGGCTACATCATCCGCATGGGTGCCTGGGCTGGTGAAGGCTTCAAGGAGGGTGTGTCGCTTACTGTCTACGACGAGCTGGCCCGTTGGGAGAAATACGCCTATGGTTGCAACGAGCTTCTCTTCAACCCCATTCGCATGTGGTTCTACAAGGGTCCCTTCACTCCTCTCTTCCGCCAGTTCCTCTTCTCGAACATTCGTATGACCTCCAAGATCACCATCGTCTCGTACATTGGTACCTACTACGCCATCGGTGCCGCCTGGATTCTTACCACCGTCAACTACTTCGCCATGGGTTGGTTCAACGGTTACCTCGACAAGTACTACCTCGACTCATGGAAGGTCTGGTTCTCGCTCGTCATCGTCTTCAACGGTCTTGGTAACGTTTCGCTCGCCATCATGCGTTACCGTATCGGTGACAAGTCCTTCTTCGGCGCCCTCTTCGAGAACTTCAAGTGGATTCTTATGCTCGCTATCTTCCTTGGTGGCCTGTCTCTTCACGTTTCTCAGGCTCTTCTTGCTCACATGTTCGAGATCGACATGACATGGGGCGCCACCGGAAAGGAAGCCGAGTTCTCCAACTTCTTCATTGAGGTGCCCAAGGTGCTCAAGAGCTTCAAGTACTCGCTCATCTTCTGTGTCGTTTCCATCATCGGCATGATCCTCCTCGCCACCGCCGACTTCATCCCCTACGATTGGATGATTACCGACTTCGTCGCCATCTTGCCCATGGCTACAGTCGTGGCATCGCATTTCCTTTTGCCCATTGCTCTCAACCCCGCTCTCATGACCTTCTCATGGTAGAGCGAGTTTCCTTCTCTCGTTCCTATCTCCTTCTGTCTATATAACGCGGTGTCTGTCATCTTGAGATATCATTGATGTTTTGGTGTGGTACAAAACGGCTTGACCACAGAGCGGGCGTCCCCTACATGACCTTTTACTATTTCCTTTCATAATTGCTCCTTTCCCAGGATTATAGATTACACTTTTCTCGATACCACAAAATCCTTTTGATTTCGAATCAACTTATTTAAGCAACTCTTTTAATTCTCTCTTTGTCTTTTTCTTGTCTTGCCTTCTTTGCCGTTTCGCTTGATCCCACCACCAAACCTATGGATCTTCGTTCCCCAAACACAACCCTGTCCCCATACTTCTGCCACAAATACCTGAAACTCTCCTCAACTCAGCCTCGCTATCCTCCTCCTCTGCGTCTCGAAATAGAAAGTCCGGAACATATCCCAAAAATATATCCATCGACTACGGACATATTCTTCTTCTCCAGAAAAAGCAACAGAGATCTATCGTTTCAAGCTGAAGCAAGGGGAGGTCCAGTCCTGACTCTTTCTCATAACACAAAAGCTACCACCACCACTGTCCAAATTTGGTCGCTTTCAAAGAGCCGCGGTCATAAGATTCAAGGTTATCAAACTTCACCAATGATGGTATGCCACGAGCGGTGGTCGCACGGGTGATGCATGTTGTCGTAGCACGATGCCGCCGCACGGACAAAAATGAGAGAAAGCCGCCGTCTCTGTGGAAATTATCGCCAGCTGCTGCTCACGACCACCTGGCTTGAACATAAAAAGCCTTGTCTGCAAAAACTCAAATTCTACTTCCTAGCAATTGGCAACAATCAATTATACATCCGTGCCATGAGTAAGTTTGGCAAGCCCATGCAGGGCAGCAGGGGTGTGGCGCTGGTTCAGCCTTTCAGCACTTCTGCAAGGCACCACCTCGTGTCCGCTGCGACGCGTGCGCGAAGAACAAGTCTAAGCTCCACCCAGCTGAAAGACAAAAGAAGGATGGAATCTACCCCTTTTACACCTTGTCGTCAACACCAAGACGTCGCCTTCCCCGAGCACTCAAGGACCTGATTCTCGACCTGGAACGAGGCTTGCTCCTGTTGCGCTTGTGATGGTCTTTGCGAGCTGCGTGCTGACGAGGAAGACTTGAATCCCGAATGGCAATGACTCGAGGCGCATCTGCGCTCTACATCTCGAACATCAGCAAACATCTCGATATGTAAGTACAGGGATTGCTTACGGCAGGCAATTCTTCGCTCAACATTGTGAAACTGCTCTTGGGTAATTTGACATAGTTCTTGTCGAATGGATACCACAACTTCTGGAAGCGTCGAATGCCCCATGGAAAGAAGATGGTGAAGAGGAGACTGATGATCAATAGCGGGATTGAAATGTATAAACACAGGATCGCTGGTGCTTTCATAGTACTGATACCAAACACGCTCTATACCCTGTCAGCAATGTTGCAAAGCGTGCAAGAATGACCTGTAGTACTCACAGTAAGGTATGAGATTGGAAGATATAGCGCCGCAATGATGGACAGGAAGCGTGAGTAATCGGACTGGTTAGCATTCTCGATGTTGAACTCCTACAGGCCATGTAAGTCCTTGGCTCTAAATGGTGACGTGTGGTCTACTGACAAGNNTTCAATCAGATTGAGGAAGCGCTCTTTGAGAGTGTCCATGTAGTAAGAATACTGATCCAGATCTTCGACGGCGTCGTCCATTTCATCCCACACTGGGTCCTTGCCGTCATCTGGAGACTTGTGCATCGTATCTCTGAGTTTGAGCAGCTTCTTGAATGATCGCGAATGGAAGCGCATGTATTCGCTCAGTTCGTACACTCTGTCGATTTGCTTATGCATCTGTCTTGTACGCAACTTGACAGGGTACTTGCGGCCACGGCTGTTGAGCTCNCTGGACAGTAGTCGTCAGTAAGTCAGGTTTCTCAGCGTCAACTCGGTACATACAGCTTCCTCCAGCTCCCTCTCAATCTCTCGAATGATGTTCTGCCAGTCGGTCAGAAGCCAGTACAGTCTCAGAAATGTCCAGCAAACGGTCTCCTCATCTCTACGTGGCATGTCGTACTCTTCATCTTCGTAAAAGTATGGAAAGAAGAGTTCGTGCATGACGTTCTCGGCCGGAATCTTGGATTGAGTGAACACAAGAGTGACTGGGACTTCGCGGTCGAATCGACAAGCACGGCGTCCACAGCACCAAGCAGCGATACGGAATCGATACTCGTCAACTNNATGTCGCGAGACTATCAGCTCGCTGTTGGCGGCCGAAATCGTAAAAAGATACTGACTCTCATCAATGCCTTGTGGCTTGCGGCCTTCGGGAGGATCCTTGCCGAAAGTCCACCAGTATACGTCTGGTACGTTCATTTGATCGACCAGGAAGGACCACGGTATCTGGGTGGACCGCTTGTTGCTTCTCTCAGGGAACTTGACCGTGTCATCAAATTGTAGCGCTCTGTTGAGATCGGTAAGATCATCGTAACGATCATCAATGCAGGTCGCGATGACTTGTTCGAGCCAGGGCTGGAATACGTTAAATGTNTCTGAGGCAAGACACAGTCAGTTCTGAACCATCTGGAACAGCGAATATACTTACATCAGCAATGGATCTGATGGATTCATTGATAGAGTTTCCCGAACTAGAGCGGCAAATCTATGGCCGTCTGCGCTGGCCACCTGGATTGAACTGTGGTAATTTGGCGAACGCCTGTTGCCAATATGCACACTGATGGGCACGCCTTCTTGGTACCACGACTTATGTCTTGGTGAACGGCGTTTGCGATGATGGCGACTGGCGCGAGGTGAGTCTCCCATGTTTGTCTGATGAGTTGATGAAGTGTATTTTGGTTGTTGGGTCAGATTTACATCTGAGCGTCTAGGATATGGGTTCATCGTGCCTTCCTCGACATCGACACCTATGCAAGATTAATGTTTCTCCGGCTGGACCGGACGTAGCCATAGTTCCTTCCTCGATTGCTAACTGTGGTGGTTATCAAAAGCATGAACAGTCATCTCAGGATGCCCAGGCTGGACTATGGGTTGCCTGGTCAGACCGCGTGATGGATCCATCCGCCCCACGTGAACAGCTGCATGAAGGATGACCTTCCAACATGTATCACCAACTTCCCGACTATTTGCCCCTGGAAAATCTTCCGTACGTACAATGCGGAATTTTCATGAACATTTTCATACAGCGTATCCAGAAGGACCACGGCATTGCTACATAAATGCGCTGAACAAGAAGGGGATAGAACGATCGGTGGAAGTGAAGCCAGACAAGACGATTAACAATATGCGACTCAAACAACTGGTCGTGGGTATAGCGCTGAAGGGTAATAAAAGACACCAAGAAGAACAAAAAGGGGCACATGAATGTGCACTGGAGGGTATGCTTGTTAGTCGTAATAAACAGGGACAACTTCGTTCTACGGGCTGTTAGGCCTTTCGTCTGTGCCCATGTCGGTTGAGTCACCTTCAATGGTTCGACGCCAGTGTTGTGGTAGGCAGACACAAACCAGTGGGAAGGCCTTCACCGGACCGTATTCCTCGGGACTTGCTTCGCCACTGCTCATACCGCTGTCGCGTTGCAGCTTGCCCTTGCTTTTCCAGTCTTCTGCACGCATGCTAACGCGCACGCCTGTTGCCCAGCCGTCATCCCATATACCGACAACTTTGACCATATCGCCGCGTTCAAGGTCAAATTCATCGGCAGCACGGGGTTGGTAGGCCCACAAAGATGACACAAGATCACCTGGATGTATGTCATCTTGCGAATAGTAGTCTTTGAAAAAGCTGAGCTGTTCCGATTCGGATGTGCCTTCCGGCGATGAGATACCATCCCGAGCAGGACTGCCAGAGGTGCCAAACGCAAGGAGCGAACCGCTGGATAGTGAACCGTTTCGCCTAGGAGGCGGACCAACGCCACCGGCACGCAAGTGTGGTGCTCTTTGGGCTTCTGGGGTAGAGTCGAAAGCAATCGTTGGCGAACGCGTGTTACGTTCTGAGCCGCTCGAAACGGCTTCCAGGGCAGCCATGCGAGCAACACGACCACCGGGAAGAGCTTCGATTCTGTCGTTTTGGCTCCTGCTAGCGCCATCGTGCCGGTATGCCATGGCTGGAGGTGCTCCGCCCTGACGTGATCTCACGGGCTGGTTGAATACGCTCGTTGCTGGACTGGCCTGTTTCCGACGGCGAAGGAAGACACAGGCCAGAATCAAGAGCGCAAGGAGGATGAAGACGCCAAGCAAAGATCCGATGACGATGCCAGCGATTGCACCACCCGACAGTCCCTTTCTTCTCCGAGTAGTCGTGGAAGGTGTCGAAGATGGAGACCTAGTGGCGGTTGAGGAGGTGGCTGACGAAGTTGAAGTAAAGAGAGGTTGCATGGAGGAAGTAGCAACTATAGGCAGAACGACATTGTTGCAGCGCGTTGTGGTATCAGAGTAGACACAGCAAGAATCGGTGGCATTTGGCGAACTCGCAGCACAGTAAGAGCAGAGATTGACGAGATTAGAAGCGAAGCCGCAATTCTCTGGCTCGTTAGTGACACCTGCGATACATGAGCCAGACAAGGAATTCGCAGGCAGTGCGCAATTGGTGAAGTCGGCTCGAATCTGACTGATAGCATTCGAGTTTGTGTTGCCGCATATGTTGCTTGCAGTAATGGACTGCTCACTCTCGGCATATTCGGCCTATGGCAGAGGTTAGAAATTGGGAGTTGGACTTGATCATGAGAATAGTCTTACACAAGTGTTGGCACACAACGGTCGAGTTGCATCTCCGGTCAGGTCACAAGCCGAAATGGAATTTTGGACAATGGCATTGCAGAGTACGCTAGCGGTATAGCGGGCATAATAGCTGGACGAGTTTGACAAGTCGAAAGTCGAGCAACCGATCAAGTCGGAATACCTCTGCTGGATGAAGCCGTTGGATATGTACTGCTGAAGTTGTGTGTCGAAAGAAGAGGTATCGGTGACATTGACAAGGAATGGAAATAGTCCGGTGAGGGCACTATCAGTTGAGATAGAGGCCGCGTTGAAAGCACGGCACTCGGACGAGTCTGTCAGAGGAATGCAGCTCTGAGCCAGGGCAGTTGGAAGCGTCGCGGCCGTTAGAGCGAGAGCGCGGAGCGCTCGAAAACGTCCCGCTACCCTGTTCTCTCTGGTCCGGGAACATCTTGTCGCCGCTCCTTGTTCCAAGCTCTTGTCGCACCGCACGCGCTCGGTGCTGATGCTGCCCTGGACNGTGCGCGGCGTGGGAGCATCGCTGGACATTGTCTAGACACTCGAGTATTGCATAAAGAAGATGTATTCGAAGATGCCGTTGGAGGAATTGGGTCGTGTGAAACGAAAAAGGATCGAGTCTGGACCGAGGATAGTATTATCGTTGTAGAGTAATCGCAGAGGTCGTGGTGATTAAGGTTAGGTCGAAGAAGAAAACCGATCAGGAGGCGGGCAATGAGCGACTGGATGGACGCAGAGCAGAAGACAGGAAGACGAAATGATTGACAAGAGACAGGCGGCGAGGCAAGCGCGCCTCTGCTACGTCGAGAACAGCAGTCGCACACTCAGCCAGCGCTGACCGAAGACAGCGGGCCCGGCCAAGTCGAAGATGTGCGACCGCCGACGCTGAAGCCCGGCGCGGCATGCCACTTCCCGCGCCTGCAAACTTCTGCTCCATTCCTCTTTCGGCCTTGATTTCTGTTTCTTCGCATCTCGAATCCGTCAAGGTCGTCGTGGACTGGATAAGAAAGTTGCTGGTCCCTGCAAGGCAACTAGAGTCTTCTTCAGCCTGTTATTCGAAGAGTGCTGTTCTGGTAGGACGTCGTCTACTCTACCATATCGACATTGGCATGGTCTACGAGAGGCTGAGCCCTGATTCAGATAGTCATCTCTCACCGCCGGATATGACTTGCATCATGATTTACATGTTATCTTGTCTGGTGAACTTCCATCCGACCATGAGAGCGCACGCATGTGCAGATCACTTGAATACTCAAACCTCCATTCGCTCACCTTGGCAGACCATTTCTAAAAAGAAGAAGCTTCTTAGCATTCCTGATGTCAGGATATGTATGATATCAAAAAGTGTACGAAGCCTTGTGGTACGCCGCACAGAGCCACGTTTCATCAAACCCAACAAGTACAGCATACAAAGGAGCTCTCATTGATCAACAGACATACAAATACGAATAATTGACTGCTTCTAGACTAAACCCATGTTTGCTGCCTGTCTTTCTGTCTTAGGTGTGTGTACGCAGCATCATGTACTGTCTGATCTCATTGGACTCGAATCTTGATGGTCGTTAAGGTAATCATGAGTGAGCAGGCTTGGGAGCGGTGGTAGGGTCGGCGTGGACGGCACCTGGGTGCTGCTGCTGGGCACCAGTGCTGGAAGCCTGAGGACCAGCGGCAATCTCGGCAGCGATCTGATCTTCGGTCTTCTTGTTGCCGTGCGAGATGAGGCGATTGAGGAAGGAGCCAGGTCTGCCCTGGGGGTACTTGGAGTCTTCGGCCTCAGCCTCTTCGAGCTGCTTGTGAAGGTGACCAGTAGTCTCCTCATCGAGCTCCTCATGCTCGTCAAAGTTNGGCTGTCGCAAGTGGGGTTAGCGGGGCCGAAACCAGACATGACAGTCACGGGATTGCAACTCACTCTCCTTGTCGTGCATGCTGAGAGCTCTCTTGATCTTCTGTCTGACGGCCTGCATTTTCACGATTGGCGAAACGGTAGATCTTATGAGCTGATGATGAGAGGACTGTCAGTCGCTGGCGCAGGCGAAAGGGTACGGGGAGGCTGAGGTAGTACCTGTGGTATAGGTGTGCAGATGAGATTCTCTCAATGCGGACGGGCTCGAGTTGGGACTTGTAGGATGGAGGATGGAGGATGGAGGAAAGAGGAAAGCGAGGTTGTTTGAACGTCAAAGCAGAACAAAGATAGACGTGGTCCAGGGCAGGCAAGTGCCCTCATCCAGTGCCCAGCAGCCCGCCATCACCCGTCGTCATTACCCCACATGAGAGCCGATGGCGCTGCTGATGGACCGTGATGGGCCAAAGTTGGAAACGCTCATATTCCCGCACGAGGCCGATGGGTCTGGATCCGAACTTCTTCATGCATGACTTACGCGTCTCTGGCGTCCTGGTGTTGGATGTGCTTCCAGCACCAGTTGGCCGAGGGCAGTTCGTGATATCCGCCTACAATGCTGGCCACTTCCCCAGATCGCTGTCCAGACCGAGGCTCTTGTGATCGCGCGGCGCGGCCCGTGCGAGCGAGCTGCTTCCTGTTTGCTGGGCGCGCGTCGCATGTTGGTTTTCCTTCTAGAAAAAGTAAATAATATCCAACTGCATCCGAGCACCAGCATGCTTGCGACACTGCGTTGGCGATCATCCTGAAACCAGAGCTCATGTGTCGTCTTGAGTTGTTGGGTCTGCTGATTCTCTCGCTTCACGCTCGCAAGGCCAAGTCTGGTCGAGACGCTACAGACGACAACCATCTGGCTTCTCGAGCTGTGCACCTGCAATGCTCCACGAGGTCCTCCTCGCCCTCAGCGGGCATCCCTCGCCACTGTTCCCTGCGACTGCACCGCCCGGCCGATCGTCTGACGCCTTTGTAGACAAAGATTTCCCACTCTTGTCATCATCGGAAGCGGCTTTATTGGCGACGGTTGGCAAGCTCGCCAGTCTGCATCGTCAGATTCGAGACCACGCAAATCGCATTGTTTCGCAACATCCTTCAACCATCTGTCGTGCCGTAGCTGCTTCATTGCTGCAAATTCATCTTGCACGCTTCCGTGAAAAGATTCTTGATGTCGAGAGGCTGATCTTGACCAAGGATGCTGCCATAGTGGGTGCATACAACATTGTACCCCTCTCTGCAGTCGTCGGCGAATTTGATGAGTGGAATCGTCGCATGGACTGGTATTGGACTCTTGCACGCTTCATCCAGCCCCTAGACACGACCAAATCTGACCAAGCAACCGGAGCTGGACTTATTGATCATCTGCGATCAGAGCTGCAAACCGGGTTTCCCGACATTGAGACCGCAGCAACAGAGTTGAGTTGCGTCGCTGACAAGGCCTGGCTGAAACAGGTGTCTGTGTGGCTGCTGTACGGCTTGCTTCCAAGCCACGGCGCTGAGGACTTCTTTGTCTCCGTGCAACAGTCTGCCGAAGGGCCACCTTCATATGCTTTAAAACGAGAACTGCTGCCCAAACTTGTTTCGCAGCAGACTGGCAGCTCTCTGCTGTTCATCGGAAAGTCGTTGCACCAAGTCAAACAGCATACGCAAGGATCATCGGCATCGCGGATCCTTCATGGTGGTGAAGATGCAGCTCTCTTGAATGCACATCTTCAATTGCTGTCTTCACTATCGTTCCCAATAATCCCTGCTGCATTCTCTACCACAATATCCTCAATACGTTCATCACTATCGCAAAAAGTCCTCCAACGCCTACTCCCACCAGACGAGATCAAACTCGTGTTGAGTGTGTTCCGTCAGATCCTGCTTCTGGATCGGGGTGAGTTTGCTGTCTTCTTGATATCTGAGGCAGCAGAAAGACTAGATGCCAGAAGAGTCGAACATGGCCGATACTTGCAAGAGCCCCCAGGTAGGGATCTTCGCGGCGTGATGATGAAAGAGGGCGAAGTCAACGAATCACTCTCACGCACCTGGAAAGCATTGACGTCTCTACAAACCGAGGACCTCGAAGACGACGTACTCGACTTCGCCCGCGAGAACATGCGTTTGGAGATTGACACGCGACGAGCCGCTGCAAGACCCTCAACCTCGGATAGAACAGCCTTGGATGCAGCAAGTCTGTCGAGCACTACCTTTAACGACCTGCTGTTTCCTGTTCCCACCCTACTCACAATGCAAATTTGCTCTCCGCTCGATCTTTTCGTCTGCCGCGCCGACATGGACAGGTATTCAGCACTCAACGCATACTTGTTGAGTCTCCGACGAGCACATATGCGATTGTCCAACTTATGGCGAGAATCAAGTTCACGTCGTGCAGCTGCAAATCCAGCCCGCCTTAGTGCAGAAGCAGAACGCGTCGCCCACGCTCGTAGCATCTCCCAACGCAAGGTCTGGGCTACATGCAGTGCAGCTGTCTTTTTACTATCAGAGACTACGGCATATTTTGAGGGTGAGCTGATCACAAGCTCATGGGACACATTCTACTCGTGGGCCACCGCTCAGCACCACGACCCGGAGACGTTAGGACGTGCCCACCGCTCATTCCTCGCTGCACTGTCTTATGCGATCTTGCTCACCGACACAGTCTACACGCGGTTCCTCCGTGACTTGCTCACACACATTGACGCTCTAGTCGCCCTATTTGGCCGCCTTCAACAACTCCAACAGACATCTAGTTTTGGTGTAGGTGGCACGGACTTCCTCGACGATGAAGAGGCAGAGGTAGCACGCGAACTCGACCGTTCCCGCAAACGTGTCGACACTGCTCTCAAAGACGTGGTTGCCAGGTTGCGCCAATTGGACCATGAGCGGTTGGGTGCTGCCAGATATCTCCAACTGGACACTCAAGACACAGGTTTCGAGGTGTGGCGTAGCGGAGGCGTGGACAGACTGTTGATGAAACTAGATTTTGGCTGGATGACTGGTGGTGAAGATTATATTGTCTAGGTTGCTGGTGGAAGCTTTCTACAATGGCAGATTACTATCCTAAAATTCATGGTTTTAGCTTGCAAACCTGAAGGAAAGACATTAATAGCATGTTTAGACAATGCTTTTAGAAGCGCATATTGCATGTCATCATCAACAACAACCGCTATTCACAGATGCCTCTTCTCACTTATACAAAACACCGTTCTGGTCTCTCCTCTTCACCAAATGCCCAGCCACTTCTTAATCGGCTTCCTCCTGCCCTCAAAATCAGTATACACCTCCTCGGCACCCTCCTTGTCAACCACGGCACCCAAAACCTCCCTCTCCTTCACCACCTCCCTGGCCACAGGCATCTCATTGCCCACCGCCCCCAAGACCTCCCCCTCCTTTTTCTCCGTCACATCATCCCTAGCACTCCAGCCACCAAACACACCCTCTGCCTCGTTCAAGCCATGCGCCTTTCTAAACTCTGCCCTCTTCCTCACATCGTCAACCTTGTTCTTGCGGTACTCGGCAGTCTGGATGGAGATGTATTGTGAGTGCAGGTTGTAGACTTCGGCGTAGCGGGACAGGAAAGCAATGGGGTGGGAGAAGAACATGTTGTTGGGTGGTAGTTGATCGAGGTAAGGCGTGTTTGTCAAGAAATTGTTTAGCCAGGTGAAGAAGGCGAGGGAGATGAGGATGGACTGTTGATGGTGTCAGCAAGTGCTTTGAGGCTTCTCTATGTTGGATGAGCGCAAAGGCCTTACCATGGTGATCCACACGTGGATGTTGCGGTTTGTGAGGAACCAGTGGAAAAAGGTGCCTTCGGGTGGCATCATGTGCGGGTATTGCTTCTTCTTTTGCTGTTCCTTTTCTTTGGCGCTCAGAGGGACTTGAAAGGCGGGTTGTCTGTTGCGGCGAGGTAGGCGAGCGGGGTGGGATGGTGGGTTGAAGCGTGTGGGCTTCTCGAGTAGTCGACCCTTGGGTGCTGGCTTGGAGCTGCTGCTGGCGAGGCGAGATGGTAGAAACGAGCGGGCGAGGAGCGAGGGTTGTGGGTGGCGCATATTACGCAAAGCGAGCTGGCGCGATAGCTGGAGCGCTGACATTGCGGATGTGATGATGGTTGGGTCGAGATATACGAGACGAGCTGTCGGCCGATGGTGGTGGAAAATGATCATGACTGGGGCTCGGCAAAAACTGCCCCACGAGATGCGGCCAAACCATGCCACCTCCGAGTGCGGGCGGCAGCGTGCGTTGATCGTCGACATGTACCTTTAGACCCTTGAACTTTTATACAAACTTCAAGTCCTCGCGAAAGGCTTTCATATCTTTTCTATATCATGTCTTTTTGCTCCGTCGAGTTCGAGCAGCTCTCCTAGTTCTGCTTCTTCTCGCTCTTGTCAATCTTCACAATCGAGGGGAGCGAGGTGAACATGCTCGGCCAGACCAGCTTGAACTCGTCTTGACGTCCATTCAAGCAATGACGGAGCCACACTCCCCATACAATGTAGAAGTATGCCCCTGTTCCAGTCATGAGATGCCACCATCCGTGTCCCTCGAGGAAGATGCCCCAAGGCAGTCCAATCTCGTGACGCCACTTACGTAGCCTGGAGCAGTAGACATTGTCCAGAGTCCAAATGCCAAACCCGCCCAAGAAGACGCTCAGTCCGCATGCAATCATGAGCCACATGGTCTTGAGAATCTTGCGATCTCTGTCATCCTGACGCTGTTGCTCCTTCTCGCTGATAACATTCTGCTGGCCCGTACTTTTGCGCGCAGCTTCTCTTGCCTTCGGATTGGGACGGATGTCACGCTCCATGACGTACATGGATCTGAACAAGACGACGGCCGTCAAGAGAGCGTACATGTTTTGATGGAAGACGGGGTCTCCGAGGTAGTGGTAGTAGCCCGTGATAAAGACTGACAACGACACCAGGAAGAGCGCGAGGAAGATGCGGAAGGTGCGCGTCTGTTTGTGGGCAAAGGTTGCGTAGAACATGAGGCAGGTCGTGTAGATCATGGAGAGCTCGTCGACTAGCTGCATGGGGTCTGTGTCAAGACAGGGTTAGCAGGCTTCTGGAGTGGGCAGCCCGAGATACTGACATTTCAGAGTCGAGTGGAAGAGGAAACTGCCGGTTCCAACAACCAGGTAGCCGATGAAGGTGACGAGGAAGATCTGGTCATGGCCATTCTGGATACAGTTGTTGATACCACGGAAGGCCAGCCAGACAAACAAGAGGTTGGTCAAGGTGTTGACTATCTCAGCCGAGTAGACGGTGGCATAGTAGTCCNNTGGTCCTTGTCAGACTCGAGGGCCGAGTTTTCAAGGATGGATATGACGAACCTCCTCACACCAGTTGAGAGTCGAGGTTACGGGGCTCCAGTAGCCATCTCCTGAGGGAGGGTACGGTATTGAGGGTAAGAGAGATGCCATCAAGAAGGATAGACGGTCGACGGAAGCTTCGGGAGTTGTTGCAGTGGATGTGGACAGAGTCGGTGGGTTCAGAAACGCCAGAACGCAGGAAGCGAAAGAACGGGGCTCGAGAATTGCGAGATAAGGAAGGAGAGAGATTGAGCAGGCACAAACAAGGAAGACGACCGACTTTGTTCAAACGAACTCGCTCATCGACCAGAGAGCGCCAAGACGCGTGTCATCGAGCCGCCGGCCGGACAATCACATGCTGAGCTTCTGCCATTTCTACCAATTCTTGACATATCACAGCAAACACACACTCGCCCATCATGTCCATGTCGCCAGCTGATATGCAGAAGGTTGGCCTACTCAATCTCTCAAATCACCTACCGTCCACGCGCTGACCCTCTGCACAGCTCCTGCAAGAAATCGAGCAAAAGGCCCAGTTCTGCCAGCAACAAATGGTCATTGTCAAGACCCAGATGAACACCAAGAACCGCGAGAACCGCATGCTGCAGCTGACTGCTGCCGAACTCGACGGTCTGCCATCCGACGCCAACGTCTACGAAGGTGTCGGTAAGATGTGAGCCTCCGCGACCGCCAACCATGGGAAGACGGCCCTCTGACATGCCACGCTAGGTNTTGTCGCAAGCCCAAAGACCTACGTCAAGGTGCGCCTGACAAAAGACCAAGAGACCATCAAGAAGGACATGGAGGGCCTGGACAAGAAGATGCACTACCTCGAGACGACTTTCAACAACAGCAAGTCCCACCTGGATGCCATCTTCAAGAATGGCGGCAGATGAAGTCTGTGACCCATGTGCTGGTCGCCAGAGATCACTCTTACTCCTGAGCACATTCGGCAGAGCCCAACTTCGTCAGACATGAGGGCCATCTCTCTGCAGGCGCTCTGTGCGAAAGCTGCCAGGCACGATTTACGAACAGAGGACAGAATCGTCAAGTGCTCCAGACGAGCGATCGTCGCAGATCCACCATCTGCCGGGACGGCCTCGAAGAACTTTCCATCTTCACCTCGAATCATCGAACCTCCATGGACGAGCACGAGTGCCGAATTGCCCAACATGGTTTATACAGATGCTGATGCTTTGTACACAGTGCCAAGCTTAAATGCTGTGCACTCGTCGGAGAATACACCATTTGACCTTTCTCCTAAATTGTCTTATCGCATCCTTCGTATCTATATGCAATCTACTGCAGTCTATAGCTGCATATTGCCGCCCCATGATCCTCCAGCTTCAACTTTAAATTACCATACTCTTGCTACGAGACAGTTCACTCCAAGTGCCTGTTTGATTTTACATTCTGTGCACGCAGCTGTTCTGTATTTCAGCGCTCAAGAGACCAAGACAGCTGTCATGCAGCTACCAAAAGGCAGCAAGAGTGACGCGCCTGTTTCAAGACATGAAGGTAAACCACGCGCGCGGCTCATGCAGGAGCTCAGATCGCCAATCGCCGTCTGCAGCAGCTGCCAGCTGCAGTAGTCAGCGGGGTGAACACCACCATCCTCGCACTTCTGCCAACAAAATATCCGCAACCTGACCGGTTGATCACAAACGAGACAGGGCAGGAAGCTGCAAGTCTGTCATTCTCGTAAGCATTTTGACCAAAGCCTAGTCAACCAGTGCCCAACTTCCTGGGCTTGAAGGGGCGGTAAGGCGTTCCATCTGCGACAAGCCATGTTGCCCTTCGGCATGCAGCAGTCATGATGGCTATTGGTGAGTCCGTGGCGGAGGATGCTTGTATACAGCACTATACGCGGGCGGTCACGCGTGATCCTTCGCTTGTAGCCTTTTCTTCCTTTGAGATTGTCAGCAGCCTTGACTCTTTCATCTTGTTCGTCCGAACACACGGTAGGCTGAGACTCTGTGTCATTGCACTCAGTGTGTGCTTGTGTCGTCCTTACAGCATTTCTTTCTCCTCTTTTCTGCTCTCCATTCTTCAAACAAGATCAGCACATTCTTACCACATTCCTCTTATCTTGCTGAGGGGTGGCTCGCAAACGCACCACACACCTCCCTTGCCGTCAAGACCTCCGGGACCAACACTCCTAGTCTGCAAGCAATGGCGTACCCCTCATACGACCAGTCGTGGTATGAGCGTTATAACCCAGATCATCAACCACATACACGCTATTATCGACACTCTCATCGACACAGTGGCCACCTCACACCCGAGCCACAATACTCCAACTTGCACCGCTCGCACTCACAAGGCCACAATGTGCCCCATCCCACCAACATCCATATCCACAACAAGATACCGATCACCCAAGAGACGACGACTGCCCAGCGCACAGAGGGAAGGCCTCCTCCTCCCATGCCCGCGCCCATGCCTCCACCACCACAGTTCCAGCCAGTGCCCATGATGGCACCTCCTCCACCCATGTTCGTCAATCAACCCATGCCGATGATGCAACCCGCACCTCCCCCAATGATGGACCCCTATGCCCTGCGAGCACAACGCCTAGGCGAACAATTACTCGCCGAAGAGTTTGCCGAAATGCACCTCCACCGCCATCGCTCCCACTCTCGTGGCCGCTCCCCCGACGACCGTCTCCGCTGGGACCTCGAGCAACAACGCCGCGACGCCGCAGCAGCAGAATCTCGCCGCCGCCACGACGAAGAAACCGTCGCATTAAAGGCCCAATTCGAACTCGACCGCCGCAGAGAAGAAGCCAAAGCCGCAGATGCCAAACGCCTCCGTGAAGAAGAAGCCACCGCTCTAAAGCTCAAGCTCGAACTCGAAGCCGAGCGTGAAGCCGCAAAACGCAAAAAGCAAGAGGCAGATGCAGCAGCAGAGCGACAACGCGTAATCGACGAACATGAACGCAAGATCGCCGCCGATGCAAAGGCAGCCGCAGACGCCGAAGCGGCATTCAAGTTACGACTGGAACTGCAAGCACGCGAAGAGCACGAACGCGAACGCAAAGCCTACGAAGACTTCCTCCGCAGGCAGCGAGAGCAGGAAGAAGCAGACGAAAAAGCATACCGCGAAGCCCTTCGCAAGCAAAAGGAAAAAGAAGAAGCCAAAGAGAGAGAATACCAAGCCTTCCTGCGCCAGCAAAAGGAAAAGCAAGAAGCAGAAGAAAAGGCAAAGAAGGAGGAACAAGCACGCATCGACACTGCCATGCGAGCACGCCTGGAGAAACTAGGATGGTCCCAACACGACATTGAGATTGCCCTCGATCCAGAAAAGGCGGAAAAGGAAAAGAAGAAAAAGAAGAAGCATAGGCATTCGGGAGATGTATATCTTGATGAGGAGATCATCGTGGTGGGCGGTACACCTCCTAGTTTGCCGGATGCGCCTCCCCTTGCTGTCGGCTTTCCTCAGCATCAACATCATGTTCCCGTGTACCCCCGCATCAACCGCAAGTTCTTGGACATCGAGACGTTGGAGCATTATCATGTGCCTTGGGAATGGGATCGTGTAAGTCGACTTTCTTTTCCTTCCTTAGACCACTTCTACCAGCAGAACGCTGACCCTAATACAGGCAAACTCGGAATTCATCATCCTGCTCCGCGAATTGGACAAGTACGAGACGGATGTGCTTTTCGAACACACGCGTCGTCGTCGTCAAGGTTCTTCTGCGCCTTTGCTCATTGACAAGGTCAAAGATTCGGGCCCAAAGTTCGCTTGGGTCAAGCACAAGAGCAAGGAGAGGAGCAAGAGCAGAGGAAGGGATATCAGGGTTACTGAGATTGTGAGGCGATAGTTAATGACATGCTAAGAATCATGAGCAAGACAAGTAGAAGATTAGAAATGAGTTCTTTTGCTCGAGAAGAACGCAATGTTTTCGTGTTTCAGACGGGGTGATCCTAGCATCATTGCTGTCTGTTCTTCTCCTAGTCAATCTATGAAGTCTATAGCCATCTCCTTCTTGTCCGCAGCGTCGATGTGCATGCGACGATCGTACAGCCAGTGTTCCGACCCAGCCCTTTCCAACACGCTCTCTGTGATGTTTGGCTGGCTCTTCTTGGGAAGCTTGGTGCTTTGATTTGTTCGGCATATGGGGCACCGTCAAACACGACCTCTTGATCTTGGGCATACCATCTCATCATAGACATGGTGTTCCGTATCATTCTGACCCGCAGGTAGGCAGATGTAAAGTGCTCATGTTTCAACCTTGTCCAAGGCTTCGAGAATCTCCTCGCCAACACCGCCCTTCTCGACAACCATCTTGATCATGCGAGCCACAAGACTACGGCTCACACCACCTCTGGGCGGTCTCCAGACTCCGCTGTCGGTCTCTCTGACAGCCAGGGCTTCTGCCTTTGTCGGGGCGGCACCTCCTGTGGCAGTGTTGAGAACGTCGGGTGTACCAGCGCCTGTCAACCTTGATGGCGGATCGACCATTCTGACGGCCATGACGGCGAGTTGCTTCTCGGCCGCAGGGGCAACACTGACGGCCACGACGGCGTCTGCGACTGCGAGCTCGTCGCCGCTGGGGTCGAAGAGAATATTCGGGCCTACCGAGGCCAGGAGGAGTGTGACTGGAGGTTTTTGGCCAGAGGGGTAGAGAGGTACTGCGGCGTCCCAATCGTCGTTGAATAGAGGGTCTTCGTCTTGTTCCGAGATGAGGGCTGGGAGGTTTGTGTGTTGGAGAGCGAGGTGTGTTGTGAGGGAGAGAAGAGGGAGGGGGTATGATAGCGGTGCGGAAAGCAGTAGGATCNNTGTTGTGTGTGTCAGTAATCGTCTTCTCCCAAGCAGTAGGGCGGGGCTTCATCTCACGTCAATGTACAGGCGCCAGTGGAAGCGGCGGTTGATGTACAGGCGATCCTTTAGCACCTCGGTAGCCAGCAGACTTTCGCGCAGCATGGCGCCCAGGAAGACGGGCAGCGCATCGTCGTCTCTGTATCCAGGCATCTCGATTTGCACCTCGACCCATGCGTCTCTTCCTTTTCTTCCCTGGTCTTCCTGGCCCATGCCTCCCATGTCAATCTCAGCACCTCCTGCCGTACCCAGACCAGCACCCTTTTCTGTCTCGCCAGCATAGTCGCGACCATATCCAGCGCTCTTTTCGACTTCGGCCTTGATGCCCACCACTGCTTCTGTGCCGTCGGCGAAACAAATGCGCGCTGATCCGTTTGCTGAGGGTAGGATCTCGGACTCGGCGACCAAGGGCCGGAATTGAGTAGGACTGCGGCCATCGGGGCGGATAGGCGGTGTTTGCGAAAGAGACTTGTGTAGGTAGCTCAGCTCGGCTGGCGAGAGGTTTGCGCTTGTCGGCGCCATTGCGTGACTTTTTGTGTTTTGGTCTCTCTTTTCAAGGTTGCGATATGACGAGCGGACTCCTGAGATAGACACTGATGCGATCGATGTTGATGTTGAGCGGCAAGTCGAGTTGCACCTTATGGGTTATTTTTTCTTTGCGATGGTCTCTACGTAATCGAGAAGCTGCGACTTGCGATGGAAGCTTTTGGCGAAGTCCACGGTCACAAGTCATGGCTAACACCAACGCGAAAACTCTTAGCCTCGTTCCTTCTACTTGTGCATCTGACACATCTATAACTTGAAGGATCTGAGAGTCTACAGCATACGTCTTTTAGTTGATACATGCACATTGCATCTCATGTCGTAGCGATAGTCCGTGACAAATGTGTTGGCCTCGCTTGAGACCACCTCTTTCCCCAGATCTCCAGACGACATTCCTGACTTCACGACCTCTTTCCATTCAGGACTTTGAATTGCTGCAAACGCGCCCTCTGTCTTGCTGCATCTATATATTCCCATGCAAGAGACGTGGTTCAAAGTTTGATGTTAGCATGACCCAGTAAGTGTGCGTTTCTTCATTTGCTTGTATCAGAATCAAGAAAGAGCATGGATCAATTCTAGAACGAAAGACCATTCATCAAACTTGCATATGGATGGGCGAACCCTGTCAATTTTGGGAGAAGTTGCTGTCTGCTACTTATTCTAACGGGTTTGAGGAGTCCACGGCGTGGCGGCGTACAATCGGTGCAAGACTACACAAGAAGGGGCGTAACAGCATTGCACGTAAGCAGACATACATGTCATGCTCAAGGCTGTCTACACGTTGTAGACATGGTTCTAGATCTACACTTGAGGTGCACATACGTCTGTGTAGAGAAGCACCATCTATACACGGCTACCAAACATGATGCATGAGAACATTGTTCGAACATGGGCAAGCACTGGTTGGATAGTCCTTTCCTTTGATCTTGGGAGTCAATCCACGAGAACCCCTGGCTACATATGTCGACCTCGCTGTCGCCCTCATCAACGACCGAATATGTGGCTTGGCCGAGTGGTAATGATCAAAAGGGAGAGTCTTGGCTGTGCCGGGTCAAGTCATCCAAGCTGAGCATTACTGCATGATTGGTGGCCTAAAGGTCTCGCGTTCAATTCCCGATAACGTCGTCTGTTTGGGAGAGTTGGGGTCCTTTCGGCTCAATTACAAGTGAGCCCTCTCGCCCATTCAGTTCTGATGTGAATCCTCATGGCCTAGGGGGGAAAGTGATGTTGGCTCCGCAACATTCACTGCAGAGGGAGTATGCCTACAGTCACTTGCAACAACGCTCAGCGAGCGAGTGACCTAGGAACTCACAATCACCTCGCCCAGCGGAAAGGTTATACGCTGCGGCTGTCTTTCGGGGCAGTTCGTATCTAGTCACTGAATACGTCGCTATTTGTGGAGTCGGGGATCACAAAGTGTACATCATTCGAGCATCAGTAGAAATACAGAGCGCACGATGATAGAAACTTCGGTCCGGAAGTTTTGCTTACGGCACATCAGTCATGCAAGCTTCCATGGCAATTGCTTGCTAACATTGAACAACCAAACAACAAATACACATGATCATTGCATAGATGGGATGACACGACAAGAAAGCTCGAAACAAGGTTTGATTGCATTCATCCCAGATCAACTCGCACCAACCTTTACTGGTTTGTCTGCCATCGCGGGCTTATCTGGTCCTTCCGGTCTCTTCCAAAACCCACACACCTCTGCCATACAGTCAATGCCCAGAACATCTCCCGCACCATCAAATTGAACTCTGTTTCCACCTGAGTTCATGTCTTCTACCATCTCATTGACCAGCTGGACAAATGTTTGGTTCCCGTTCTCCTTGGATGCAGTCGGCCCACCTCCATGACTGTCGAAATAACTGGTCTGCATATCCTCGCAGAAGTAGTAGCCACCAGGCTTGACAGTTTTCCACAGGTGCTCGAGACTCTTGATTTGCTGATTCATCGTGTGGCCGCCGTCGTCAATGATGATGTCGAAGTTGCCACCGGTATCTGTAATGAACTCCTCGAGGAACACTTCGTCCGCTTGATCTCCGGTGAAGATGGTTGCCCCACTTGTTTTGCGAGCCCATTTCCTTGCGCAGCGTTCGTCGTACTCGATGAAGTAAAGGTCCACGTAAGGGAAGTATTCGAGCCACAGGTTGTAAGACGCTCCGGGACCGTAACCCATATCACAGCCAAGGCCAATCTCGAGCATCTTGATGCGCTTCATTCGGAACGCAGGCAAGTACTTTTCGTACATGTGATGATAGCTATGGGCTGTGACTTTGTCTGTCCCATATTTGGTAGCGACTTCGTAGAAGCTTGGTCGGCTTGGAGTCGCGTCATCAGCGGAGGCAACACATGCACATGAAGGATTTTTTTCTTACTGCCAGAGCTTCTTTGCATTGGGCACGCCACCGCGCTGATGGAACGCCGCGATTACGAAGAGTATTGAGGCAACAACACCAAGGACAATCGGCAGTCTATGGGGAGTGTGAACGGCCATGGCTACGAAAAGCTGTTTTACTGAGGTAGGTGCTCTTGACGTGAGCTAATATCCCATCCCAAGCATGCAGTCAGGGTTCGAAGTCGCCGAGATATGTATCAAACCACAGCCCTGGCGTCGTTGGAGCTTCATCCCTTGCATTGCAGCCATGAGGTCGTGAAATGCGAGTCGCTTATCTCTCCTATCAATATCGAAACCGCTTCTAGACTTGCGGACGCAACTTCCGTCAAGATTCTCAATTTCGGTCCGTAGGACAAATATCACGGACCGCATCTCGAGAAATGTTGGCCGGTCAAGGACCAAAACATTCAGGTGCCTGGAACACCATGTGTAATGGAGGTGCTGCATTTCCACGTATTTCGACCATTTCAGTCTCGCAATGGCCTTCTACGAGACCAACCTTGCGGTACTGGCTGCAGTCAGTGCTTACCTGCTCTATCGACAACACCAGTCCGACAAACAACATTCGGCGACAGACTCCGAGAGTGGAGTGAAAAGTGCACTCGGCCAAGATGCAATCAAAAGATTCAAGAGAGCCTTCTTTCCAGCATATGCGCTGGTCTGCGCGGCCGACTGGCTTCAGGTAAGCGCAAGTTCCACTTCATGTCAAGTTCTCGGCTGACCCTTGAGAAGGNGACCTCATATCTACGCACTCTATAAATATCACAAGCACCTGCCTGAAACGACTGTTGCAGCTCTCTATGCCAGCGGGTTTATTGCAGGTGCTCTCAGTGCCTCTTTTGTTGGCCAGTTAGCTGACAGATACGGACGTCGAAATGCATGTTTGCTCTATTGCGTTATCTACTCGACTGCATGCTTTTCTATGCTCTCTGATGACTTGCTCGTCTTGTTTGCCGGTAGAGCTTGTGGCGGTGTCAGCACGACGTTACTGTACAGTGTCTTCGAGACTTGGATGATCGCTGAGTACCATGACCAAGCATTGGATGCTTACGGACTCAGTCTAGGAAGCATGTTTGGCAAGATGACCACGCTCAGTGGCGTTGTCGCAATCGTCTCTGGTGTGGTTGGTGATCTCTTGATCAGATCACTCGACTCGAAAACGAGCCCTTTCATGGCTAGTGTTGTTTGCCTAGTGCTGGCGTTCGTCTTTATCTCAAAGCATTGGGTANAGTTGCTACAAGAAATAGGTCCGATATTGTATTGACGTGCGTAGAATGAGAACTATGGAGACAATGCCACCAGCAAACTAAAGAACGGCGAGTCTGTCAATCTTAGTAGTATTCTTCTCGGTACGCCGCATCATCGGAATTTTATCGAGAACGAAGAGGCTGACATGANNTATAGATCCAAAATCATCTCAGTCGGCCTCGCCTCCTGCTTCTTCGAAGGTAGCATGTACATGTTCGTCTTCTTCTGGTCGGCTGCTTTGTCCACTGTACACTCTACCATTGGTGTTGCCGACTCGCTTCCTTTCGGCGTGGTCTTCAGCTCCTACATGTGCTCCATGATGGTGGGCTCCATCGTCTTCACCCTTATACCGCCGTCTCATGACAAAGCACACTACATCCTCAAGATTGTCTTGACCAGCGCAAGCATCTGTTTCCTTTCTAGCGTCTTGCTCAAGAGCGAGGCATTGGTGTTCTGGGCCTTCTGTCTGTTCGAGGTTTGCGTTGGTGCATACTTCCCGAGTATGGCATCTCTGAAAGGCAAACTGATTCAGGATGGCAGTCGTGGTAGAATATATGGTATTCTCAGACTGCCATTGAACCTCTTTGTCATCGCAGCACATAGTCTTGCTGAAGAAGGTATGTATCGCACATGTCATAGGTGTGGTGTTTTGACTGATATGACACAGNGCGACCGACACCGTAACAATATATTCTTGACTTGTGGTGGACTGTTGATAGTCGCTTTCCTCGTTGCACAACATTTCCTCACATCTCAGTCCTGATGGTCTGGCACCCGTGGGGCTTTCTGGGATGAGCGATATGTAATGAAGACACATGCCATGTATGGGTTCCCTCAAAAGGTAGTGAGCAGCTCAAACAGAGTTATGAAACTTCAGCTCATCCCGAACCAATATCTCATGTGGAGTAGAACTTCTTGACTAATCGCACTACTGAACATCAGTACCCGTCGCGAATATGAATCACTGAAGACAGACTTATCACTCTCTTGTCGAACCAGATCCTGGTGAAGGTATTCAAGGCGTTAAAGGTGCACCCTTGAGAGTCGCAGAACCAGACTTCACAACGAAAGGCAGGAGCGAGTCACTCATTCGGTTTCCCGTTGAGGCAGCAATGTCCTCGTCGTCCTAGTCACCCTTGCTGTCGCTGTCGCTGTCGAGTCTTCGATTACTAACATCACTGTCGGTTTTCGTCCGCTCCAGCGCTATATAATCTGCCTTCTCTTCCTTTCTCATCTTCCTCCACCTCCACCACCAACAGGGCTCACCGCGAGTCCTCTCCCATCGATCATCAACTCTCGTGCTTCACCTCTCACCAACTACTCACACACCACACCTATTCTACCACTACAATACCATCCCTACTCAGCCATGGCTCAACCCAATCAGCAGGTTGAGCGTGAGTGTGCAGGCTGTGGCAAGATGCGCGGCCTGTACCAGTTCTCCGCCAGTCAGCGTCGCAAGGGTGACGACGCTATCTGTATCAAGTGCATTCCCGAGATCCAGAACGTCAAGCCTGGTCATCTCAAGCACGACGTTGACAACAGTGATGCCAAGTACATGGCTGTAAGTATACTCACATCAGAAGTACCGGAGATTCACTGACAGTATGTCTACAGCNACGTCAGCAAGAACGGTAACAGCACCCACGGCTCATTCGGCATCAAGACTGGTGGTGTTCGCCTTCCCGCTTCGTACACTTCAGCCAGAACCGCTACCTCCACCGTCGCCGGCACTAGTACTGGTACCGTCACCAGCACCCACAGCTACAACGCTTCCTCTGCTGCTCCCTCTTCTCATCTCTCTTCTACGACCAACGGTAACGAGCGCCCCGCCCACTTCGAACTTCGTAACACCGGTTGGATCTCTGTCAGANGGCGTAAGATACACATACCTTCTCCCTTCTCGAGGCATATGACTGACAACTACAATTAGGAGTGGCGCCAGGAGCATGTTCCACAGCTCGAAGACGACAATGTCGAGACCTTCAAGGACGACAGTGACAACGAGGACTTTGACATGTAAACATATCAAAGTTCCATGGGATTCTCGAACGACGACGATCGTGGGGAGGCCAAGATGGCAGTCGGACGAGGACGTTGATTAAAAGCAACGACCGATTGAATAGTCACCATGGGTCATCAATCAAAACACATTCACTTTACTTGATTCATGGAAGGGGCCGCTTATTACGATCGTAGCTCCTTCTGTAGCTTCTTACAGAACTTCAAAAACAATGCTGTCTTCTTTCCCTCCTTTTGCCATCTGTGAAGTTGATTTTTCCACCAACATGATCGAGTATCAGTGTGATAATGTTGACTTCTTGCTGATCGAATCCAACCAATATCTTGAGTCAGGCTCCACACTTTGAGCCCGGTTCAATATGGAGGTTGTGGTACTGAGATAGATAATCTCCAAGTCGTTCTGGCTGACCACGCTAGACGCCAAATATTCGCTCTTTTCTCGAGATGCAGTATTGCGTGTGTCTCTACTTTACTTCTATGATTAGTTCCCTGGTCCAGTGTCATTTCTTGTTGCATGGAAAAGTTGGTCTTACTCTGTAATATATTCCGTCACTTGGATCGAATTATGAACGTCGGATATGTGCTAGTGAGACAGAGATGTGATATGTGGGTATTGCTGGCAATGGCAGCGTCGAAATGCTGAGAGGACAATCCTGTTCAACTCTTCTCCCACATGATCGAAAGATGGAAATTGGGTTGGAGACAGTATCGACCGAGTCCATCACGGAAAATCTAGTCTTTAGATGATTTGTATCGTTGGAATGCTCGTAGTTGATGCTTCGTTGTTGCAAGGGTAAGCAGAGTGATACAAATCCCACATCTACCATCGGGTATCAGTGCTGTGAATGGAGCGTAGTAACTTACAGAACTAACGAGAAGGAGGTATATTTCGACTGTACCCGTCTTACTCGATTTGTCAACTCAAAACTGACACCTAAACTGCACGTTGATTCGTAATTGTGTTTGCGCCAGGAAAGAGCACCTCATCAGATGCTATCAAGAAAGGGCATAAGCAAATGACACGGAGATACACTGTGAGGCACTGAAGCAAAGACCAACCATGGTCATTCATTCCTCATAGCCAAAATCAAACAACCATCAAAGCAGCCTGCCCTTGTCCTGAAGTTGGTTGAGAAGAGGATATTGTAGATGGAGTGCATAATCATGATCGGACATTGATAACAAGCAGCATGATAACATATCATGATCAAGAAGCAGCATGATGGATGGAGCATGATTGTCACTATCTCGGGCCGTGACTCCGCAACCGAGAAGACCCTGATCGAAGATGACTTCATGCCGATCTGGTCAGCAAAGAATCGAATTTGCTGCTTCTAGATCATCGATTGCTCTCACTGTGATGTTTGTTGAAAACGTGACTCAACATCTCACGGATTCTGTAAACAGGCGAGGGAGATGGTTGGAAAACAAAGATCGGAACAAATATGTACAACAAATTTTGTCTTTCTACAGGCTGCTTAACAAAGTACCTGGAAGTAGCATTCATAAACCCATAAGTGATTAGATAGCATCCTGTTTTGCGTGATGATGAGGCGATTGACCTCCATCAAGTTCCAATAGGCAGGGTGTGTCTTCTGTGGCCGTATATCATCATCAAAGTTTTGATAAAATGATTTAGAGCTGGTTGGCAGTGTTGAAGTCCTTGAGGGCAACAGTGACACGCTTGGTCATGGTCTTCTCGCCTTCGCGGACCCAGACGCGAGGGTCGTAGTANCTAAGAAACACGAGAGTTAGCATCGGCTTGAGGAAACAATGTGATGGCAAGAGTCAAAATGCACAATTAGGCTTGTGCCATGATAAGGGGATGTGGTGGAGTGAGCAAGAGCTTACCTTCTTGTTGGGCTTGTCAGCACCGTCGGGGTTGCCGACCTGGCTGCTGAGGTAGTCCTTCTTGCCGACCATGTAGTCGCGGATACCCTCAGTGTAGGCGTACTGGAGGTCAGTGTCGAGGTTGACCTTGCAGACACCGTAGGAGATGGCCTCCTGGAACTCCTCGACGGAGGAGCCGGAACCACCGTGGAAGACGAGGAAGACGGGCTTGTCATCCTTGGAGCCAGTCTTCTCCTGGACGTACTTCTGGTGCTTGGAGAGGAGACCGGGCTGGAGCTTGACGTTACCGGGCTTGTAGACACCGTGAACGTTACCGAAGCCAGCGGCGATGGAGAAGAAGGGCGAGACCTCGGAGAGGGTCTTGTAGATCTCGTAGATGTCCTCGGGCTGGGTGTAGAGGGAGTTGTTGTCAACGTCCTCGTTGTTGACACCATCCTCCTCACCACCAGTGATACCGATCTCCATCTCGAGCCACTGCTTCATGGGGGCAGCGCGCTCGAGGTACTTCTTGGTGGTCTGGATGTTGTAGTCAACCTCCTCCTCAGACAGATCAATCATGTGGGAAGAGAANACTGGGCACATGTTAGAAGGTGTCACAGGGCAAGCAGAGTCACATCACACTTACAGAGGAGTGCCGTTCTTCTTGAAGAAGGCCTCATCGGCCTCCATCATACCGTCGAGCCATGGGAGGAGCTTCTTGGCGCAGTGGTCGGTGTGGAGGACAACGGGGATACCGTAGGCGGGGGCAACGGCGCGGATGTAGTGAGCGGCAGCAATGGAACCGGCGATGGAAGCCTCCTGGTTCTTGTTGTCGACACCCTTACCGGCGAAGTAGGCAGCACCACCCTGGGAGACCTGTNNTGATCATGTGAGTTGTTTGTCCATTGCTGTGTCAATGGCAGTAGTTCCTACCTGGAGGATGATGGGAGCCTTGTTGTCGCGGGCAGCCTCGAGCGAGGCAACGACGGTGGAGGAAGAAGTGCAGTTCNNTGGAAAACATCAGCAAATGATCAATTCATGCCAGGATCAATTCCCACATACGATGGCAGGGATGGCGAACTTCTTCTCCTGGGCGTACTTGAAGAGCNNTGCAGTCAAGAGGTTAGCGAAGATTCTTTCGAGCTTGTTGTGGCTTGCAAAGCGGCTTACGGTCTTGACGTCCTCGCCGTAGATGACACCGGACTTCTTGAGAACTTCTTGGGCAGACATTGTGGATAGATGTGTATGGAGAGTTGTTTCTTGTGGAATTGAAGAAAGATGAAGATGAGGAAGTTCGAGCGAGGAGTGTTGAGCTGAAGATTAAGAGGACTCAATTAGCGGGGCACTGCATCATACTGTCCCGCACGGACCCGAGGGGTATGAATTGGTTGCATCACACGTTTGACAACAGACGAGTAACACCGAGGTCCGCCGACGGAGGAAATCGGAGTCGACCTGCTCTTGACTGCTCGCGCTGTGCGGGTGCTGCTACAGAAAACGCACGAATGAGCATTCGCCACTTACCATACACCCGGAGGAATCGGGTTTCGACCATACAAATGTTGCCCTCTGTGGGAGCTTCCAGAGTTCTTTCCAGCTTCGAGAACGCCCAGAAGCGGTCAGCTCTCCCTTCCTCAGCAACCAGCCAAAGCTTGGACGTCGTAGCAAGTCAGGCTTGGAACCACCGGTCTCCGATCCCAACAGTTCACTTGCCATTTCGTTCCTTGAAACCTACGAGCCCTGTAAGTATCACCGAAGCCGGTGACAATTCAATTCGAAGTGCATGACAACAGGTGATGGTTGTGCCATGATGATACCCAAGCCGAAGTTCAATTCTTCCTGCGTGAATAATCAATGGTCAAAATAATGGCATTTCAACATGATATCTGTACTTCTATAGGCAACCTCTTCAACGTATGCTGCCGATACGAATAATCCTCACAAGCATTTATGACAAGTCTATGCAATCAACACCAACCGCGATCACCAGAATCACTGTTGTCCTCCCCCTGGCATGACCGAGCTGTGGATGCATTCATCGATCGAAAGGGTGCGCGTAAGTGTGGTTCTTATCCACAAGAAGAGGCTTGACACAACATACGTCAGGGTCATCGACAGATGCACCTCCTCAGTAGTGGTCAAGTCAGTTTGCAACTGTCAGCACACACAAGGTTGTGAAGAGTGAGAGTGTTCAAAGAGTTCGACTTATCATTATCCTCTATCACTTCCGCCGACTTTCTTTTCTCAGTCTCTATTCATTTTTGCTTCACCCGACCTTTTCTTACAACTTCACCTCCTCATAAGGTTATTATCACTTCGCATAGTAAGACTCTCCTACCTCACTTTGACCGCTCTATCTATTTAAACCCACCTCAGCACAACATCACCTTCTCTTCTATCACATCGAGGTCCCACTTCTTCTTTACCTCAATTCTACCTCGCCTCAACTCCATCGGTACTTAAACCCTTCTGTCAACGTCTACCACATCTTCTTCGTCAACATGCCATCAGCCGACAGTTTATCTCAATCAGACGCCGTAACAATGATTGATTCATACATCCCTGACCTGCCGAACGAGATCTTATGCGAGATCGCTGGCTATGTCAACGACGAGGACGTTCTGAGTCTGCGACTTTCGGNNCCAAAAGTTTTTCAATACATCACAGCCGACCGCTTCGCCACTACTTTCTTCGAAGACCGTGCCTACGAACTCTCGCCCAAGGGACTGGAGGCTCTAGTCAAAATCACAGAGCACTCGGACTTCGCTCCTCACATCAGAACTGTCATCATTGGCCATGGCGGCAAGCATTCTTCTGCGAAGTACCACGATTTGCTTGAGAAAGCCTTCCAGAATCTCGCTAACATCGGCAACACCATTTCCATCGGAACTCGTCGTGTGCGTACTACTCACAACTACATTGAGCCTCAACATACGCCTAAACATCGTTCGAACTTCAGTAAGAACCAAATGGTCAGATTCTTGGAGGAAAAGATGCTGCCTGCTGCCATGCGCGCTCACATGCCTCTCCAAGAGTTGGTCGCAGACATGCAGTACAGTTCTTCACACCGTCTACTCCCATCAATCTCAGAAGGCTGGGAAAGGGATGTAAGACCAGTTGTCAGACAGTTGCCAATTCACCGTCAGTTCAGCGGTTTGCAGGTCAAGTTCAGTNACCGAGGATCTGATCCCAGTAAGCCGAGCTGTCTGTCCCTTGGCATCCACGACAAGAGACTTAAGGTCTCACAAGCGGGCACCCGAAAGTGGCAGAAGTACCTGCCTTGGCCATCCTTCAGAAGATTCCGCGAGATCGACCTAGAAGATTGCGAGGTAAACGGCGACTGGCTATATGAGGTGCTACACTACTCCAGCCAAAGCCTCGAACGCTTCTCGCTGTATAATGTCCGTTTGAAGGTGCCTGCCTGGCACTGTCCCGTAGCTGCGATCTGGGAGTCCCTATTTGCGGCACAAACAACTTCACTAAGTGTTTTGGAATCATGCAGGTTGGGTGATCTCTACGACGAAACTGGCAGCCTTTGGCTCGGGGGAGGTGACCAGACCATCAAAGCCAGTACCAGAGCTCAAGTCTCTACTGTCCTCTCGAACCTCGGCGCTGGTCTCCGCACTTTCACACTCGATGATTGATGGAGGCCCTGTTATGTAAACTTAGCAACCCAGAAATCAGAATGACAATGTATCATAATGTGTCCTCCCTGTTGCCAGCATCATGTGGTGTCAAAACAAAGCCTTCGTTTCGTCCTAATCCTTGTGAAGACCGAGAGCAGTACAACTTATTACCGTAGGGACAGATAGTGTTTCCAAAAACAAAAAGCTTGTCGACCCAGCAGTGTTACGTAGGGACCTCACTGGAAGCGCACGAATTTCGATAAACACTGTGCATTTTTATAGCTACATTTAAAGATACATGGTCCAACGGGAGTTGGATATCGTGAAGCAGGGCACAGGCTCAAGCGAGAACAGGGGCAGGAGAGAGCTATGCTTCCTGCGTCTTGCACCTAATAATAGGTGAATATCAAGATTCACGATGATATTGAGAATAAGGAGATGTCCATGGAGATAGTCCTCGGGTTAGCACTCTCCATGAAGAATCACGACTTTGAGATGATTTCGTGCATTTCCATAGATAGCTCAAAGCAACTTGGTCAGATGCGCGGTCGTGGACTGACCTGGGCCTGACCTATACAAGCTCTCCTAACGTGTACGAACACCATGGGTAATTATTGTATGACATCTCTTACTATGTTCAAATCACAAGAGTGGATTGTTATCTGGACGAAGTTGGTAGAAAGATTGATGGTTGCAAGGCTTGGCAAGCAAACCGAGCAAACTCGAATCGCGCTCAAAGAACGAATGGATGCTCTTCAGCCTTTGGACATCGCGATTGGCATCACATTTCGCCAAATCAATACAGAATGTTGTGTGCAAGTAAGTGACGGCAAGACATTATTAGCAAAGATGGTCGCTAACAAATACATCAGTTTCGGGAGAGGCTCCTCAGCAGCCCGTTGCGTCGCGCAAGAGCGGTACGATCTCACCTCGACTTGCGACAAGTTTGCGCCGATTCTAATATGACAACCAGNGCAATGTCTTCGAAAAGAGACTGATAGAATCATACATTTCCGAGAATGGCACGGACCCGGTCACTGGAGAAGACCTTACCGTCGAGGATCTGGTCGAGCTCAAGCAAGCTCGCGTCGTTCGCCCTAGACCCCCGACCTTGACCTCGATTCCTGCTCTGCTCTCCACCTTCCAGAACGAGTGGGATGCTCTGATCCTCGAGACCTACCAACTCAAGCAGCAACTCGCCGAGACGCGTCAGGAGCTCAGTACCGCCCTCTACTACAGTGATTCCGCCGAGAAGGTTATCGCACGCCTACAAAAAGAGAGAGATGAAGCCAGAGATGCTTTGGCCAAGATCTCCGTTACCTCGACTTCGAATGGCGCAAATGGAGATGCCATGCAGGTGGATGGACAAGGCTTGCCCGAGGCCATCGTCGCAAAGATTGAGCAGACACAAACAGAGTACGTTCATCGAAAAGATCTGAGAAAGTTTTACCTGCTAATATGCTACTACCAGANNTTGTCATCAACACGACGAAAGCGCCCGACACCCAAAGGCTGGGCAACCNCCGACTCCCTCCAGGCCATGCAATCTACTCAGAACTCGGAGCCCTTGTACCCTGGTGGCCGTTCGATCGCTGTCAACGAGACAGGCGACCTGGCACTTGTCGGCGGCAGCGACGGCGTGGTTGGTGTATACTCAGTATCACAAGGAGAGGTCGTTCAAACATTGAAGTGCGGTGGTGGTTCTGTTACCGATGCTGTTTGGTGCGGCAACAAGCCCGTGGTCGCCCTCTCGACTGGCGCAGTCAAGATATTCGACAACGGAGCCGAGATTGCCAGCTTCGACCGCCATGCAGGTGCAGTCGGCGCAGTTGCTCTGCATCCTTGCGGAGACATTCTGGCCTCGGTCGGCATGGACAAGAGCTACGTCCTCTACGACTTGCAGGCGCTTCAGCCGATTACGCAGGTCTCTACCGATTCTGGTGTGTCTGTTTGCAGAAATGATCAAAGTCAGGCGCTAACTGTTTCCANNGAACTCACAACTGCCGCATTCCACCCAGACGGGCACCTCTTCGCAGCCGGCAGCACCAGGGGAACGATCAAGCTTTTCGATGTCAAGACGTCAGAGAACGTGGCCAACTTCGACTCGACTTTCGGACAATCGCCTCTTCAGACAGTGTCCTTCTCGGAGAATGGCACATGGCTGGCATCGGCAGTGCAAGGACAGACCAGTGTCAGCGTCTGGGACTTGCGCAAGATGGCAGAGATCAAGACCATCGACCTGGGCACAGCGGTTACTGGAGTCAGCTGGGATTACACTGGTCAGTACCTCGCAGCATGCGGACAGGGCTTTGTGGCAGTCGAGCATTACGCCAAGGGCTCAAAGAGCTGGTCAGAGCCGTTCAGAAAGGCACTGAACGCAGTCGACGTGAAATGGGGACCCAAGGCTCAGAGTTTGGTTGCATTGGCGACGGACGGCAGCGTCAGCATCTTGTCTTCGTAGGGGATGGGAGACGAGGTGGATGTCGATATGTTTGAAAAGTATCAAGTAGAAACCAAATAAGGAACAAGGCTTCTCAGACAAAGATTGGCACTACGGAATGTAGAGGATGATGCAGACAAGGATCAAGATGGAAGGAACGTCCTAGGGAGGTCTTTCCGGTATAGTCGTCGTTTTTGAAGGGCTTGGAATGGATGGTGTCTTTACAGGTTCCGATGAACAAGACGAGCATGAAAGCACAATGAGCACGGACATACTCAGGTGGCCTTCACATGCGAGTGAGAATAGGCAAGGGTAGGTATGTGTTGGCGGAGGGCGGCATGCAGTGGCTCAGGAAGGCGGCAAAAGCACCAAACAAAGGGTACGACCATCGTCACATTTCCCCACAGCTGACCATCAACGTCAATGCTGCACGGCATTTCTTTCACTCTGCTTTCCTGCTCCACCGACGACCGACACTGACCACCGAACATCCGGGCGTTTGGTGGTGCCAGCATCTTCCATCATCCATCAGCCGTCTTTTGTCCTCTCAGCTGCTGACCGCGCAGTATGGACGGCGGCCGAAGAAGACCCCCATTTGACTTTTGAATTCGACCGCTCAGATAGCAACAAGGTGCCTTGCTCTTGCCCTCTCCTCTACCACCATGTATACTGACCCTGTACCTAGCGCTCCTACTCCTCGTACTCCCAAATGGACTCACACACCCGCTCGTCACCCTCGCCGCTCTTTGTCCGCCAGAACAGCCGCTCGCCTCAGCGCCGTGCCACTCCGCCAAATCCCAATCCCCGTCGCCTGCTACCTCTCCCCGTACCTCTGCCCTCGATACCACCTCACTTCCCAAGAGATGGCTACGACTATCGCCGTCCAGCCTCGTCGGCTCGCTCGAGCACCTCGGCCAACAATATTATCGACCTGACATCCGACGATGATCCTACCGCTCCTGGAAATGCTCCTGCACCGCAACGGCAACCCACTGCTGCACCCGTATCCTTGCCTCGCTTTGGAAGAGAGATTATAGACTTGTCTGCAGACACCAGCCCCTCCAAACCANCCCATCCCCATCACGCGAGGACATCATCCAGTCCCGAGGTGCAATTTGTCTCCAGCAGACCTCGATCACGCACCGATCAACGTGCTCAGCATCCTCCCTTCTTGGATCCCCACCCCGAACATCGCCGTCATGCTCCAGAGCTGGTTCTTGACGATCCAGAGGACGACGTCATCATTGCAGGAGAACGAACTGGTGTCAATCTGCTAGGGCCTTTGGGTGCACACAGGAGGTACGGTGGGTTGGTCCAAAGATTATTCGATGGAGGAGCCCGTATTCCAGGTCCCGTCCGAGCTGCAGTCACCACCATTATGCGTGGGGGTCCGATGCCACACTTTTTCGGGGCCGCGAACGACGATGGTGACAATTCTCGTGCCGCCAATATTCTGGGAATGGCTGGCATGCCGGGCTTCATGAATTACGACACTGTTGGTTTTGATCTTCTCGGGAATGCCGACGACCATATACAACTACCCGTACCAAAATTTGATCCGCCACCCCCTGCACCAGAAGGATTCACTAGGGACCCAACTGAGGACGATACGATAATCTGCCCAAACTGCGAAGACGAGTTGGCTGTTGGCGAGAGCGAGGAAAAGCGTCAAGTCTGGGTCGTCAAAGGATGCGGTCATGTCAGTCAAACTATGCTGAAACAACATCTAGAAAAGCAACTAATAACAGTCTAGGTCTACTGCGGTACATGCATGAACAATCGCAAAAGAAAGACCACCAGAGGAGCCAAAGGGAAAGGACGGGCGGACGAACCGGTGCTACCACCGCCATTCTCGACGTGTCAGGCCGATGACTGCGGTATTCGCGTCTCTCATAAGAATGATGTGATGCAAATATTCCTTTGAGCGAGGAATCGGGGTTTTGTTTGTCCATAGCCGGTCCTTCGGTGCATGGAGCATTGCAAGGGTTATGGATTTGGGGATGTATTTTTCTGGGTGTATATCATGGAGCAAGACTATGTAATTTACAGGCGGGTGGACACATGGATGTCTTCAAGCATGCATAGCGATGGCGTTGTTCTTAGGACAGGAATAGAGAGAGCAAAAGGCTCCTCGGGCGTTTCTACTGGCTTTCGGCAATCACTTTATCAGAGAAGACACACTCAAACAAAGCCTTCGTTCAAGCTGTTTGTACATGAGAGGTGTGTGTGCAGTGCTAAGAAGGATTGAGTCTAGAACAAAGACATTGTTCTTTCCTCTACTCGAGTAGAGCAAGATGGCGGAGCATTCCGCTGTCAACAAAGATCGGCGCAACTGGCAAGCTCTTGCCTCGTCAGGGTCCAATCTCCAATTCCAAGCAACTCTGGCCAATTTAAACCGCCAATTGTCACCTTCCTACCTTCCTCTGGACAATCATGGCCGACCGACCCCAACAACCCGCGCGTCCAGCTCGCGAACGTAAAGTGTCGCCTGTCAAAACTGGTTACCTTGTCCTCTACAATGCCGTTTCGACCATTCTCTGGGCCACCATCTTGGGACGCGTCTCGCTAGTCGCTTCTGTGCATGGCACGAAATATGTTTTTCCTGCTGTGGGAGAGTTTGCAAAGTGGACCCAAACTTTGGCTCTGCTGGAGGTCGTGCATGCTGCCCTTGGTAAGTTTGCGTATTCCTTGAAATTGTGGTTTGGCAAGAGATGGATCGGAGCAAGTGGGAGGATGAGGAAGAAGAAGGCGATGGCTAGGAAGAGCAAGGAGAAACAGAAGGGTGAAGATTGTAGAGCACTGAAGAGACACAAGAGGCACAAACTACACTGGCAGTCTTGACCAGACACGGCCTTGCCAATACCACAGTGCAGAGAACACAGCTAACGTACTGCTTTCCTCAGGCATCGTCCGCGCACCCCTCTTCACCACCCTCATGCAAGTCGCCAGCCGCATCCTTTTGATCTGGGGCATCGTTTACCCATTCCCCAACACCGTCGCCTTTTCTCCCGTCTATAGCTCCATGCTCATCGCCTGGTCCGTCACCGAAGTAATCCGTTACTCGTACTTTGCCATCAACCTGTCTACTGGCAGCGTCCCTGCCATCTGGATGTGGCTGCGTTACAACACTTTCTTCATCCTCTATCCTCTAGGCATCAGCAGCGAGTGTTGGTTGGTCTGGTTGGCTGCCACCGGACCCGCAAAGCAATATACTGGTGTTAGAGAGGCTCTGTTTGCCATTCTCTTGATTTATATTCCTGGTAAGTGGTTTTCGTACCTTTGGAAAGATCTAGGGGAAAAAGAGGCTGATATTGAGACTTCAACTTTAGGCTCGTATATTCTGTTTACGCATATGATGGCCCAGCGCCGCAAGATCATGCGTGGAACCCACGCAAAGACAAACTGAATACAGAATGGACTCTTCGCAACTCTGTGGATGGAAAGTCTTGGTGATGGCCACTCCTGAAGGGTAATATCGCTCGCAAGAGCAAGAAGATACATGGCACGCCATCTGAACAATGGAAGCGAGGTCTTGTCTGCTCTGCGGTGCTTGCCTGACCCAGCTACCCCTGGCGAAATGTACCACCAGTGGCCTGAACGAGAGCTGCAAGCTACTCACGGCGTGGCTTTCAATATTGCCCCGTGTAACGATATCCCAGACAGTAGAAGAAAAAGTGAGCAAACTCCATAAGAGTAATAACCTGTCTATACAGACCTCTCTCAAACGACACCGCCTTCTTCACGTGCCAAAGACCACCACAATGTTAGCCATAGAGATGAACAGAGTCCTGCACTCGAACAGGTCCACTGAAAGATGAGACAGGGCACCAAGAACTCAGGAGGTGAGCAAGGAGGAGGCAAGATGGAAGCCAAACCACATCTCATCTCCATCATGTCGTTCAGCAGTTTATATACCCATAGAAATGCACAAACTCATGTCAAGAAAAGAAGTATTCATTGAGAGCTGAAGAGTGAGTGACCACAATCTCATTAAAGGCATCGAATGGACAAAAATGATCATTCATTCCGACAGCTACGAGACTAAGTATCCTTAGCTGACCCCATGTACAGGTTAGACCATGCTCTGAGCATCAGAGTGCTTCTTCTCATCTCCAGCGAAGGAAACAAAGTCTTCGTTTTCCTCCTCGACATCAGCAGCCACATCCTTCAAGGCGCCGTCGTCATGAACAGCGAAGTTCACTGCGCCAATGCCACGAGCAGCCAGCGCCCCTTCAATCGCAGAAATACGATTCAGTAACCTATCATCAACGACGGCAGCAGCATGTGGCAATACCTCCGTTTCCGTAACCTCAACCACAGGAGCGTTATACGAGTACCTGAGCTGAGACATGCGCTTGGAGCGACGCTTCGATTCTACATCCGACGTTGTCGTTGTTGTTGGTATCTTCTCGCTCATGGTGCCTTCTTCTTCCTCCTCTGCCTCTTCGAGCACGTACGCTACGCCTACTAATGAGCCTTTTGCTCTTGATAGTTTAGGGCGTGTAGTCCGAACGAAGCCTTCGTTTGTACCCTTAGGTTGGAAATTGTCTGGGGAACGGCGACCAAGGATAGGGACGGCGGTGGGTGTGGGTACCTCATCCTTAGCAGTAGCAAGACCGACGCTTATACGGCGACCACCAACGGTGATGGAGGGTAAAGGAGCGTCGATGAGATGGGATGCGTCTCCAGCCTTGACTATACTAATCGAAGCCTTGCGCTCGGGCTTCGCGATAAGCTCTTCTGCTTCTTCGTCTTCTTCGGTGATGTTGGGATTGCTGAAACGCTGACCAATGGCAGTGATGGTCATTCTGCGGCCTCCGATCGCGCCGCCAGGCACATCGACCTGCGAACCAACAGCTGTAACACTCATACGGCGACCACCAACAGGCAGCACTGGGTCGTCATCGACGTCTTCTTCCTCAAGCTGCAGCACAACGTTCACAGCTTTGGCGTCTTCGATGATCTTGGGATGACGGTTGGCGAAGTAGGTGGCGTACTTGTATATGGCGTAGTAGCAACTCGCAACGTTGACAAAGGTCAAGACGAGCTTGTAGGGCATGTAGTAGAGCCAGACGCACTTCTGAGGTACTTTTTCGTTCTTACGTCGGAGGTGGATCTCGTTGAAGATGACAGCATTAGCCATGTAGAGAACGAAGGTAAGGGCCATCAGTTCGAAGAAGAACTGAGGTCGAATGGCGAGAGAGATCGGGACGACGATAGGGGTAGCGAGGTAGAGGAGCGTCTCGTAAATCTCCTGAAAAACGAAGAGTTTGGTGCCAATCTCCCACCAGCCCAGCTTCCATGAGAAGAGGATATAATGCAGATTGTAGTACATTCCATTCACGAAGAAGAAGTTCCATCGGTAGAAACGCTGTTTGAAGACTGTCATCTCACCAAACCCACCTCTTTCACCACCCGAGCTGAAGAAGACGGCATCAGGAGTCTCTGTCTCGATAAAGACCGATGTTGCCATCTGAGTACGACATCCGAGTTGACGAGCAACGTGTCCGAAGAACCAGTCCTCGGAAACACTGAATCCAGGATGCTTGCTAAAGGTCTTGATGAGAAACTCTCTGTCCCAGAGGGAGATGGCGCCGTGCGGGAAGGTTGCGCTGCCCATCTTACCAGCGAGTGCACGCTGAATACCAGAAATCTTATATTCCAGATCTTGTGCTTGTTGACAGAGCGTTCCTTTGGAGGATTTGGGTCCGACGGACTTGATGGTGTAGCCCATGCACATGACGTTGCCCTTGAGTCGATCAGATACGATTGGGAAGTTGGGTGGTAGAGCGCAGTCATCGTCGATGAGCAAGACATTCTTGAAGTCTTTTGCAGCATAGCAACCGACGAATTGTGCGACAATCTTCGAGCCGACGGGGCTCCAGATGTGGTTAACGCCGAAAGGCCGACAGATTTCCTCGGTGTTGTCAAGAGGAGTCGGACTATTGCCTNNGTGATATCGTCAGCAAGAAGAAAGGGCGCTCTGTTCAAACGACATACCGTTGGCAACGACGAATATGTGCGACGGTGGGAAGACTTTGGTGGCAGCTTCTAAAGTTGGTCCGATTAGGGTGGCGGCCTTGTAGCAGGGGATCATTAAAGCAGTGTCGGCGATGTTAGGAGTTTTGGTAGCATCGATTGGTTCTTCAGGCATTGGTGGATCTGGCTCGAACAGAACAAGGAGCGGAGAGTATGCATAGCTTGAAACAAGGAGTTAGCTTTGATGTGGAAGGAGTTTCTCGTCGCCATTTTCTTTGGTCAAAGGAAGGTGAGAATAACAGATCTCAGGCCTCAATAGAGTGGAAGGAGCGAACGACGACTTACGCAACAGAAACCGCAATGACGATNNAGACCATGAACCAGTGACATTGAGCTTGTACTTGAATGCCAAGTACAGCTCCAAGTAAGTCCCCNNCTTCCAGAGGGGCTCTCCGATGATTAGAAAATATAAAAGGACAAGAAGCATGCCATAGAAGGAGTATTCGAAGACGATTTGCACCCAGCGCTTTCTTCGAAGTTCGAGTTGTCGTTTCTTAGCGTTTTCGTAGACGTCCCACATACTGCTTCGCCGGACCTTTTTGCGAACATTTTGAAGTGTGCCCTGAAAGACGGAGCCTGCTCGTTGAAAGACGGAAGGCCTTCGTTCTCCGATGTGTGGATTGTGCACATCCACTGCAGCACTTTGCCTCCACATACTTGGTCTTCGACCGGCTGTGTTCGAATTGTGAGTATCATTAGTTGCCACTTGGCCTAGAGCTGCTCCAGCAGCCGCCATTGGATCAGCAGGATCTATGCCAGCACCAGGAGAGACCCCGCCTCCCTCGGTGTACTTGAAACCGAAATTGCCCCATCCACTCAGACCTCCCGGAGTTGCGTTTGGAGACACTGGCTCATCGTCTTCTGCCTCTTCTAGCTCGCTGTTGTCCGCTTTCTCCGCTTCAGAAACAGCCGCAAGAGACTTCCCTCTGGATTTCCTGGCACTGGGTTGACGTTCTCTCATTGTAGCGAAAGGGTCCGCTTGGGCCAAGGCTTCCATAGATTCACTCATGTGGCGAGGGGTTTGCGTTGTTGTGTTGATGATATTCCTGACTTCCTCTTGCTGTTTCTGTGCCATGGACTGGACGTTGAAGGATTTGCGAGAGTCCTCGCGTTTGTATGCTGATCTGCGTCTACCCACGACCTTGTCTTCTGTCCAATTCGTCTCGACATGGGTCATCAGATGAGCAGGGATAACGACATTGGTGACAGAGACAGAAGAGCGACGGGGTCCAGCCATAGAAGGGCGTCGGCTATTCAGAGCCGATGGTGGGCCTGTGGCCGAGGTATTCCTGCTGGCCAGAGTCGTAGAGTGTTGACGGCTGGAAGGAGGTGTTGGATCGGAACCTGCGACCGGAGCCGGTCGAGCGTTTTTATCCGAAAGAGAAGCTAGACCACTGAACGCTACAGAACTAAGACGAGGCTTCTTCTGCTCGTGAGCCAAAGCGAACGACGTCCTTATAGGTGTTTGCGTCGGCGTGTCTGCCATATTGTCTCTAAGTGGACCCTCAGCCGTTGATGTGTGCCCGCTGACTCCAATGCCATTCTCTGGCTCGACGATATTGGTCAACTTTTTCGAAAAGTTCCTCGATGATCGGTTGCCGAAACTAGCGCTTGAGTTTCCGATCGGGTTCTGTTCTGTACGAGACGTTGCCTTTAAAATGCCAGGTCTCTTGGCGAAAGGGTTTGTGGAATTGAAGAAGGGATTCGTGTTGTCAACTGCGCCGCCAGCAGCGTAATTGTTTGTTGCCGATCGTCGAATATCGTCCTTTACAGGATCGACTGCACCGGGACTAACATTAAATGATTCCCAGTCTCCAGGACCTAAAGACCTCCGGATCACAGTAGATTGATTTTGTATGGACTCGTCGGGTGCGATATTGGCAGAGTTTCTATTAAATGTTGTCCTGGCAAGAATGGCTTGGACCGCTGGGTTTTCATCAGGTGCAATGTTCCAAGATTTCCTGTTCGTACTAGGTGCGCCATATGATAACCTGGAGAAGGGACTTAGTTTCGTACCAAGATCGTATGGTCCAAGGTTTGTTGATGTTCGATCTAGCAAGCTCGGGCGGTTGTATGATGGTTTTAAAAAGGCGAAGTAGGGGGTATATCCTGCAAGCTGGCATTGGAAGACTTCCTATCCGCTGGCGTGTATGCTTGATATGCTGACCTGGGCTTGACGATATCATCTGTGGACGAAGTAACTCGTTGTGTTCCAGAGTTTGTTGATCTATCATCTTCTGGCATCTGCGAGGTACAAAGTGGTCCACTGCTTTTCGAGAATGGTAAACTAAAATGATTAAAAGAAGCCTGATTGTGTGTTGAAGGAGCGGCTCCCTCAGGAGTAAGCTCGTCAGGCCCGAGTTCGTTAGACATTAGATGGCATGGCATGAAGCCCTACTTGCGTAGAACAAGGAAGGAGATGGCAGAGCTAGATAGGGCATGGGACATGGGAAAGAGAAATACTTACCTTATTGCTATGTACGAACGTGGTCGTTGGTAGCGAACATGTGGTTCATTGGCCCTATGTTAACGAAGAGCTAGATGAAACAGATACTATCCAGGCTCCCCATTCAGAAGTGGGGACCGTTGTGGTCTCTATTTTGCTCTACCGTTTTGGGCCGTCCTGTCGAATATTGATATAACGGCCACGAAAGCGGAAGCCGGGCAAGCCTGGATCATGGTATTGAAGAGAATAGGATACCTCCCTGAGCTAGATCTTGAGATGCAGATTGTCGATGATTGACGACAGCACAGATGTGCATTAAGTGGCTCCTAGAGAAATTCACCCACTGAGGACATCATAGAGGTCGCAGTAACGGTTTGGTGTTATATCAAGAGAGAGCAATACTTGTGACGTCGAAGAGCCCGTTATTGGTGCAGCCCATACAGTTAGAGTGTGGTGGAAGTGGAAGTTGGCTGGAAAGATCTGGGCCTCCTCGCAGGGGGACTGGCAAGGTACTGTGGTCCACCGGTCCCCGTTGAAGAAGATTCAGGCATTGATATGAAGCGAAAACGTTCGGTACTTTTGCTGGAGTAGCAGAGAAAGCATACTGCCCATAAGTTTTACATTTCGAGAGGCTATTGCGATAGAGTTGCTTTCCTGTGTCGTCTAGAACGCACAAAGTTCTTATGAACTGGACTGTGATAGATTCCGAGTACAGAGCTGAATAAGAGGTGGAATGAAGTCAGGCAAGCGAGACAATAATTCGCACGTTGGAAGTTTAGATTTGCCCTCACCGCGTGGCAGCGCACGGATGTTCGAAGTGCCGATATCCACCAGCAGTTCTTTTGGCAGCCATAGCGATAACCAGAGCAAAACAAAGCTATCGTCTCGGTCCTGTTCTCAGCATACATTCCTTACACTCTCATTTACAACTCGTCCTTGATCTTGCGCAAGAAGCCCTTGATACCATGACCATGCCTCTTGCTATCTCCTTCCGCCTGCGAATGCTCGTTGCCCACGAAAGCTGCCATGGACGTGGTTAGGGTGCCAACTCCATCGCCCATCCAGGGACCTTCCGGTGTGAAGACGACTCGTTGCATCCTAGCCTTTCTATTGTTCCAGCCCTCATCGGGACGATCAGTGGCGTGGTANGCTAGAAGACAAGTATTAGTTGCTTGTGTGCGTCGCTTCTGATGGCCAAGTACTTACATGCCAACCGTGTCATCGCCAATATGCATGAAGGAGCCGTGGCCAGGTCCCCAGGGGCCATGACCGTGTGGACCGTTCTGGATCAAGGGCTTCATGCTCTTCTGCCAGGAGTCAGGTCTAAGAGGGTCTCCGCCAGTCCAGCGGAGACAGTTCATCTTGTACTCGTTGGTCCAACTACCTGAGCAACTGTAGACAATACCGACCCATGAGCCATCCGGAGAGGCAAGGTACTGCGGTCCTTCGTTGATGCCGTGGTCTCCTACACGCTCAAAGGGTTCGTCAGGCCTACAAACCTCGACAGGGTCTGATGACGCGGTGATCGGGTCAGACAGCCGCAAAATGAAGAGATGCTGGTGAAGGTCTGATTCGTTGGGGTTGTCGAAAGGCCATCCAGAGTAGACAAAGTACAACTGCCCATGCAGCTCAATGACGGTGCCATCGATAGCCCATTGCTGCTGCCCCATGCCTCTGATGGGTCCTACAAACTCCCATGATCCGGTAGCGGGGTCTTGGTCTGCTGGTGGTCCAGCGAGCACGAACATTCTGTGGCTCTTGTTTCCGTGTTTGGGATGGCAAGCAGCGTAGTAAACATACCACCTGCCTCTCAGGCAATGGATTTCGGGTGCCCAGAGATCATTAGAGTGCTCCGTGTCTGGTGGTGGTCTCCAGATGACATGCTTTTGTGGATTATCGTGGAAGTTGGGTAAGCTGTTTGTTCTCCAGATCTCTATCCGGTCACCGGCGGTGAACGTCNNTAATATGGTCAGGAACATGTTCAGGCGAGCGTTGTGTCCTGGGTCACCACTCACGAGATAGAACTGGCGGGTTGCTCCCGAGTAGGTGACATAAGGGTCTGGCGTAGTGATCGAGGTCAGCGATAGGACGGAGTTGTTGTATTGAGCCATGATCGTAGGTATCAAATCAAAGACTCTGGGTGGGGACAAGAAAATGGTATCACTGTCAAAAGTGGCAGTCGCGACTGCTTGGCCTTTTACAATCGTCGACTTCCAGTTTCGGGCTGGCGAAGATCAACTATGAAGTCATTGTTTATGAACCTTGTCCAACCCCTCTCTTGACCTGGCCCTGTTTTGATCTCATGTTGGTCCATTTAATAACACATATTTATCTGAGTTTAGGCAGAATTAATCAACATCGATTGACACAACAGTGCCAGTATGGACCTGAGAGCTCTCTAAGAAAGCTTGGTCAAGCATACTCGAGTAGTATGGATGGGGTAACATCAAGATGTCAGGTACAACAAGCTCCCATTGGGTATTTCGTCTACCAAAGAATTGATTATATATCCCTACAGTCCGCTTAAGAGTTTTGGTGAACGAATCGTTCATCCTGACCTTGGTGCAGCGCGCCAGACAAAGCTACATTCGTAACTCACCCATACTAGTCTGGCTGCTAGAAATAGTCATGCTGTTATCATCCTCATTCGTTTCGCTGGTCAAGAGAGCGAAAAAGACTAGAGTACATACTTACCCTAAAGGGAAGTGCAAAGGTAAACGAGAAAAAAGATAAGAAGAACACAACCCATCGCGCACCATTACCAATGCATGCAATTCGATACCTCCCCAAATTGGTTACCTTCGCCTATGAACGCCATCTGCCTTCCCGTGCCGAGCTTTTTGTGTGGTATAGAAGAAAGGAAGTGCTTTTCTTTCCGTATCATCCAGAGAGGAGGCATCGAATTGCGAAGGATCCACACTGGAGTGCTTCTGTCCTGTTTCTGGTGCCTTACCGGGCGCTTGACTGGGCGTGAGACATGGTTGCTTACCGACGTTGTGCGCATATGGTGATGAGCTTACCGTCGATTTCTTGAGTGTGAGGGAACAAAGCCTCTCAGAGCGTGCGTGCAGAAAATGTGCAACAAACCCAAAAAGCGCTCAGTACCTTCTTTGCTTGCGCGATTCGTCGTAGCCTCCGTTTCCATCGTAGGGGCGCTTGCGGTCGTTGTCGCGCTCCCGATCACGATCGCGGTAGCCACCACCACCACCACCACGCTCTCCACCTCCGATAGGTTCTCGGTTGCCGCCGCTACCGCCGTAGCTGTCGCGTGGCGGTCTGTCGCCATATCTTGAGCCTCCGCCAGAGTAGCTGTCGCGGCCACCGTCGCGGCCACCATCGCGGCCTCCCGAAAAGCCGCCATCACGACCGCCTCCGAAACCACCACCGCCTCTTGGGCCACGAGGACCGGATGGGGCGCCTTCTGGGAATCCGTTGCCATAGCCGACTCCAGATCTGCCACCTCCACCACCGTACCCACCTCTATCGCCTCCGCCAAATCCGCCTCGGAAGCCTCCACCGCCGCCACCGCCGCCTCCTCTTCCACCGCGGAAGCCTCCTCTGAAGCCGCCGCCGCCGTCAAAGCCGCCACGACCGCCGCCGAAGCCTCCAGGACCAGAAGGAGCACCATAACCAGAAGGACGAGGAGGGGCGGCCTTTGTATAGTGACGGCCACCGAGGCCACCTCCATATCTGCGAGGACGCCATTCCTTGACTGTGCGACCGCGTTCGACGTCGACCAGGATACGTCTGTCTTTGATGCGAATACCGTCGGCGTCTTTGTAGGCAGCTAGTCGAGGTTAGATCTGGGTATGTCAAATGGTCGAGAAATAACGAATTACCCTTCATGTCAGAGTCTCTTTCAAAGACAATGAAAGCATAGCCTCGATGCTTCTTCTTAGGCGTAGGTGTGGTTGTGTCCTCGACCAGGCGGATCTGAGAGAGTCAGCATTAATTTCGTGAGAGCGATGTTGGTGGCAGCGCACGCGCTCGATAGGACCGTAGCGACCGAATTCGCGCTCGAGGTCCTTGACTTCGGTGTT